CCTTCTCTATTCTTCTCAAATAGCCTCAAATTCAAATTTTTGAATGACACAGTCCCCACGTTGAATAATTGATCACAAATCGACCGATCAATGTCGGCGCTTACAAAGAAGTAGAAGTAAAAGTAAACGTGGTTTTCTTAACTTGCTGTTAAATTATTCGAGATTTTTTCGTAAGTAAAATTCAGGATTTAAAAAATTCAGGATTTAAGAAAATTAGAGTAAGAAATGCATTTGCTAACATGATGGATTACGGCAATGCGACGACAAGGGCAATTTTTTGGCAGTTTTGCACTTTTATTGATCAGGGGAAAACACAGAGGAGAGGAGAGCAGCCTGAGAAGATTGAAATTTTACTTTTAAACAACAAAGAATGAATAAACTCAGTGCACGACAGCAATTCCTCTTGAAATCAAGACGGGACTCAAATTATTGTATTTTGTTTATGGCTATATCTTCTGCTGTAAGTTTGAAAAACATTAGTATCGCTTTCCCAAAACAATGAAATAAAGTGCTACCGTTTGAATTCGTGACAAAAAACAACAACAACAACAACTTCAAAGTATCTTACTTGTTTCTTTTCTTTAACCATAGAATTACAATAAATAGTGATTCGTCAAAATTGAGAAGAACACTTTAATGACACTTTAATTTAGCGCAAAAACTTCCAAGGAATAAAAAGCCGTAATCTGTAACCTATATCAAAATCTTCAACCGTCAACCGTCGAGGGACCGCACCATTCCTGCCGTTCGACGATATGACGACTGACATCAAATTTAGACCATGTCCTTATACCTATCGTATAACTTATTAGGAGTTTTTTTCCTGCATATTTATGATCTCTCAAGTTAATGACATCTTATTCGATGATCTATGTTTAAAATCCTGCAATTAAGCGGAAAAGTAACGTTCCAATCGTATGAACGCAGATACTAACGCTACAACCGTTGAAAGAGAATCCTAAAAGTGCCGGATATGCTATCGTAATAATCCATTGAAAGAGAATCCTAAAAGTGCGTGATATCCTACAGTAATAATCCACTGAAAGAGAATTCTAAACTACGCGAGATGCTGAGGTAATAATCTAGTGAAAGAGAATCCTAAAAGTACATGACCTACATATATAGCAATCCAATGGGAGATAATCTTAAAAATTACGGAACAAAATGAGAGAAAATTATAAAAGTGCGCAAGATGCTAACGTAACAATCAACTGAAAGAAAATCCTATGGCGCGTGAGATACTAACGTAACAATCAAATGAATGGGAATCCTTGAAGTGCACGACATACCTTTGTATCAATCCAATAAAAGAGAATACCATAAGTGCGGAATACTGACGTAACATTCAATGAAAGAGAATCCTAAAAGTGCGGGAGATGCCAATGTAACAATCTAATCAAAGAAAATTCTTAAAATAAACGAAAAATCAACGTAACAATTCAATGAAAGAGAATCTAAAAACGTGCGAGATACTGAAGTAACAATCTGATCAGAGAGAATCCCAAAAATGCATGAGAAACTGATGCAACAAACAGTCGAAAGAGAATACTAAAATTACGCAAGATACAATCGTAATAATCTATTGAAAGAGAATACTAAACTGCGCCAGATCCTGACGTAACAATCTAATGAAAGAGAATCCCAAAAGTGCACGACATACATACATAGCAATCCAATGGGAAATGCACGAGATACTAACGTAGCGATTCAATGAAAAAGAATCTTTAAATGCGTGTGATACAGACGTAAACGTAAAGAGAACCCTAAAAGTTCACGAGATACTAACAGAAAGTTCCATTTAAAGAGCATTCTTAATGAGGGCGAGATGCTAGCGTAACAATTTAGTGAAAGTTAATCCTGAAGTGCGCGAGATCAAACATAATAATCAAATGACAGAGAATCCTAAGTGTGCCAGATACAAACGTAATGATCAAATGAAAAAGAATCCTAAAAGTGCGCAAGATACTAACGTAATAATCAACTGAAAGAGAATCCTAAAAGTGCGCGAGATACAAACGTAATAGTCAATTGAAATAAAATCCTAAAAGTGCGCAAGATACTAGCGTAATAATCAACTGAAAGAGAATCCTAAAAGTGCGCGAGATACAAAAGTAATAATCAAATGACAGAGAATCCTAAAAGTGTGCGAGATACAAACGTAATAATCAAATGAAAAAGAATCCTAAAAGTGCGCGAGATAAAAACGTAATAATCACATGACAGAGAAGCCTAAAGGTGCACGAGATACAAACGTAATAATCAAATGACAGACAATCCTAAAAGTGCGCAAAATACCAACTTAATAATCAAATGAGAAAAAAACCTAAAAGTGGGCGAAATACAAACGTAATAATCGAATGACAGAGAATCCTAAAAGTGCACGAGATACAAACGTAATAATCACATGAAAGAGAAGCCTAAAGGTGCACGAGATACAAACGTAATAATCGAATGACAGACAATCCTAAAAGTACGCAAGATACAGACGTAATAGTTAAATGAGAGAGACTCCTAAAAGTTCGCGAGACACAAACGTAATAATCGAAACGTAATAATCAAATGACAGAATCCTAAAAGTGCGCGAGATACAAACGTAATAATCAACTAAAAAAGATTCCTAAAAGTGCGCGAGATACAAACGTAATATTCAGCTGAAAGAGAATCCCTAAAAAGTGCGCAAGATACAAACGTAATAATCAAATGAAAGAGAATCCTAAAAGTGCGCGAGATACAAAAACGTTATAATCAAATAAAAGAGAATCCTAAAAGTGCGCGAGATACAAACGTAACAATCAACTGAAAAAGAATCCTAAAAGTGCACTTTCATATTAGCATTTACATATTTTCCACACTGTACCCTGTACACTTTCCATTATACTGACAAGGACTTTTTATTGGACAATCAAGTGCTTGTTAAATTGGTGATCATTTGCTGAATCCCATGACCTTAACATTTGATACAAGGGTGATACTGTGAGGAGAAACTTGAAGCCAGACGTTCTTAAAGGTGAAAGGATTAAAACATACTTAGAGCTGAAAAACTGCAGGCACATTTAGCTTTATGTGGTATCAAAAAAGTTCAGAAATGAAAAGAAATGAAGGAGTAAATAGGCAATCAAGGCAAGAACAATTATATAAATAAAAATTTGTCGCTGTTGCGAAGAATTCTTATAGATTCTATCACAGAAAGTCACGTGGTTGCACATGAACTATCATGGCGGATGCTAGACAGTATTTGTCTTCAACTGAAAAAAGTGTAACATGTTATTCCTTATTTTTTTGGTCACTTAACTCTACAATGAGATTTACACGATGAACGAAAGTAACCATCGACACTTCAATTCTATCAAAAATGCTCTGCTTTAAGAATTATTTACCTTGTGAAAGCTCGAGACGAAATGGCATCCATCAGTTCTCGTCGTCAAACGTCAATCACTCGTTTCATCAATCTTGAAGAAACACACGCCGGCAAAGTCAAAACGGACGATGTCCTCCTAAGGTTATGAGGTTGAGGCGTATTTCCTGCCTCCAGAATAGCCGTAAAGGATGCTGAAATCTCTTGAAGTTTGTGAGCTCTTTCCACGTGCAAGGCTGACTTGCAAACATTAACACTAATTTTAGGAGTTCTTTGTAATTCAAATGAGTTTTCCGACTATCAAAGTCCGACCGAAAATCATCAAAATAATCGTTCATTTGTTAAACGAAATAAGATGAATAGCTCTGGCTTATTTTACACTTGGTCGAGATTAGCGGAGAGGAGTAACTATAATTTTATTTGCGTAAAAAAATTACTTGCACTTACACGAATTTGAAGCTCATCCCGATCTGATTTGGTTTCCTTTAGCATTTCCCATCAACGGGGTTCTACTGTACTACGATTCGCACTCGCCTGGGACCTAACTCATCAAGAACAAAGGCAGAGCTTTTTTTTCCTTTTGGTGACAGCATAAAGACAATTGTTCACTTTAAAATCGACACCAACAACCTTTCGGAAAGAGGTTGATCTACCCTTTCTTTTCTCCTGTCGTTTCCAGGGCTCTCTCCAGGTTAGAAGGCGTAAGAGACAAAAATTTGAGGGCAATATTAAGACACTCCTTGACAATGTTTCTGTATTTGAGTAGAATGGTTTTAAAAACAAAACATGAACAGCAGGAGAGAAAATAAATGATAAACAACTAAATACAACTATCGTAAAATTGAACAAGCATTTTAAGTCAAAAGGTGCCAAAGAAAAAATTTACATATTCTAGACAATGTGTCTACAGATACATGGAAACGAGTTCACTCGGTTGTAAAAAATCTAGTTACGAAAAAAAGAGGCTACAGTCCAAACTCCGAAGAAAATACGTATTAACCTTGTTAAATGAACCAAAACATTTGGCCAAAATAAAAACTCCGAAACTTCATAAAAATTCTAACAAAGGAGTAACAAATTTACGCGAACGAAAGCTAAAAAACAACCAAATTAATACTCCACGAAAACAAAACTGAAAGCACGCGAAGTGTCCACGTCAGTTCTCCAAAGTCAAGGTTAGAGTTCTTTGACGTGATTGGCTAATTTGTGAAATCACGCGCGCCGCGCGTGAACACCAAAAGAATACGAAGCGGGGAGAGGCAGAGAAAAATTGGTACTTGGAATTAAAAAACGACAGAGATTTCCTACATCGGTCCTTAATTGTCTCTTTCTCACGAAATCAAGTACTTTTTCTCGAGGAGTTGGTATTTATAATTAGACTCGCGATGAAATGTGAAAATTAGGCCAGTTGTCAAATCCGTAAGTAGGACGTCGCCGTTGTTGGAAACAACAACAGAGCTGGGGCATTCTAGGTATTTCCCAGCTGGAAGCGAGGTAACAAACTCTCCATAGAGGGCAAAGACTTTAACAGATTTGGCATCGGAATCACACGCAATTAGGTTACTAAACTTGTCGATAGCTAGGCCGGCTGGAGCTCCGAATTCACCGATATCGTGTAAATAAACCCCATCTTCGTTGAAAACCTTCACACTTTGACCAATACGGTACGACACGAAATATTTTTCTGATCGTGAACAGCAAACCACGGAGATGTGTCAGCGTCCTTTGCTTTGAAGGATTTCAACAATTTTGTCCCGTCAGGAGAGAGGAGCTTGACTGATCTGTCACCCGAGTCACACACAATTATTTGACCATCACTCTTGACGGAGACACTGCAAGGATTAGTCAAAAATTCCGCACCAATGCCCTTAACGAAGTGGCCATGTGGGGTAAAAACTGAAATTTTACTCAAGTGGCTAAAGACTGGAAATTTACTTTGCGGCAAAGTATCTTCATGAATGACGATAACATTGGAAGCAAGAAAGAAGTTTGTGAATGCCAGACATCTTGGCCTTCGGTCTGGTCCAAAATCCACTATAGTTCTTAGGTAATTTAACATCGAATCATACAGAAGCACTTTCTTATTGTCATAGTCAGCCACCGCAATGTTCCCAGTTTTTCTACACTGAGCGATGCTGTAGGCAACATGCGATGGAGCCACTTTCCAGGAGCTATCAGCCACTAGCATTTCATTAATGTAGATCGCAACCTTATTATGGCCAGGTTGCTTCAGCGTGCAACAAACTTCGTAGTTTCCGTTTCTGAGATCTTTAATTCTTGCTTTTTCGCAGCATCCTGGTGATTTGACGACCTCTACCGTGGCTATCACTCTGTCATCTTTGTTATAAATCTGATCTCCAAGTAAATCTCTTGTAGTTATTTGAAAGCAGATTTCGCTGCCTGTTTTGAAAATTAACCTTGAGTCGTTACCATAGTTTACCGTCGACAGGGAGGCGTCAGTACGACTGGCATAAATTTGACCGGAGCCATTTAACCTAATAGTATTCAAAGCTTCTGTATTTGGAACAAATTTAAAACAATTGGGCTGGTAAATCTTTATTTTTGATACATTCAAAAGTTCTTTAGCGCGACCGATGATTGACCGCTCCGCATGCAAAATTTCAGGCGCAAAGTTCCTCTGCACGATGCCCTCTCCTTGTTCAATACAGTTTTTTAGTTGGGAAATGGCTGACTGGAAGACTTCCAGTTGTCCCTTATGGTTCCTTTGTTGTGTCTCAACAAGTTGTCGTAATTTTGTCTTCATGGCCTCTTTATGTTCCGTCAAAATTCTCACAAGTTCATCAACGACTTCTGTCACTTTAGCTTGAGCGTCGTACATTTCAGATATGCTCTTATTTATAAGTTCAGTTTGTTTATTCATTTGTCTTTCGAGGACGGCGACTTGTGCCTTTGTTTTCCCTACGACCTCGGTAATTTGATTCCTATATTCACCCGCAGCTCCTTCGATATCCGCTACAGCGTGACCGTTGTGATTTACCAATCCACACTTCACGCAGACACAGACCTTACAATCTTGACAATAGTACTCGAGCGCTTCGCTTTGGTGATATTTCTGGGTACACATCGCAGGTCGATGCATCAATTCTTCGACATCTTGTACCCGCAATTTCTCGAACAAAATACTCCGGTGACCTCTCGTAGCCTTCAGGCGTTGATGTGCGTCAAAACAAGCTGCACAGAGAAAGCTTTGACAAACAAAACAATACGAAGTAACAACGCTGCTATCGTCGCAGCTATTGCATGTCTGCATGTCTGCAGAGATTCCAACCCTCCCGATTTGATCGGGAGTCTCCCGATTTGATGTCTTGCCTCCCGCTCTCCCGATTTTTACCAAATTCTCCCGATTTATCATAAAATTCTGAAAACTAGGGGAAAATTGCTAATCTTTAGAATTTTTGGCGATCTGTCACTGTGAAACACTCATATTATACTTACTTTCTTCGCGAAGAGCATTATGGTATGTTATAACTCAGACCGGAATGATGTCAAAATTCAGGAAATGGCACTTGAGAGAACCTAAATTTGCAAAATTTCCCGGGGGCCTGCCCCCTGACCCCCCTAGAAGCTCGCGCCTTTGGCACTAATAATTACTCCCTATTTTCCATCACATGGGGTTGGAATCTCTGTGTCTGCATCGCTATCATTAATAGCAAGGACATCCACCAATCGATTGAGATGAAAGGATGTAGGAAAATCAGAAAAGGTATCACCTTTTGGAACGTTGAATTCAGTCAGGCAAACCGGACATTTTAGTTTCTCTTTTCGCCGTCTTCTGGCATGTCCAGCATGTTTGTCGAGGCAGTTTAAACAGAACGAATGCAAACATGGAAGTGTTTTGGGTTCTTTGACAGTTTCTGAACATAGCGGACACTCCTTCTTTAGGTTTTTAAACAACTGCTGAACATCCATGACGAAAAACTTCCTGATCAAGTGATAATTGAAGAATCGAAGCAAGCGTCACATGATGCTGAGGTCTTCTGAGGCAGAGAGGCATTGGTACCAAATAGCATGTTTGACTCAATTGACTCAAAGCTCTCGATTCTGGTGAATAAAAAGTGCTAGTACAGCGAAAATAAGCAGACGAGCTCTTCTCCCGCGGCTTTGCCACTCTATACATTTCCTAAGTCACTGATAAGGAGAATTTGTTTGATAATCAAGAGCTTATTTAGTTGGTGATCATTTCCTTTATTCTCGTGACCTTAGTGTGTGTAGGGGTCAAAAAGTTAAACCGTCTTACCCAACGGTGGACGACCGCTAAAATTTTACTTCCTACAGGCAATTATCTCTCTATTTTTTCTCTATCCACCTGTGTCTAGTTTCTGAAGTTTCCTCAAGTTTAGCGATCAAGTTGCTCTGCGCAGAAAAAAAGGCGAATATCATGATATTACTCCTTTGTGAGTTTTTTTCCCCCGTGGGCATGATGAACCGTGCTCTACAATTCTGGTCAAATATTGGCGTTGTAAACACTCAACTCATTTTCATTTATTTATTTCGTCTTTATTTCTTGGTCTGTTCAACTATATTTTGATAATCTTGATAATCTTTTCATTAAAATATTTACAATTTCTAATCATACAACGAAGTGATGTAAGAAGATTTGAAACGTTTACGAGAAAATCGAAGGTATGATCTCGATAACATAAACTGAAAACCATCGAGTAAATTGAGATAGATAAAAAATAACATCATTTATCATCCAATTGCAATAAAAATATACTTAAAATCTTTTGGTTTGACGAAGCGTGAAAGAAATTTTTTGCGTATAAATTTTGATATAGAATGATTCTACTTTGAAATAGTAAAAAAGAAATGATACTTGTTTGAAGCAGTCAATAATGTTAATTTGAAAAACGCTTCGTTGAGAAAGGAAACGAGTAGTTCTTATGTTGTTGTACCCAAACTAACTCGGTATTCAAAACGAACGAGAGCGTGGGCACGACAGGTCAAGAACTTGAAAATGAGGCGGGGCGAGTACAAGCCCCAGTTTCCACGGTGGCAGCGCACGTGAAAGCGCCCTTCCGAAGTCCCTATGAATCAGCTTCCAGTTTTCTTGGCCGGGGTTTCCCGTTTAAGTGACAGCCTGTAATTGTCTTCCTCAGAGTTAAAAGAAGCGTTCAGGAGAAAGTGTCGAACAAACGGACGGCTAACGAAGTCGTACTGAATCGAAGCGATCTGGTAAGCCCACAATTGTTTCTCTGTACCTGAGTGGCAACAAAACGACAATGAATAAGAAAAAGATATCAGTTACCTCAGTACTTAATCATGAAAAATCTCCCAAAGTAACTTCGTAAGGTCCATCGCAAACAGCCCTCCCTCCCCCTCCCCCCCCCCCCCTCTACCTCCCCCTCTTGGCAGGTCAGCAGGTCAGCAGGTCATCAGGTTTCCCTGAGAGTTTGGTTCCCAGGAGGAGAGGAGTACAAGAGTGTTGCCCAAGAACACAACAATGAAAAGGCCCGATGGGTACGCGCAGGGCGCACAATGCTGCGTGCTACCCCCCATAAAGAGTCATAGAGTCATAGAGTCACACAAAGCTACAGCTCATAGGTCAACGGCTACTAGATGGACGTACAACAATGGAGCTGAGCTCCTTCTCATTAAAAATACCACTTGTTCATAGACACCTTGTCAACTCACCTGAACATATCTCATGGCTGCTGGTCGGCAGCGAATAACATACTACTGAGTTGTGACTCGAGATCTGAAGGGATCTGTCAAGGGGGTCCGGCTTGACTTCCGGAGAGAGCCTGCCACCTTCCTCCACCGACGGACTGCTTTGAGATTTAGCCAGTTCTTTGAATCTTAGATTGTTCGAGTTCTCCGCGACTGACAATGTGCTCAGACTGACGGTGAGTTTTTCATTAGAAGTTCCACGTGAAACCCTTCCTTCCTTCACTGACTGACTGCTCGGCGTTCTCCGAACCAGTCCCTTTAGAAACGCGCGACGATTCTCACTCGACTTGGTCTCCGATAAACGCCTCTTAGGCTTATTCGAAAACGACACTCCATTATGATTCGAATAAGTTTCAGACAGTCTTCTCAACAAAGATGGTTTGTTAGACGTGCGTGCGCTACCGTTCCTTGCGCTCCGAGGGCTTTCATTCAGCGAACACGAGCTGTTGATCACCGAATCTGAACTCGAAGTCATGACTTTATGCATATCTCCATTAGGAATGTCTAAAACCTCGGCACTGTTGTTCCGGCTACGATTCAACATGACACCACTATCATTTATACTCTGTCGGTTGTGAAATCGCCATAGCTTGCTGCGTGACGGCGTCCGCTTCACTTTAGCGGTCCGCTTATCACTAGAATCCACCGTGACACTTTCTTTGTCACGTGGTGAACTCTGTCCATCAGAGGTCACGTTCACGTTCACGTTCACGTTGTTTACACTGAGACTAGTAATGCCATTGCATTTTGGAGTTTCACCGTTGATATTGGCTCCATCTGCCCTATCAAATTTACCGTTTTGGGCCAACAGCGAAGATTGTTTACTTCCTTTAACAACATTTTTTCTTTTGTAAGCCAAGTATGTGTGAGTCTGGGCAATTTCGGTCAAAAAGTTCCCAAGGAACGGTACACAAGGGCCGTTTTCCAAACTGGCGGAGAGCTCTTCACGATACAGCCTGAAATTCTCGCTTTCTCCCATCAGGATAGACAGGTCTCGAAACTTCCTGAGGAGGAAAAAGAAGACACAAAAATTAACGAAAATTGGTAACCAAACCGAAAAAAAAAAACAAGCAAAGAAATTATGGGTTCTGTGACGTCACTAACTACGACTTACTCCGCTCCACTAAACAAAACCTTTATCAAAATCTATTCCCCATCCCATATCATTTGTTCCAATAGATAAGAGTCTTACTTCTTCCTCTTCGAAGGCACCTCTTTCCAGGTCTCTTTCAGTCTATAGACTGGTGTGGACTGGAGACCAGCCAAAAGAGCCTTGAGAGAATTAAAGTTTCCCAAGAGATGGCACTTTTCGGCGATCTGGGAAAAGAAACGAATTGAAGAAAACATGAAAAAAAAGATAAAAAACGAAAACACGATAATGGCTGAGAACTAACACTAACTGTGAAATGGTAGATACCTGGATGACTTTGGAGATTGCTCTAGCCCGCCCTAGAGTTGTTTCCTGAGACAGAATTTCAGACGCAGCTAAGAGTGCGATGCGGTTGAAAAACTCCACCATTGCCATCACATTTGGGGAAGTCACGTACTGCAATAAACAAGAAAATAACTTGACAGTGAATAACACAAATAAGTCCACTTATTTGGCTCGTCCCAACGTTCGCCCGCCTAATCGATCGTTAATCGATCGATCGTTAATCGATCGATCGTTAATCGATCGATCGTTAATCGATCGATCGTTAATCGATCGATCGTTAATCGATCGATCGTTAATCGATCGATCGTTAATCGATCGATCGTTAATCGATCGATAGTTTTCGCCTTATACTCGTTCGTACACTCGCTGTCTGTTATTGTTCATTATTTAGCTTGTCTCTCATTTACTTGCTGGCTTGTTCGTTGGTTCACCAACCCACCCTACAGAATTTAAGAGTGGAAATAAACTAGATTTACTCATAGAGATTCCGTCTTCAAAGATTGAAAAACGATATGTTGTTGTCACACGATGCTGAAAAACTTTTCGACAAAAAAGCTCACAACTAGTAATTTTGTTTTGTGTGTTCCTTTTGGATATAAGCGTTTATTCTGTGCCTTAAGGGAACAGCCTACCACACATGCTTAAAACAAGCTGTGTGCGATTCTAAGGCTACCTCCACTCTAAGTTTACATTTCAACACGTGCCAGGATATCGCGTTGAAAAAAACTGAACACTGACGAGACCTATTTCTTTACCTTATCTTTAGTCATCCAGCCACAGTTGGCCAACTCAGGCCAAGGAATTCTCACAAACAGTTCTTTGTCAATAAGTGTGATTTCCCGCGCAAACAGCGAAGCGTCTATATCAACGAGTCGCTGAGAGAGATCTGGGGCAGAACTGTCGACTGAGTCGGGGCTCTGAGGAACCTCGCCTGTTGGACTGTTGACCTGGTTACTTGTTTCTTCTTCTTGAGAAGTGGCTTTGAAGATAGGGGACAAAATTCTCTTGACAAGCTTCTTCTTTCTCATGCTTCCTATAAAACAGACCAAGAAGATCAACGTTAGATCACAAATTGGCGAAAACTTAAAAGTATTCAAGCAAAAACCTTAGAGCCTCTTATTAACGCACTCGTAGGTAAAGTACATAACCGAAAGGAACCGAAAGGAACCGAAATCGGAGGCTCACGATAATCGTACGTAAGCCAAAAATCCATCGGTATCTCAGTAACAGAATCCAATCCCTTTGCTTCCAGTTAAGTCGAAATTGATTTAATTGCAATCTTGTCGCCGAAGTAATTACTTGTTTAATTTTTTATGAATCCGTGGTTCGAAAATTAATCTTTTCTCAATCCTTCTACATAAAAAAACAAAAATATTGAAAGGGATTGGCTCCTACAAAATGAGCCGTAACCTTCATGTGAAGACTCATGTAAAGTCAATTTATTTTGTCGGATTGTGGAAAATTACAGACATTACCATTCATTGATCTACCGTTAGACTTCATTGAGTGACGCAAGTGTCACAATGGAATACGTGTACTTCTTAAAGTTCCAGTTTTTTTTTTCAGATTACATGTATGTGGCTCCTGATCACGAGATAAAGAAATTTTCATCAGAGTATCCAAAGTCATCCTTGATTTCACTTTAATTGCTTAACCTTGCATTGTGATTGGTCAACAACCCTCGACCCACTCTCTTGATCAATTGGACGCAAAACTACAGCCGATGGCGTTAAAGTCACACGCATTTCCCGCGCTTCCGAGATGGTTTCCTTCTGTTTACCGTGAGTTCTCACAAGGTCCTCGCGACATACACATCATATAATTTTGAAAATGACAGGCCGTTGTGATTACTTACGGCTTAAAAGTCGCTCTCGAAAATTCTTCCAACAAGAAAAAAAATTGCAATTCCACTTCACTTTCCAAACAAAAGAACAGATTGTGATGTATGCGGCTAAAACAAAACCCACATTCTGTGCCACCTTTGTCCTCCTGTTTAAAAAAAAACACGCGGTTTGATTTTGCGTGCTGGATTTGTCTGGACGCTTCCTTGAAACAATCTTCCCTTTGAATTAAAATATCAAGGCTGGAAAATCGAATTGCACAAGTTGAAAACTGATTCATACCTATTATTCCTCTTAAAGATATTTTAAATTATATCCTAGAAGTTGAAAAGGTCAAGCCGATGAAAAAAGTTTCCTTGTGTCAAAAGACACCATTTGTGAGGATTTTGAAAGGAATTTAAAAAGGAACTTTAAGAAAAACTTCTTTCCCGAATTTTTAAGCGTTACGTCGCAACCAATCGCCAACGCTGAGGACTTAGGCTAAGAGAATCCTACAAAATGACAAGTACATCCTTTTAGCTACGTTTCTTCCTTAGAGTCATATTTCACAGACAAAAAATGACTGGCGGGTTCCCCGATAAACACCTGTTTTGATCCGCGCGGCGGTGAACCACAAAAAAAATGAATAAACAAATTAAAAATTAAAACCTCCTCGTTCTTTCCGATTTCCTCCAAAAATGCTCGAAGTTAATGTATCTGTAACTACGTGTCAACAAATTAAAATACAATGTAATATGCCCTCCGTAATTCGCGATTGAACATTTTCTGGAGGAACACAATGAAATGAGAAAAACAGTCGATGCTTTTTAACATACCTGGAATAATATCAAAAACAACCGCATTCATATTGAGTTTTGGGTCAAACCTACTTCACTGCGTCAAATAAAAGGCTATTTTAAACAATTTCCTTTGATCCAGACGTCGCGTGATATCTTAAGGTTCATTCGGGTCAGTTGTGTTATCTAAGAGTTTTACCCAAATAAAGCTTTGGTACAAAACTTGTCTGAACTTCTTTAGAGCACCCCTAACATCACGCAAGCGTCACGCGCAAAATGTGCTGAACCTGACCGTTTCGTCACGTCCGCTAGATCACGTTACGGGCGTGACAGCTTCAAGTCCATAGCGTGTCAGTGTTCAAACAACACGAAGTTTGCCGCATGACAAAAGTATGCTAAATGAGATTTCGCATAATTCTCTTCAAAAGTTCCCGCGGGCAAAAAAAATTCGCAACATGTTTGTTAACACATTAACCAGACCTCCACAAACCATTTCTTCCCTTGTACATATAGATTTATCAAACGAAAATTCTAGATATTAGTATCCATTGTCTTATTTGTATATGAGATATTTGTTTCTACAGGTTTCTACGAGCGATCGTGTCGCATTTAATCAAAGGTCAGAGTAGATTTCTAAAATAAATTTTATGCTACAAGAAGACAATGAATTTCTTTATCATCCCATTGACTGGAATAAATCAAATTGTTAATTCTCATTTGTCACATATTCAAAAGTTTTTCTCGAGTATGTCATTCGACGGTCAAATTCGTGAAAATAATGAAACCACCATCGACATATATTAAAACCGCACACTTCAGAAGCTCAAAAATTTCGAACACTGACACCGAACAAAATTACAGAGAAGCCGACGGTAAATATTGTAGCATGCGATCTAATATCATCGCTTAAGAGAGATTTTAATAAGTCTACGTTAGCAACAAACACATCTTCGAATATACTTACTTCTACTTCTACGTTGTAAATTAACGTATTGCGCCGCTGGCACCATGAAACCAAACATTTTGGAAAAAGCAGTTGCTCCCGCGACAACTTACAACATTTCTGTTATTTTGTTTGGCGGCAAATGCTGCATTAGCACAGAACAGTGGGTTGCAAATTGTATTGTCTGTCGATTTTCCGCTAAGCACTTTTAATCCACCCAGAATTATCGTGAAATTTCGTCAGTCACGAAACTTATTTTAGATCATGTTTACTTAATTAAAGCCACTGCTAGAGGCCGGTAAACAATGGCTTTTTAATCTGATTTGCGTTTTCACGCTGGTTTACGAGTGGAGAAACAACTTAGTTTGAGAAAGTACGTGAGAGAACGTAAGATCGACGTTGTCACCAGACATCAATCACAACAATGACTCGGTAACGCAAACACGATGATTACGTCAAGAAAGGTACTCTCCACAGTTTGACAAAAAAGAAAAACCTGAACTCGCAATTTTTTTCTACAAGCTAGATACATAACTTACTCCCGAATATTATTTCGAGTGACACTGGCCTTGCTTAAGAAAGTTCCAGAAACGCTGGTTCGGTTAGAGAAACGACTAACACTTTGCATAAATTCGAATTGGTTGAATTTAATTGAATTAAACGTAAACTTCGAGCATGACAAATGTCCTTGAGAGCATTTGAAAACAAAGTGCTGTTTTCAGGGCCAACGGTGTTTAACACAGTGTAGAATAGCCTCGATTTTCTCAACAGGCCATTTAACTCTCAATTTAATTGGCATTTATTTGACAAAAAATTGTTGGAGGATTAGAAGCCATGATAAAGCCCAAGGAAAATTGTTAATTTGTAATGGTTGAAGACACCGAACAAGGTAAAATGACCCGAAGACAAGAACACCAAAAAACAAAACCGAAAACACAAAACAACTAAAGGAATTGCATACAAGAAAGAGAACTTGCCAGAAACTAATTGGGCATAAAATAAACTCTTTGGAAACGTATTGTAAAAAAATTATTGCAGTCAGTTAAGATAACATCGAATACTCAACATTCCCAAAGAGTGTTTTAGGAAAATTTAAGCGCTAATTTCTTTCTTTTTTTTTTCCAATAGATTTTTTTTTAAAAATAATGAAGGTAACTTACCACTATACGAGAAACTGGGTTTTCCTATAGGAGTCGTTTCCATAGATGGGTCTGAGGAGAGAGAAAGAAAAAAGCTTCAATGCAACGTATAATATTTACATAACCAAAATACAGTGAAAAAAAATTCTACAAAAATCAAGAAATAAAAATTCCTACATTTCTTCTCAATTTCGTAAAAGACCTGACAACCCATAAGCCTGGAATATTTCAAATACGTAGTTCGTTTTGTTCACTCTGGATTTTGAAATATTTGAAATGTTTGCATCAAGGACTATGAATATATTTGTAGGAATTATTTCATAGTTTACAGCTACGTATAATATTCAATGTTATTCCTATTACTGAATGTTACAAAAATAGAAAAATCGGTTAGATTGACAACCAAAATTCAACATCACTCAGACAATTACTTTACATGTGATACACAATATCTTTCCCCATTATTGCAAAGGACGGAAAACACAGGACAAACTCTTACAAATTTACCCCACAAAATCCTGCATTAGTTGCAAAACAGTAATCATATTTTCTTTTAAAATCCAGCCCTTCTGTTTACCAAATGTTTCACAGGAAGTTGACACGTGTGTAAAAAACATCTGCTCATCTGATGTGGCAGTTTGATACTTGCGTAATGTAAAAAGTAAAAATACTTTGCAGATCCCCTTACCAGCCATGCAGCAATCAAAAATGTTGACATAAGAGTAAAAATCCCGACAAATTCAGTTGTATATAAGCCATATTGGGGGCTGAAAGCAATTTTTACCTTCTTTTGTGTTTCAAAGGGTCAGCAGAAAAAAATACCCATGCATTGTGTCCAATTTCCTTTTCAGACACAGTGGTGTTGTAGCTCTTATATGATACTATAAGCAAACTCCTGTTGACTGAAATTGGGAATACACCTCTTCAAAAAATTTATGCTTTATGGAAGAGAGCACTTTATCTCAAAGATGGTCTTCCTTAACATAAAGCAAACAGTAACGAAAACCTTTCCTGTCAAATTATGTGTTTCACTAAATACAATAAACTCCCAAAATGAAGTTTTGAAAAATCAGTGAATATTTGATAGGAAGAATTACTAAAATGTAAACAAAACCTCTAATGCTATGTCATTTATTTACATGCTTCAGTGCTAAAGCTTTAAGAAACTGAAAGATTTGACAAATGACAACTTGTTGGGCTATAAGAGCAGGAAAACCTCATGGACAAAAAAAAACCCTTACACGTTCTGACCTGTATACAATTGTAATAAATTATGAAGGCTTCCCCTTGGCAACAAGACAATAAAGAACTCACATGAAGTTCTTCCTTATGTTTTCATTTCTTTTATATTATTTACAGTGCACAAAAGAAACATGTTCTGTGGTGAAATATTTTGGAATCTCTCATTAAAGGTCAAATGTGAATGCAAAGATAACCAGAATCTTTCAACATTGCACAACAGCTGGGAGATATCATGTTACAGTATTTATAAATTGAAAGCAGCTAGAACTTACAAATAGGTAATATCACTGACTATTTCACTGAGTAAACTGCAAATATACAGTACCTACATGCATGTGAACAACACATACTACAGCCCTACATCATTTCTGAACAATTTTATGGACAAACAAAAATCCTTTTGACAATTATTTAGAGAATAAACACTTTTTCAGATCTCTACCTTTAAGAAAGAAGAGCTAATTTAGTGCCACAGTTTTGTGTTTTAATCCCTTACACTCAGGTGGGAAATATTCAACACATATGAACTTAATCAAAACAAGAGACTGACAGCAGCAAAGACAATATTGCGAAATGGGATTTTAAGAAGAAATGAGGCATTATTACAACTTTGAAAAAACTTATCATTGATAAACAGTACACTGTATATCTACATCTTCAAGTAAATGGTCTGGAATTTGCAAGAAAAACATATGAAAGAATCATACTAAATTATTGCCACAATTGATATTTGAAAGTTTCAGCACTATCCATTCTACAACCAAATTAAAAAACCTAAAGGCTCCCTTTCAATTTCATCGCCTATCACAATGTGATCACATAATTATAAGTCACAACTGGAGCAAAGCTGGGATTAGACAGCAGATTTCTGTGATGTCTTGTGTAACCAAACAATTGAGATATATTTAACAAGAACAAGAAGCCAGCAGCAACTGAATCAATATCTTGCTACCAGCTTTTAAGAAGGAATGAGGCCTCAATATTTCATTCATTCCTTAAGGAAAAAACCTAAATATCAATAAACAATAAACTCTTATCTACATCTACTAGTATATGATCCGGAATTTGCAAGAAAAGCAAATGTATAGGCCACATTAAATTACATCCAAAATTTATATTTGAAGACTTCAGGGACATTCTTGCCTATCCTGATCTTAGTCACAACTGAAGTAAGGGAATTAGACAGCAGATTTCTGTGACGTCTCTCACAACAGGAAATTGCACTAAGTCAGATATTTTCACACAGTTTTGGACCCATGTGGGCTGATTTTCTTTGAATTAAAGATTTTCTTATCAATTTCAAATATTAATATTAAAAAAAAAACGTGGCAAGGCTTCATTAAAGCTTGGCTGCATAGCGATTTGAACCTACACATTCCTATAGAGTGCTTTGTCACAACTCGCCAAAAAGAAGTCACACGAGAAAAATATTTTTACCCAAGAGAAAATGTATCAAAAATCTCACCTGTAACATCATCCAGAAAGTTGAAATAACACAGAGGTATTGAAAAACAGAACGGATTTTCCAGCAATTCATTCTCAGGAGAAAACTCCATACAAGAATGATTGAGTATGTAAGTCTTCCTTGAACCAGACCACATTTTAGTCACATCCAAAGATCCCACAGTTTTGATTTTGACAATGAAATGATACAAATGGTCAGGATTCAAGAAAGAAACCATTGACGATCAGCAGTGTATGGTTGCGGAGCAAAACTGAAAGGTTATTTTTTAACAACATCCTGATAGAAGAGCATCAGTGTCCTCCGTCATGTGTGATATCTGAAACTGCCGGCTGTTCCTATTTCAAAACATCATGCAATGATCTAATCAAGGTGGTATTCAATCCCTCTAATGCATTTAGCTTTTATTTCATGTCACTCTGACATATGACATTCCTCCATCACGTTTGCATGTCTTTATTGAAGAGGGTTCAGATTTAACTTAGGTTCAACTGAAAAAAATCTTTTAATACAGCTGATGTCTTAATATTTAGGAACAATGATCATATTTGTCTTGAGAAATGCTTCAATTTTTCTTTGTCTTTTCTCAGTTGTCAAAATCAATCAAAATATTTTCCTGAAAAAGACCAGAAAACCACCTTTTGCCTTCCTTCTCAACTGATTCAGGAAGGATGAACAAACCTCAATGACAAAACAAGATACAATATCATAACAAGCATACCGACAATTTAGACCTCCCTCAAGCTTCCCACAATTCTTGAGAGGTTTCGAATTCCCTTTCATAAAAGAACAACATTCATCTGATCATGAATGTATGACCCATATCCCACAATCTCTCTTATTGGTGAATAAACCAATTTAATGTACCAGAGATGATATACAGGTTCAAATAAGCAATGCTCACGAAACATTTGTTAAATTTTAACAGCTTCAGTTGCCAATTTCCTCCTTAACCCTTTTTACTCCCAAGATCTCATTAGTAATTCTCCTTACTGTCTGTCATACAATTCTTATGATGTTAGTTTGGAGAATTTGGTATTGGATCAACTGATAATCCCCTTATAGAGATTTTTCTTTATTCTTGTCACTTGCCTGCTTGGTATTGTATGGATATTATAGGGAGAAATTCTGTCTTGGTCACTCTCGAGAGTATGGAGCAGTCCCCTTGTCCCATCAAAATCCATTGCACAGGTCAATATGCAGCTGCATAAAAAGTTATTCTAGCCTACACAAACTCTGGAAGAAGGGGAAAAAAGCAATGGGATTTCTTTATCTTGGCATACTTCTATTGACATGCACAACAGATTATGCTCAGAAAGAGGAACTGTTGATAATCTACCTCTTCCACTTTGGCATCTGCCAAGTTGAAAGATAACAAAAGGTCAGAAATTTCAGTTTCTGAACTAAACCAGTGGATAATATAAACAAAAATAATCAAACAGTATCCTTTTCAAAGCTTTGAGAGTACATGAGGATTGCACCCTAAGATTTCCTATCCAACATCAAACTTAGAAATGCTTTGGTTGACAAAATAATACACAATACTGGTACCACATTGAAATACAAGACCACACAGTAAGATTTTCACCAAATGACTAAACCTACATATAACTTTTCTTAGTAACAGGAAATAACATTAATTATTGGTAAGTTAATAAAAAAATTGAATTGGATAACTTTCAATGTATTGGCCACACATGATATTTTTAAACACTGCTTCCTCACATCTAGTTTGTCACAAAACTAACCTAGAGGGTGACTACAAAAATGCAAGAAAAAAATCTATCATGATATTGCAAACATCAAGTTTCTAACAATTTGGATTTCAACATTTGTTCTCAAATAACATCAATCAATTATTTAATCCATAGTATATGAGACCTCATAATGTAGAATTATATAACATCTTCTGAAAAAAATTGCAGAGCCTGGCCCTAGTAATGGTCTCAAATCAGTGCCACAAAAAATTTGAAAGCAAATAGCTCTTTAGAAAAAGCACAAATATAGACATAGGTCCAAGCGGCAGGAGAGAAGACAATATATTAATTAATGCCAAATTTGATACTCAGTGATCTCAGTTGTCTGTGGTTACATTTAATATATCAGATCATTGACTCAAGTTGTGCAAGCAAGGACAATATACATCAAAATAACATAGAGCTAAACACCTATCACTGTCTCTAAGTTTATTACATGCAGAATTGATGCTCTCAGCTCCAGAGAGAACTGGTGGAACTGAGAACTCAGACCGGCATCAAAACTGATTTCTGTACAGTGTGATATTTTGGAACCTTTCATCACTTATGTTGTGCATTCTATCTACTGTAGACACTTTTTTTACATTTTTGAGACAGAACCAAAGCCATCAGACAAACTCTTAGGTAACAATATAAGAAAAAAAATCGTTGTCGGAGAATGCTTCAAAACATCAAATCATGACCGAAATTTTCAAAATAGGTTTGGGCACCTCTGAGAATGATCAATACTCAAATTCCTCTTACAAATAGTTTTCACCCGCAATTGCACAGACAGGTTAGAAAAACTAAGAAAATGATGAACTGATATATCTTGTCAAGATTTACCGGTAACAACAAATTTGTGGGAAAACCAAATAACAAATTGAATAAGTTAGCAATATCAGCTTTAAGGTGTTGGAAAATATCATAAGGAGGTTTCAATATCCTTGTCAAAATAAAATTCTCACAGACAGTTCTTACAAGCTGAAAACAAGAGAGTAACTTGCTTCACTAAGACCAGTCATCAACTCAAATTCCTCTAACAAATTTCCTCCAAAACCATGACAAAGAAACAGTGTAAAGGGATCTAAATAATAATCTATTTAATACATGTATATATATATTTTATATACCGGTAATTGCATTCTGGTATCTTGTTCTGTTTTGTATCAATATACATCTGTATAAATCTACAATTTCCTCTGGTGCCAAATTTTCATTATTTTCCGACCCAAAATCTTTCATCTACATGCATTAATTATCCTGACACATTAGGGCAAATAAAAAACATCTTCATATCAACCTCTTAGGCTAATAAAAATTCAATGTAATCAATTAGAGCAAGATGATAGAAGCTCAAGTGTAAATTGCTTTTATGAGAAGTTTAATTAATGACTCTTGAAAAAATAACAAAAGTACATCCTGAAAACCAAAGGATACTCTTGAAATTATTTCAAACACAAGAGAGACATTTTAAAGCACACCATAAATTAATGAATGAACAATTAACAGTGCATGCAAAGCAGTGTTATCCTTTTTAGGCAGTGAATGGTAAAATTTACCACCTGTAGTACCTTTACTACTGCCTAAATTGCTCAGGACTCTTGATATTCAACAGGTAAAAGGATTGCTCTTACTCTCTCTTTAAATTTATCTTTTTTAACCATTGTGCTTGAAATAAGGGAAAACACAGCTAACAGCCAAGTGAAAAGTGCCTGCAAACTCTAAATCCCCCAAAAAATTCACTTACAGTTTACTCTTCCTGAATTTAAAACTCTCCAAGCTTTGTCAAGATGAGATCTTATATCTACTTCCTTAATTAACCAAGAATGAAATTTTCAGTTTTACAGAGTTGTTGTTGTGGAAAGTAAAAGAGATTGATATCCACATGACTCATATTTTTGGTGTGTTAGGTTTCTCTCAACAAACGAATTCATTTGAGAGGAGATTTACAGGTGATATCAAGTTTTATACTTTCTTAGAAATCATGAACTAATTAGTTGTTTCAGTTTCCATGGCACTAGGGCATTTACACCAATTTGTTAAAATTGAACAAACTAGAAAGTTAATTTGTTTTGGTATTTTTCTCAAAATCTATGAGACCAGCAGTATTAAAAACATTTACAGTGTGTTTTGTTTGTATAGACTAATGGTACATTTTTAAGGCCTGAATACATTCTACTTGGGATGAGCCAAGTCCTGAATTCTCTGCATTTTCAGTATTTTTGGAAATTTTTGTAGAAAGTTAAGAGAAATTCAAAACTTGGTCAATCTATACTTAACACTTTCTGATACTAACCTTGCTTGCTTTGAACTGGTGATGTTACTGTCCTTCGCTCCTCATTGGTTGATATTGCTCCAGTTGCTTTGTCTTTTGGTGTAGCTGAGAAAATGTTGCTTAGCCCACCACGGCGAGCAACTCCAGCAAAGCCATTTGGTGGTGACTCAAATTCTAAAACACTTGCCAAATTGTCATCATCATGATTGATACTATCAAGGTTTTTCGAGGAATCGTCATCTCCTGTTAATTGTGTCTTTAACTTTGGTCTCTTCTTAGATAAGATAGTCCAAAACCTTTTAATTTTTTCTTTGCGAGGTGGTTGACTGCTGTCAATCAAGTCCACTGCCATATCATCTTTGAAGTCTAACTGCCTCACTACCCCAACCTTTCTTCTCCTCTCCGAAGCTGAATGAGAAACAAGTGACAAATCAGGTCTCTTACAAGAGGGCAAAGATTCTGATCTCTTTTCAATCATTTTAACACTACCAGATGAATCTGTCTCTTTTGGGCTCACTGAAGCATCTGTTGTTCTGGTTTGATGGGTATCCTTTACTGATATGTCTTCCTCAATTGACTCCTGCTTGCCAAAAGTAGGGCTGCGACAACTCCTCTTTGTTCCAGAGTCTGACGGCATAGAGATCCTGTTGGCCTCATTATTCATGGCAACATTAAGGGAGTGTTTGCGACGGTGCTTAGGCGGGGTTAGGGTATCCCACAATGGTACATCTTCATGTTTACTCCTTCTCACAAAATTTAGATTAGAAGGATGAGAACGCAGATTTTCGACTTTCTGCTGTAATTTGGTGAGGGTTGCATATTTACTGTGCCCCTCACATTGTTGTATAAACATAGAAGATTTTGACACTAGACTTGGACAGTCTGTACTACTTTGATCTCTACTCCTGCAAGCATAATTTTTCAAATCTGAATCTACACAAACATTCTCCAAGTCACTAACGTCTGGCAACGAAGGGAATCGAAAAGATTTGGAGAGAGATAATCTAGGATGCGAGTTCGATCTATACAACGATTCTGCAGTGAAACTATCGGAAAGATCGTCCACATGGATTTTTTCCAAATCGCCCTCAAGCTGAGGAAGAGAGCATCGTTGACCAATAACTTGTCTACGTACTCTGCTTGGGTTCAACATCGACATAGACCACATGGAAATCGTACGTTCGACAGAAAGAGTCAAAGCATATCCCGGCATTTGAATTTCTTCACCATCATCTTCCTCGCTGCAATCATCAGAGTCGGAGTCGCCTTCCATTTCACAGATACTACTGGACGGGATCATATGATGCCCTCGGGGTTCTTCCACACTAAAACTCCGAAGCCACTTCGGCCAGACCTCTTCCTTGCCGCAGAGTTCGTACCTTTTCCACGATGAAGCTTCTTTGCTCCATTTAGCTTTGAAAGTAAACGGACTTCCCTGACAAACCGTCATGCTCACGTCTGAACGCAGAAATTTCGTAACTGTTTTGGCTGACTCGTACTGAAGCACATGAGTGTCTGATTCCCTGAGATCTCTCATCTCTTTGACAAAAACAAACTCATCCGTCAATAAAATATGAACCGTCTTAGAATAGTGATGCTGGCTGTTCAGCTCCAAAAATTCGCTTTCAATCAAAACTTCGCCCTCCGTGATCGCGAAGGATGCCGTTCCACCGCGCGGAACTGAACGGATGTTGTTATTCGCTCCACACAAATTTTGCTCGACATCCGAGGCCATTTTTCTGTCTTCCTGTCCTTGATTCAAACTCAAGACCTCGTTGCGTTATGAAACAATAGTTTTGATGTAACGTACACACCTCTGAAATAAGATAAGGCAACGATTGTATTCTTCCCACGACAGCTCACGCCGTGTAAACAGAATGAATGGCCGTCATCCGCCATGTTGTTCCCCTAATCCTTGTTAATTATTCATGTTTATGACGTAAGGGTCATCATGAATAATTAACTTGTGACAAATCTTTGACGAGCTAAACATGGACTAAGCATTAAATCGTTTCACAGTTTTTCGACACTCCTGCCTTAGACAAAATTAAAGTACATTGGGAGACGTAATCAAAACAATAACTTTTTTAATGTCATGAATATTTTGTGGCAGAAGAAACAAAATAGCCCAAAAAAATCAGCAGGAGAAGAAAGCTCTTGGTGGCAAATTAAATAGAGTAAAACAGTTGTCTGCGGACCTGAAAGCACTAATGATGTTGACGTATTCTTAAAATGTCGCAATTTCTTTTTTCAAATAGGACGTTTTGGCTTTTTGTATTTCATTTTTGCCTCTGGATTTGATTTTATCGACAAAACGTCACGTTAAGTCAGTAGCAGTTTATCAGTACTTGCTAATAGCATCTTTTTTTTTAAACGTCGGCATTTTGATTTTAAGCCCAATTTATTCTACCTGTCGTGTTTCGGCTCCACTGTTTTAGCTGCAGTTATTAGCATAAACAGACACGAAATTAATTTTTTAAAAAAAAAAGTGTGGAGTTTGTCCATGTAAGTCTACATAACATGTCAATGAACTTTTTCTCATGCAAGATATTCAGTGTTTCTGATCTATTTTTTCCATGCGCAGAAAATGTTGCCAAATGTTCTGAATATCTCCTTTTTCAAAGTAATCTGATTAAACGGAAGAAAGATTCAAGTTGCTCCACCGACACTTATGGATAAATTTGAAACACAAAGAAGTAGGTTATTTTAGTCGCCGCAATTTGTGCTGTATCAGTCAAAAATTTATTACGTAATAGAAAATCTATAAACGGACACAAATCTACGTAGATAAAGAAAAGAGCTTGCCTTGGGCGCTTTGTTTTGGCCAGAGATAGAAAAGATAGGAAAAAATTCCACTCGAACGCAGGAAACATACAGAGAGGTTGTCACGAGATAACGTAGGAAAATACGCGGATTAACTAGATAAAGATGACAGAGCGCAAAAAAAAGAAAACTGAAAAATGAATAGCTAATGTAATGAACTAAAACATTTGCATTTCCCAATTTTCGAGTATTATGTCTTCTTAAGCTTATTGCGTTCTGCCAAAAAGCCGCAGAATCCATTAACATGTTTGTGTTTGAATCCTTAGCATTTTAACGGCTTGCGTTTCGCTCTTTCCGGTGTTCAAGGTTGTCGTTACCTCACCAACTATTGTTAGCTTTCGATTCAAGTCAAAGACAAAACATTGCGTGCTCCGCTCCAAACACACTCAATATCCTCGCATGATTTCCTCTGTAATTACAACCACATGGGCTGTTTTATTAAGTTCAAAAATGGACCCAGCGGGTAATATATTTTCTTTCGGTTTCAATAATAATCGAGAACCAAGCCCCGTTATCGCTGTCAAGCGTGAGCCTTCATAATCCATAAAATTCAGACGGATGGGCGCTTAGTGCAAAATTTAGTCAACTAAGGAAGATGAAAAGGTTAGGTTTGTTTCGCCTTTTGATTCTGGCTGCGCCGTGCGCCCTCGGGCGGATCGGATCTGAGAGTAGGGTAAGGGGGCAGAAACAGGGCGGGGTCCTACCGTCATACGGCACCAAGCCGGCCCTCTCACATAAAGAGAGAGGACCTGGAAACGAAGCGGTTTTTCGAATTTCCTGACCTGAGCCACACTGAATTGTTGAGTACTTTTATCAATTTTTTTCTGAAAAATGTCGCATAAATCATCAGCGTGAAAGTACGGTTCCCACCGATACCTGTGTAAGGATATGCAGGAATGGGTTGCTGGGTATAAAGCATACGGAGGCTTCAGCTTATGGGCGTGGTTATTCTTCAAGTATAGGGATTAGCTTTTACGCTGTGGATAAATTGCACTATGTGTTGGGAATAATTTGTTCTATTGAAAACACTTGAAAAAGAAGTGCGCTTAATTCATATGGTAGGCTTGTCTCAATTTTATTGTTTCACTACCGATAAGATGGTTCCGGCTGTTAAAAAAGGTGTTCATTTGTTTTCGCTGTGGTTATTCTTCAAGTATAGGGATTAGCTTCTACGCTGTGGATAAATTGTACTATGTGTTGGGAATAATTTGTTCTATTGAAAACACTTGAAAAAGAAGTGCGCTTAATTCATACGGCAGGCTTGTCTCAATTTTATTGTTTCACTACCGATAAGATGGTTCCGGCTGTTAAAAAAGGTGTTCATTTGTTTTCGCTGTGCAGTCATAATGATTTATCACTCAAAAATTATCTAGTATGGCTCTCACAAAAGACTCTACAATATCCACTTCACTCAAACCACGAAAGGTTTTCAAAGTAATCGTTACTTTTTGCTCTGTTTCCAGTTGTTCGCATCGATGCAAGAAGTGATGACGAGTTACACTTACAAGAAAGAAAAACAAACTGTCCTTCGTTATTTATACCACTTGCTAGGTTGATATTGAATTGGTTTTGCCTAGCTACGCTCTTTTATTGATACAAACAAAAAACTCGTTTCATCCTCTAAAACAACCAGAAACAAAAGAACAACTACTTGCAAATTTTACTTGCGTTTTCCAGCGCTTGATGAGTTCGTTTGCATGCCGAGGTAACAAATATGCTTATTTTTCAGACGGTCAATTTACCTTAAGTCAAAGTTCGATTCAAAACTACGAAATACAGCATTACTGTGGCCAAAGCTTCAAAACACCTGTATTCTGTCATTACCCCAATCAGCAACAACGATGTTTCCCTGTTTCGTAACAGCCACTCCTTCTGGTCTCTTGAACTGCCCTCTCTTACTCCCTTCGCTTCCGAATCGGGTCATAAACGAACCATCCTCGTTGAAAATTTGAATACGATGATTATACGAGTCGCTTACGATGATGTGATCGTCGGCATCCGTAACTACTCCAGTTGGCCAGTTAAGTTCGCCGTCGGCTTTCCCGCTCTTTCCGAACTTGAATAGAAACTGGCCTTTCGAGCCGAAAACCTGCACCCGGTCGTTTCCGAAGTCAGTAATGATCACGTGGCCTTTACTGTTTACTGCCACAGCTGAAGGGCAGTTGAATTGTCCTCTTCCATCGCCAAGGCTACCAAACGTGAATAGAACTTGACCTTTCTCGTTGAAAACTACCACTCGAGCTTTGCCGCGGTCTACGACGAAGATACGACCTTGGTTGTCGACAGCTACTCCGTATGGCTGATAGAGGCGTTCTCCTTCCATCGTTTCTTTACCAAACTTTTTAATAAACTTTCCGTCTTTCGTAAAAATCTACAGAGAAATTGAGTAATTTTCAATTGGGCGTCAAACTCGATCAGTTAGGCCAATCGTTTTCTTGAGGACATGAAAAGTGCCTTGCAATACGATTTACCTGGATTCTATTGTTCATGGTATCTGCTACAACAATGTCCCCCTCACTGGTCACGGCTACACCGCTGGGAAACTGGAAATGACCTTCTCGACTTCCGGGTGCGCCGAAGAGGAACTGGAAGTTTCCATCCATGTCAAAAACCTACCACACAAACACAGGGAAAAGACATACCAGAATAAATCCACAAAAATAATCAAGCGTTGTTGAGCGAGTGCGAGCTTAAGACGGCTATATTTTGACGATTCTCTAATTACCATACTAAAAAGCCTTTCAAAATGATCATGGAAAACTTAAAAACCTGTCAAATCAAAATTCTTCAATTCTTCACGCGCTGAACATCGAGCTTGTCAAAAATTAGTATTGAAGCCTTATTATTCAAACCTTTTACCCCTAAGTGCGACTTGCAGCTTACAGTATCCCTCCTGAATAAAACATTAAGGTTGCGAGAGTAACAGCAATGATCGTGAACTAAAGGAGCTCTTAATTGACAGTGAAACAAAATTTTCTTGTCATAACAAGGGGAGATATATGGAGAACAGTATGGAAAAAAAACGCACACTTGCGTTAGGATGTAAAGTTTTTAGGTAATAACATCACTCACCCTAGTAGAAAAAGCCGACTCGATATCCAACCATGGAGCATACATGTTCCAAAGTCAGGATTTTATGTTTTTACAGGTCAAATTCGAGGGTGTGTTAATGATTTCACGGCCTGAGTGAGGAAACTATATAACCAAACACTGGACAGTACAGAATCCTTCGCGATTTAAAACACAAGTACTTTAACACCTGAAGATTCAGTCATATTTGCTCTTTGTGGTCATCAATGTGCTTTACTTACCTGCAGACGATGATTCCGCGAGTCGCTGACGATAACATTGCCATCTTCACTCACTGCCACCCCCTGGGGATCTCCTAACCTTCCAAACTTAGACCCACTCCCTGCGATTGCTCTCTTGGCGCTTCGAACACGAGGCCTTATATCACCAATATTTATGTCCAGCGGAAAGCCTTCCACGACTTGTCCGCGAATAAACACAGAAAACGAGAAATTTCCATTAAAGAAAGGATGATATGCAGAGAATGACTGACCATCAGCTGAGAAAGAAACAGAACAAGAAAAAAATTACGACATTAAGTTTACCTTACATTAATTATATACGATCCACATACGAAGTGACCACATTGTGAGACAACGATTATATTTCTCTTTTGAAGTGTTATTTAGCACGATGAATAACCACAACCTATTTTACGACATGAAATATATACCTCTTATTACTAAATTTAAAACTCCGATTATTGCATTTCTACTGTTATATTGGCTCACTCGGCACTGGTTATCAGCTTATATATATATACCGAGTTACCTTGTATGGAAAATAATTTACCCAATACTGTTGCCAAGCTGGATTTACTTTTGGCTGGTAACAATCACTTCTCCCGTGCAATGTGGATCATTTTATTTAATAAAACAATTATTTTATTCGCGTCTGTTGGATACGAGATTTGTTATTGCCAACGCGACGCTACGCACCTCGTTAGCTATTTACCATCCAATATCCGACATTTACTCACGGAATAATTTTTAACTAACTGAGTTCGAGGTTCGCATTGTAAGATGCGGACAGAATTTTTTCCGCTCAGATTTATCGCCTTAGCACAAAGCATGCCGAAGCCATACGAACAACAAAAAAATATATTCCATTGAAAGAAAGCACTAAATTACAACCATCGCTGTTAAATCAAGGGACTGAATGACACGATTTTCTCTCTTCGGGTTATTAAACATATTTAACTGTTCTCTAGGCGAAAATTAACTTTCAATAACAGCGGAAAATTGGGTCGCGCTGAGAAAAATAAATTCAACTACAGGTATCAAACTCACAGTAACCCAGTGACAGAATACTCGCATAGAAATACTGTTCATAGATCCTCAATTTTTTCAGTCATTTAAAAACTGAACTTAATGAAGAATTTAAAATCAGTGAAATAAAAGAACTAAGTTTCACAAATTTTACCACTCGTAAAAATTTAAAATTTCAAACCATCGTTTTTGACATAAGAAAGGACATCCGGTTAGGATGAAATATAAGGACGTGACTCGCCTCAAACTTGAGTGCAATAATTTTCTTTTAATGGGGCTATCATGCAAATAGTGTTGTGAGTGAAGTTTTGTGACGATTGAAACTAACCTTAGGGGACTGAAAAATATCATCTGGGCGAGATAGGAAAATATCAAAGAGGCAACAAAAACCACGGTTGGCTACGGATGGGGAAGATTAAACAGATCGAGCGCAGTGGACGATCTAGATCTGCATAGGTAAACAACAACTTACCTTGATGAATTGTCTCGGGTGGTAATAGAACCCCATTGGGGTCTCTTAACTCCACAGAGAGGGGTACCTCCCTTGTAACGGTATCTTCGCTGTACCCGTTCGTACTCCCATTCATTGTTGGCGCCACCTCCATGTCTTCCAGTACTAAATGCGGCCCACTGGTTTTAAGAGTTCCCAAAGAGTGAGCGACCACAGGCTCTGCTTCCTTACTGTTTACTTCGTATTTGAGCTCGGAGTTTTCGTGTGGTTTACAATCAAGTTTTGTATTATTCAGTTCCGTCAACCTTTCTGTTATGGGAGTTTTTAACGACAGCAGTTCCACTTCGTTCGCGTATTTTAAAACCTGCTCTGAAAAATCACAACCTGTCTTAAATTTCGTGAATTCATCTTGGAGCTGGTCTTTTTGGCGTTTTAGAATAGGCGACTTTGCGTTGTAAATTTTGTCGGCCTCCATCAGTAATTGTCTCTCTTTTTCCTTTAGAACTTTGATCTGATGTAAAGTGGCCTCCCGAATTTCAGCTTTAACTGCCGCAAGCCTTCCTCGCAACGTGTCAGAAATACTTTGGATTTCCTTGATAGACTTTTCCAAAAACGGAATGTTCCCCGAGCACTCTTCAAACAAATTCTCCATGACAGCCTTTTGTTTTTGTATCTTTTTGGAGTCTTTAATGTAGTCGTACTTGTGTTGTCGATGTTCAATCAACACGCAATCTCGGCACACAGCTTCATTGCAGGTCTCACAATAATATTTCAAGGGCTCGCTGTGATGTATCCTACAGAAAGCAGGACGGTGTAAATCCTCGCCAGTTTTACTGGCAAGAAGTTCGGAAATTGTCAAAATCCTGTGTTCTTTCGTCTGGCGAATCCTTTTGTGAACGTTGTAGCAATTCAGGCAAAGAAACTCGCCGCAGTCCACGCATCGAGAGGTTGCCGGAGAGTTTAGCGAGTCGCAATTTGAGCAAGGAACCGGTTCTCTGTCGCTCGAGTTTATCAAAGCAATATCCAACATATTATCGAGAAAGAAATTTGTCGGTAGATCTTCCAATTCTTCCTTTGAAACTTTAGCGTCTGTTTCGCACAGTGGACAAGCCAGAAATTCGCCCGGAACGAGTTTCTCTGCAAAGCCTTGGATACAAACTTGGCAAAACGAGTGTAGGCAAGGCAAAAGTTTCGGCGTTCGAATTAATCTCCTGCAAAGTCGACAGTTTAGATGTCTTGCTATGTCTTCCACGATGACTCCGGCAATTATCGAAGACTGGGCCATTTTCACAGAGTTCTCTCAATAAACGACTTTTTCTCGCAACCGCGTTAAAAGTTTTGCCTTTCCAGAATCCGTTTCAAAAAGTGAAACCAGACTCGTTTTGTGTTTTGACTTTGAAGCAGTCTTGTTAGCCTAGCAACACGATAGCAACCGGCAGAATTTAATAACGCAGCTCGTTAAATATTCCACATAAAAGAAAGATAAGAACTCTGCGGATATCAATAAATTATGACATTTTTGTGAGTTCCTCTTGGCGGCTTACGTAAATATTTTGATCAAATCCCCACAAATCATCTCCTCAACAGATTTCCTCACTAAATTTAACACCTTGTTAGTATGTCACACTTATAGTTGCTTATTTTACAGACGAACGAACTCTCTAGCTATTGAATATCGATTTTGCCACCTACGGCCATATGTTGCCATACAACAGCTTCGCTCAAAATTGAATATGACAAGTAACGAGAGAACATTAAAAGTCATTTGCATTTATTTGAGTATTCGTTTGCTGTGATGCCAATATGTGCCTCCTTCAGAGACTGAAATTAAAATCATCTTGTCAGTATTGTGCAAGAAATCGGAAAAAATCTCGAATTCAGCGCAAGAAATTCTATATTATCTTTGGCCATTACTCTTCTAGTTTGCGCCAACTGAGTCTTTTTTATTGAATATTGAAGTGTCAAAAGGTTTTTATTGTACATATTGGCTCGGTGCTTTTGTTTATCTGTTTCAGCTGTCCGTCAAACGCGTCTGTGTTTGTGTCAGAAGGACAGGTGAAACTAAAACTACAACCAAACCTAAGCCAACCCCTTCCCCAAGGGCCTTTGGGTTTTCAAAATGGCGGCGCAAGAGAAATTTGAAAACCGAGATGCTCCTGGGAACAAGATTGCTGCGAAATTGGGATTTTTTTTTTAATCAGAGTTCCAGAGTTCATATCTTGTAGGTCAAGGAAAAAAATAAGCAGTCTAAGACTGCACGTGGCTACTAATGTAGGACAATTTTTGTAGCATTCAAAGAAACTAGAAGTTGTGTAATTACGCCAGAAGGTAGAGTTGCGGAGATGTGCATTCACATGCAAAAAGAAAACCTGCCGCATCTTACATATTTATGAGTACCCTGTTCCACAGGGTACTCATAAATATGTAAGATGCGGAATAGACTAGTTAAGTGATTAATTGGAATTCAACCAAGAATTAAATCGTAACATATGATATTAATAATATTCGTAATAATAATAATATTCATAATAATAATAATAATAATAATAATAATAGTACTACTAATGATACTCCAATAATGATTAAACTAGTCTTCTTTTACTTTTGCCTGTTAATTGACACTTACTTTAATTAATTGCGGTCCCATTTTTGTGAGACTTTTGTTTTATACAATAAGACATTCCACGTTCTAGGATATTCCGTCATTCTGCCATTCCACTGTCCCATCATTCCATCGAATAAGGTCACCTGTTAAACTTCGGACCCTACTCGTTTCCCAAATTTAGTAGCTTTTTTTTGCATCAGTTGCTAATACAAATGATAAAATGCTTCCTCTTCATATAAAAAAATTTTTACGCACCGGAGGACACCGCTATGGAATTATTTTGAGATGTTCATTTCTTTTGTTGTGTCACGTTAAGAACTGGATAATTGTATCTACGGATCTACTGGGCGTAATTTGCTGATTCAAACGGTAAAATGCTCCCTCTTCAAAGACAATAATTTTCGTCTAAGTTTTCATGATGCGCCGATCACACCTGTCAAGATATTTCTGCAAAGAAAAGGTTTGTTTTTAATCACGCGCCATCTTGCGCCCAATAATCTCTGATGAGAATGTCTAACTACGAAGATACCCGAAATAAAAAACAACTAACAACAAGTCAAAATCAGGTGAAGTTCCGCATTCCATTGTTCCTTACCATCACTCGTAACCTCAAAAGAGAGACGAGATCCACATTTAAGCAAAGAGCTAAAAGAGAGAGTTTTCACAGATCCTGAATTTTGATAGAGGACAGGTGGAGACAATACGCATACACTACAGTGCTTTTAGAGTGAGTGTCGTAAAATCAAAGCAAAAGTTAATTTCAACATCCAATCAGAGTGGAAGAAAATACCTTCAATCAAAGTTTTCCCATTATGCTGAAACAAACAACAGCCCAGTCCAGAATAAGACTTCCTCGTGATTTTATTTGACATCTACTTACAACTCTTCGATACAAGCTCCCAAAGCTCTCTAAAGGGCGTAAACATAGCAATCTTTCCGGCGGAAAAAAACCTTGAGACTGTCTCGACAAATGAGGATGGAAAAAACATCGCACGATAGCCGGAAACAAAGTCACTCCCTAAATGCATATTTACAATTGCAGTTAAAACCGCCAAAAGAAACTAAAAGAACAAACGAAATCAGAAGTATGTGAAATATCTTTCGCGCTTGTTTTCTCATCTATGGCGACGGCGATCTCTGTCACGCGATCTCGAACGTTTGTCACGTGATCTTGACCTTCGGTCCCTATCACGCGATCTTGACCGTGACCGTCTGCGTCTGTGACGTTTTTCTCTGGTTTCGCCCTCGTAATCATCTTTGTCGCTGTAATGGTGTTTACTGCCAGTCGACCTGAAGTACATAGGAGTAATTGTCAACCAAAAGAGCGAATAACTATTCAAGATTGGCTAAACTCACAGAGGTCTTGCAAAAAAAAAAAATAACAAACTAGACTTGGGCAGATATTTACCTCCTTTCTAGTAGCTGCATTTCCAGTCCTTGCAAACAATCCTGTAACGACTGTACGAGGACCTATCACAAAACCACAGTAGTCATCAATTTACTGTTTATTCTGTCATACTAATTTGTACCTCAGTAAGTCAGGAACGGACGAGTCAAGGACCGGCTTGTAAATAGCCTACAGAACAAACGCAACTTTTTTTTAAAACTTCTTTCAGTCGAACGGAGGCAAGCACGAGACGAGCGCGAAGTGCGAAGTGCTCCTCACCTACCGCGTGACTCGCTCTTTGCGCTCGCCTCGCGTTTACCTCCGTTCGTCTGAAAAACGCAAAAAAATTGCGTCTGTTCTACCGGCTAGTTTATACATTACGTCGACTAACTCCTGTTACAAGACGTTTAGAGAAGAGTTCCGGGACAAAAGAACAAATGAGTCAGTTGATTTGTGAAAGCTGATCGACCAGTTTCGTCGTGACATTATTGGCTGTAAGAATCACAGAGCGAAAGTTTGATAAGATTAATCAGTTTTGATTCGAGTTAAGTCGTTCTATTCGGTTTGTTGGTTATGTTACTGCTCCGAAGAAGTCGTTAGCAAACTGTGAGATTTACCTGGCATCTCTCTTCTGCAGCCGTTGGGGATTGTTTAATAAGCGATATGGCTCCCACTAGTGTTTCAATTCCACTCTCGTAGTCGCCTATTCGATGAAGAAAAAAAAAACAGTAGCTTTAGCCAAAAATGCGTTGACTCGTAAATAGAATATCAGAGCTCCAATTAAACTGACAATTATTCCTGAAAACTGCACCAAACGTGATGAAATTGCCTGCAATATACATCGCAAATAACAAACGTTTTGAATAAGGAAACTGAGGGCGGTTCTCTCTATGAGATACTCGTCAAAAAAATTCCATAGACCCTTGAGACCTGTACAATAGTCCATTTTACAGTTGCGTGCTTGATTGCCAAACCTTTCAACAGGAGTGAGGCTAAGGGTGACCTCGTTATGATACAAACCTTGCTACTTTTCAAATGTAAATTACTTTGTTATCGTGCTAACTAGATACTGGTCTCTATCACAACAGAGTCACCTTCAGCCTTACTCCAAATCAAAGGCTTGGCAACTAAGTACACAACTGTAAAATGGCCTATTTTCATGGCAAGTCTATTAGTTTCGCCAGATCTAATGGAAAATTTCTCCATTCAAAAGTTTTCCCCCGAGAACTCTGAAGATATCAGAAAAATGATGTTCATTCAGATTATGTGTTGGTTGGTATACTGTTGTTTTATCTTAAATTGACATTATGAGTCTGATCTTCTTATTTGCAAATAAGTTTCACGTTTTTCAGTATTTTTTTTAAGTGCAAAATTTATGAAGAAAAACAATGATGATAACTTATTTACTTATATAACGCATCTTACCAGCATTAGCATCGGACATAGCTCGTTTGATAGCGGTGCTTGCTAGCATTTGATTTCTTTTCATGGACTCACTAAACTCATCACCTGCAAAAAATTAAAGACACCAAAACATATAAGATCACATTAAAATCATGTTGAGTGTAGTACACGTTTACCTACAGATGAATAGTTTGTCCTTTCAAGAGAGTTAACACTGCTTACCTGGCCTTGGCAAAAATTGTGTTGCACCGACACCTGTAGTTCCAGCTGCCAAGAATGTCTCTGGCTAGAAAAAAAAAAAAACAAAAATGAAAGTAGGTTACAGCCAGATACAAGTGAACATGTATCACTCAGTACACATCACATGTGTAAAGCTGTACAATATCACAAATATTTTACTTGTGTCTGATGAAATGAACCTTACCGGTGGCCCCTCAGGAAAGAATGCTGGATTCACATGTGGTGCAACGGGTGCTTTGGGGAATCCTGGAACCATACCTGTAATTCAACAAAAAGGATTAACCCTACACCCCTTAGGAAGACTCTCTTCCAGTGCTTTCAATAAGACTTAAAGAAGGTAGCTACCTCGGTAAAGCACCTGCCTGAGAATGATATTTAAAACAATTTCCCTCTTGTAATCCTATTACTTCAGTTCAGAATAAACTAGTTTCAAACAGAGTTTTTGGTGTTAAACTTCCGTAGATGATCATCAAATATTCGTCTCCTTTATGACAATTGTTTAACTGATCAATTTATGTCTGAACAAATTCTTCTATTTTCTGACATACAAGCCTGCTTCCTAAGTCTCACTTAAAAATTTCTCTGAAAGGACATATAGTTACTGGTTACTGAAATTCGAGCCAATTTGATCTTGGAAGCTTAAAATCTCTTTTTTCGCTGGAAATGTATGCTGGAACATATGATAAGACAGTATCAGTCATTTTAATAAAAACTCATTTACAAAGGTAAAACTCGACTGACAGAACTATAGAAGATCTCAAGGTGTTTTAGGTTTCACTTAGTGTGTTTGCTTGAAAGCTTCCAAAGTATACCTGGCAATTCACGACAGAATACCAGCCGGACCTCTGGCAGGTGCCATGTCTTATTGAAAGCACTGCTGTTTCTAATTTCTCCTTACAACATCACCCCTGAATCACACATCAAGGTCATGAGAATAAAGGAAATGATCAACAACTGAGAAAGCTCTTGACTGTTAAAAAATATCTCCGTGTCAATACCTTTGGAAATGTTTAGAGACAATTATAAAGAAAATGCAAACAATATTCCACGCGACAGTTGAAGAACTAATTCTTTGACTTCCTCAGTTATTTAAGAAGCTTGAAATGGTTTCAGAACTAACTGCTCAGTTCAGAACACATAAAAATGAAGGACTACAAAAAGGAGGAAAGGATGAAAGGAGGGAGGGGAGGGAAATATTTACATACCTGCAGCTCGATGATCCACCATTGGTCCAGCTCCAGGTGGAGGGGGTTGCTACGAAACAGGACAGTAATATTAGCATAGAGGATGCTACCCCTAAATTACATATTTTAAAAAATGATAGAATATATACAATTTTCTTTAGGATAAAATAATCATGTAGGGAATGAATATGGGGAATATATCACAAATCTTGGTCATCAGAGAGGACTAATTCAAGTAGGGGAGGAGAGGGGGGAAGAGGCATTTATTACGCTCACTGAAGATTAGACAAATGTTCTGTTATGATTAGAGATTTTCCAAGTCTCGCAAAAAAAAAAAATCTTCAAACCTTACCTGTGGAACATGCATTTGAGGTGGCATTGGACCAAGAGGTTTTTCCACTTGGGGAGGTTGCATCATTGGGTTGTAAGCAGGTGGGTGCTCTCCATAAAAAGGTGGCATTCCAGGAGTGGGATGTCTTGGCATTGCCATATGACCCGGTCCTGTAACACAATGACAGGGACATGCTTCAACTTGGAATTAAGAAAAGTTTGTTCACTTGTTTTTCCCTTTACATTCTTGGTGGCACCATGGAAAATTTTCTTCCCTCTTACTGGGTGTTGTGATTGCTAAGGTTTTCATTAAAATAGAAAAAAAATACACACAGACAACTGGCACCTTTGATTTCAAAGACCAGAGCCTGTGACTCACCTTAGTGCTCAGCTGTAATTGACAAGACACCCAGATTTTTATTCTTCAAGTGATAACAGAACCTTTTATTTTTGATAAATGGGACAACAAAGGAATAAAACACAAATAAACACTCTTCTTACCCATCCAAGGTGCTCCACGGCCCATATCCCCAGGTGGAGGTCCATGCTCAAACCCTCTTCCCATCCCTGGACGCACAGGGAACCCACCCCGCCCTCTGAAACCGCCGCGGTTGTAACCAAACCCTCTACCACCTTGTTGATATCCTTGGTTTTCCTGTTCACTGTGGCTACCTCCCCCACTTCCAGGATTATCTGTGAAATTAAAAGAGAAATGTACTTGGTAAACTTTCCAGTATTGCTGATTGGTTAGTGTGGCCTGCTGGGTGGAGTGAGTAAGTAGATTAAGTCTATACTAGTGCCAAGTGACCCATCTAGGTGGATATTATCCTGGTTTCCTTAACATAAAGTGACAAGGAGTATCACTAATCTCTGCTGGATGGGATACTAGTCCATCACAAAGTTACCCCCAGCATTTCATCAGGATTCTCTGACAATTTTCCACGACCCATTTATACTACTGGGTGGAAAGAAGCACTGTAGGAGAAGTGTTTAGCCAAAAAAAAACAACAACACAATGACCTGGCCAGGTGTCAAACTTGGACATCTCCCCCTTGAAACCAGCCCACTAATCATAGGGCAACACGTCTCCCAAGTTGTCTAGGTGAGGATTTCCAGGAAAGAACTGAAGCTAGTCACAGTGACAAATGTTTCCAAAGAATAAGTGGATATCATAGCAGAGTCCAATAAGGAATTTTTGACAGTTGATTGCACCAATTCTCCATCAGATACACAAATTGTACTAACTTGATTAAGAGTGAGGACACTGGGGAATCATAGTGGAGCCTTGTCAGACAGAGAGAGGTTAATTCAAAATGGGTGCTTACTTCCTTTTTTAGAACTAAATCCTCCAATGTATAGTTAATCAAGCCACAAAAAAGTAAAATAACTTAAATATGCTGCCTCTTACTTTTCCTAGATTGAGCTTCAAACTGTTGCAAAAACTGTTTAGTGGCTGGCGTGACAACTGGATATTGTCCATGAATCTCCCTGATCAAAAAGAAAACAAGAACAGAATATAATTCCTGCCCACTGCTCTAACGTAATACCTTGTAGGAATGGGGTACAGTTCTGAAACCTTACATGCAAAGTGTTGTAGACTGCCAAATTCTACATCACAGGAGTTAATTTGGTTTAATCAAGTGAGGTGATAGAGTAAATTGGCCACTTTAAAAAATTTCTTAAGCTGATTTTCAATGTTAGTCCTTGGTCAGAGTGAATAAAGGAATTGTGGGTTTTGATTTTATGGGTCTTGGTTTTTATACTGAAAGATGAAGCAACACAATTGATGAAACATGATATTGTGTAAAACACAAGTCAGAATAAATTAGTGGAATTAAAAGCATTTCAAGATACTGGGGGGATTAAGAGTGCCAATTTGACTTTCAGACCTGCTTAGATGTAAGGAAAGACTGCAGACTGTCATGTGTTGCTTAAAATTATTTGTGAGATTATATTTAACATATACTTACATTTTGGGCAATTTTTCTGTAACAAGTAAGGCTGATGTCTCAGAGCCAAGCTCAATCATTGCAAAGCTGAAAGTTGGGGAGAATGAAATTACTGGTAAATACTTCTAATTTTTGCCAAACTTTAACCCTTCACTCTCAGCATCTACCATTAATTTCCTTTAAAATCACCAAGGAGAATTTAATGTTGTCTGAAGAAGTAACTCCTCTCTGGTTGTGAAAGTGTCAAATCAATGAGCAAATGCAATTTAATCATCCGTGAGAGTTTAACATAATTTAATGATGATGAAACAGATCAGCTTTAAAATCATAAAGATAAAGATAAAATGCAAAAAATTCAAGTGCTTTGAAATCATAAGAAATAAATTAATTTCACTTTTTAAACCAATCACTGACTGTATTCAACACAACTTTTACAGATACTCACTTGTACATAGCACCAACAACCCTGGCAAATGCTTGCTTTTGTTCAATGTGAAAACAATTACATGCATTACAATGATTTTTTTTTTCATATGCTGTTGTTGAAGAATTTGGGCAAAATAGAAAAGTTCAACAAAAAGTGTTTTATCTGTGCAAGTCTTGTTTTGAGGATATCAAGAGAGGATAGTCTAGATTCTCTGAAACATTTTTTTTTTAAAAAAAGAGAACAGGTCTACCTTTTGTAACATAAAAAATCTATTTCTGTGTCAAGTAATTTGTCACCATGTTTGTCAACAACTCATTCTTCCTTCTTAAGGTGATATTTGGCAAGTGTTTTTAATCTTGTCGTTATGATAAAAAATTGTTATTGTCAACAGCACTTAAGATTTTTGACCAGGCTGATTCCCTATCTACAGAAAGAATCCAAAAAGAAAAGAGATCTTGAAAAGTAACTATTTTGAGGCACCAAGCACTGAGAAAAGGATCTACAGACACATGATGAAACAATTCTGTGATAATGAAGAGCCAAGGTTACTGAGAAAAATTTTACAGCCGTAGTAATAATGCCTGATGCAAGATGCAATCCAACAAGTGAAGCACAAAAAAATAATGAATTGCAAAAATTCAATCCAGTTTATCAAAAAGAAATTTCAGTTCATAGGAATTCAAAATTTTGGTTAAATCCAATGCTATCAAATTGGTAGAGAATTTCAAAAAGTTGGAAATTTATTTGCACAAAGCCCTATACACATACAATCATGTACACTAGTATTTACAAACACAACAACTATATAGCTTGAGCTGAGAAGGCAATCCAACACCTCACACTGAACAACTTTGGATACAATTAACAAATTCATAGTTGGAATATATCAAGACTATCAAAAAGGTAACATACTGTGTGCCATGCCAGCACAGCATATTAACAAGTGTACAAATACCCATTACATTAGTATTAAATGGTAAAACTACCCAAGCAGCTGGAATTGCTTGCAAGAAACTCATTGCATTATTGCTTATGAGATGCATGATAAAACTGCAAGAAAAATTAACTGGAAGGTTGAAATCTGCCATATGTCAAACATTTTTTGAGGATTTATAAGGTAGGAATTTGCCAATGGTTAACCTTTTGACTTCCATAAGTGAGAGATTAGATTAAGAGATAAAGGTATCTTTGCTCCAGCTGGGGAGCATTAAGCATCCACCCTACAAGAGGCTGGCATCTAATCTCTCCTTACAGCATCACCCCAGAATCAAACTGTTAAGTCAGGAAAATAAAGAAAATGATCATCAACGAAAGAAACTCTTGATCATTAGACAAATTCTCCTTGTCAGCACCTGAGGAAATGTATAGAAAACAGTTTGGAAAATATGCATACTGATTTCAGATTGTAACAGGTTAAAGTGTTGAGGCCATGATCACATCTTAAGCAGAGTGGATTGTTTCAGGGTGGAAAGCAACCAGAAGAACAAGCAGATTCACAAAGCCAACTTAGAAAAATTTTCACCACTTTAGAATGCCCTTTAATGGAACTACAACTCTCGCATACAACATTTTATCATGTTTTGGGTACCACAAATTCTCAACTTTGCACCTGGCCAAGGGGTCTTCAATAAATTTTCTCAAGAAAGAGAGGGTTGAATATTTGAAAGGAAGCTTTGTTTTAGGTTTTCAATCCCAAAATATGTTTTTATCTTTAGGATATCAAAACAAAACTGTTTCAAAATATTAAAAAAGAAAAATTTTCAGTTTAAGTGAGCATGGAACACTTTTTGTCTGTTGGCGAGGGAAACTGTGTTGTTTTCCAGGCAGTATCAAATGCGCCAAGATGAGAATAAGAGAAACACTAGGAGCCAAGAAAGGAGTATTTCTCTGGAAGTTTGCTTCCAATTTGGACAAAGCATAAGTTGCATGTAGATTTATCAGCGTGCCTGAAATGCATGTCTGGCAACAATTTTGTTGCAACTTCACACCTGAATTGATTGAAACATTGATGGAACTCATTTTGTGTATGTTGAACAGAAGAATCAGTATTCTACTTGAAAAAACATTGCCACCCATTATAAGTCCATGATACTGACACACATTTGTCTTAAGCAGAGCAGTTAGGAGTGTGCTGTTGTAATTATAGTAGATTGCCACTGATAAGCACAGTATTCTGTGTTTATTGGTTGTCTGTGGTAATTGGGTTGGAAGTTAGATAATATTGTAAAAAGGTGTCAGTGTCTTGTAAAATGTAGCACAGTGAATTCAAAACCAGTTTCAACCCTTCCAGTTTATTTAAAATTGCAGGTTTATCACAGATTGGAATAAAAGACATCAAACAAAATTTTGCCCATAGACAATTCAATCTGCATGTAGTTTTCTGAAGACAAAACTTTCTACTAACATTGGAAATACACCTGTACAGTTTCAAAGTCATTTTACATTAAATTTGTATTTAAGCTATACATAACTTGCAATGTTCTAATTGAGCATATACAAATCCTACTATACATATAGAAAAATACAGTCAAGTTTAATTTAAATATATTTACAAATTAGACATTTAAGTTCTTGTTTAAATAAAGAGCCATAAAAAATATTTACTTGTATGTTTCTCATTTGTTGTTTCTTCTATGGTACAGTGTTAATTGCATTATCTCTCTCTCTCTTTTTTTTTTGTTTTACAAAAAATATTGGAGTATTTTCCCTCTGTACAAATTGTTTTCCAAATTTTTTTGACAAAAGTCAATCAAATACAAGTGAGATTTTTTGGTAACAATTATTCTCATTGGCTAATGAGTTTTCTTTGAAGTAAGTTAGGTGAATTCTTCCTTCCATCCCGTTCCCAGAACCCACTGCTATCCATTGTCACTCAATAGCAGAAAGAGCTGTGAGTAGGTAACACAGAGTCAGTACATGATTGCAAGTGAGTGCTTCCTTAGGTTGCCTCTAGAGTTTATGTTTGACAGCACCATCCACCCCGATCTTCAGGGAGTTAAGCCCTGGGTATCTTAAGTCTTTGACTCTGACTTTGAAAAAGATTTAAGAGACCCAGGATGCTCCTGAGTCTACCTGTTGTTGGTGATAATGGCTGCTGTTTTGGTAACTACAGTGAAAGGTCATCATCAGAATCATTACTTCACCCTGATCATAACTTCCCCTACAGTTGTCAAAATATAGCTCACTTTCACCTTAAACAGTCCTCTCAGGACTTCCCCCAGAAGAGATCACCCTGTAAAATAAAATTTTCCCCATGTGTTCATCCTGCACACATCACTGCCTCATGTCTGCCATTATAATTATTGATTGCTGTGCATCACAAAAACAATTGTACCAACTCAGAGCCAAACCATTCTCTATTTAGTAGTTTCTCAGTTTAAGTGGTTTGTAACAACTGAAACATTGACAGCCTCTCTTTGTTTCCACCTTATTTAAACCTTGACTTATTGAAATGTTAAGTTGGTGACAGCTTCTTAAATGGTTATTATGTCCGACTTGATCTTTCACATAAAATTAGTGATAGGAAAATGTAAATAAAAAAATGTACAATACTGAAAATGTGTTGTTGAGACATCACTAGGAATGTTTGATGGGCAGATCAATTAAAAAAACCATTCTTAATGGCTCAGTAAAGGGTTTATATTGAATCAATTAGAAACCATCCACAGTTTTATTATCTCCTTGACTGATAGTACATAACCCCAAATAAACTAAAAGGTGAAAAAAATTAGAACATTGCAATGGATGATGAAATATTTGAGATCACATGAATACCTTGCACACACACACAAACCCTGACTTTACTACAAATAACATTCAGTTTATAAAATTTATTGAAAAACAATGAGTCACTGGACTTAACGACTAAACTGAAAGTGGTACAGAAGTTAAATCTTCACTGTCACCTACTCACCCTTTGGATTGACCATTTGTTCTGTTTTCAAAGAACTTAATGTTCAGCAGATCTGTTACACCACACTCTTGCAAATATTCTGTTAATTCTTGATCATTTGTCCACTAAACAAGGAAAAAACACAATAATCCATTCAAGATTTAATTTTCCAATGCTAGGAACAATAAATTACCTGCAAACCTGATATTAAAATAACATGGAATGATTTTCAGACATCTTAACACCATCTGCATGACCAAAAGCCCTGTTTTACAATGATCACTTTGGTTGACATTTTCCCTTACAGCTCTGAAGCCAGAATGGTACTGCTTAGCCCTTTAACCCCAAAGATCTGATTGCTAATTCTCCCCTGTAGCTGCTACAAATTTCCTTGTAAATTAGTAATCAAAATTTTATGTTAAATCAAGATAACAACTTATATCAGATAAGTTTGAGTTACTCTTTGAATCTCTTTTGGGAGTTCAAGGATTAAGACCTAAGACTTAACTAAAACTCAAGAACTGTTCTTTTCAAATTTAAAACAATAATAATAATAATAATAATAATAATAAAAAAAAGGAAAAACAATTTCCTTTCCAGGAAATTAAAAAAGTGATCAATTGCCCTCAAACATGGTAATTGTGATGCCTTAGTGGGGTCATGATTGGGGGTTTCAGCAATTCTTTCCAAAGAAAAAAGAAAAATCATCCCCTCAACTCCAAATGAAGAGGCAATCCAGGTGGAGCATTCTCTCCTCAGATGTTCTGGGACTGAGCTCAGCATGTCGGCAATCACAATTCACTGTCAATAAACTACACTAGCCATTGATGATATTCTTATTAGAAATCTAACATACCCATGTCAAGTTGCCAACATATAGGGGTTTTCCTTTGTTTCTTTCATAGTAGGTGTGTGAGATTCGTCCTGCTGCTGATTTAGGATGGACTGTTGTGTATGATTTGTATTCATAAACTCCTATAGAAAGACAGTTAAAATCAAATACATATTATACTCTCAAGTGAAAGACAATTTATCGAAATATAAACTAGATTATTAACCTTCCTTCAATATTTAGCACTATGTACCTTGCTGTACTGGCATGGCTGGTTCAGGAGCAATATCAACTGCAACAACGTCATCTTCATACTATAAAATTAATGATATTACAACTCTTAAGCAATAAGTACAGTTACAGAATGCAGAGGTTTCATTAAGGGGCAGGCAATGGGCAAATTGACATGCTGCGACTTTGCCCAGCTGCTTCATCATATTTTACATAGGTGCCCCTATTTTAGTAAGGCTGGATGCCTAGATGTCATATCCTGGTACCCTCTTACAAAACATGCTTTATAAATGTCTCATTCTGTAAAACACTCAGAAAATATAAAATTAAGCATGTGGAGCATCCTGTAGCAAAATTGATCTGTTATTCCCACCAGAGTCAAAATATTAGAAGGTTCCTGAATACAATCTAGTCAGAAACTGCTACTCTGATTGAGTGCTTGCAGTACTTTCCTTATTTTATGGTGAAAGAGCTAAGTTCAAAACTGGCAAATATGTAGTATTGGCAGATGAATTTTCAAGAATCCAAAATGGTAGCAGGTACTAATAAAGAGATGGCAAGTAGCAAATTTTACCTTGCTGACAACATTCAGTAAGAAGAACATTGAGTTTCAAACAGGAAACACCAGTTTACTTTAACTAGTAACAACAAGCAAAGATGATTTTTTTTTGGGAAGTATGCAGGTTGCTAAGGAATACAAAGTGCAGAAGCAATCGGTCATTGCAAAAATTCATCATTGCTCTATGTGATGTCATGCAAATACTTGGCTTGAGTGTACAAAAATAAAATAAGGTCTGATAGAACTCTAGGTAGATTTTTCCATACATGTGCTTGTAATGCTTCATCCTCAACTCCTCCAGTTGTTAGTACATCATCATACAGGTCCAAGCCTTCACTTCCAAGGTGCTATTGATAAAAAATGACAAAAAGTTGTTTCATATGTGCAAGGCTTTCAGGAATGTGTATCATCAGTGGCTGCACTGAGTGGAATGGTACTGAGAAATTTTAAAGGATCAATGTCTTTCTTTTATCCCTATAGTGCTAAAAGGCCTGTTAACCCTTTAACTTCTAAGATCTGATAGTTAATTCTTCCTACTAGCCACTACACATTTCTTGGTCAATAAGTTACAAAATTTGGTGCTAGATCAAGATAACAACTGCCTGATAAGTTTGAGTATTCTTATTACCTGTTTGCTGATTAACGAATGGATATTGTAGGAGAAGTTACATGTTAATCACTTCAGGAAGTAAACAAGATAAGCAGAAGAGGACCACTGCTAACCACCGTTTGATGCTACCCAACCACTAAGGCCTTATCTTAACTGACACATTTTCTTCAATCAAAAATCCTTTCTTTGAAATGCACTATTGCCCATTGCCCAAGCTTAAATGTCCTAGAATCAATGGATGAAATAGGAATTTTTCTTTAAAAAAGTGAAGTTTTCGCAGATTGTGGGCCTTTATAACACAGATGTTTCAGTGTGGAGATGTGGAGATGGCGTTTGCAAAGTTGATCCTTTAAAGAAAATGGAAAACTTCCAATTCCATTGTTTTAAAGTAAAGGATTACCAAAAATAAAACTCAAAAGCACATATGCAATGCAACAAAGTGACAGCAAGAGTACAAGCAGTCTGACAAGCCACGTGAAAAATTAGCTGACTTATACTTTTTTCAAATTGATAACTTACCAAACCTTGTCTTCTTTCAGAAAATTTAGACACTATCTTGCAAAGGACATACCCATCGTATTCCACAATAGATCTTTTTTTCGAATTTACTCATAAGTAACTTACTCATTAGTAACTTACTCAAAAGGCTAAATATTTAGTATTTTTGTTGGTTATTTGCAAGTCTGTCAAACAAAATATCTACGTACGCGCGGTAAGTTCTTGGAAGCTAGTAAACTCAGCACCTAAAATGATCCCTAAATCTTACCTGTCCACTCACTTCTGGCTCAAATTCATCTACTGTTGCATACAAATCAATGTCAACACCACCTTCACCAGCCATAACGTAGACTTATTGGCCGAAAATATACCTCAACAACCACCTCAAACAATATGGCGGCAAGGTATCGTGGGCAAGCATAAAACACGTGTTTTCAGATTTCAAGGGTTTCTGGGAGTTTGTAACGCCTGGTGAATTTTGACAGATGCGAGTTAATGGTTGACTTCCACTTTATCGATCCTTTCTTGTATTGTTAAAATTACTCACTCTTTTTTAGATCACTAGTAAAAAATTGTTCTGATTTGAAATACTGGTAGCCGTACAAACGTTATGGCGCACCGGAAACTGAGATGTTTGAAACTCCTGCCTATTGAAAGCATAAGACTTTCACCTGTAGCTACTTTTGGGCATTTTTAGCTGGACAAATTCAGAACAACGATATCAGGATGCCTGCTAAGATAAAAGTTCGCATTGTAGCTGCTCGAGATCTCCCTGTAATGGATCGATCGAGTGACTTAGCAGACGCCTTTGCAGAGGTAAGAAATTTCTTAAAAATCAATAACTCATGCATGATTGTTTTGTTTATATAATATTCCTTTTGAATTTTTAAATATGTTGTTACATGAAATCAGTTCAACGAGGAAGCCTTAAAGAGTTGTATAAACTAACAGAAGAGCTAAATTTTGCGTTAAAACTATTTCTTGTATTAGGTTCGTCTTGGTAATGTGCTGTATAAGACAGATGTGTGTAAGAAGTCACTCAATCCTCAGTGGAACTCGGAGTGGTTCAGATTTGAGGTATAAACTTCCATTGTTAACAATGATGGATATAATTTATCATAAAAATAATTTTTTTGGAAAGCTTTAATTTATCATAACTGATCATCTTTTGGCTAGGCTGATGATGAAGAGATTCAAGATGAACCTCTGCAGATCAGGTATAATGAATAGTTGTGTAAATGAGGAACATACAGCTGTAGCTAGTTGATTCTACCTAAACAGCGACCTCTCTAAGACAGACACATTCTTTTATATGAGCTCTTAAAGTTAGCCCTTTAACTCCCAGATAAAATTTGTAATTCTCCTCACTGTCAGCCATACAGTTCTTATAATGTTTGTTCTGAGAATTAAGTATGGTATCAACTGATTATCCCCAAATCGATATTTTTCTTAACTCTCATCACTTATCTGGTTGATATTGTATTGATATTATAAGGAGAAATTCTGTCTTGGTCACTCATGGTAGTTAAAGGGTTAAGTGTTGGGAGTGTTACTGCTTGAGGGTTGAATCTTACCAACCTGACCTGACTGGGCTAATAATGGTCAGGGGCTATTTCTAGTTTTTTGGGCATGCTGCTCCCCTTTGGATGGGGTGGAGGGAGGCACAGTGGTCTTATATGGTTAGTGCACTGGACTCAAGGTGTAGTGGTTCAGGTTCAAGACCAACCTTGCTCCTAAGGTCTCTCTTCTTCCCTTTCTTTTGGGAAGAGAGAGCAAGAGGAAGGGAAGAAGAGAGACCCTGGAAACAAGGTTGGTTCAAGATCTGGCCAGGTCATTGTGTTGTGTTCTTAGTCTTAGAACTTTAGTCCGCAGTACCTCTCACCGCCCAGGATTATAAATGGGTAACAGTAAATCATCAGAGAAGTCTGAGGGATATCCTTTTGATAGACTGATCCAGGTGGAGTGATAAATAATCTTCTTTGCAATGCTTCATGGGGATAGGCTGTGGCTGGATGGGTCACTCGACTTGAATACAGAATTTACCACTAGATGGGATGCTAATCCCCTTTCTCCCGTCTCCCCTCCCCCCTCTCACCTCTCACATCCCCCTTTCCTAGAATTTCATTTCATGGGTAGAAAAAGACATCACAAAATGAATCCAAAACTGGATTAATCTTGATCAGGGTTGGAAAAAAAAGATGTCTTTGCATGCAGTTTAGTTTGCTGAACAATCTGAATATTAGCTTACAGCATCTACAACCAGTTAAGAGTAGCACAATTCTTAACTTTGATTGAAAACCCCGAAGGTACTAGAAAAGTAGTGCCATATATGTAGGTGTATTTTAAATTCATTTCACATTAAGTTGTGATTTATATTAATTTTTCTGTTATCCAGAATCATGGACCATGATACTGTGACTGCCCATGATGCTATTGGAAAGGTGAGTTTCTTTCTTTATCATGGCTCCAAGCTGCAACCCTTTTGGTTGCCATGATGTATAAGAAAAAAAAGTGGCTTCAATTTGGCCAAAAAGCTTTACTTTTCTAGGATTTCTTTTCATTACTATATTTGAAGTTTTGCCAAAATTTGTCTTTTTCTCCTTATTTGTCCTAATATTAAGTCTTTACTAGATGTCCTAAAAAAAGATTCATCTTTTCCCCTGGTAACTGAAATGTTATTCCAAGAGAGAATTTTATTATTTCATGTCCCTAAATGGCCATTTTAAAAATAGTACTGTTGGGTGCCTTGTTGTAATTTTTCTTACCTAAACTGTGAAATGTAACTAATACAAGATAACACTCCAAATGGAAATAGGCATGATCATCATTTTTCTTTGTTATCTCTTTTTTAAGGTAAATATAAGTCTAGGTCCTCTGCTAACGCAAGATCCACCAGGGAGTATTGATGGGTGGTTTCCAATTTATGACACAATGCATGGTATGTTCTTTAGTTTTCCAAGGAATAATTCCCTGAAATACCAGCAAAATATTTATATATCATAATCCTTACAGTGGACTTCTTGTTTCACTATGAGGTAGGGCTACACTCAAAACGTCAGCTCTGAAACTCTTTGCAGTGGCCAATTTACATTATCAACTTGAATGATAAAACAAAATTGTCGTTTTACAGCAGACGTCTGCCAAATATGTGATGCATATTATTTACAGCCTTCCAACCCTTTGTGCTCTAGGAGTGACAAGCATCTAATTTCTCCTTGCAATATCACCCCAGAATCCAACATTAAGGTCATGAGTTGTGAGAATGAAGGAAATAATCACCTACTAAAAGAAACTCTAGACTGTTGAACAAATTCTTCTTGAGCATCAGCAGCTTAGGAAATGAAAGGAGAACAGTATATAGAATATGGATACTGATTCTAGGGTATAAAAGGTTAACCAGTAGCAACTTCTGTCAGTAGTATATTTAAATGCAAATATTGAAACCAAAAATAAAATAATTATGATCTTAGTAATGTGCAACTATTTTAGAAAAACTTAATATTTATTTCTGAATTTTCAGGCATTCGTGGGGAAGTGAGTGTTATTGTTAAAGTGGATTTTTTCGTTGACTCTAACAAGTTTCGACAGAGTTCATGCGGTGTGCAGTTCTTCTATAGTAAGTAGAATTCTTAAATGATACAATTCTTGCATAATTCCACAGAATGTACAGAAGTAGATGCCAAAAGACAGTGAAATTAGTATAAGTAAGTTGATTAACAAATCCCTTTATATATAATATGAGCAGACAATTTGCTCGTATTAATTGGCCAGAAATTACAGTAAATGAATACAACCATTTTCAGCAGACCCAAGCCTTAATGTTCATTTTAACTAAAATTTGTCTTGCAAGGTTATGATATAATTAAAAGTATGAGAGAGGTTATCTGAATTTAATTGACAGTATCTAAAAATCACTTATCAAGCCCTAATCTTGCAAGGATATTTCCTGAGTTCCTATTAGTGATGATGTATCAAATTCAAGAATGCTAGCAAGGGTGTCTCAAAACATTACAAACTTTAATCAAGAGGAAGTTGTTTTTTCTTCTTGTCACAAGCATGAGACAAAGAAAACTTTGGAGTCCCCATAACCTCAATCCTTCAGATTCTGTGCTCCGATGCTTTTTTCCACTGAGCCACAGAGACTCTACAGTGAGAGAGGTCTATTACGAAGTTCATATGACACAAGTCCTGCATACTTAATATGTATTTGTATATTATATTTGTATCTTATATCTTATATCTTATTGCTTCTTTTTACTGTATGAAAAAATGTAATTTAAGGTAAAGGGCATCTAATTAGCTTGCTATATTATGCCCTTCTCCATCCTCTTATCTTACTTGTAATTATTCATTAGACTCTAATCTGTTGAAATGGAGGAAAAAATAAATACCACAAAAAAAAAATTATATCAGCAGTGTCAACAGCCTCATGTTTGTAAATAGAATAAGAGAGATGTAAGGGCATCGGAATGCAGAATCTGAAGGTCTGAGGTTTGATTCCTCATGGGGACTCAGAATTTTTTTCTTTGTCCCACACTCATGACAAGACTAAAAAACAACTTTCTCTATTTCTTTATGGAGTTAAAAAATCACAGTGTAAAATTTGAACTCTATATTTCAGCTTGTTCTGTCCCATCTGGCCATAAAGCTCTAGCTATTCATGGTTTTGTTGAGGAGCTGGTTGTTAATGATGATCCAGAATATCAGTGGATTGATAAGATCAGAACACCAAGATCTTCTAATGAAGCACGGCAGAGACTATTTACCAAACTTTCAGGTTCATGAGAATCATTGATCTTCTGTTAATCGTAAACACTTCCACAGACTTTCTTACAGGAAAAAAAATAAAATTAAACTTACATATATTTTGTGGAGTTGGACTCACAAAAATTATTGAAGCCAGGAGTTTCAACAACTTTTTCCATGAGCGGCTGCTAGAGGTACTAGAGGTATAATAGGTTGCTCTGCCTGGAAAAGAAACTGTAAGGCCAAATGAAACTCAAGAGCCTGCTTGCAGGCTAAACAGATTGCAGTAAGATGTGTGTTAAGCGCCAGTAGACTACCAGATACTGGCTTTTATTGAAATCCCTGAGAAGTAAATACTTTTGCCACAAAGGACTCTTTGTTCATACTTACTTATCACTTACACTTAACATTTATTAGGTTATTGAACAAACTAATCATAAATGATCAATTAATACAAATGCAGAGAATTAACCTTCCAAAGTGTAATTATGTATTATTTTTTCACTGCAAAATTACCAAGACTTGGTTACCAATTTTTCTCTAAATAGGAGAACTGCAAAGGAAAATTGGTCTTAAAGTTTTAGAGGCTGGAGGAAATGCTGTTATTGGGTAAGATGTTCACTTTTTACAAGAAAGGAAGTTTTTGTTGAGTTAAGATATGGTGCTTTAACTTAACCCTTTCACTTCAAAGATCTCATCAATAATTCTCCCTTATTGACTCTCTCATAAAATTTTAATAATGTTCGTTTGGAGAATCTGGTATTGGATCAAATAATAATCCCCACATGATATTTTTTGTTATTCCCATCACTGGTCATTCTTTGGAGTTAATGGGTTAAATCTGCACATGACTTGTCTTGATTATAAGTTCTAATATCTCAGGTAGTGTACTGTAATGCCCAGAGTGAAGCTGGCATGGGTTCATTGTTTTCATCTTGCTCTTTCACTTTCTTTTGGTCAGTTATCGGCAGTGTTTTGACCTGGAGGGTGAATATGGAATTGTAGTGCGAGGTATTGGGACTGCTGTGACACTAGCCAGTGTTCTTACTGCAGTGAGTGCCAATTCACGCCCATCAACACCTGTCCATCCATTAACTTCGTCAGGAGAAGTTGGTCCTGGAAGCCATGTCTCAGACTCAGGGTGAGTTGCTCAGTGAAGTGTGATGGTCCCTTATTCTATAGCACCCAGCAATCTTTCAGGAGAAGAAACTTTTGATATGTTATGTGCATAATCAATCAATTCAGTTGGAGGTTACCTCTGAGTTTTGTGTGCTTACTGTGCATGGACCTTGCAATCTGTGAAAAATCAACACAGTAAGATACAGCAATCAGTGGTAGACAAATAAAGGGGGTAAGTTTCTACTGTAGAGAAACTGCAGTTGTGCTTTATCAGTGGAGGTATTACTGACAAGACAGTTTGGTTTTATCAGCTGACAGAGTTGTTAAAATGTAAACAGGTTCAGGGAAAGAGTTTCTGAAGCTGATGTTTTGATCAAATAGAAGAACTGTGGATTGTGTGTGGTTTATACATAGAAAGATGATGCCACTCTGTTGGTGTAAACATGGTAACATGGAGGACATAAGTTAGAATAAATTGATGAATGAAAAGCATCTGTTGATACTGTGGAGATTAAGAGTACTGATTTTAATGATATATTTTTGTTCTGGAGTTTTACAATAATATCTCTATAGATGGAAATAAGTGGGCCAAATGGAAAATTTTTTTGGCCATCTCTCACTCTCTCTCTCTCTGAAATTTCAGCCTCCACCACCTATGATCATGATAATGATGCAAATTGACCTCTTTTGTTATGGCAGGCATGATAACATTATCATAAATTCTTTTATTTTCTTACAAATTAGTATTCTTGGCCTAATGCTTTGGAGCAAAAATTTTGTTGTTTTTAAGCATGTTAGCAGTAATCAGAGACTAAAAAGGCGTGATCATATATGATTTTATATGAGATATGAAAGAATATGTGAGGCCCATAATTTAGAGTTAAGGTTTGTGTGATGTGCAGTTTTTGATAAAAAATTTTTTTCCAGGTTTATCTTCCCAGAAACACAGCAAAGCTTACCAGTTCCATCTACTAAAGTTGTGACTCCCTCCCGTCGCCGTATTTCATCTTCTGATTCTGATCCAATACCAGATTCTCCCCCAAAAGGTAAAATATATTCAAATATAATATGGGCTCCTGATGGAAATTATGCCACAAGAGGATTTTTTTCAAGAATTGTGAAACTCATTTTGAGTGTTACATGATACTGTGAAGACAATATTTTACATACCTGGTTTTTTGTTCATATTTAGACCGTGTCGCTCTTCTGGCAAGCAGTGCAGGAGTTGATGGTAGTGGTAGTAGTGCAGGGGGAACTTCTTTTCCCAGAGCTAAGGGAATTTGGCAGTCAGTCATTCAAAAACAGAAAACTGTGGAAGATCTGGTAATTTTACTACTAAGAATGTTAAGTAAAATTTAAAAAGAAATTTGGAAAATATTAGATTTGTACTTCTCAATGACTTATTAGGGGGCTATGTTTTTTTTATTTTGTCAAATGAACATGGTCAGAATAAGCTGAGAAATACAATTGTTTAAAGATATATTTTCAGCCTCTCAAATGCATTTAGTGTTTTTTTTTCTTCTCCTTAAATTGGGAGTGCAAGGAAAAAATATTTGCAGAGTGTGAGTTGCATTTAACATGCAGGACTGATTTACATGCAGCATGCTATAGATATTTTTTTCTGGTCATGTATGATGCAAGATTGGCATCTGCCTTGTGCCTTTCTACTTGTGAGTTATGTGTTGTGTACACTTGATACTCGTGGCTCTTCACACCTATATGCATCAGAAGAGTGTACAATACAAAGTGGCTGGACTTTCACAACACTGATGTTTGATGCATGATGATGCCAGTTTGTATATTAGACTGATTACAGACTGAACCAATGAACTATATCTTGTAACCCTCAAACTAACAGAGGGGATTAAATATAATTATCTTTCTCCTCAATATTAAAACAATTTCAAGCAAATGCTGGAAGATGATAGAAAAACATGACATGTACAGGTAGAGGGTGTCATCTTGAACTAAAATAAAATTCTCTTCTAACATCCCCCTAACATAAGCATCCATATTCTCCATACTCTTCTTAATTCATTTCCCTTGGCACTGAGAAGGAGAATTTGTATGACAATCACAGCTTCTAAGGTTGGCGATCATTTCCTTTATTCTCATGATCTTAATGAATAATTCAGTAGCATAACTGAAAGGAGAAATTAGATACTGGTCACTCCTGGAGTTTAAAGGGTTAAGTTACAACTTATAAAGGAGTTTATGCAATTCAATGGGGAAATTTAAACATGGTATTTGGAGTTAAAATCCCCAGACATGGATGATGACTTCTGAGGTATATTATTTTACAGTGATTAATAAAAAGCAAAAAATATATTCATCTTTTAGTATGATACTTTAAATTTCAGGAGTTTCCTTTCTTCACCATCACAAAATTCCCTCCTGGTTTCCTGAGGCACATTGGTGGAGTTGTAACTGCAAGATCAGTGAAGCTTCTGGACAAAATCAATCATCCAGGTACAATTTGAAAACTGCAATTCAGAGTATAACAAATAAAATCTCTTCAGTGTAAAATTTTCTCTACCTTTTTTTTTCAGCTTCTGAATCACTCTTTCCTCTGAATAGCTAATTTATCATACTGCAGCCATATAGCATTATCTTAGTATATAATTTACAGTGAACTGCAGTGTAAGCTCTGATATGGAATATTAGTTTGATTTCCTGTCTTACAGATGAACCAGAAACTCGCGATGCATGGTGGAGTGAAGTGAGAATGGAAATTCGATCTCATGCCAGAGCTCTTGCCTGTCATGCCGTGGTGGGATATTATGAAGTTACTAGCATATGGTGAGCAATTTTAACCCTTTACACCCTAACATCAGTATCCATGTTCCATGCTCTTCTCTATAAATTTTGTTTGACATGGACAAGGAGAATTAACTTTTAACATTCAAAACTTCTTAGGCTGGCAATTATTTCCTTCAGGTTATTCTCATGATTTAATGAATGATCCAGCAGTACTACTGTAAAGAGAAGTGAAACGTTGGTTACTCTTAGGGTTTAACCCTTGAACTCCCAAGATCTGATTGTTAATTCTCCCCTCTAGCTGCTTCACATTTCCTTGTAAATAAGTCATGAGAATTTTGTGTTAGATCAAGACTACTAACCTCTACCTGACAAGTTTGAGTATTCTCTTTACATGTTGGGTGGATAATGTGTGGATGTTACAGGGAGAAGTTACATGTTAATCACTTGTGGGGAATTAATGGGTTAAAGGGTTTAGTCTTCTTCAGTACTTTTCATTCTCTCTTTTCTATGATATCTGTTGAACTTTCATTCTGTGACTATAACTATCATGATTATTGATACAGATGTTACTTTGCAGTGATGAGCTAATAGTGCTATCAGCATCAGGAACAGCAGCATGTATAGACCTACAACTGGCTACAGGAGAACCTACTGGAGTTGGTCTTGGCATTCTCTGTATGTGTATGGTTACTTTAAGTTTACATCAGTAGAAAAACACTTAAGTTAGCGAAATTCACAGACTGATAGCATAGTATTTTTGGGCTAAAATTAATGTTTTAAATGCCATGATTAGTTTAGAGTGCAGCTGGGCCTACAATGAGCAGCAAAACCCTAAGTGCACTCTACTACCTTTTGAATTTTCCTATAACTTTCACTAGCTTATCCCCTCCTCTCCTCCATTTCAATATTTACTAGAGATAAGGAGGGGGACTTTCTAGAGAGGAATTGGAAGTTAGATTTCTGTTCATTATACTAAGTAGAGGGTTGTTGGCCACCCAGCAAGGGAAGGCATGTCAGCTTCTTTTGCCACTTACCAAGCAGAACCACACATAATGTACTGATAAACAGCTTTGATGGGAAAAGAGCAAGCCATATTTAATGATTCTGGCTTACAGGTTTTGGCAGCTAGGAAAATTGCATTGAAGGTATTTTCTTGTATCCTAGCTTTTGTCTTCACCAGCAGCTAGCACTGCCTTCAATTCTAATTGCTGAACATTTGTTTAATTTCTTATTAGCACCAGTTGCAGAAAAAGGCTCGGCTGTACCATCAGGTTTGGCAAGTCACACAGAAAATGTAGACCCACTGCAAGTGGATGTAGGAGATCATGATGGGTGAGTAGAATTGTCAGCTTGGCAGAAATTGACAGGGATGCTGGCTGACAAACTTTAGACAGAAAAGAATTATATTCCCTCTGAAATGATCTAACACATGCAAAAGGAAACTTTTAAAACCCTTTAGTATGGTCTAGAGATGATTTAACCTGGCAACTTATGTCACTCAGTCTGTTGGAAACTTTGTATATGCAGTTTTTAGGGTCCTAGAGATTCATCAAGAAAGGTAGATTAGCAAAAGTGAATATGATTTTTCTTTTTCACATTGAATAAACTCAGGTTGACATTTGGTGATGATCCCATGTCTACTTCTCCTGGATCTGGCTGTTCAATGTGCCACATCCCTTATTCTGATGTAGACTTACCATTTCCTATATCACTCACAAAATGTCAAGTTTGTAGGTAAGGCTCAGTTAAAGAGATAATAAGATTGCTAACAAAGAGGGTTAACATATTCTCATTTTTGCATCAAGAATCTTACTGTGCATGAAATAAGCCATGATTGTAGGAAATGTGGGGGCTTAATCCTTTAACTCCCAAGATCTGATCATAAATTCTCCCCTCTAGCTGCTACACATTTCCTTGTAAATAAGATACAAGAATTTGATGTCAGATCAAGATAATAACTTTGATCTGATAAGTGTGAATATTCTCATGACCTGTTTGCTGGATAATCTTAATTTATTATAGGGAGAAGTTACTTGTTAGTCACTTCTGGGAGTTGAAAGGTTAACCATTTTACCCCCAGGAGTAATCGAAAAGAAATATCTCCTAATAATGTTGAATAAAAAGATATTCAAGATAAAGGGCGATGGGAAGAAAGGAAATTATAAATTTGGGTACATTGTTTGATTTGACACCAAATTCTTGAGGCCAATATGTATGTATGGAGTACAGTGCAGAGAATTGATATTCTGATCTTCATTGTTGGGTGTTAAAGGGTACCAAATGGTTGGTGCATTTAACTCTTTGAAAGATCTGGCCTGCAGACCCAGTCTTCATCATTATGTTGTGCAAGCAAGACTCACTTTACCTCTCCCCACTCAAGAGTATAAATTGCTCATTTACTATTGATCAGGGGAGTTCAACCAAACCTGTGGAGAAATTAGTGGTATCTTGCCATGAATTGGTGTATCCAATCCTGGCAGTGTTAGTTGTAATATTTCCTTGTATGGTATGATAAGAACACTCAATGGTACACTTTATTTTAGCAATCACTTTTTTTATAGCTATTATTAGATAATCTTTTTTGCACTCAGACTCAAGAAAGTTCCTGATGTAATATTTGCCACAACTGAACCACCAGTTGAATCACCCATTGTTGGCAGAGGCTGTCTTCTCCAGGCTCGGTAACCATTTTGTATTTCTTTTAATTAACCAGATTTTAAAATTTATCAGATGAAAACCAAATTATATAAGATAGCACAACAGAATTAACTTACTGATTAGTTTAAATGAGTGATTTTAATTATTATATTAATAAAATTTAGGAGTTTTTGTGATTCTCAGTGTAGGAAGAGGAGATGTGAACTGTAAAATATATTTGTCCAATAGTACAATTTTAGAGACAAACTCTGGTTTTGTTACAGCATATCTCTTATAGCAAGTGAGCTGCCAATGTTGTTATTTGTAGACTTGAGATGTTAGGGTATAACCAGTTGTCATTATGTTACTTGGATAAAACAGACTTAATCACTCTCAGAGGGAAGATTCAGGGGGTAACCTTCACTGACTGTTGTTATATGGGATGCTTGTGGCAAACTGCGTAAAAAAATTTGCTTGAGTGCTTTCATAGTCAGATATAGAAATCATCCACATGCTTGTCGTGAAGTTGAAAACTGTCATATCACTTACCACTATTTGACACACATGATGTCTTTATTTTGGTGCAAAAGTTAATCAGAAAAGCTCATTCAGATTTCCCAATGCAAAAATAATTTCCCTCCTCTGAATTACTGAATTCTCAGTTCTTATTACACATGACATTCCTTAGCACTTTTACCTGATCCCTTATGATTCTTAGTCAGCTTCAGGGATCAGTGATATTTGCAACTTATCTTTAGTTCACATTTCACACAAACAGCAGCGTTCCATGGAAACGTCCTCAGACATCTTGTTGATATTACATTGAATGAATGTCTTTGATGATGTTTATTATCTGATCTATTCCAGTGTTTGTAGAACAAAAAAGAAAGAGAAAGGTGAAGCCAATGCAGATATTGTTAGTACTGTAAGTAAATACACTGACTACATTACACATGCTTAACAGTTCAAAAACGTTTTTAACCTGTGGCTCATGATGTCTCTTCATACTCAGTGTCATTTGGCATGTCACATTGAACCCTTTGACCTCAAGAGTGACTAGCATCTAGTTTCTCCATATAACCTCACCCCTGAATCATACAGTAAGGTCATGAGAATAAAGGAAATGATCTCCAACTTAAGAGGCTCTTGATTGTAAAACAAATTCTCCTTGTCAGTACCTAAGGAAATGTATAGCTATTAATATGGAGAATATGCATACTGATGTTAGCGTGTAAGTGGTTAAACAATTAAATATTGTTTTACATATACATTTGTTCAGGGAACTAGAACAAGGGATAAATTTATAGTTATTACCCTGATATCTTCCAACCAGTTAATATCTTGTCAAGGGAACTGTTTCAAAGGAGATTGTATTTTGGTTCCTTGCTTTACTTCTTGTACTTTATCATTGTATTCATGACATTGCCTCTCTACTTCCAGATCTTACCATTTCTAGAGTATGAACTTCACCAACAGCTGTTAAACAAACTTAAGGTAAGCTCAGCCATGTGTTTGAAGTTTTTTTGCCAACATCAAGTTGGATTGAGACTTCTTTGGACAGTCATAATGTACTGATAAGGCCTTGAGTATCTTTTTCCTTACTCCTCATATCGGTTCATAGGCAAATGGTGTTTTCTGTTCTTATGTCTTAATTACTGGCTTTACAGGTTAAGGGGATGAATGCATTGTTTAGACTTCATCTCCAGATATCAGTAGGAGAGAGCCTGATCATTGGAACTGCAGTAAGCTCTTTGTTTTTTTCTAATAATAGAAAATAACTATTGACAGAGGAAATTTAGAGAGATGAGAGCTCTTTGCAGAAGTGATGCCCTTGACACTTGACCTTCACTTAGGAGGTTCTTGTTAGTCTTGGAACAATCTCTACTGTCATCATTGTAGTGGCTGTCACCAGTAGTGCTGTGTTAATTGTGGTTATACATGTCAAGTTAAGTGATCTCACAGCTGTCAGTTTATGGTCTGCTCCAACTTGTGTAGCATCCTGCGCTACAATGTTCTTCCATTATTTACAGCATCTTGTCAGCTACTACTTTCCTCTCCTTAGCCTTCTGTTTATCATAGCTTTGAGTAGTCTTTTCCAAACCATTCATTTGATCCAATAATATTGGACATAGATTTAGAGGATTCTTTGAATTTTAACAAAGTGAATTGTTCAGTACAACGGAATTTAAAGAACAATTAATTTTAATAAATCCTTGACATAACAAGAAACCTTGAAAGCTGCTTTTGCTAAGAGTTAAGTTTTTATTCCAAGGTAAGAGTATTATTGAAAACTCAATATTTGGTCATTTTATTGCACTTCCAGTAAGAGGTGTTCATGTGAATGACGGTCAACTCGGTTTGGTGATGTTTAGTTTGCTTTATTTGCCTTGAGATCCTTATAAACTTTGTTGCAAATAAAAAGAATTGCTTTTTACTAAAGATTATTGAAAACTCAATATTTGGTCATTTTATTGCAATAACTCGCATCCAGTTAAGTCATTGGTGTTCCAATGTTCACCAATGTTTAAGCTTCTGTTTGGTTAAATTTATACCACTTTTGGTGCTGAGGTTCTTCATTAAATTTTTTCCCCCCCAGTCCTCTACTGCAGTTTTTCTGGCGGCTTTGCCCACACCACCATTACTGAAGATTACTGGACGGGTATGTTACTCAGTCATTTCATGCAGGTGTACATCAAATGTTTTACATTGTGTAGCATTATTGCCTAATACATGATTGCAAGTTATATTGCCATCCATATTGTTCTCTATAAATTTTTTAATGGTGCGGATAAGGAGGATTTGTCTAACAATAAAAAACTTCTTGCGTTTGTGATCATTTCCTTTATTCTCATGACCTTAATGTGTAATTCAGGGGTGATACTGTTGGGAGAAAGGAGATGCTTATAAGGGTAAGGAAGGGTGTAGCCAATCCTAAGGTTTGAGGGTGGGGTGGCTCATCAGTGTGACATGGGTCATTGTATTGCAGTGACAACCATGGGCAGTCAACAAACCTAGTCCAAGAGCACTTAACTCTTTTAGCCCCAAAAATGATAAACTTGCAACTTCTCCTTAAAATTCCGCCATGTTATCCTGAAAACAAGTAAGGAGAAGAGACAGTCCAATCATTTAGAGGGTGTTATGTTTGTAACACCAAATTCCCCTGCCTTACTTACATGGAACTGTATGGCAGTCAGTTGGGAGAAATTTGGATCTTGGGGCCTTAGCAGCTTAATCCAGAGTTCAAGGGGATTCCTCTTTAGCACAAATGTTTTTCATTGATACATTATACAGAGGACAAAGCTAAGTTTAGCGCTATATTGTATTGTCATCTACAACAGCGTCTATCTGCTGAAGAAGATAAAAGAATTGCTGAGATCCAGAAACAAATTGTGGAAACAACCAACAAGAACAGGGCCACTTTCAAACTTACAGACACTGTGCATTTAGTAAGGATTTTAAACTCTTTAGTTCCTAGAAATGATTAACATGTAACTTCTCCCCATAATATCCCTACATTATCCAGCAAACAGGCAATGAGAAAACTCAAATTTATCATGTAGAAGTTGTTATCTTGATCTGTTACTAAATTCTTGTTACAAATTCACAATAAAATGTGTAGCAGCTATAGGGAAGAATTAACTATCAGATCCTCCCATTTGCTTTTTTTTGTGCACCTGTGATCCACCCCATTTCAAGTGCATCAAAACACCCACAGCCAGATAAAGAGCCTTGCTGCTGCTGCTGCAAAATTGCGTTAAAGTTTTTTGTGAGTTCTTCTTGTAGCTTGGAAAACTCCTGAGTAGAGTCATGCATACTTTGTTGGATTGGACCTATCAACTTGATAATTCTCAAAATGTCTAAATTATTTTTTGAAAAATGATTAAGAATTAACAAATTGGTTCTCAGGTATGGGAGTGGTTGGTAGAAAGAGTCTAAGTTATGCCAATGGTTTTTGGTGGGTTGGTGGCTGAAGTGTGAAGAAGGACATTAAGTAGGTGTCAGTAAGCTACACTGATTTATAAATGTCCCCACCTTATTCCATTTGGTCTGTGATTTCTATATATATATAGGTCACTTGAGTGAGTTGTGTATGCAGCTTTTTCTTAGTAGTATTGTTGTCTTTGCATCGCAACTAAAGACAAGTGTTTTTAGCTGCACAATTACTCACATGCATTGGTTTTTTCAAAGGCTAGCTTTGTCGTTGGTTGTCTAAACAACAGATAAAAAGTAACATAACATATAGCAGCAAATTCTGTCAGTGTTAATTCTCAACATCAAGTGAAAACTGAATCCAATCATGACTCTGGTATCTTATTGGCATTCCCAAAGATGATAACCAAGAATACTAAAGTGGATAGATCATTTATTAGTGTTGCCCCTTGACTTCAGAATATTCTCCTGAGTTCAATATGATCTATTTTTAGTTTGAATATATTTTTAAAAAAACTTTAACTATTTTCTTTTAAGGAAGGCCACAATACTTTTCATTTTAAGTCAGTTAGTCCAGATTCATTAATAATGAAAAAATTTAATGTGCATCGTCATGCACTGTTTGAGAAGCTATTTTTAAAACTTTGAAATTGTAATTTTCTAGCCTTTCTTAATGAGTTATTTCAATCAGACATTGTAATAAGGCACACTTGAATATGTGACTGCATAGAACCTGGGTAGTATAAATCTCTTTTAGTTATTAATAATTATTATTATTATTGTAAGTTGTTATTTTAATTAAATATGAGGAAATTTTACTTGCAGCACACTCCTAAAGCAACACCACCTCCCAGTCCATCACAGAATGCTCAGTCTGTTCTCGTGGCTGATATAGACCTGGATGAGGGTCCTAAGGCAGAGTTAGACTTGTGCACAGGGTCCAAGGATGCATATGTTGTAGAGGTAAGCTGGATGTCAGGGCTCTCAGTCCCAGGGTTAACCTAGTTGTATTTATTTTTGTTCACAGTGCTCCAAGCTGCAACAGAGTTTGTTGTATTCAGCAAAAATTGTGTCAACCAGATATATAGCTCAACCCTTAAACTCCCAGAAGTGATTAGCATGTAACTTCTCCCCATAGTAACCATACAACATTCAGCAAACAGGAAATAAGAATACTCAAACTTATCAGGTAGAGATTGTTATCTTAGCTTGATCTAATGCCAAATTCTCATATTAACTAATTTACAAGGAAATGTGTCATAGCTATAGCATAGAATAAACAATTAGATCTCTGGATTTCATTGGTTAAGTCATTAATTTGGCCACCCATATTCCAAGGTCATGTAGCGAGCTTTAATTTTATTATTTCTTAGTATGAGTGACCCAAAGTTAAGCAGAGGTAAACATTTGTGTTGAATATCATACATACATCATCATTTTCTTTAATTTATACAAGTTTGCTTCTTTGTTTCCTTGATTGTGCAACCACTATAACCCATGAACCTTGTCAATACTTTAATTTTTGGTATTTCCTTATTATTCTAAAATTTTGGAGGCATGCCTACACACTTTCAGAATATAACATCTGCTTGTTAGGTTGATGACAAGAAGGATGAAGATGTGGTGGCTGTTTTGCTGGATGAGCCAGCTCCTGATGGTAAGTGTAATGTATAGACACATAGACAAGGATGAAATTAATATGGAAGCAGCCTAAGTCATGCTCAGCATTCCTGATCTTACATATGATCCTCTGCAACATATAAATATGCATGCATGAACTTAGAAGCAGCTCTCTTATGGCTAGCATGTGAGATCAAGAGGTGGGGAACTGAGTTTTGGACAGTCAATTTTTGTGTTCTTGAGTAAATTTGTAATAGCTTCAGTGCCCCTTTGCATGGTACTATTATAATAATAGCATCAACAATAGTCTTAACCCTTTACACCCAAAAATTGATATTCATATTCTCCACTCTAACCTCTTTACAACTCACATCAAGTCTTGGTGTACTAACAAAGGTACTGGCACTTTTGATTGTCAATGTATCTTTTCAATTTGATTAACGCCTTCCCCTTCCCAGGTTGTTATTCCTGCAATACTGAAACACTACCTGGTGCAGTTCATCTCAAATCAGGAGTAAAGGTACAAGTTAGAACTATCAAATGTGCCGTTGTGTGTCAATTACAATAGGCCATTTTACAATTGTGTACTTGGTTGCCAAGCCTTTGATTTGGAGTGAGGCCTAAGGTGACCTTGTTGTGATAGTGACCAGTATCTAGTTTGCATGATGACGAAGTAATTTTGAATTTTAAAGGCAGCAAGGTTTGTATCATAACAAGGTCAACCTTAGTCTCACTCCTGTTCAAAGGCTTGGCAACTAAGCACACAACTGTAAAATGGACTATTATGTTGTTCTACTGTATGGCAATGATAGACTTTATTTCTGGAATTGGTCTTAATTAGATGATAACAGCAGTTCAGAGAAAAGCACTGAGTGATGAGGACATAAGAACAAATCAGCAGTTTGCCAAGTTGTTTGAAGACACAATAAAGGTTGGTACTATACCAGTGCTTTAATTTACTTTATCTCTACCCATTTATTAGTTTAACATCTTTGTAAATATTCACCATCTCCTGGTGGAGTTTTGGACCATCACTCATAGCCAATGAAGTTTTTATTTCATTTTCTTTCTTTTAGCACCTCTCTCCATGGAAGAAATGGTTGTCTGTTGCAGGCAACCCAAAGTGTCTGAGTCAGTCAAGGCTGCATTTGTACAAAACAGAATTTTGACTTTTCTTTTTTATAAAAAACACAAATTCAAATGCAGCCATGGGAAGCTTGTATTCTTTGTTCATTTTCTACTTCGTCATCTGTCACCATCATAGAAATAGGCAACAAGGTCACCTTCAGCCTCACTCCAAATCAAGGCTTGGCAACTAAGTACGCAACTGTAAAATGGCCTGTTCCCATACACGTGTTGACCACCATTTTGATTTTTGCTTTTCAGAGTTTCTGGTTCAAGCTTCGTAGCAGATCTCCATGCTGTCTCTCAAATGTACAATTTGATATTGAAATACCAGAAGATGACAATATTCAGGTAACTTTAATTTAACCCTTTAGCCTCTAAGAGTGACTAGCATCTAATTTCTCCTTGCAATATCACCCCTGAATCAAACATGAAAGTCATGAGAATAGAGAAGATGATCACCAACTAAAGTAGCCTTCGATTGGGAAACAAATTTTGCTCATCAGCCTATATCATTCTATATCATTCTTTACCCAGGTGGCCGTAACAGGTGTGGCTGTTTCTATAGGGGAAAGAGATAGTGATGAAGGACATATTTTGAAGTTAAAAAGAAACATATTAAGTGACAAATGTAAGTAACATCTAAGTTTCATTACTGATTCAGATATGGAAAGTTTGAGAGAAAATTAGGACTGAACATAGTTCTTGGAGTCATGAGGGACCTCAAACAAACCACAACAGGTGACAAGGAAGAGGAAAAACAAAATATTTAGTGGGCAGAACATCTGCATGTGTGTTTCAAACTTTGTACATTTTTAGCAATCCTCTGCAAAAAAGTTTCTGTGGTCTGAGAATGTAAACTCTGACAGAAAATTATTTAAGTTTCCATTTGCTGTTCACATGGGTTATGCTGAAAGTGAGCTGTGGTGTTGTAAGAGATGGTAAACACATCCAGCCATTCACGAAATACTAACAGAAAAATATGAATTATTATTAATTGATATCTTCCTCGACTACTAATTATAAGGTCCTATTGCTAGCTCTGCTGAAAGACACTGCAGACAGTTTGGTCAACAACAGATACACCTGGAACTCTATGTTACAGTAGTTCTAATATTCCTCCAATCTTATCCTCCACAGTATTTCTTTTTTTTCCTGGGGTAGTCCTAGTTCAGCTATTGATTGCTGCATGATCTCTTTTCAGCCCATTCCCGCTCTTTGCACTCTGAAAATATGATGGAATCTGATGATTTACTTTTTCCCATTGAGGAGGTGGTGGACAATGCAGCAGATGAGAAACTAAAATCTGAATCAGGTGCTTTAAAGTGAAAGAAACTAAATTTCTTCTACGTACTTCCCAACTCTCACACCCAAAGATCATACACATCTACTTCATGGTAGCATGCTCCTGACAACAAATTTTTCAAGCCTAGTGAAAAAACGTACACTTCTCTATTTCATTTTCTTAAAATAGATTATGAAAAATAGGCATATATCAATGGGAGAAAGCAAAAGTCATAGTTTGTAATTGATTATAGTTTCCCCAATACATATGAATGTAAAGGAAAGAATACTCAGTAAATGTTTTGTTAGAACTGTATACATGCAGAATATCTTTAAAAATCATCTTCAGGGTCTTTTTTATATGATCCTGTACAATCAAGCTTCATGAGTTTGAATAAAAAAATTAAAGCCCTGGCTTATATTTCAGACCATGTTCAACTACAGTGCTTCAATATTTTCAGCTTTGAATAAGTGCTAAAATATTTTGCATTACAGATCCCATTTCCAAAAGACGGCTTGATTATCCTCTATGTGTAAAAACAAAGGTAAGCTAGATAATTCATACCCATTGGTTAATGGCTATCATCCACCATGAAAATAAGTGATCTACTTTTCTATTTCAATGAGTGACTTTCATTTTGACAATTATTTCCATTCAAGTTCTTTAAAAAAAAAAAGGAAAAAGAATTTGGTATTACAAACAATTTTGATGATATTTTTCAGCAGGCCCCATATCGCCCTGCAGTGGAGGTGACATCAATGTCCTACTTACCAAATACACAAATTGAATGTTACCTTGGCAACATCAACTTGTTCTTAATAAGAGAAAGTCATACAGTACGCGAGGTAAAGACAAAGCTTGGTTGCTATTTTAATGTTCCAATTTTTGTTTCAATATTATGATCCTATGGTGAATATAAAAGTAATCTTCAGAGTAATAAACACTACTTGAGCAAAGTGAAAATAAGGCTTGAAAAAAAATTCAGGCCTGTACTGGTCATTATGATGGTTCCAAATAAACTCACTGCTCAAGTATTGTTCATTACTGCAAAGATCGCTTTTATATTCACTTCCTTATCCACAGTTCACATAATTATATGATTTTCATATATTCACAGTCAGCTATGATCTTATAATCAATTGTAAGTTCTAAACTTCATATTTCTCTTTTCAGAATGGTGGTTTAAATGTATTCATGCAAGCATTTGTTGCTGAGGCTCAAGCAATTCTGAGAGCACATGTCCTAGCCATTGGAGGAAATGCTCTGGTGTCCTACCAGTTAAATGAAATTGTTTTATTGGATAATCCTCATAAACATCAGGTGGAGTTAATAAATTTTTAACCCAATTATAATTGTAAACACAAGGCACATTGTCATAGTGAAGGAAATGTTATCACATCACAGTGAGAGCCACATTCTCAGGATGAAAGCAAATGATGCATCAGACAAGCTTGCTTGATGACAAAGTCTTTTACTTTTATTGTTGCCATGACCTTTGACCCCTGAGAGTTACTAGCATCTGATAACTCCTTACAATATCACCTCTGGAAATATCTCATTAAGGTATTGAGATCAAAGGAAATCACCAACTAAAGAAGCTCTCCACTGTTCAACAAATTCTCCATGTTAGCACCTTAGCAATTGTGTAGGGATCAGTATTGAGAATGTGCATTCTGATGTTAGGGTGTAAAGGTTTAACGTAGTTGTAATTGATTTTTAGGGACAATGCTTACTTAACATAAGTGGCGATGCTGTCAGGGTATTTTATGAGGATGAAGACATATTGGAGACATCAAGTCGAGGAACACCTCGTAAAAGAACTGTCTCATACTCGGAAGCCAATTCTCAAACACCAATCCATATTGTACGGCAGCGATCCGTCTCTGCCTCAGAAACTTCCACTAACACACTGATAGCATATGATCCATGCTATGGGACAGAAATATAGCACATAAAGCCTTGTAAATACCAAGCAAACTTAGAAGGGTGAAGTAGAGTTGGCTGGCTAAACATTCTGTTGTGTTTGCTCCTGGAACTCTTGCAAGATTAAAGGCTCTTGTGAGTCAGCTCAAGAAATGTTTGGACTGGTGTACAAGACAGACAATGGAGAAGAAATGGCAGCTTTGGAGTACTGAGAGAGTTTGGCAGTAGTACCATTTCAATTTGAAATATCTTCAAAACTGGGCTAGCTTGCAACACAGACTTTACACGAAAAACGTAGAAATTAGAGTTGTTTCTCTGGAACTGCCATGCATACAGCAGCAAAATTAACCTATTGACTCTGAAGCATTTTGCTTGCTTTTGCACAAATTATGACTTTTAGGAAACCCCTTTTGGTAGTGACTTCAAAGAACAATTATTTAGAGCCCCTCCAGATTTGTTGATTAAATTAAAAGTTATTTGCAGGCATTGAGATGATAGTTTCTTGTTAAGTATCACATGATAAAATCTCAATAAAATCAAGATTAAAGATGAACATCACTGAAGTGTTTCCTTTGTGTATGTAAACATGCCTGCATATGGGATGACCAGAGTGAAATTTGTTGGGTTCACACCTAAAGAGCTTAACTTTACTCTGTTATTGATCCCAAAAAGTTGTGCCTCTCTCTTAACCAATCAGATGCAAAACTAAAACCAATCACAACCTAATGGCCTGTGTTTTCCAGCACCTTAAGTGGTTTGTTTGCTTTTAGTCTGGGTTCTCGTTGGTTCTTGATTTCCTTGTGATTACTTTGGTTTGAGTTTTTTGACACTCAATCAGGAAGTGCTCCACATATAAGAGTAATTCAATCCAGAGAAATATGGCCAAATACAAGCTTAAAACAATCTTTATTTAAAAAAGTAAGAAGAAATCAATGTTCATCCTCTGGTAATTATAATCCTGTACAAAAACCATTTGATAAGGTCATGCAAGGCATGCTTTGGCTGTAATTTGATCCAATAACTGCCGAACATATCACTCTTTAAACATACAAATACTGTTTTTCATTTTTTATCACATCTTTTCAGATTTGTCGTAATTTATTAATTCTTTTTTAATAGCATTTAAATTAAAAATTAAGACATTATGAATGTTGTTCAAGAAAATTTTGCATGCTGTGCATGGCTATGTTTCAGTCTATTTATTGACTAGTACACAGGAACCCCATTAAAGAAGTCACCAACAGGCTAGAACAAATTGGCTGTATTCACCCCTTAACTCCCATGAGTGACCAAGATAGAATTTCTCCTTACAATATCATTACAATATCAACCAGATAAATGATGAGAATAAGGAAAAATATCAATTTGGGATAATTAGTTGATCCAATACTAAATTCTCTGAACTAACATTTTGAGAATTGTATGGTTTACAGTAAGGAGAATTACAAATTTGATCTGGGAGTTAAAGGGTTAACAGGGTGTCTGTATTATTCTAGGGTCAAATTTCATACTTGCTTCTCATTTTGCCAGAGCAGCAGTTTGCATCAAGATTTGCTTCCTTTAACATGTTTGTAAATGAAAACTAGGAGGAATGTTGCACTCTTGCTTACCAAATTCATATAGTAACTGGGCTGTTTCATCAGTAAATGACAGAGATCAATGAAATTGACACATCACAGGCACTTTGGTTTTCTGAATTTAGGGCTAGTGACCATAATAATTGGGGGGGGGGATTATGAAATATTCTACTGTTTTTGATTTTAGAATGTGGCTGTTGACTGTATCAGTGAGTGAAATTATGAGACCACTTTGCTGTCCCCGAAAAAAGGGGCCATAAGGTGGAATTCCGAAAGGAAAGGAATTTGCTATTTTGCATTAAATATTGCAATAATGTAAGTTTATAAAAATAAATAACAAAATTGTTTAATTTTCATCTTCATCTCATATGTTAAGTATAGGGACTGTTGTCTCTCCTTGATTGCCATTAAATTTAGAGGTAGAAAATATTAACTTTTAAAAGATAATTGTTAATTTTGAATTAGGAATTTACAAATTTCTTGCTTTTTATTTATTTATGTTGAAGCTTTAATTCAGTCTATTCATTTATATATTGATTTACTTGTATTAGTAGTGTCTTTAGAAAAAAAAAAGATTATTTCTAATCATATTATGAAATGTGTATGGCCATAAATTAAAGATTGTTTCATTTTTCATCCCATATGTTCAGACAGGTATTAATTATTTGCTTTTCATCTTGACCATTGCAGTCTTAACTAAGAGGTTAAACAGGGACAAATTTCTTGCCTTAAAAAAAAGATCAAAACAATAAAATTTACCAGGGCAATGTGGGTAATTGGTTGTGCTGTAATTATATCATACACTGATGAATCATTTAAAGAAAAACGATAATAATTATGCAGTTCTTTTTATCCTATATTTTCAGATAGGTTTCTTTGTGAAGGTGCGTTATCTAGAATGTCTAACTGAAGACGACTGTACCTTTCTCGATAACTCAACAACCCTAAAAAGCAAACTCCAAGACCAGAGACTGTTACCCAATTCATCCAACGCACGTCAGACTGTGGGATCATAAAAGCTACATAGAACAAAAGTAAAACTACATTTCCAGCAGTAATTATAATTCCTCCAGCAATGCCTTCTCCAACAGGATAAATGCACTCCATGGCAAGCTCAAAATACAATGGCAATGTGCCATTGTACACAAACCCACCAAAAATGATTGAGCTGTATAGAAGTGGTTTTGTGGATGGCAAGATTCCTGCACAGGACAAACTGAAAATCAGCTGGGAAAGTGTTGATAAAATTAAGAGCACGGCCAGTATTTGTTTGGTTCTGTGTCTTATGTAATCTGCAAACCTACAAAATAGATAAAACCAAGTGCCGGTGAGTAGTTTATTAGAGAATGGCATACAAAAAGGTAACTGTAATCTTAAAACTGCATGGACACATCAACTTTGTTGCTAACTGCAAACTTCTTCAGCCAAGAAAAAAAAATTCATGGACTTCAGGATGATATGAAATGTCCACAACAATTTATGGTGATATTTGAATAAAAATGAAAACATCAGAGCAATTCAAATGGAATTTCTAAAAGAAAAGGTTTATATTTTTTGGAAGTTGATGGAGGTGTTGGTGATGGAGGTGTGGCAAGCATGATCCAGTGATGAAATAATACCCAAAAAGATCATTAGACTGAATGCTTTGCCAAACTAATCATGAGCAAACAATATTTCTGTACCAAGGGGTAAAGGGGGGATGTGAATCCTATAAATATTCATTTTCAAGGGTTCAAGGCCCCCAACCTGCCCCCCACCCCTAGCTTCGTCACTAACAAAACCAAGAAAAGACATCCATAGGGGTCAAACGAATGCCTCCAAGATACCACACTCATACACACTCATTCCTATTGAGATTTGAAACACCATATTAGAAGCATGGTAAATAATTAACTACCTGGCTAGTGCAATCCCAGAAAACACCCCTGCCAAGGTAGCAGAACATCCCAGCCATCCTGCGGTGATGTCATCCACACCAAACTTTGCAAGGAATACATCCAGCATCGACAACCATCCAAAGTAGATTCCAAACGTTAATCCAGTTAGTGTTGCTAACAGCCAGAAAGACCGATTTCTTGTGAGGTTTCGAAATGAAGTCTTAGTGCTAAGTCTCTGAGATGTGGAAGATGTGAGACTTGGAGGAAGTGGTGGTCTTGCTGGAAAATAGAGAAGGATGCAGAAAAAAACAAGCGCACATAGCCCAAGTTCAAAATACATATACTTTGTCAACTGATAATCTGCTAATCTTGTCAGTCTTTCAGGGCAATCAGAAGAAGATGAATTACTTGCATTGCTTGGCACAAACTGGTTTGGTACCATGGCAGGTCCAATGGCAAAGGACTGAGCAATACCAAAATACCCAGCTAATGTAGCAATTGCAGTGGCTGTGGTGCGTTCCCCAGGAGGAAACCAGGTTGCAGACACCAGGGGGGGTCCACCAATGGATACTGGCCCTCCAGCCATGATAAGGAACTGACCTATATTAATGACAATTGTCCTCACTTCCTTGTCATGAAATGGTATAACATGAAAGACCTTCCCAAGCACTGACAAAAAGGCTGTTAATAACACAGACACTCTCAGACCTACCAACAACAGAGAACCAATGTTATTTACAAAATTGGTGTTTAACACACTCATTGCACAGTTTATACCATCCACTATCTCTGTAAAGGCATTTCCATGAGAGGGACACCTCTTTTAGATGGATAGCAACACTTTGAAAGCATCTAAAGAAGTGCTTTTTAAAATGAAAAATACTACAAAACAGAAATGAAGGTGGTTAATATGACAGAAAAAGTATTTTTTTGACAAATATTCCAGACAAACCTCCACAGGAAGTCCTAATCTTGTTTGTTTCCTCCTGCTTAATATCTATCTTCAGACTAACCCTTAAAGACACACCTTCCCATTTGGGTCAAATTTAAGATGAAGAAGGTAACCCTTCTCCTTGATCACATAAATGGAGAAGTCGCTCGGCCAAAAATACGCAAGATGAGAGTAGCAGAACAGTAACAGAATAAAAAAAATAAATAAAGCAAAATCCCTTGAATTAAATTAGTAGCCATACATTCAATAATTGCGAAATATTTAATGCATTGAGCAACAAAAATCTTTTTGACATCAACTGATCTTGCAAATCAGGGCGTAAATAATCTTACCATAATACAATCGTAAGAAAGAAAATTCTGAGGTAGAAATGAGACAAATAAGTACTTTGACCTTGTATGTATTAGTTAGCTACAGTTCTCCAGAACCAAAGCACAAACCTTTAGAATCCATTAACCACGTTAGTGGTACCGAAGTCACTATGAGTGAAATTGCAGCCCAGGAGGAAAGCAAAAGGATATCAAAGTCTGTCCAGCCAAAGGCAAGTTTGGTCGGTTCTTGAATAGGAGCCCAGGTATTCCATGCCATGTTATAGACGTATGCATTTGCTGTAAAAACGAATAGCACATACCACCTCCGCTTATAAACTTTAAATCTTATTTCGGTTATTGAAGACATTGATGACGAAGTGAGACGATCGCCGTTTTCCAGAAGAGTGGTTCTCTCGTTCGATGCCTCCATTTCCGTACAATACAATGCTGTGCGGAAGAAACCGAGATGAAATGTGTTTTGTGTCCGCCGAAAAATTAATGTTACACGAAACAATACACTTATTACGTCATATCCGCTGCGGAAGTTTACGTAATGCAACTGTCACACAATACCATTCCGAAGCTGGTCACGCTGAACGAGTACCTCCAGATCGAGGACGAAAACCTGAATCAACCAATCAGGAAATCAACCAATCAGGAGCCCTTATAAAGGGCTCCTGAAAGGACAAATTTGCCGGTTCAAGTAGCCTTACGTGTCTTCAGGGAACTTTATTTAGCCTCGAATTTAAGTAGCATTTGATCCAGCTCTAAAAGCTCGCGTAAACATATTGTAACCTGTTCCAAGTTCTCAGGCGAAGGAGCAAGCGAACGGCACATGGCACTTGTGGTTGACAGGGAAACGGCTACGGCTCATTTCATATTTTTTTATTGCCTGACCTAGTCCAATTTTCACATACCTTCCCTTTATGCTTACTCAAAATTATGTCAAGATAAAATATTTTAGCTGAAGGTGCAAACAAAAACGAACAGACGCAATGATCAGTTTTGAGAGCCAGATGAGTGATCTCAAATTAATTCCATGACATATAACTGTTTTTTTAAATTGAATGACCTTGTAAAAGAGCAACAAATCTATGCAATCTGTAGGCTGATAATTTACATATGTCAGTTCCAATTTTCTCAGTAGGTGCCCTGCTCGTCATTGTTCTTTTACATTAAACTCGTTCATACTCTAGCGCGTCCGCTAATCTATTCAATGCGCAACCTCACAGAGAAAACAATACTTCGGTTAATACCAACGTTGTTTAAATGACTGGACCGTTAATTACCGGACAGTAAAAGAAAACTTGATTTTAAAGGAACATTGATTGATTTTTGGGTTTCATTAAAACCGTATTAGACTAATTAGGAAGATGTGTTGTTTTCTTTGCTAGTTCCACTTGGATGAGCGCATAACACCAAGCCAAACATAAGTGTAGGCCGGAATAATCGCGGTATGAATAATTGCCATTGTGGCGGTTCGATTTGTTTTCAGAAGGAAGGTGGCGTATCGTGATTTTGTTTATTCTCGCCAGGAACTGAAATTTTTGTTCGATGTTGTGCCAAGGTCTGTTGACAAGGAAATATCACAATACACTGACAAAAGCACTTCACGGCTATCAGTCAAAAACATGAAGCATTGACGTATGGTGGGCTGCATTTAAATGTGTACTCTTGGTGTAGTTATGCAGCACGAGCGTAGTATCAAAGACAACACGGTAAACGTTTCAACAAAAGTAGAGAAAATACTTGATCAAGGCGAAAAAGGACCGGAGACAGTTACTAGGACCAAACGCGGCCGAGTGCGTTTATTAAGAAGATGCACATCACAGAAACATTTGTTGGATGAAAATCAAAAGGATGGCGGCGAGGGGCGAAACAGACAAGACTCAATTATTTCGTCCACAAGTAGCGGTTTGTTGTTTGTGAGGCCGCTCTCTAGCTCTACCAAAAAGCAGGGCGCACCCGAGCTGTTTCCCCGCCCCAAATCAAGTCTCATGGAGGCGTCAGGAACTTCAAAAACCAGGAAAGCAAGTGACTCTAACTCTGATCGATTAACGAGAAGAAGAAGCTCAAGCTCGTCGTCGTCAAAAACCTCAGTGCCGTCTGTGGTGAGGAGATCGAGCTATTTTAGCTTACAGGGCCTTCGACGAACAATTGCAACTGACCATGGAGAAGCGAAACAAATGAAAAAGAAAGGGTCTAGAGAAGATTTCGGCCGGTTTTTTAAGGGAATGGTCACAGTAATAAACGAGGAGGAGATGGAAGAGAAACGACAACTGGTTAGTTTTAGTATCTCCTTAATTTAATCACTTGATTAATAGTTCTGGTTTTTGATAACAAGCTTTATTATGCGTTGCCACAGAATTAATGCGTGACCCCGTCCTAAATAAATCTTCCCATTCTTCTTTTGGATTGAGCGCATAAGGAGATGCCGAGTGTCTCTAAAACTGTTTTCAAGGTCATTTTGAAAAAAATTTTTTTATTGGATACGAAATATTGAGAAATTAGGCAAGCTAAACATTTGGAATAAATTGGTTTTAGCAACTGAGCTGATGATAAAAATTGACTACCGTTAAGAGTTTCTTAAGCTAACGACGTTTCGAGCGATAACCTTTCGTTAGAGCAACGAAGTGGCCAATGTACATTATCAAATCAGTTGTTAAGATCGAATTATCTTGTAAATGGCCCTTGCCGACTCAGCACGACAGTTTCTTTGGAAACTTACCCACTTTCTTCATGTATTTTACATGCAGAAGTTTTCTTACACCTATAGCAGTGCCTTAAATTTCACTGCCGCTGATTCCCTAAGTGTTTCCATCGCTTTTTGACAGCTTTCCAATACCTTTATGGTTAGATGAGCATCTTAGTTGACATTTGTTTCAGCACAAATAAATCTATGTCGGAGTTTTTATTGACATTTGATTCAACAAACGGAGGCACCAGTTAATAGGCTACACTGGCCTTTAATTACTTTTTAATTGCCTGCGAAGTTTGTGTAACCAACAAAAGACAAAACATAGTGAGTAAACAGAAACCTGAAATACGACAGAAAATGTACAAAAAGCGTACAAGAGTAAATCATTTTGTACTTGGAGAGATTTGATTTTAAGGAATCTCTGCATCGCATGGCAAATTCCATTGCTCGTTCTGCGTGGTAGTTAATGCATTTTGTGATTATCACAGCAAATGCATTTTCTATCATTTCATCTTAACAAAGAACAATAAAACGCGCGGTCGCTATTTTGAAAATTATTTTTTTCAGTGCAAAATAACAATCAATCACAGACGCTTTGTTGATCACTGGAGTGCTACGTCGTTCCTGTTCTAGAATGAAATCCTACTGGGCAGGATACCAGGCTTCTGATGTGCAAATGCGATGTTTGACTTTTTGTTACAAGCAGGATGTGTATCAGAGTCGTTGCTGTTTGATAGAGTGTGGTAAATCCACCAAAACAGAGAAATCACAATCGCTGATCAGAATAATGGAAAATATAACGAGAAGCCAATTAAGGCTGAAACCAAAAGCAAGCGCTGGCAAACGGCTTAAAGCGCGGGAAAGCGCGAATGACCTAGTCGAGATCGATTCGTTGAGAAAATGAAGCGAGTTTTCTCGAGCAATTGCCGAGTAAAATAAAGTAAAACCAAACCAATCTTGAAATACTTTCGGCACTCAATAAAAAGTTACCCTATTGTAGACTGGATTTCATATGACCGTCTCCAAGTAATCACGTGAAAGGCAAATCATACAAAATAACTACAACGAGAAATCAGAGCAGATACTAGCAAACTGCCTTGCACTCAAGGCACGGAAAAAGCAATCGCGAATTGATTTTAGTTTTGCATCTAACTTGCGATCAGTCCCTCATTTTCGCCGGGGTCATCTCGCAAGTAAAAAAAAAGTAAAATAATGGGAAAATAACAAGAGTCCAAGTAATGGGCTCCTGGAAAATAATTGATGTTAGCGCGCCACACTGAAGTCTTTTGGTGCCCTTACTTTCAGAATTCTGCGCAGCGCGCTCACATTATTTCTTTACTCGATGATCTTTTCTGACTCGAGCGACGGACTTCCTCGAAAAAGAGGGAAAACTTGTAGTCTACCGAAAAAAGTGGTGAACGTTTCTAGACCAATCAGAGAGCTAAGTATAGGTGAAATCAAAGTAATTCTGAATTACTTTGGATTCTCAACATCAGTTTTGTAAAGTGGTAAGTAAGTCTCTTTTCATACCTTTTTTTTTTTTCATCTTTTCAGGCTCTTTCAAGGTTTCGCCGTGCTGTATATCTGATTCGCATTTTCAGTTCCTTATGTCTTAGCATCAGACGATATGCTGACCAAGACAAATCTCGACAGTATGATTTTTACTACATTAGAGACATTTTAATGGGAGACGATGACGGAGGAACTACAGTGAAGGAAGCCCCCATAACTTTCAACAAAAACCTTTTCTCTAGGGATAACACGGTAAAACAATCCTTGTATGGCAAAATTGTCCCCCTTGTAACAAATTTGTTGTATGAAAAGCTTGCGGTTAATAGTCATCGTGGTGATTACACACTTCTATAATAAGTTATATTTGCGTGTCTCACGATGTAGTCGTTTCCGATGTAGATCGCAATGTTTCGATTGCATACTACATGCCTACAACTTAGGTAGTCTGCGAGCAAGCCGTTTTCATAACTGAAGCACCTCGGCACGAGTGTTTCTTCGCCCGCGGGAAGGATTAGGCCTTGAGCAACGCAAGCCATTAAGAGATCTGTAAGGGGCTCAGGGACCTCTCCCCGACTTGTCTCAAATCTTCCCGCGGGTGGAGAAACGCACACCCTGCAGCGCTAATAATAAGGCCTTTCTCGCAGGCTATCTTCAAGCGATAAGGGTTGCAATCCTTTTAGGCAATCTAAATCCCGATTTTACGATCCAAAATTCAATTTCCGTTCCATTAAGGACCAAACCAATCTAAGATTGCAATCTGAGCGATCTACCTACGAACTTCGATCATTCGGATAGGTATCTCAATTTGGTTTCAGATGTTTGTTCCTTTTAACTGAACCAGCCTGGATCTTGATCGTGCTAAAAAATTAAAAGGACATGGCCGACACCAGAGATAAACATGACGGGTCAATACGTGAATTTTCAAGTCATTCTAGGTTCTTGACAACTGCTTCGTTCCTCCTGAAATCTTTGTGGTTGTGGAAGTTGAACTTGGGTGTTGAGAGTAGGTAAAAAAAAGTTGGAAATTCGCACCCTAAAGTCCGTAAAACGGCATCTATATTTTCAGTTACGCAACGTAAGCATCCGTCCGAACTGCAACATTTCTGTACGTTTTGTTATGCTTCTCAAACATCATAAAAATGGGCAAGTCATCTACTTTCAAGATGGTTTCCCTTTTTTTCTGTATTTCCTTTACAAACTCTTCTCGTAAGGAGTGAAAGGCTAAAGTCGACTGGGTACGCATCACCTCTGGCAATCAGTAACGATAATTAGTGCCCGACCCTCGGCAAACCTCTGCCCTCCCGCCTCAAATATTAGGGACCTTTAGCAGTTATGACAGCAACGCCAATGAAGACGTCGATTTAAAAATATATACATATTTTTAGTTGGAATTTCGCGAATGACAGGATGTGCTTACCATCTGCTATGGCGCCGCAAGTTAACCGCTCAGCATAAGGTATGAGAGCGGCGTTGAGTTCCAAATGGAAACTTAAATAATCTGCTGTCGGGGTTTCCTTTCTAGGACCACGCAAATTCTGATGATTTCACGTTGTTATTTTGCAGAGGACAGCTAAGAAATGTACCCAGTTTTAAAACGCACGTGCTGAGCTATTGTTCTGCTCATTAGATCTTTTGTTTTACCACGATCTCGTTGCCGTCGTCGTCGTGGTTTGCTAAAGTGCCTATTTCCGCGGCCGGAGAAACGGGCTTCCTGCAGCGCTATTAATAAGGACGTGCTCGCAGAATATCTTCCGGCGAAAAGTTCGACTGGGTACGCGTCATTTTATGAACCACCTGCAGAAGACTTACAATTTGCAGTCGAAACAATGCAATCCACATCAGAAACGATTACAACAGGAGGCAAACGATTATATCAATTACAACGATCAAAATCTTTGATCATCTTGAAATCTTCCTCAACCAAATTTACAATTTACCTTCTCTCCTAATCTTCCTGCCCTAATGGCACTTTCATTGGTGCTGATCCTCGTACTATTCAGGACATGAGCATGGACCAATTCACTCTCGAGTTCTCTGCAGCTCATGTAGTTGATGGAGCGTACGATTAGCAGCCTGTGATTCGTGCGATATCAGCTTGAGGGGTTACGTGGCTAAGTAGAAAATTTTTCCCAAACATTTATTATCTTAATATTTTTCTACAGCTTCATTTTCCACTATGGGCTCGTTTGATTTGTGCGAAGAAGCCAGAACATAGAAGCGAGGCTGAAATGAACAAGCTTGTAACACTGCTGCGTGGCATGAAGAGCTTTGGAAAGTTTTCCCGTGAATCACAGCGAAACTTGTGTCAAACAATGACCTATGCCTGGTAAGATTTTTATTTTAGTGTGTTGAAGCGCTTCTCGCTTCTCGTGAAATGAAAATGGTGTAATAACACACGACGACCATTCAGAACAAAGCAAAATATCTCTGGGTGTCAGTTAAATTAATCAAATTGAGAACTGACGGCCTTAAGCGCAGGTAAACGCGAGTGACCAAATCGCGTTTGGTTAAGTTGTATATCAGATGGATCTGGAGGGTAGCGGTAGATTTCGTCACACTATGAGCAGAGCAGAGCAGAGCAGAGTAGAACAAAACCTGTGTAGTCACAAGTTAATTCTGACGCTGAGCTTGTAGTATATTTTCTATACCTTAGGCTCTCACATGAAATAATAGCCTGAAAACTCATCATTTTGCGCTTAGTTAGAGAAGTGACTATTTAGCATGGTTTAAGAACACGTTTCAGTTCTATCTTAATAAAGACAGAATTCCTTGCAATTCTCTTCAATTACTACTTTGATAAATCCAACTTACCTGGCGTGTATCTGTTCATAGCTATGATCGCAGAAGGCTTATCGTTCGACAAGGACATCCGGGATACTGTTTCTACTTCATAGTCTCGGGCTCAGTCTCCGTCACCATAACTCGGTTGGACTATAAGACAGGGGTCTACGTAACAAACACTGTGGATGTACTGGAGAAGAACGAAGCCTTTGGGGTAAAGTTCCTTATGTAGCTGTTATAGAATGTTCTCTTCCTAAATCCCACATTGATCAGTAGTGTTTATAGGTTTATAGCTGTCTAAAAAAAGGAAGGTTTCACCAATTCCGCGAGATTACTTTCCAGTACAATAAGAGAAAATCAAACTAAGAGAAAGACCCAATTGATTAATTCTAAACTCAAGGGATCTGATTCCCTGAGGAATGTTACGTGTACCTCGAGTGTTGCTTAAATATTTTGGTATAAAACGTGATCAATGTTCCATTTAATCACACGAAGCTTTTGTCATTTTTTATCCTATCGGCAGGAAGAACGCTTGTCTCTTTTAGAACATTGATAACCCACCTCACCATCGACGTCTCTGTAGTTTAGACTTAAAGCAGCGGAGAGCGAAAACCGAGGATCTGGTGTTTGACCCCTTTAGGTTGACTAAGATTTTTCTCTTTTTCCTTTACTTATGACAAATCGAAGAGCACTGATGTCTTTCCTTTAAAGGCTTCTTATCTCAAAATGTCCCTGGGATCTCCTAATTGATTTAGATGTAATTCGAGACGGGCCCCCTGAGGAACAGGGCCCATACAGTTGATTGAGTCACTTTGCTGAATCTTTTCTCAAGTGCAAACGGTATATTGCCCCTCTGTCTCCGTCTGAGGCCAGGAAATCTCAAAGATGGATCTCATACAAAACAGGGCGCCGAGTATTTGACTACGATGTATCCCATCCACGATTTCAGGACGGCAAATAAAACGGGTCTTTAAATTTTCCTTTCTTCAGGAGATAGCGCTCATTTCAGAGGAAGCAAGGCGAACAGCCACAATCATATGTCGGGAAAGAGTCGAGGTACTTGTGGTAAACAGGGAGACCATCTTGGAATACTGTCCAGACGTGTTTCAAAGAGAATACGAAGAAAAACTGCAAGTTATGAGGTAACCTCAGCTTACACTTTTCACCTTTCAAGGTCCTTAGTTTTTAAATACCCTCAGTTGCGGAATCAACACTCCAACTGTATCGTCCTCCGTAAAAAATTCTTTAATCAACAATTATTAAGTTCCGTCCTTTTTTCCCTTATTTTTCTCCTTGGTTCGAATCTGGTGTCACACCTATGGGCCTTGTTCAATGTTGTATATCATTGCAAGCTTTTGCTCTTTTGGGTGGAAACCTAACCTTAACCCTGTAACTCCTAAGATTTTATTAGTAATTCTCCTTACTGTCTGCCATACAGTTCTTGTGATGTTAGTTTGGAGAAGTTGGTTTTGGGTCAACTTATAATCCCCTAATTATCAGTTATCCCCAGCTATCCCCAGAGGGGTCTGAGGATAACGGAGGGATCAGAGGGATCTGCATACGTAACTGAAACTGAGACCCCGATCAGCAGTTGGATGCAACATCAATACCAGTTTACCAGACCTAACATTACTAACTTGACAGGAATTACCTTAATTTCATAGGGTGTTCGGTCTCAATCTGATGCTCGCTCGTGAAAGTATGTTGCCAAATACACGAAGACGATTCAGTTCTCTCTTGACGCCAGCCTTAACTAGGTCCAGCACATATTCAATTAAGTTGCGAGGAACAGACCGTAATAAGAAAATTATAGTACTGCACCAAACCCGACTGCAAACTCATTCCCAGGGTACCTCTTTTTAGTACCTCTCTCTCCTCCTCCAGGAAGAGGGAAAAAGAGAGATCCTCGAAACGAGGTTGAGCCGAATGATATTTCAAAGAAGACTGTCCCCCAGTCTTTTCCTTTCTTCTCTAATTAACATTTGATGCGTCTTTTATTTTCAGGAGTCATTCCTTGTTTGACGGCTGGGGAGAGGACCTTTTACGACCATTGAGTTTTCGATCACATATCAGAGAGGTAAGCAAGAAAAGGAACACTCAATTTTGGTTGATCTTCCTTCCGCTTTTATCAGTAGAATGCGTAAATGTCAAAGAAAAGGTGCCATTCCTTTTCTAACTCTTCTTTGTTCGTTGCAGTTCTCTTACGGGAAGCTGATCGACGAGGATTCGACAACTTCAGAATCAATTTACTTTATAATAAAGGTAAGCAGTTGATCTGAGGGAACTCAATGTTTACTTTTGCTCGAATGTTTATTTGTTGTATTTAAACCAGTCATCCTTACAGTAAAGAGATACCATATGGCTTTGTCATGAAATTGAGAAATAGCAGTTCACCACTTTAACTCGGAAATCATGTTTTTAATAAGAAAGGCCAAACGATAAGGGAAAAGTTTGTTTTAAAATTAATTACTTGTTTGTACTCGAGTATTAGGTTTGTTTTTGTTTTGCGGGAGGCGCGGTGGCTTAGTAGCTAACTCTGGGTGGAGAGGTCTGGATTCGAGACTAGGCCAAAGGGAGTTTGGGACTGTGAAGTGAACTTGGGTAAGGCACGTCACTCTCACGGTTCCCTTCCCCCACCCCCCACCCCCCATCCCCTATTTCCGAGTACAGATGAGTAGTAGAGAACTGTCAGAGGAACCTGACGGAACGCTGTCTCTGAACCAGCATCCTCTTCAGAAAGAACAGGTAGATACCCGATCGCGAGACACGAGTCCTTTACGTTTCATTTCCTTTTTTTTATCTGTCGCTTTGTTTTGGTAGGGAAAAATAGAGATGTTGCGTCGTGTCGACTTGCAAGCTGTTCTGAAATCTGACGTCACAATCGACTTATACAAGCATCGACCGCTTCCTCGTCCAATAGCATCACTTCCTCGCAAGAAGGGGTCCAATACGTGCTACATCAACGTGGGCTCATTACAACCAGGGGATTCGTGGGTAGGTACTTCATGAATGAGCAAAGAGTTGGTTTTGGGGTCCCATCATAAATGCATGACTGCGGGAAGAGAGTTGGATTTTAATGTTTTGGCATTAAAGGTCAGAAAAAGATGGACGATTATTACCTTTGACACCAATGCAAGAAGCTTCTCTAAAAAGAGGTGTCCTTACAATGACGTTAAGAGGCCAAAAAAGAGGTATAAAGTTTGCGTATGTGTGGTTAGGATACGGCTGTAATAGTGACTCCATATTGTCCTTTCGAGCTGTCAGAACCTAGCTGTCACACAACCACACTATCAAGTAACAAACGATTTTTCAAATCGTGTAACGTTTTTTTAAGCTTGACAGAAAAAAATAAATGTCAAACAATAGAATACCCGTAATGAAATAGACTTCGGTACGAACAATTCTTCTTACATCAACCTTTCCTGTACTTTCGTTTCCTTCACATAACATGAGAACGTTTTAAATTTGTTTAGTAATTCTCGTGCGTCGCTGGAAATTATGTCTCCCTGTAAAATTTTTACGCGGGAAATTACCTTATGGTTGACCAAAATTGGACTGCTTGCGGATGCTCGACATTTGCCCTCCGTGTTGTGCATATCCGATGCTCATTAGCTGTGATTAGCAAGCCTATTCATCAGTTATTCTTCTGCTCCAGGATCTAACGACCATGGGAACTGCTGACCAAGAAGCTGGCCCGGGGAATATTCTAGTCAGCGCTGGAGTTCGAGTTTTAAAAGTTCCCAAGAGGAGAGTTATCGAGTTAAGTCCTAGAGGACACATGGAGACATTTGAAGAAAATTTTAACCCCAAACACAGGTTAGTAACAATAAACCCAGTTACAATTCTAATTCTAAACGCTGTAGTCAGGGTGATTCATTTATTTATATACATGGTTCCTCCACTGATGATATTTACTCCCATGTAGGCTGGAAAGAATGAAATAAAGGCTACCTTTAAAGATATCACCTTTCGAAAGAGAAAAAGCAATTTCTTTAAACAAAGAAGGGCCTTTCGGTTTCTCTTAAAATGTGACTACCCCGCGCGAGCGCATACAGCTAAAACTACGTCATCCAAAACTTAACCCAGACATCCTTGCATCATTGAGTTTTAGCGCACTTTTAGCCTTCAAAGCTGAGAGTCTTTTAGGGTATGGAAATTTTAGCTTCGTACTCAAGTGTGCGAATGAAGTTTCATTGATAAATCCATAATTTTAGCCTGAGTATTTCGTTATTTTCCACGTAGATGCCTATCGGACGAGGAGCTTTATCGAGATTATCTGGCCGCCGAGGCTTGGTTAGACTACAGAAAGAAAGTTGTACGGAATGTTATGGACTCCAAAGCGGGGCGCTTTATTGCCCATGTTTCTGCCACAGAAAAGGGATCCTCAGGCTGGACGACGTGGCCTGGGAGCAAGCCTGGAACGTGATTTTACGAACAAAAATATTTAAACTGAATGAAAAGAGCTGCTTTAATGATCTAACGCGTACGAAAGATACCCTCTGTCCCGACTTCTCTGGAAGAGTCTGGCCATAACAAAATCATGCCTCGCATATGCGAGCAGAGAAAGATATTGAGGGGTCAAGCTACAGCCGTCACTGTCACACAATGTCGGTGGGGGGAATTCACCGGTGTCTTCCGACGTTGCTTGACAAAGAGATGGAAATAAATTATTTCTTAAAGGCATTACATCGACATAGTTATTTTTATTTCACTAGTTTATCTTTTTCTTTGGTTGTTCAGTCTACCCCAATGTTATTATTGGCAGTTCAAGTCATCGGAATATCGCACAATCTGTCCAACTCTTGGCCTTATAAAGGGAGGGGAGGGGAAGAGGTTTTGATAGATAGATTGAGGGATCTGCGGGTTTGCCTAAACATATGAACGGATTACCCATTATAGATTGAGGATCGCATGCTCAGTGTTTGCCTTATTTGCCATAAGACCTTTGCCTTATGTTTCACGTGCCGTCAGACTTCAACGATGAGAGAAAGCAAAAAGGCCTCTCCTGACCGATAGACCCTGACTAATGAGCAATTCCTCTGTGATGTTAAAACGTTACTTTCTCAAACACAAAGGCAGAAAACTTCGTGTAAAACCTTAGAGTTCAAGACATCGGAATATCGCACAATCTGTCCAACTCTTGGCCTTTAAAGGGAGGGGAGCAATTCCTCTGTGATGTTATAACGTTACTTTCTCAAACACAAAGGCAGAAAACTTCGTGTAAAACCTTAGAACTTTCCAGGACAATTAAAAGCAAAAAAGGGCAAATTATTCCTCGAAAACTTTTATATTGACGCAGATCGGGATTTGAAAGAAAATAACTTCCGTTCAACGGGTCGGGCAGAATAATAGCCTGGATCGGCGGACTTACATACCCCTAATCACGCCGTTTCCTCCCCTAAAATAGTCTTCCTTAACTCTGTAAACCCTACACTGGACGATCAGACAGGTTGCTCACACTAACTGGAAATGTTTTGTCGTTTTGGTTGTTTCTTATTACAAAGTAAAATCATCAAAAATGTTTTTTATAATTTTATTTCACCGTTCAGAAAAAAAGTCTCAATGAGTTGCACAATGATGAACCGTTAACAGCTCGATTTTTAAAGATGACTTATTTTATGTGTATTTTTTTCCAGACTTAAGCATCAATTGCCGTGCATTACTGTTTGACTGAGTAGCGAACATCTAAACATAACAGATAGTTCGTCGCCCCCAGGGAGCGACGATAAGCTGAATCCTGCACGCCTTTTGATTTGTTCTCTCTACTAATCTATTGTAGGACAGACGCATAGATGACGTCACCAATAACAAATATTTGCTTTTTTATTACTTAAAACAAATAGACTGCATTTTGACGTGGGTCTGTTCAGTAATAGATCACAGAAGACATCCAAATATGATAAAAACGTCAGCGACACACTCGCTTGCTCCTTATGCACCACTTTTTTGTTCTTGCCACATTTTGACGTCTGGTCTGTGATCTATGACTGAGCAGACCCACGGCAACATGGGAGCTATTTGTAAACTACTCTTCACAAACGAAATCACTCACACAACACAAGAAAACAAGAACATCGACAACAAGTTAAAGTTGAGGGAACTTCATTTGAGGAATCTTTCTAACAACATGAGAGTAATTACTTTTTGTATTCTTCTAAAAGAGCCAGGATCTTTGTAAAATTCTTGTCCTTCGCGATATCATAAGCTGTTTTTCCTGTTTCATCTTCTATAGTTGGATCTGCTCCCTGGTTAGAGAGAGAATGAAAATGTTATGCAGTGGATATCTGGCTCGCTGAGTACGTATACTGGGTCTTTGTATGTATCTCTTCTCAGGGAAAGAGTTTTGAGGGCAAATAAGAATGTCAATGTGAGGTCTACTTTGAAGCCGTTCCTTGGGTTGTCGATCGGAACGTAATGTTACTCTCAAAAGAAGTTTCTTCTGAGGGAGAGTTCGACCCTCATCCGAAGCTAACACCTTTAAAAACGTCACAGACCTTTACTGCGCAACCTCAACCGGAAATGCTCTAAGGTCATGGTCTTAATGACCAAAATTATTTAGCTTCCTTTTTCTCTGTTATTAGTGGTATTATTTGAAAATGGCCACTGGGCGAAAATTGCTTGATGTCCTCTTGTGGCTTACTTAAGGTGTTTCAAGGTGTTTAGTGATGTGCAGCCCGAATGAAAAGTAAAGAAAGGTTCAGCCGAGTAGATCGTAACCCGTCCCAAACCTCACTCCTCTATTTCTTTTTGCGTTAGCACCACGCCCCTCCACCTAGCCCTGTTTAGTAACTGAACGCCTGGTTAATCCTATTGTTTAAGCGGACCATTCAACGCAATGCATAAAAATCATGCACCATCTACCTGCCCCCCCTCCCCTCTAAAAATATGCGCTTTGAACACGTGTCTAAGATTGTACTTTCTACAGTTGGAAGGATATGGAAAAAAATTGGATAGTTGCCTGGTCAGTCTTTGAAATGACTCTGTTTAACCCTTTACCTCCCATTAATGACCAGGAGAAAATTTCTCCGTACAGTAGTGATACAATATCAAGCACACAAGTGATGAGAATAAAGTAAAATATCAATTAGGGGATTATTAGTTGATCAAATACCAAATTCTCCAAATTTATATCATAAGAATTGTATGTCAGACAGTAAAGAGAATTACTATTGAGATCATGGGAGTTTAAGGGTTAATTTCGAGCACATTTCCGCATGGAAAACATAAATTACCCTGCAACATTTACATCTGTCGGTTCAACAAGATAACACACCTACCTCTTTCAAAAGAAAAGCTGCCGTGGGAAGATGATCTTTATCAACTGCGGCCATCAGTGGAGTCATACCATCGAGGTCTTGGAACTGGAGAGAGAGGAAACAGGTTTTTAAAGAGAAACAGAAATGAAAATCACGTCTGTATCATGAACTATTGACGAGAATGAACATTAGGCTTTTTAAGTTGAGAAGATGGATGACTGCACTCCCTTCTAAAAATACAACTGCGTACCATGGTAATTAATATTGTTTATTTAAAACTAGTGAGGGTACCTTTGCCCTTTTGCTTGAGATAGGTCGTCTTTCATAACCATGTCCTTGTAATACACGTGGTGTTTTTAGATCACCATGAGGGTGTTGAAATATGAACTCCAAACCAACCGTTACGAACAAAAGCGGAAAGCGTGGAATGAATATTGATAACCTCAAAACGTGTAAGTATTTGACATTAGGAAACATGTTACTGGACATCCTCAGAAGACTATGTGTTTTCAGATTAAATTAAGGCATGATTTTCCGCGATAACAGCTGCTCGGGTCAGCTTACACACCAAGTAATAATAAAGTACTATTAAATGTGTCTTCCAAGGGGGTCTGTTTGGAAATAGGATCTAAAGCACGCGAGGCGGCGGGCTTGGTACAAGCAGGATAGCCCATAACAGTCATAACAAGACTTGACATTTTCCGTTCAGCTGTCGGGTCTATATTATGATATTTATAATTTATAGTAATTGAACTGAGTGGTGTGTAATTTGGTCTGAAATAATATGCGTGATTTCAAAATTGATTTGAAAGTTTGATTTCAGACAAAAATTGCACGACACGAAGTTCAGTCACCACTTTATTTCATCTATTCTGAAATCGCAAAATTCAGTTGCTCGGATTAAGGATTTTTGGTCTTTACAAATGCTTGTTGATCCAGTGGTGAGCTGATTCGTAGAAAGTTGCAAAAGTTTTGTTTCAATTGGATTGGCTTCTTTAAACAAGCAATTGGTTATTGTATTTTAAAATCTTCCTCATTGGCTGATAAAAAGATGCGATTTAAAGCAAAAAATTGGTGCGATTCGTGAATAAATCGCATCAATGAGAGCCAATCAGATTACAAGGATCACCAGTGCTGTCAAAATGGATGTAATAATGTCTGATATCTGGCGCCGTCCTTTAGCAAGGTGAAACAGGAGAATTAATTATTTGCTGGCAGGATAAATTATAAAATCTCTAAAAGAGGAAAAGATAAATCTAGAGGGCGATGGCGAATTTCTTCCGTCAAGACTTGACAAAGGAGTCGGCTGTAAATGTCATGATTAGGCAAAGATATAATCATGGTTCCAAAACCACCATATGACTGTATTTATAAAATATGTTCTTACATCAATGATGGCCATGTTGTCTAACAGAAATCTAACGATCGGAACTTTTCCTGCATCAGCGGCGTAATGGAGAGCATTTCGCCCATGTCTCACCTCAGCGTTGATTTCAGTTCCCTGCGAAAGAATACTTCGTGAGATCGTCACCGCTCCAGGCACGAGGACTGGGTAAGATAGAAGAAGGGAGAGTTCGAGAGAGGGGAGGGACGGGCCATATCATTTGACCTCGGTCAACAATACTCACCACTTAAAAAGATACCCCCTTGCCTTCTGTGCAAAGCTGTTCAGCCTCCTGATGTTAAATTTCTCCCCACACGCCTAAAAGCTCTCATTTGTGAAATATTATAGCAAGCTACTAGTACAGTTTCGCTTCTTCCAAGCTATCGCCCGACTTTCCTGCGCTGTGACGATTTTTCTATTGCCAGGCATCGCTCCCAAGAGCATGCAACATACTGTTGTGATTCTTTACCCAAGACATCGACACTGGTTTTAGTTTCAAAGCACTAGTTTAACTTTTATACTAACAAATAGCCAACAGAAGCGAAGCCTGCATAGTGACTTAACGACTTCACGGCTTCTATCTAGACTGCACCCCTTTAGTTCTGCCTAGCTCTGGAGAACTCACCGGCCTTCTTAGATGTTTCTCGACATAAATTAAATCCCCAGTCTGAATGGCCTGGATAAACTGTTCGCTGGCGCTCATGGTTCAAGCAGACTGTCAACTGGCTTCAAAGTAGCTACAGGACACTTATGGATATCAGCGAACAAACTAACAGATGCATTCACGTACAGACTCTTTGGCTGAATTCTTAACAATGTTAATTATCAAATTCTTAAGCTCAGGTCATGCGTGTTGGCAAACGCACTGATCCGTTCAATTTTGATTAATTATCAAGATAAGAGACTTCGTTAAAAACTTTGTCTGTTTTACTCAAAGCGCCGATGGGGGGTTTATTGGGTTCTGTTACCTTAGGCGCAAACAAACAAACAGATTTAAAACGCATCTCAATAAAAAGTTGTAGATCTTGTTACGATGAGCTTATAGTGTGTTCTGTGGAGGGAAAATTCGTTCGTTTTAACAAGAGAAAAAACTCAATAGAGTTCATCAAAAATTTCGTTATCAACAGTCACAATGGGTCCCAGGTGGCTTATCTCGCGTCGTTTTCGAAGTGGTTCTTTTGTGACGTCATGACTGGTTGCAGTTGGCAACATTTCCTTGAAAGGCTATGATACTCGCTTGAGATCATGTTCAAAACATAACAGAGATCAGTCAGACAGGCCTAAAAAGGTACAATGTTTTTGAAATATTTTACCTGGTGGGTCTTCATTAAAAAACGCATATCACATGGGCGTGAGCGAGATGCAGTTAATGATGTCAGATTGGTCATTCTGATAGAATTTTTGAAGATTTTGCGGTTTTAATTCCGATTTCCCTTTTTTTTAAGAGTTATGCTTTATCATAATTTTTAATTTCAAAATGTATCAACAATCGCAAATTTTCGACAAATATCTGGCCTCCAGTGTTAGACAACGCCACTTAAATGTAAAGGTAAGTACTTACTGTCAAAGAAATACAAACACACAAACAAACAAGAACAGAATCCCGTTACCCTGCCAAGAAAATTTATCTCAAATTTCAAATACAAAAAGACGCAGATCGCTCCAGTCAATTGCTTTGGCAGACAGACACTCTTCTCATTTGTCGAGTTGTTTTTTATTTAAAAAACAACAAGGACCGGGTTATCTAGTGAGATAAAAAGGTTACCAACCCAAAGTAACCTCCTGGGTTAATTTCCCTCTCCTGGGTGGGGATGGGAGAAGTGGAGAGACTAAGAACATTGTAAGCACTGGAAGGATTCGAACTTTTAGTCAGTACCAGTATCTCGCTATTGGGTTTACCTGCATTTAATTCCACTTTAAAAAGGGGTAGGAGAGAATATCAATGTAATATATCTTTTAGCTATAACTTCTTTTTATCAATACTTTCTGTCTTGTACAAGAAGTTCTCGCCGCTCAATCAGAGGTACTACAGCAGGCAATCTTTCAATCTTTCAGTTTTGGGGAGGGGGGGACTTCATAGAGCCGTTGACCGGTTTCAAGTCCAGCTTACTTTTGTAAACAAGAAACTGTCTGCCTCACTCTGTGGACAAAAATTCATTCACTCCATGGTGGTACAAAAACTTTACTCTTGCTGTCGTTTACTGCAGTACTCTCACAGAAAAGGCATATATTTCCCGCTCTTCCACTTGGGCGTGACCAACATCTCGAGCTCATCGGGGAAAGGCCAAAGTGTTAAAAAAATTACGCTAATCCTGAAGCTACCTTTTGACTAATTATGAACCTCTAACTTGCTAAGTCGTCAGTTCAAACAGTTAACTGGATTTAATTCAAGATCACTCTAATAGCGTAGTGGCCTTTCAAAGGTCAACCAGTGAGACCAGATTGGCAATAGTTATCATAACATCACTTCAACTGGCAGTTGGGATATGATATGACACAAACACAGCGATAACTAAGGCTGGTCAGAACCGCTGGCCATTCAGGCCCAGTGGGCTCCCTGAACACTGAGTCCCCTGGACTTCAGTCTGAGCTTTGATTCACTGTGAGGAATTATGTAACCAACATAATGAAGTTTTGTTAAGCACAGTGCCTAATTGTAGGCACTTCCAGATACCCCTTTGAACATGTTTGAAAAAACTTGATTAGGAAGACAATCTTATCAAAACTTGCAGTATTTATTGGCCTACAAGACAGCATTACCACAGTGTGATAAATTTTATACAAAAGGAAACAGTAAATTTCAAAGATCAAGCACTAGCATGAGGAGGTAGAGATGGGGAACACATACACCATTGAGAGGGAACATCAATATATCTATACCCCATATCTACTTAAGTAATTTGATCTTGAGAGAGGACCAGCAAATTTGTGACTCTAGACTTGTGTAGCGACAACCTGGATTACAACACAACAGGCAAGGTCAGAAATTAAACAGATTGCTTAGAGCCTTTAATACAATCCAACAAATTTCATTATGACAACTCAGTAATAATAAAACACTTGAAAGTCAAATTCTAAAAGCTATTAACTAGGTTTTTGTCCATGTTTAGTTTTATCTTTGTACAAAAATGCTTCATTCTGTTATCAATGACCAATGGAAACTTGTAGGCTTCTTCCTCTAGCTTCACGGAAAGAAATTACTATCATTACTATTGATTCTTCTAGCAGCCATTGCCTCTGTTGGAGAAGGAAAAGAAACAGATGTTACTAAGAGAGAGGAAACACCACTGAATGAGATGCTGGTGCACTGCAAGGTTGCGGGGTTACTCCTGGCATTTCATCATATCCTCCAAACAATTCATCAGTATGTACTTCTACTCCTGAGGTGGAGTGAAGCATTATAATAGTGACATGTTTTTCCTAAGAACACAGAACATTGAGCCACCAGGGTCACACAACCAAATCTCTTGAAGCAGAGTCTAAGGGGCCAACTAGAGCTCACTAGAAAGGGGAAAAAAAAGGAGAGAGACATACCTTTTTTATCGGTAATCTACATGAGAAGACTTTTAATCTCATCTATCTCTGCACATTCAATATAGGAGCTACCATCTGGAGCCTTCAAAGTCTTATCAGCACCCTGTATTGAAAAATGCACAGTGGGTCATAACTGTAGAATTGAATTGTAATGAAGCTCATAATATTGGGCAAGGTGAAAGAAAATTTTATGATTATCTCTTGAGATGCTGTCAGCACTCTAAGGTGATATTGCATCCAAATGTGGCCACAAAAACAAGCAAACTACTTGATGCATGGGAAAATTTGAACGGACCAAGGTTTCATTGCTTTTTGGCGATTGGTTGAAAGAGTGGCACAAGTTTTCTGGATCAATCACGAAGTGAAGTTAAGTAAAACCAAAGCAATTCTGGAATACTTTCAATATTTAATTGAAAATTGCTCTAAATACAAATTTTTGAGGCCAACCCTCCTTTTCATTGTTGATTAGAATATTTTGTCAGTGGGTTGTGTAAATATGATTAATGGCCCTCATCAATCTTGGTTTTTGGATGCATTGATTACAAGAGGAAACTCTTGCCCTTGCAGAGTTCTCTTACCTTTTCAAGTAGTAACTTGACGCAGTCTGTGTTACTTTCATATATACTTGCTAAGAGAGGAGTGATTCCATATTTGTCTGCACGCTTTGATACAGAAAAGCAATACCATTAGTTCATATGACTCATGGAAAAAGCTACCTAAAATACACTGTTGTTCAGGATAAGTAATCCAGGATCTTTTCACTTGAATGTATGATAAGAGACCCAAATTGAACTCTACCAACTCTTCAACATAACCCTAAGCACTAAATAACAGCAATCATACAAATGCATACAAAATCATCCTTATAGTTTGCCAGAGCAAGCAAAGCTGCATCAAGGGGAAGGTAAAATGAAGGCCATTTCTCCCCTAATGCAGCTCATGGGTGAAGAGGGTGGGTGAATTATGACAAAGGCAGGTTCTCAGGTTGAAAGGGAACTAAAAGTGATATTACAGAATAAGAAATGAGTGCAACATGATCAGTGCAGAGTTGATGAGTAACCAACAGATGCTTTTTTAATACACTGTCATTGGATAATATCCAATACTTCACAACTGTTTAACCCTCTAACTCCTCAGAGTGATAAGCATCTAATTTCTCCCAACAGTAGCACCTCTAAATCAAACATTAAGTTCATGAGAATAAGGGAAATCATCAGAAACTCAAGAAGCTCTTGATTGTTAGACAACTTCTCCTTGCAAACACCATAGGAAATGTATAAAGAACAGTATGGAGAACTTGCATATGGATGTTAGGGTGTAAAGGGTAAATTTTTTTAATTCAGAACTGACCCTTTACTTAAACAGGCTTTTGTAAGACTGAGAGTAACAAAATTGATAGGAAAACTCACATTTATGTCTGCTCCTTTCGAAATAAGATACTCAATTACATTACTTTGTCCATAATCTGCAGCAAAATGTATCCCACTTCTTCCATTCAGTATTTCTGCATTCACATCAAAACCCTTAAATATAAAGGTATTATGAATATTTAAACCCCATACCTGTTTTATAATAAAATAGACACTACTGAAGCATTTACTCAACCATCCTTGCGGATTTTTTGTGGAATAAATAGGCAATTTTTCATGCAAGGTTGTAATAACTTGTAAGCATAGCTGGCGGTTTTGTTGGGGAGCACCTGAGCAAACTGTGAAGCAGCAAGGGGAGTAATATGGAGGCTTTCTTTCAGAGAAAAAATCTAAGAATTTAGTTGACATGGAGGAAACTGTCTATATTACATTAGCATGTGTATGTATTGGAGAGTTGTCTATATCAGGAAAAATGTCTGTGTTTCTTGAAAGTGATGTGGAAATTTTAGTGTTCTCAAAGCTTTGTCTCTTCATATGGGTTTTGGGATAATTTGACACAGTTGTACAAAGCAAATTATAGTCAAGGGTTTTCATGACTTTTGATTTTTCTTTCGCATTAGCTATTTCATTTGTACTACAATGCAGGCTTAGTAAACCCTTTACACCCAAACAATTGCAATTTCCATTGTAAGCAGTGCCACTGATGTACCTAGATGCACATTTTTCATCTCTCGGGCTGTGGCTTATGTACAAAAGCCATTTTATCCAAACTCCTTATAATCTGGCAACTGTGTAGATTTGTTTCTGTTTTGTAAAATTTCATTTTCAAATCATTTAATTTTTTTATTTATGAAAATTAAACTTCAGTCACAACAGTTTATGCAAATAGGGTTCATAGTTCATAAATTGTTGTATTGTATTCATTTATCTTATCAGAGCTTGTGTACAATTTCTGCCTAGGACATTTCACAACATAAACAAAAAATGTTACCTTCACATCCAAACAATTTGTCTATCCTTCAGAAAGTTATGTTTAAAAAACACTCCAGCTCATAGAAGATTGTAAATAATTAAACAATATGCGACGTGGCTTTGAAGTCACATTACATACACCAATAAACTTCAATGTAATAATACTGAAAGTAAAAAATTCTGAAAGCAGTCTGAACTCCTTGTCTTCGAATCGCATTGCTTAAGGTGTTAAGATATTTGTAACTAATGGCACATTCTGATCAAAGATAACTTTGCTTCAATAAATACTTTACGTGGTTCAAGTACAAGCGATGCACATGTTAGTTTCGTTACCAAAAAACATTTGCATACATGTTTAATGGTACTGTATCCAGACAAGATTGATGTCTAAATTTCTAACAAAAGCTCCAGAACGTATACAAAACTGAAACTACGTCCCTACAATTGTAGCAAGTTCCCTTAGAACCAGTTGTAGTGTTTTAAAGGAATCGAATACGTAACTATAGAGATCAAGAAACCTTGCGAAATTCGAGAAGCAAAACAAGACGGCAATAATCTGCAATAATCCGAAAGCCTAGCAAACCTTGCACATTACAATTTTCTACAAAAATTTCACAAATTGCCCAGATGTAGAGGGTGAGATTCACCGGAAGATACTTATTTTCAGATCAATACTGTTTTCAATGCGTAGCATTTTCTAGAAAGCTTTGACGTTTTGCACACCAGCCAAAGCAAGAAATTGGGACCATTTGGAATCGGACATCACACCCACAAGCATAGACAACGAAGTATTATTGTTCACTTGCTCAGTTTTTCTCACCGGTTTCTCCATGATATCTTTCACTTGATCAAGATCTCCATTCTTGCAGGCCCATACAAGTTGCTCGCCCATGTCGGAGGTGCCAAAGTAAAAAAATATATATTCCTAGATCGAGATCTCTCAAATGTCTCTCTCCCGGCAGTTCTCGTGCCTAAGAGGAAATACCCATAAGTCTCTTCGACAACTCAAGGGACAGATCACGGGATCTTACAACATGCTAGTTCTTGGGAGTGTTGTCTTTGCGGGTTTGGATCAGCTCGGCGTGAGTTTAAATCATGGACGATCGATTAATGGTAAGCACTACCTAATAAGGAATCCATAGGCTTTTTTGTTTAGTATTTTTTTCCTTTTCCAAGCCGTATTCCTTTTCCTTGAGGCTTCAATTTGATTTGCAACTGTCTGGAGTCACCTAACATACAGGTCTGCCTGAGCATTCCAGCATTTGGTTGCTACTTTATAATATTGTCTTATTGCTTTCCAGAAACCTGTCTTTGTCGCTGCTGGTGTCGTCATAGTCACTATGGCGTTTGGAGTGGTAACTTTCTTTCTTAGAAAGCAAGGAAATGGAAAGAAGAACAGACCTGTTGCGTTAGATCCGCAGAAAAAGATTCCATTTAAACTCGTTGACAAGAAGGTAAGTGCGTACAAGTTACCCGAGAGAGGCATCAGAACTCACTTTTTTTTATTATTTCCTGGGGATTCTCTGTCAGGGAGAGGTATCTGCCGAGACAGGAGGAAGCCTGTCACTTACTTGGTTTAAAATACATGAATGTGGTTATGAACCATTACATGGTTTCGGTTTCAATTTCAATCTATGTAGTGTTTGCTCTCTGTTGATCCACTGGAATTTCTTTCACATAGAGGATACCTTTTCCCAGCCAAAGATATGCAACAGGCTAGGGATTTCTCTGACAAGGCTTTGATATGAGTTGGAAAGGTTATGAAAAAACTGCCATTTTATCATTTAGTTAAAGGGCCCCGCCCCTTGAAGTTTGAGTGAAAAGGGTATGGGAGAGAGAAGGCAGTATGGTTTCTGTATAGAATACTTCTTTTCTTTCCCTATATGTTATCATGAAATGTTCAATTGATGAAATGTTCAATTGATGGAATGTCTTATTATGAGTTATCAGGAGGATACCTTTTATTAGACAACAGTAGTAAATAAAGGGCAGGTGGAATAGTTGCCCTGCATCAGCAAGCAAAGCAGGCAATTTTCTGTTTATGAAGTTGAAATTTGTTTTTGGTTTACAAGTATAACCTCAGTGGCAAATTTGAAAAGTTTTCATTTTAAGTCAGAGCTCTTGGTGGGAAGGGGGGGGGGGAGGGAAGAGTAAAATGAAGGGAAAAAAGCGTGGGTTTGGACATGGGCAAAGTGTTCCTTTACTACACTTTGTTCAATCCCCTCTCCCCCTGTACCACACTTTGTTCAATCCCCTCTCCCCCTTTACAACACTTTGTTCAATCCCCTCTCCCCCTTTACCACACTTTGTTCAATCCCCTCTCCCCCTTTACCACACTTTGTTCAGTCCCCTCTCCCCCTTTACCACACTTTGTTCAGTCCCCTCTCCCCCTTTACCACACTTTGTTCAATCTCCTCTCCTCCTTTACTACGCTTTGTTCAATCCCCTCTCTCCCTTTACCACACTTTGCTCAGTCCCCTCTCCCTCTTTACCACCCTTTGTTCAGTCCCCTCTCCCCCTTAACCACACTTTGTTCAATCCCCTCTCCCCCTTTACCACACTTTGTTCAGTCCTCCCACCTTACCTGTCTTTTCCTAAAATTCAAAGATGATTTTTTCAAGGCTCTATTGAAGAGCTCTTGATATGCAGAGTATTTCACTTGATAAAAACCTGCTGATACCGTTAATTGTTGCTCAAACATTACCAGCAGTGGGAGAAAAACTGAACTTTGTAATTCTATGTTCATTACAGATTGTTAGTCATGATACAAGAAGGTTTCGATTTGAGCTCCAGTCTCCTGAACACATACTTGGACTTCCTGTTGGTAGGTTTTAATTTTTTTTTATTCAAGTAAGATTTTTTTGTTAATTTTTAAAAATTCCACTTGTACACTGTCTCAGCTTTTACAGTACATACTTGATGGGTAGCAAACCAAATTGTTATTCCATGTTTTTGCAGTGTATGAAATATTAATTCTTTATTCCGGAACAGTTGTTCATCTGCTCTCTGTGTTTCAGGTAATCACATGTATCTCAGTGCTAAAATAGATGGAAGTCTTGTTATCAGGCCATACACACCAGTGACCTCTGATGATGAAGTGGGATATTTTGAGCTGGTGATCAAGGTAAACCATTCAGATCTTTGATCTTCACTCTCTTCATATGTGCATGTCTTAAGTTTTTCTCTTGGTTATAATTATAGCAGGTCTTCAAGTATACAGGTATTAGTCTTTTTAGAGTGTGAAAGATAATGAAAGTAGAAAATTTATGCTACAGCACACTAGGATTAATTATATAACTTTACCAGGGTAGATTGGCTCAAAAAGAGGTCAAAAGATGCCTCCTTGAAAATGGATGACCACATGAATGGTCTAAATATTTTATGCATTGAATCAAACTGAAAATGGGGACACTTTTGGCTCAAAATATATGCAATGTTTGACTAGCTTTAGAGCAACTATGGCAATTTTTGTAAAGCTTAACTTTGTAGTTGAAATGTGCGTAAAGAATTATTTCATGAAAAAATTTAGCATATCTGAGAAATGATCTGCCTTTCATTTGTTTTCAATTCATTTCTGTTTAAGGTTTATTTCAAGAATGTACATCCTAAGTACCCGGATGGTGGCAAAATGTCACAGTATCTAGATTCCCTAGAGATAGGTGACACCGTTGACATCAGGGGACCATCAGGAAAATTAACTTATGTAGGGAGGGGTGAGTTGTTTAGTTTTCAGATTTGCTTTGTTGCCCTTGATGCATAGATCAATTTGAAGTTTCAACATTCCTCCCATTACCCCCCCCCCCCCCTTCAGCATACTCATGGGTTTTTGAACGTTTAAAAGATTGGCTTGTTGGTGCTGTTGTTGGGTTTTTGGCTTGTAGGAATCATTCTTTGATGCAAAAAAATTGCCTTTTAAGCCATTTGCTTACAAAAGTGGATACTACCTCCAAATTCCTCCATTAAAACATGTGTACTACAAGTGGAAAGACTTTACATTTCTGGTTCAAATGCTCCACCCCACCCAGATAAGGTTCACATTCCCCACCCCCTGGGTGAGTGACTATTCACTAGATAATTAAAGACATTACCCTTGACCTCTTGATTGGATCTGGAGGAAAAGAAATGATAACATTTAGGATCATTTTAGTTACTGACTGATGTTATAAATTTTGCCTTTAAATACAGGAAAATTTGCTATAAAGGAGAATGCAAAGGAACCCAAGTTTAGAACAGCTAAGAATGTTGGTTTGATTGCAGGGGGAACTGGTATGTGAGATTGACTTTTTAGTTCAGACTCCTACAATCTGAATGTTAATCCTCCCCTCTAGCTGCTACACTTTTCCTTGTAAATTAGATAGGTGAACTTGGTGTTAGATCAAGATAGCAACTTCTACCTGGAGTGAGTATTCTCATCACCTGTTAGCTGGATAATGTATTGGTATAGTTGGGAGAAGTTGCATGTCAATCACTTTTGGGAGTTAAAGGTTAAATTCAACCTGGGTTCTCTAGGTAAATAAACTTGACTTGGCTATCATTTACCAAGATCTCCTTGAAGATAAGTTGTGTGTGGGTTCATGTAATAAATAAATGTACTCTGTTGTGTGATTCTGTTTATTTTGTCAGTTTCATTATGTTCTGCTCTGTAGGCATAACTCCCATGTTACAGATCATAAGTGCAGTGATTAAAGACAGTGATGATAAAACCAACATTACTCTCCTGTTTGCTAACCAAGTATGTGCATCTGCCTTTGGAAAGTATTCAAGACATCTTTGTGGTCTAATCTCCTGTTAACTTCAAGTCTACTTTCCTCCTTCCTTCTTAAGTCTGGGTATATAAGTATTTATTCCTTTCAGGTTACATCAAATCTTTTCCACGTTGAGCTAAGTAATTGATTTGCTTTTCTAACCTACCCAAGTTACCATAGTTTACATATTAGTTTTCTTGTGGATGTGACTTTTGTTCATGAAAAGGGCAGCTACTTCTCAACAATCTGTTGGATAGGCTTGAATTTCAATGTTGCATTACTGCATTTGTCAGTGATAAGGTATAAAAGTTTCAATTTGCTTTTGTGGATCACTTTTGGCCTAATTATTCAAAAAGTTTTGGCAAACCATCTAACACTTTCTATGTGAACACTATCATGCATATTCTTCACACTGTTCTCCTCTGATTTCTTTTGGTACAAACAAAAAGAATTTGTTTAACAATCAAAAGCATGTAAAGTTGGTGATCATGAAGTTTTTATTAACATGACCTTATTTTGGGTTTCAGACTGAAAGAGATATCCTTGTACGACCCGAGTTAGAAGAGCTGGATCAAGAATGTGAGAATTTCAAGCTTTGGTATACACTTGACAAGCCACCTGACGGTATTGATCAAATTGTCTGAGCTTTTTAATGAAAGTTCCATTGGATATATGTATATTTGCACATCTGATATTTGAAACTCCAATAAAGGAATGCACTAAAATATTCCTTTATTGATGTTCAATTTAAAGGATGGCCATACAGTTCTGGATTCATCAATGACACAATGCTCAAGGAACACATGCCTCCACCTGGACCAGACACTCAGATACTGATGTGTGGACCTCCTCCTATGATCAACTTTGCTTGTATCCCTAACTTAGAAAAACTGGGTTACACCTCTGATATGTATTTTCCCTTTTAAATACACTGACATGATAAGGAAAGTAGGATAGCAGAATTTGCCAGAGATGGCAGATCTTAAACAGGAGTAAGGTGTGATACTCTAGGGTGTGTCACCAGCAGTATGGGGGGAGAAAAGTGTACCACTCTCTTCAAATGCATTAACCAACAAACTGCTCTGGTTTGCTTGGAGTTAAGTTTCAATCCTGCTAGCTTGTGATTTGATAATCTTCTCATTTCCAACAATTTGCTGTAATATGTGGATTTAATATCTCCCCTCCCCTTGCCAAAATTTGATTTTACAGTCTTTACCAAACTTTTGGGAAGTTCTGGTTTTGAGTTTACTAAAAAAAATGATATATTTGTCATTTGAGCATATCATTGACCAATTCTTTATCTAACAATCCACCTGACTTTGTGGGTACTTTTCGGATGACCACAAAAGAAAAATGGTTTTATTTTCCAGTGTGAGTCATTGTGGTGCATATTTTACTATTGTATGAGCTTAACACTTGAAATGAAAAAAAAATGATAAATTCACCTTTTGTCATGGTGACAATTAAGTTTAACACTTGAACCCTTGAGGGCGACTCACAGATTATTTCTCCTTACAATATCACTAAAAAGGAAATGATCTTCTACTGATTGAAGAAGACCTTGATTGTTAAAAAAATTCTCCCGATCAGTTCTGTAGAAAATGTGAAGAGAACAGTGTAGAGAATATGAAAACTAATTCAAGGGTGTAAGAGATTAATAAAACTGTAATTATTAGAGCACGATATGAGTTTGCATCAGGTTTGTGCGGTAAGCAAATAAAGAACAAATTATAAACTTGTCTTGAGACAAGAATTCTTGGACAAAATTTCCTATTTTGATACTCTTAACTTTTAATTTCTGTTGATTTGTGAGCTTTCATTGGACCTTTTTGTCCAAAGAACTGACCTATATAATCCCCATGACTATTAGGAGATAATCACGTTAATTTTCCTAACTTTCAAACTGATTGTAACGAATGTCACGTATCGTTAAAATATGTAAAAAAATGGCCTCTATTTGGCGCGAAAATATGCACGGATATTTGTCCGCAGCCCTTATCTGTTCCAAGATGCGTACAGTTTCGAGAAACAGATCATGTCTGAGGAAAAATATACAAGCATATTTTCGCGTAAAGTAGAGGCTATTGTGTTTATTATCCTTCAAATATTTTGCAAAGGAAGTGAAAAAATGTTTACGAACAGCCCTACTGTATACAGCGTGGGATGTTTTCTTCTAGGTGTTCCCTGCAACGACTTTATGAACAGAAAACTAATTTGAGTGGCCATTTTAACGAAGTGAAATCATTAAGGTATCCTCTTTTTGGGATTTTAAAATATGGCCGTTCGCCGTGTAAACAGGTGACCGTATTAGCCACGGTTTTTAAAAATAAATTTTCTGGGTATATTGCCGCACCGTTAAAAGGGGGCTGTTTTAACGAGGTGATTGTACTACTGAGGTGGCTGTAAGGCGAGGTTCCACCCTACTATCATCCCTTATCCACAAGATCTCTGATCTGATAGAGTTCCCCGGACCTCTCTCTCTTTGCCGATTTCATTGTCAAACTTGTTTACCCGCGGATACGCAAAGTATAGGAAGGAAAGTACTTGGTAACAAACCATGTGAGCCCTGATGTCCAAACCCTTACGCAGGAATATCGGGAGCTCACGTAGTTTGAAGCAATGTTACGTGGCTTTAATGTTGGGATTCGATACGTAAATTACGTGACGTTGCACGGTCTTAGGAGTCTGGGAAGAGCACGCATCTTATTAAAGACTTGTGGGGATTATGTTTCAATTTCTGTTTCTTGGAATCACAGGATCATTGGCTTTGAGAAAAATTTCTATATATTCTAATAACAATGTGCACGATATGTACACGAGTTTACTGTAGTGTTAAATTGAATAGTAACTAATAAAACAGACATGTTCCAAGGTTTCTAGTTTTATTGCATTTGACAAGCAAACCAGTGATTCATGAAAAAGTGAGTTACGTAGGCAAACAGTCATCCACACAATCAAAAAAAGAAAAACGTAAGGCGATCACTACTTCCAAAGTCCTTTAGTGAAAAGTCGAGAGTGAGCAAAATTGCGATAACAGATGCAATACCCATAGCTTTTACAAAACCTCCCAAATAGGTTGTCATTTCCTTCTTCCGTTTCACAACAAAAGTATCTTGGCTAGATAGTGTTAGTGAAACAGGAAGACAAGACGCAATAACTTTCTTTACAGAGCACAACGCCCATGTCTTGCAAGCTTAACTAAGTACACGTACCCTTGTCTTAAGATTACTGACTACGTTTCAGTCTTAAAAAATCTAAACTCTTGTTACAATGTGAGAACGACCTGTATACAGTCTCCTACGGGAAAAAAACCCAATCCTTCCCTCTTGACTAATTTTTAACGATTTTCACGCGCATTGAAGATATGCACATTAATTATGTTTATCAGACTCATTAAGCCAGTTTAAGAAATTCACCTTTTCTTGCTTACTCTTTGCGCGTGACAATCTACTGCGTTAGCGCAACAATCAACTTTCCAGCTGGATTTCAATTTTGCAGCATTTAAATTATCTAACTACAAGAACCTGTGACAAATGTGAAAAGTCCGCCAACAGTCTTCAAGGAAAAACCATGATCATAAGGCCATATCAAAAGCTCCGTTTTGTTTAGAGAATTCAAATGTCTCTCTCACTGAAATGTTAGCAGTTAAGGTTTCAGAGAACTGTCTTTAAACCATAACTGCGCATAACCACGAAGACGATATTCTCATTAGTAAAATGTCCAATTTTGGCAGTCTTTCAAAATGAAAATGTTGACACACGATTATAACATTTCAGACTTGGACCTGTACCCTTGTTCGTATGATGTTCGCACTGGTGACAACTAGCCGGGATTTCTCTCAATCCTTTCACATTAAAAGCTATAATCTTTCATCACAACTATCGTATTTAACAGTAGCATATGTCTTCCCTTAAAAAGCGTTGATCCCGCTGACGGCGCTGATTGGTGGTAGAATGATGAAGTCCCATGGTACAACGGGAATAGCCAAGGGCGGTGTAAATCTACATCACATTCGGGCCAGACTAACATCTGAGAATGTAACTAGCGGACACAATCGACGCGAGCCAAGCACTGAATACCAGAACGGACTCGGCTTTTGAGACAGAAAGCCATCCATTTGATGAGTGTACAGATAACGTTCTGATCGCCGGACTGTCGGAGACTTTCCAAGTAATATTCCTTCCGCAATGTCTTCTTCTCTTAACCCAGTTTTAGATACCAGTCTCAATGTGGTATGACACTTGCTATAACCATGCAACGGCAATTTTAAATGCAAATCTTGATGGAAATTTCCTGCTAAACAATCGTGTCAAAAGTAGCGTACTACATTTGTTGAGAAGTGGATGGACTACTGTTGAGAATGCCAAAGATTCTGACAAAGTGCTGTTGGAAATTGGATTGATCCTTATTAACAAAGTCCGTCTGAGTTGAAGGCCACTCACTGCTATCCTCCGCTATAGACAAAAGATACTAACTCAAGTTTTCAATCGGTGTAAGACAGTATCTGCCATCAAATAGAAGTTAACAAGAACATTCAGTCAGGATGAGGCAGAGGGCAAGATGTAAACACTGACCTGTTTATTAACCGAGCGTACGTAGTGTAGCAAAATATGTAAAAGAGGACAACAGGTCTGCATTATCAGAGCCGCACGTAGGAAATGAATTTATGGTACGCTTTAATCTTCGCAGTGCTTATAAGCCAGCTTTTTCTTGTATCAACCAAACTCATCTTTTTCCACCAAACTCCGTTGTATTTAGGAGGCCTTTGAAATAACTCGGAAAGTTTTCGGCATAATTCTGGAGCAGGCCAGAGAATGCGAAAGATCCTCTTTCTAGAGGTGGGAGAAAATACTGTAAAGCTACTCAGTTAGTTGTGGCTCTCAGCTGACATTTTCTCAATAAAAGGCCGTCCTTGAAGCAACTACCATTGGGATCTGCTCGAAGAAACTTGACTTTTGATGAGCGTATGTGAAGAACTAGAAAATGAAGCATTTTGAATGCGATAGTTCAATACGAAGCATGGCAGCTGTCTTCATGAAAATCTCTTATATCTATCTCTGCGGGTCTATTATGCTTATGCGTACATTTCAATTGCTTTTCTATTTTATAACTTTTCCATTGCATTCATTTGCTCCACGATTCATTTTCACACGTGCCGGTAACTCATCGTTACTGTTCGAGATTCCAAACAGACTCGCTCTTTTTTCCAGTCCTGTGCCCCATTTCTCCGTAATTCTTATCGTTTTTTAGCTTCCTTAAAATGGATCCTTTAGGTCTACTGATTTATCATTTCATCCAGTTCCATGAGTAAGTCGTCTTCGTTCAACTCAAAGCTATCCCCCGCTACATCATCGTCTTCTCCGAAATCGATATCCGCGCCGAACTCGTCGAAAAAGTCGTCCTTCTTGGCCATTTCGTTTGCTCTGAAGAAGAGAAAGCGCAACAATTAGGAATGAAGATAATAGTTTCAGGGATTAAGGTGGCTGAAGCGTGCTAGATCAGAGGTTCAGGAAAACACAGTGGTTTAACCCCCTTTCACACCAACATCAGCACGAAGCTTTTGATTGTTACACAAATTCTCCTTGTCCGCCCCTTAGAAACTATCTAGAGGACAGTATGGAGAATATACATACTGATGCTGGGGCGTAGAGGGTTAAGCTACCGCGTTCCCCGACACCTCAAGGGCTGAATTCCAGAAGAACCACTCGCGGAAACGGTAATAGTATTTACCTCATGAGACTTAAAATGTTCGATGTACATCAACAAATTGACAACAACATAAGGGGTACAAACATGTTAAATTCGCTTACATTGCCCGCTTTATCTCCTCATGAGATGGTGGTTCCTTTGAAGCCTTTCGCTCACCCGGCTGGTATTCCAAGGATGACTCTGTATCTTCCATATCATTTTGTTCTGAAGGAGAGATGAACCATCTTTCACAAGTAGTACTCAAGCGCACGAAGATCAAACAGAGTTGACTCAACGAGTGTGTTGTGGTTCAATTTTATCCACCCTTGATAGCTTATTTTCTTACGTATTTGGTAAGGTAATATATGACAGAGGCAGGGTTTTCTATAAAAGCCGTTTAGTCAGCGGTCTACTGCTGCTTATAAGGCCTCTCACCGCCGTCTGTTGACCCTGCGAGCAGGCTCTGCTGTTCGGTTTTGCCTTGAAGCTCCTTTTTCGGGCACAGCCACCTATTAAACCACCGACAGCTACTTATGGAAAACTTATTTATAGCCCTGTTAAGAGAAATGCAACATGGACAAAGAGAAAAACGGAACCAAAAACGTTATCGAGATCAAATCCACATAAAAACTGTCCATAGCCCTGAAATATCTCATTAATTTTCTTAAAAGGGACCAAAACACGTACTGGTAACTACTGTATGAAGCTCTTTACCTGGGGGTGAATGTTGAGGTTTCTCTGGACTGTCTTGCGCTTCTTCAGGTTCCTGAAAAAACGTAAGTGCTAATAATTAGCTTCATTTAAGCGTCAAACCAAAACTTAAGGTAACCCTTTCACTCCCTAAAACTCATTCTTAATTCTCCTTACAGTCTACCATACAATTCTTGTGAAGTTGGTTCTGAGAATTTTGTATTGGATCGACTATTAAACCCAGAATTGATATTTTTCTTTATTCTCATACTTGTCTGCTCGATATTGTAAGAACAAAATCTGTCGCTTACGGATGTTAAAGAGTTATCAAGGTGTCTAGCTAGAGAAGGGAACAACGAATTGAGCGTTAACACCAGAATTACCTGAGCTATTTTGGTTATCTTTGGACCAGATTCATCCGCTTCTACCGTGATTGTACCATGACCGAATTCGTTAGGTGCAGTACCCGCTTCCCCATCAGAAGCAGTAGTTTTGGCGCAATTTTCTTTATTAGGAATTCTCTGATCAGGAGCAGGTGTTTGATCCTCCACTGATGCATCCGCTGGTCTTAGCTGTGATTCAGCTAAGGCAGGCTCCAACTGAAATGCAGGTAGCTTTGATGATTCCATGTCACTTTGTAGAGCTTGTTCCCGTGATTCGTGATCTTTCTGGGTTTCATCAACCGTACTGCTGCTGACAGAATCTACATAGAATAAAATAAACAGTTCGCATGTTTGATTAATCACAGTAAGTACAAGCAGTTTGGAGCGTCTTTCGATCGGGTGTCATAAAACAAAACAAGAAAACTACTCTAATCACACTAACCAATAAAAACAAAGGAAAATACCACAAGGAGCCAATGGGAACTTAAATTAAAAGCGCGGGAAAACCCGAATGACCAAGTAGCGATCGGTTTTAGTTTTGAACCTGATTGGTTGATAAAGTGGCGCCAGCTTTCTGAACCAATCACCCAATCACATGGCGATGCAAAGAAAAATCAAATCAATCGCAGATTACTTTCGACACACGATCTAAAATTACTCTTATAACTGATCTTTTCTTTATTCAAATTTTCGTTTTGATCATGTCAGCCGTACATTTCTATTCTTTTTACTCAAGACAACTTCCTTAAAATACAACATTAACCCTTTAATCCCTGAGTGACCAACATGTAATTTCTCCTTTCAATATCACCCATGAATCAAATATCGAGGTCATGAGAATAAAGGAAATGATAATCAACTGGAGAAACCCTTGATTGTTAAACAAATTCTCCTTGCCAGCACATTAGGGAATGTATAGAGAACAGTATGGAGAATATGCATACTGAGTTTGAGGTTGTTAAATAACACTTCAGTCGTAAAGAGCAAAAACTTCACAAACCAAATTCATTTGAAGGAACAATTATCTACAGCTGTGATTTACAAAATGAAAAGGCAACTCACCTTCTGTGGGTTTAAGTTTACTTGTTCCCTGAGCCCAGACCTTGATTCTTCTTGGTTTTATGACAGGAACTGAAATTCAAATTGAAATTTGGTCATGGTTTTGCTTTCCCTTAAGTAACCCATCAAAATTAATTACATATGTGCACAACACGCTATATTTTGGCAAGTTTCGTTTCACACTTTACTGGTGTTAAGCTATTTCAGAGATAAATCCACGTTGTAAGAAAAAGTACGTTTAATAGAATGAACCATCAAACAGTCTCTGACCACAAGTAAGTGCCTGACCTCATATGCAATCCTAAAAAAATCTGCAATTTTTTTTTCTTAGCTCACCTGAAACTCTGTTTAAAGGCTTCCTCTGTTGGTTCCTCTGCGGAGAGTTCTTTAGTCCTCTCTCTTCTTCTTTCGCGACTTCTCTGTCCTTTGGAGCTTCAACACTTTCCTGAGATGCACGCTGCCTTTTCTCAGCCATTATTTCATCAAGGCTTTTCACTCTGACCTTCTGTTGTCCGAGACGTTCGGCCACTGCAGGCTGTTGAGAAATTGCCGAGTAACTATTTATTCTACACTTGTCCTGAAAAATTTAGATCAACCCTTTTAACAAGTGAACAGAGACGTGATATAACTGAGTTCACTGCTACAAAATTTCCTTATTCCAAGCCTGCGAACAGGCTCTGATTATTCAGTGGTGCTGCAGTACGCGCTTTGTTGCGCGCACGGGAAGATTTGAGGCGAATCGGGGAGAGGTGTGCCGGGAGTCTGGCTAAGAGCACAACTCTCGCCGGCTCGCGTTGCTCAAGCGGAGCCTGCTCGCAGGTTACCTCGTGTCCCGTCGGCTGAAGCCTTTAATTTTCTGAGTGTTACTTTTGTGTTTACTTTTTTGTTGTTCTTTTTAGTGCCCAAACTTACCACCCAAGTGTGAACAATTCTAGAGCTATTTGACTCATCTAGTTTAGCCCCGTGACTGGGTAGCAATTTTCATACTCTCGCAAAACTTTACAACTGAGATCAACAACACAACCCGTGAACTTGCAAAACTTTCTAAAACCCTGGTCGTCGATTCAGGGCTGTCGAGCAAAGAAGGTTACCTTTTTCACACTAGCCTTCTGTGGCTTATTCTCTCCATTAGAGGCAGTGGATGTAACATCTGTAAAAGGAAAAAGAACGCAGAACTAACATATGTTATAATATTTTGCCTTGAAAAGCTTTACATCGACATTTTACTACATACTCTAACTTGGTTTTTGGTAACACTTTCAAATATGTCAGTGCTCCAAGCCGCGGCCGTTTCGCTCACTATGGCGACTAGAGAAACATTTCGGTGACTTATTTGAAGCGACTTGAGGTTGACTTGCAAGTTGTAACGACTCTATAACCTAGCTTTTATGGTCTAAAGTTAGAGTATATAAGCATTTTCATGAAATATTCCTCACTCATGTTTTGTCTCAAAGTTCAAATAATCCAAAACAGTCTTGTACGTGGGCATTGTGGGACATGGCTAGTCAGATTTAAAAGTTATGTCCCACGTGGTACAAACAGACCAATCATCTCTGGGGCAAATCCGGCCTCCTAATTAGCCTATTTGTACCACGTGGTACATAACCCTTGAATCTGATTAGCTTTGTCCCATAGTGCCCCGTATATTACTCAAATCATACCATTTTCTTTGCTGTCTTTACTTGAACTTGGCTTGTCCATGACATACACTGTTCTTTTCTTCCTAATTTCAACTTTGCTATCAGTCTCTGCAGCAGACGATGACACAACCTTGGTATCTTTGTCGCTATCGTCAGAAGATTTCCGAACCAATCTTTTTAATCTCTTTGGTGGAATCGACGTTGCAGTTGCAGTGCTGCTGTTTACCTGTCCGCTCACTTCTCCACTCAAATCTTGCACAGAATCTCCAGGGCCTTCTTGTTCAGCTTTCCTTTTCCGTTTTTCTTGCATTATTTCCTCAAACGATTTCACTCTCACTTGTTGAAAGGGCGATGGAGGTTCATTTGTGGTTACTTTCTCGTTCACATTTTCGTTCTCTTCAGAATTTGCAGAAACTCTTTTGGTCAGAGTTACCTCTTCAGAGGATGAATCTGCATTACTACTTCTTTTGCTGTTGATAGAATTATTTTTCAAACCGATAAGTTTTTTGACAGGGGAACTCTTTCTGTCATTTAAAGATACCTTTCTCGCAACAGAAGGTTTCTCAGATGATGATTCTACACTGTTATAATCCTTCTCATCTAATAAATGTTTAGTATTGCTTTCTGACTCTATAACAGCACACTCTTCTTCCTCTTCGTTGTTGGCACCTTCACCTTTGCCCATACTTTCTTCATCTTCTTTACCATCTTCAGCTTCTTTTTGCTCTTCACTTTTTGCCTGCGCTCTTCTCTCTTCAAGTTTCTTTAGTGCTTTCTCGCGAAGTATCTCCTCCAAGGTTTTTACCTTGATGCCTGGACTGTTCTCATCCTTTGCCATGTCCTCCTTCTCTTCTTTTTCTTCATTTTTTTCATCCTGCGATGGGCTCTTCTTTCTTTTTTGTCTTTCTATAATATCCTTTCTCTCCTTTTCCTCCGATTCTTTATCAGATCTTCGTGATGGTCTCCTCCTGTCCCTGGACCTCTCCCGTTCTGCATCTGTACACACAAAATTCAACAATAAATAAATATATCAAAACAAAGAGGTAACAACACAACAAATATTACATGTACAGCAATGAACATTATTTTTGTAGATAAAGTTTTTATTTGGTTTAGTACACCCATGAAATTTTCAGTGCTCCTTTGTCTTTGTTCCATACTACGACATGATACTATTTCACCACTATAAATAAATAGAACGTTTTCACATTATGGGTAAGCACTTTACAAAGGCTAGAAGGACTTACATGAGATAGCTTCATGACATTCTTAATCCTTTGAACCTTAAGAGTGATCAGCAACTAATTTCTCCTTATGATATCAAATAATTAAGTTCAAGGGAATAAAGGAAGTGATCATCACCTAAAGAAACTTTTGATTCAAACAAATTCTCCTTGTCAGCATCCCAGGCAATGTTGGGAAAACGGTACGGAGAATATGCATACTGATATAAGGGTGTAAAGGGCTAATACCTGTGGAATCTTTGTTTTTGTCTTTTGATCCATCTGTTCTTCTGCGATCTCCAGTCCTGTACCCTATACAAGAAAAAAAAAGCATTAACGACTATCAAAGCACTCATTGATAAACTGTTTGAAAGCCTAGATCAAACCAATCACAACATGCATTCAAAACCAAGGCGCAAAGTCAGTAAGGGCAAATAAGCGTAAAGAAACTCAAAGTGGATAATGTAAGCAAACTTAAGAGTAGGAGAAATGAATAAAGGGGTAAGTTTCTATAGAAACAGTGGTGCTGCGTCGGTGGGGGAGTATAACAAGATAATTTAGCATTATCAACTGAGTTGTTAATGGAAATTGGCTACTGTAGAGAGTTTCAAAGCTGACGTTTTGAACGTTTGCCCTTCATCATTCGCTCTGACGAAGGGCCAACGCTCGAAACGTCAGCTTTGAAACTCTTTACAATGGCCAATTTACGTTATCAACTCAGTTGATAATGCTAAATTACCCTGTTGAGAGTAGGACACTGACAGGGACTAAAACGCAACTGGTAAATGGCTTTTCTTCTGATTGGCAGAGAGGATGGCATGCAATTTTTAACCAATCATAGAGAATAAGTAAACGTATTACAATCCTGTCTTTCTACGAGGCTTTGCCAGTAAGCCTGAACAGAGAGGAGAAAATGACAATGACAAATATATAGTGCTCATAAAAAGCGCGCTTAAATGCTGCTTTGTCATGAAACAGGTCTACCTAACCTATGACCACACTTGGCCTCTGACCTCTGTGAGGAGGGCAAAATGTTTCATACATTTTTTTTTAACTTACTCTCATGACCTGGTTTCCGGTTATTGCGCGTATCTCGCCTGTCACTGGAGAACACTTCTCTTTGTGAACCGTTACGTACTTTCCGGCGGGATGTCTGGTGTGATTTTCTCCTTTCATCATCACTTCCACTACTGGAGTAGGAGTCTGAATCTAAAGACACACACAAGTCTTACTTTCCAATTCTTTGATTTAAATGTACTCTTCATAACCTTCACCTAAATGTCTGAGTACATTATAAAGCCTAAGGTTCCTTTACCCTTTAAATCCCTTAAGTGACCAAGGGAGAATTTCTCCTTACAATACCAAAACAATATTACAGACAAATCACAAGAATAAAGAAAAATATCAGTGAGGGGATTATCAGTTGATCTACTACCAAATTCTTCAAACTTATATCATAAGATTTGTATGGCAGACAGTAAGGAGAATTACTAAGAATATCTTGGGAGTTAAAGGGTTAACATACAGCTGCTAGTTTTCTTCAAAGCTATTTTTTCAAGGTGGCTTCCACTGTTTGTTTACCTTTAGCCTACAACACTTTCACTATGAATGCCGACTTTTTTAAAGCTCTAAAGCCATTTCCAACATCTAATAATAGCTCATAACAATTTCATTCAAGTTACTAGATGTAAAACACTGATATAATACCTTGACGGTCATATCTATCCTCTTGAAAACCCCCTTTGGGCAAGAATGATGTTGCTGAGCCTGAAAGAAAAATTTAAAGAAATATGTCACTTAAAAAATATCAACCAAAAACTCCTTTATCCCTTTAACACCTAAGAGTGACTAGCATCTAATTTCTCCTTAAAATGTCTCCCCTGAATCATGTAGTAAGGTCCTGAGAATAAAAAAAATTATCAGCAGCAAAAGAAGCTGTCGATTGTTTCACAAATTCTCCTTGTCAGCAACTTAGGGAATGCATGGGGAACAGTAAAGAGAATATTTGCATAAGCACAACCTTGGCTTCTTTTTCTAAAAAGGGGAACATTGATTGAATTTAGGCTTTGTGCTCACACAGATGTAAAGAGGCATCCAGCGTAACATAACACAACAATTTAGCACTATCATCAAAAACAAATGGGAACAAGGCCTAAAAACCCCCAAAATCACAAAAACTGATTAAAATTATTAAACCATAGTCACCCTCACCATGAAGCTGAAGGGTGTCTCCAATGACTAACAATATAATGAATTGACTAGATATTCTGGGTTTTTTTTTCAAAGAATCATTGAAAAGAGAAACAACTTTTAAAGCAGATTTTTCATACCTTCTGGTCTTCCCATGTACATGTTCACAAGATGAGGATATCTCTGTGGAGCTGGCATGCCTGAGGAAAGAAATTACACATGAGCACAGGAAAAAGAAACATCTCAGTTCTCCAAATTCTCCTGGGTATGGAGTTGACACACCTTCTACAAGGATTCAAATGCTCCATGTTGGGATTTTTCAGTGGAAGCTCTTCCATGAAACAACAAAGGACTTGTTAGTGAGCTGAGCTGAGCTGTATACTTATTCATAACAAACAACATGCCTACTGCTAGGATTAGCAATTTCAAAAGCATTATGCATCAGTAGATTAAGGAACATGGGAAATGTTGAGCTTGGCGTTATTGGCAACTCTTGCTGAACACATCTTTCAAAAATGTTCAGGTTAGAAAGTTTTCTTTGAGGGTAAACCTCCTTGTATCACAAAACATCTATAAAAAAGTCTTCACCTCTCCCGAATCGCACTGGAACATGTGGAAGTACAGGTGGAAACCCTCTGTCCACAGGAACAGGCTGAACTATCCCTGCTGGGCGTGGAGGTCCGGTATACTGGGGTGTCCTTATCATCTGAGGGGGTTGTGGTGCCACTACAAGCCTGTTGGGTGCTGTTGGGTATGAGATGGGTGTCACCGGTTGTCTTCCTATGGAAACATTTTGGTGTAGAGGTTGTCTTGGTCTTGGAGTACCTGATATGGTGGGAATTGACCTGACATTTTGTGGACCAGCTGAGGAAGGAGGTGTAGGTATAGGTGGAACTGGGAGGGGTTGAGCAGGCGTTGAAACAGTAGGAACTGAAGTGCTTGTGTTTGACTGCTCATTGGGTCTTGGCTTGGTGTGAAGAAATGGACAGAATGGCTTCAAGCAACCACTTGGTTGCGACTCCCAGTAACATTGAGTGCGAGACCTGCGCTCCTGTTGATGGAAAGAAACTTAATTGATAATGGCAAAATATGTGAAGGAGGCCATTTCACAACAAAATGATAACTGCTAGGAGTTGAGAAGTTCTTAAAGGGCCACAAAAATGACGCCAAACTGAAGCAGTAAGTTGTTAAATTTGATACTTAAAGATAAATACTCAGTGTTCTCCTTTTCAGGCAGTAACCGGTAACATTTACCACCTGTAGTACCTCTTATTACTGTCTAAAATTGCTTAGAATTCTTGAAAATTCAACAGGTAAAAGGATTGCTTTTCCAGTTTGAAAATTTATTTTACCTGTCATGCTTTAAATAAGGAAAAACACTGAATACTACTTGCCATCATAAAATTTAGTCTTACTTAACACTAATTTATTCCTCCTACCACACTGCTATCCTGCTTAATACAGCGAAAACTCTATTAGGCTGACCCCCAATTAAGTGGACACCCTCTTATAGGCAGACACTAAGCCAGCTCCTGAAATTAATGTCCTATATTCCCTTTATAACAAACCCAGTTCAGTAGATACTAAAATAAATTGCTTTTGGCTAATTTCTATTGTTAAAAACCTCTATTAAGTGGACACTGGACTACTGTACATAATTTCTACATACACAGAGTCAATGTACCATGCATATTATTTTTGCTGCTTTGCTTTTATGTTTCTGTATTATTATCCAAAATTAACATTGGTAATGAAAGGTAATGAACTTGAAATCTGGATAGCTTTGTTAGCAACATGGAACTTTATTACAGTACAGAGTAACTGTTGAATGTTAATCTTTAGCAATTATTGTGCAATTTTCACAAACCTCTATTAAGTGGACATTTGGGAAGGTCGCGAGGGTGTCCACTTAATAGAGGTTTCACTGTGCTACAAAACAAACACAAAACGAGAAGTATTGCACCACTAAGTATAGTACAGATTTACACATAGCTGTAGTGGTATCAGTAAGCTGTCACAAATAACAAACTGCTACTCACTTCATGTAAATAAATCAAATTTCATGTACATGTAAAAGTTCAAATGACAAAAAAGTCTTGTAATAGTATCCTGTGTGTACCTCAATCAACATATGCCTGAAACGACAGACTGGTCTCAAACATCTTCCACTTTTTTCCCATTCTTCACAAATTACTTCACATCCTAGTGCCGCTGGTTGATGTCGGAAAGGACATTCCTCTCCCTGGAAAGATATCATACTCTATTAAAGCACTTAAGAGAAGTTGGTGTTTCATGGTGCTTAACCCCAAAATATTTTAATTAGAGATCTTTCTAGTGGATATTGTTATCCACCCCTGGAGTAAGTGAGGCTGGCTGGAATTGCCTCTACATACCTCTACAGCCCTGAGTTCTACTCATCACCTATTTGCATCAATAGCTGATTGATTTGCTTCCTGTCTGCAAAGGTATCAAATCCTTTCATGGTTATCTGAGTTGCATACCTGAAAACTAGCCAAGGTACATGTAACTACATGCACATTCACCATGAATTCAGCATTTGTCTGCTTTACAATTCACATAACTCCAGAACTTTACCATTGCCCTCCCTTTCATTCTTGAAAATGCTGCATTTAATCCAGGGCATTAAAAATCAAAGCACAAGCATTATTCAGGACAGGAGGGTGTAAGACTCAAATTACTTTTTGTTCACTGATTCTACAAACCTTTGCACATGTTGAGTAGTAATAGAAATAACAGTCATCCCCTTGTGAGGTCATCACTGAAGGTCACTTGCTTCTAGAAAGTAAGAAAAATGCAGTTGGACATATCATCTTTATTCATTGTTAAAGAAAACAAATTTCAAAAGCAGCTGGCTGAATACAGTGACAACTTAAGCAACTTTAGAGTTCATGTTGTTGTTTGGTTAACCAGCTGTAAACTTGTAGATTGTCTGCTGTCTGTTCTAGAACTTGAGAACAAACACACCACAGACAAGCTTGATAAGCAAACTCATAACTAATGACCCACCATCCAGATTTCTCAACATACTTGCAGTTGGTGTCCTTCCTAGTCAGGGCTGCACAATTTACATTTCAACATTACAACTTCTGAAATAAATATCCCTTACTAACCAAGTTTGAGGTTCATACTAGAGGTTATGGCCTGCACATATGTAATAAGGCCAAAAATCCAAGCAGAGAAAACAAGGTTTCGTAACTTCTAGAATGGACCTCAAATTTGGTTAGTGTGAGGTATTTATTTTATATTTGGGTTCAAATACAGGGAGAATTTTCAATTTAAACAAACTTTCTGATTTGGTGAGCCAAAGGGTGAAATTGACCAGTTATGGTGCCCATACTAACTGAGAGATAAAGTGATGATAGATATACTGTCTATCTACAACCAGCTGATTTCAATTTGTCTTTGAATAGGGCTACCATTGCTTAGAAACAGTCTGTTTCCTTAGTTTATTTGCTACTGTAGGTAACTGGATTGGGAACATGTATGTATGAATTTCAGCTAAATCTATAACTTAACTGATGAACAGTGCAGAATGTGATTAAAAAAAAATCATTCTTACCAGCCTGTCCTAGCCTCCTATGAAGACTGAAGAATCCAAATGCAATGACAAAAGTTACTAGCAGTGAACACTCCAATCTAATGCAGCTAGGACAATGACTATTTAACTTCTTTTCAACAACAGTGGTCAGAGACTGAACATTTCACATTTGATAGGTTACAAGCCAATTAGACATGACAAGAACTCCAATGATGACTTCCAAATAATGTCACAGGGATGATCCTTTGTTAAAGTAAAGCTGACTTTTCTCAAAACCACATTGTTGAAGAATAAACAGATCTTGGAATGTCCTAAGGGTGTCAATCCTCTGAGCTTCTTCAGTTTAGTCACAAGTCTTTCACAAACCCCTGGCTAACAAAACATAAGGCGATGGGAACACATTCCTCTCATCAATTGTCCCTTGAAGTAGCTCTGACTCCCAGAAGAACTTCAGTTGGAGACAGGTCCACACTTTCAGATTATAGTGTAAAACTCTCTTTCATTACAAGTCCAACAAAATTGATCTATAAAAGCCTTCCTTCCCTCTCACAAGGAGTAGATGATAATTCTTTTTTTTCCTATTTTTTTTTTAAGTAAAAATAACTTGGAAATACAGTAACTCCCAACCCCCCCCCCCACCCCTCCAATCAAAACAATATCGATCAAAACATTAATTTTGTTTCAATACAGTCCTTCAACATCCATTTCAATACAACAAAATGTGTTGAGTGACTAAATCATTTCATAGCTAAAATAACTTGTTTTACATTTTATGCTTTCTATTTAAAACAAAAATACAATACTTTGCTATTAGGTTTGCTAAGTACCCTTCATAATATGGTGATTATATTTTTTAATTTTATCATGTACCTGTGGTTAGTAAATTTAATGTCAGTTAAAGTTTCTGTCCTGTCACCTTTTTCTGTTTTTAAGTAGGGCTTAATATAGATATAACATAACTTTCAAGGCATGCAATTTTAAGTAATTAGGTATTACTGCCCATCCCATCTTGAACTACATTTTAAACAAAGGCATCTATAGTATCAAAAGTAAAATTTGAAAATTTGGGAATATAGCATGAGGGTCACCACCAGATATTCCCAGTTTTAACAGGAGCAAATCACATCAAGTAATGCATTAAGGCCAATCTTGCATGTCTTTGAGCAAAAATATTTGATAGATTACAATGCTTAATATCTTCATAATTCCCCAAAGCTTAAAAACACATACAAAAGAATTGGTAACAAGCACATCCCTATTTCCTAACAGCATGTGCTTAGATGATCATAACATTATTTTCTAACAGACTGTGAGTTCTAAAGAATGGATTCCCTCAGTCTGTTGACTGTAATGGTGTTGTCTACATTTTTGCTGTGGTTGTGATCCATAATCCACTGATCTAAAAATTTACTAACTGAAGATAACGATGCATTTCCCAAGTACTACTCAAAATTAATTCTTTCAGGCCCAAGTTATAACTGAACATGTTAGATCCTGGAATTTTGTTATTCATGGAACTGTTGGATGAGTGAGAAATGTTACAGCAAACAAATTTCTCATTTAACTATTTTAAAGCTAACTTCTCGCATAAAAAGGGTAAATCCAACCTGACAATAGATTGTTACATCATACAAAATATGCCATGTCACTGCTACACCTGGATTTCATTCAAGTAGCAGACAAACCCAACAGCAACAACAACAACAACAACAAAAACAAAAACAACAACAATCACACCACAAACTAGACCTGGTAACATTACACACAAAATCCAGCAAACATAAGCTGTGGCAAGGGATATCATTGTCGATAAGAGTACATATCACCCTAAACTAGTGTCCATGTGATTATTAGTAATTCACCCTTTGATGGCCTTTGTGACCCAGCATCAATCATGGGTCAAGTCGCAAAGGTCTCACACCAAACACGTCGGATCTTACAATTTTTTACGTCATTGAAGAAATCATCTCCAAAACACAGATTTACGCAAATGGGTTCTTGGTGACGAAGTGACCCGACTTACCCCATATCACTTGCGATCGTTAAGTCTTGTCTCGGGTCGTAAGTTGAAATTCTACATCAACATGGTACTCCACGGACAAAGTTACAACATCTGCACTAAGGCGGTACACAATAAAGCAAAAAGGCACGAACGAAAAGCAGCGACGAACTGACCGCGTTCATGTTAAAGCATAGCTGTATATCAATAACCTTTGATCGATCGCTCTCTAAAAGTTAGGTAAAGATTCACAATATTCGCGCACACTAAGACTGAACTCGGTCACTTTTTGGCACTCCCCATAATATACTTACTACAACCTATTTAATTTGAAATTTTAACCCCCGATTGATCCCTCATTCATAAAACATGAAAATATAAAGAGAGCAACTGTCTTAGGAAGCGAAATCGACAACAATTCACCTATTCAATGGACAGACGTAGACAACTGAAATAACCCTTGAAAACCACCAAAAACCACCAAATCTGCTTTGGAATTTCGTAGCCTTCCGTCGAAACTTGAAAAGTCGGTTATTAGAAGGCGGGATGCTGAGAAGCTTGCTCGCTCAGTCTTCGCTCCACTCCATGCTTCCAAAATGGCGGCCCATTGCTCCTAAGTGACAATAAAATTTGACCGGGGTTGGGAGGTTACAACATTGCGGCGTGCAAATGTGGTAAAACGTTTAAAAACGAGGCTAATCATTGCGATTTATGAGGGGGAGGGGGTAAAAAGGGTCTTCTTGATCTTTATCTTGACATCTCTGGGGTCTAAAGACAAAACTTCATTGTTTGTTAATTAGTGTAGAAAAGAAAAAGTTAAATATATTGTTCTTCTGTGTTGCATAGATCTAAAGTATGCAAATATTGAAAAGTATTCTCCTGAGCAAAAAGTAGTATTTCACACTCTCCTCCCTAGGCAAGAATTTCGTGCTACCCACGTTTTCCTGTTTTGGCTTGATTGATCTAAGGCTTTCTCTTTGGATGATACGAGATGGCAGGGTGTTCTCCAAACCTTAAGGCAATTTTCAAGTAAGTTTGGATGATTTTATGTTAGTAATACACTTTAGGATGGCGGTAATTTTATTCAAACGTAAATCGCATATTTGTTTCCTTTTATACTGATCGAATGTTGCTTTAATTTCTTGCAAATACCGTAGTTACGTGGACGAGCATCAGGTAAGTGATCTCGCTTTTCTTTTAGGTACTTTAAGCCACTCGTTCCAAAAAACTTGCCTTTATGACAGCGCCAGTTGTCTAAAATTATAAGAAAGGAGGTTACTGGTAATCAGGTCTCTTAAATCATCAATGGTTTTTTGATATTTTAACATGTATCACAGTAACTCTAACTGATGGAAGGTCACTGATTATTTGTGAGGGCGGAAGCGAGAAAATATAAGTTCTGCAACGGGCTGGAATAAAGACCCTATGTCCTGTGTCAGGGTTCTTTTACCCTTAAGCAATCATACTCTAAGCTACTATACATTTTTTAATCGATTTTTAAGGAGAACTTGGTGTGACATCAAAATATTTCAACACTCTGTTTTTTTTTTTCTTTTTTATTGCCTGCTGTTTTTTTAAATAAGAGGAAGATATTGCGTAGAGAAGTTGCATGACAATCAATATTGGGCACTTTTCTGTGAGTTTGCAAACGTTTGGGAGCACTGCACAGATGAGGGGCTTGGAAACTTGAACATGTCAACTTCACAAGTTATTTTAGTTATTGTGAATTGATTGACTGCTCTCAACTTATCAGACTTCTCCTCGTAAGTCTAATGTATAATAACTTGATCTATAGGATCTTTATGTGCAAAGGCTCAGTGATGCTGTTGCAATTCAAAGCGTCTCAGGATGGACATATCCTCCATACAGAGATAATATTGTCAGGATGATCAACCAAGTGAAAGACGTATGTGCAAAGCATAGATTCCTGTTATATCAAGTGACCAGCCCTATACAGGCCTTTGTTTAAAAACATGTTGGGGCATGTCAATTGTGCTGGGCTGAAAAAACAAAAAAGCCGTCTGACCCTGTAAGGTCTAAGTTGAACAAAATAAGCAAGATAGAGAAAGTATAGAGGTCATATGATAAAATCATGTGATAAAATGTTTATTGACTGAGCTAGATTGGTCAGGATGGGAAGATACATATTGTTCTAGGTCCTTTGAGAAGTAAAGACATATACTGATTAGGAAAAAGTCTAAGAATAATTTCATGCCAGTTTTCAGGGTGTTAGGAATCTTTGGATCACAACTAACATGAGTGATTTTTGCTTCTTTCTGTTAAAATCAACCGCACAAAAACTCAAATCATTCTATACTTTCAATTGATAATCACTTAGATCTCTTCTGATCAACTGGCACATTTTGCAATTCACTTGATTACACCTTATCACTTACATCACTTAGTGTCATAAGTCAAAGTTCACTTTTCAGCATGACAGTTACACAATTTTTTTTTCCAACAACAGTAATGCTGCACAATTTCTTCAACAGGAACTGATAAGTCTTGGAGGCGAGGTTGAGTTAGCCGACCTCGGCATGCAGCACGGTGCCAACATTCCACTGCCACCAGTACTATTGGGAATACTTGGAAAGGATCCTGCCAAGAAAACAGTGAGTCACGATCTCATTAGTCTTCATTGTTGAACTGTCAATTTAAACTTGGAAGTTTAGGTTTGGTATATTCTATCAGAGAGTTTTACCTGGATAAAGATTTAAGACTGCTCCTGTAGTTTTTTACCTCTAGTCTTAATTTTAATTCAGTTCAATTATCCATGATAGACTGCACTCTGTATATTGCTTCATTGACTTTTAACCCATGTAGGATTTTTAAAATTAAAAGAAAGTGTAGTCAATTGTTTCTGTTAAACTAAGCACTATTATTATAAGTAAACCAATTAAAAAATATATGGGTTTTAAACCACTCAGTGCATGCTTTGTATCTCTGTTTTATAAAGGTTTCCATTTTACAGTGAAGCACTTAAAGGGATGAAATAGTGGTACATATTTTTTTTATCAATTATTTTAGTGGCATTTGCCTCTTGCAGCTCTGTGTTTATGGACATCTTGATGTTCAACCAGCAAAATTGGTAAGTACTATGTAACATCAGAAATTTTTGGGTTGGTGGATTTGAGTAAATTGAATTTTATACTAAGTCAGTGACCTGACATGAGCACAAGATGGAGTGGCCTTATTGAATTGAATTCTGAAAAAAGAAGACTGGTCAGACCTGTCTGGGGTAATTTTGTTGTGTTCTTGGCCATTTTTTCTGGCTTGTGCATTTTTAAACGTGTCCACTGATATCTAGTTTATGATGGTTGCACTTTAAAAAGCATGGTAACAATTTTTTGTGCAAAGAACACCATAATGGTATACTAAGTCCTTAAGGTAAGATTGATGGGGTCTGTGTTTTTTTTTCGGCTGTTGGCCTTAGTGGAGCTCACAAAAAGGAGAAAAGTGATTATGGTACTGAACTGTAACCTCTGAAAGTTTCCTTAGCCAGTTGGTGAAGGGGGAGGAGGGGGGGGGGGGGGGGGGGGCAGAGACAGGGGGCTCACAGCCTTGTACTTCCCATACTATGTTCTCCCACCTCCCGTACTTTTGCAACCCTTTGCCTCCCAACTCCTACCCTTCACTGTATTACTCCTGCCTTCTTGAACTTTCTCTGGCCTTGCAAATCTTTTGGTGGGTAGGGTAGGTACACCCTGTTATTTTCTCAAGATGAACATTATTACAGGCCACTAAACACCAAGTTTTCATTAACCTGGTTATTGCAATTTGACTGTTACTTCTAACATCTCACTATGGTGACTGAGATGTCTCATTTCATTGTGCAATGATAGCTATTGCAGTTTCAAATATGTATTCACTTACATTTAGGAGTCCAGAAATTACCAGGATCATACTATTAAGAAATGAAATTTAAGAGCCAATTGTACCATTTACAGTTCAGCACTCCTGTCTAATTTGGTTTTGCTTCTACTTATTTAATTAATTGCATATCCATTGTGTTTGATTTTTAGTTTTTGTCGGATGTAGCTATAGTGGTGAACTATATAAAAGCTGGCTTCAAGGAATGATTCATATCACTACCTATGAACTATCCATTTGCATTTTTGAGCATTCAGGTTAAGCACTAGCAGAACAATACGGTGCATGATTGTTTGGCTGGTTATCATATTTTAAATTTTCTTTGTCCAATGCTTGTGACAAGACAGAAAATGTCTTTCTTTATTTCTTTACCAAGCTCAAAACTTATCATCTGCCTTATTTCTATTCAGATTTCTTTGAGAAGTTGAAATCTTCTCTAAACCTCTGCAAAAGGTTTTAAAAGTTGTACATATGCTATCTGATTTATTAATATACACCAGCAGTATAATTCAGTGACATGTGTGTGATTGTCTAATTTAAAGGCATTTGCAGAAACAAGGTCTTCTATGGACTGATTTTTTTGTTGCCATACTGAATAATATTGAGGCTGATCTGTGTAGTCTTATGACATTCGACCTAACTCATTTTGTTTCCTGGGGAATTTCGACTCCTACAACTGCTGACACTGTGTGCATATTTCATGTTATCTTATTCATGACCTATAATGCAACTGACTTTGTGAGGTATCATATTACACTGGCTGAGTATAAATTTATGTTTTCTCGCATATAAAATTTTCTTTTAGCCTCAGTGGATGTTAAATGAAAGTAATAAAACTCTGCTGGGTACAGGTTTTTGGCTGAATGATAAGCAGTAAATATACAACAAATGATTGCCTTAAAGTTTTTAATTTCTGCCTTGGCTTTCCTGTTGTAGATCCTGCTTCCCACCCTTTCCTGGCCTCTCCTGACCCACCCTCCTTCCCCCCCCCCTCCCCCCCCCCCCACTTTTGCATATGTTGACATGCAAAACAGCTTATTAAGTGCTGAAGGAAAATGACAACTGCTGGATATCTTGAAGGGTACTTAGGCTTTTGATCTGCACAGCCTTTGACCCCTGACAGTTATAAGTATCTAATTTCTGCTTACAATATCACCCTCAATGAAACATCAATGTCAGAGAAATTATCACCTTCTAAAGGAGCTCTTGCTCGATGAAAAAATTCTCTATGTCAGCACTTAAGGAAATGTATAAAGAACAGTAAGGAGAATATGCATACTGATGTCAGGGTCAAGGGCAATAAGCGTTTATGGAGGAAATTTACTTGAGAAGATGTACAAGAAGCCATGTAGAACTGGCAGCCAACAACTAACCAGTGATATCTCCACATTACTTAAATCTGTTAAAAAATAAATAGTATCCATTATGAATTACATTTTTCTAGGAAGATGGATGGGACACAGATCCTTTTACCCTGACAGAAATTGATGGGAAGCTTTATGGTCGTGGATCCACTGATGATAAGGTAGAAGAAGGAGAAAGATACAGATACGAGGGCAGATACAGGGGCAGATACAGGAATCAATAAGGGAGGGGGCATGGAAGGAGGGCAGAGGGGGGGGCTGAAGGGGGGTTTGAAAGATTCAGAAAACATAAAACATAATTTTTTATTAAAAATAGTCTAAAAAGGCTAAGAAATTTTTGTAAGACAAGGAAACCTTGAATACTTTTCATGGAATGGTAACATGTGATCATGTGGAAGAAAGTAATATAAGCCAGCCTGCTGATGGTAAATACTAATTAAGGCAGGTCTGCTAGAAATCATCCAGCCATTCACATTTCTTTTTTACCACTTATTTAGGGGCCAGTGCTTGCATGGCTGAATGCTATTGAAGCATACCAGAAGACTGGTAATGAGTTGCCAATCAATTTAAGGGTAAGCCTCATTTTTTGGAAAGACTGTTCAAAGAGTAACTTGAAAGTCAACATCTTGTTCGCTTAGAAGTAATGTGAGTAATAACAGTGACTGAGTATACAAAGTATACAAAGGTTTAAAAAGAGCTGGAGACCAACAAAATTTCACATTTATGAGAAGCAAAATTGTTGCCTATTTTCTCAGAAATGAAGACAATCAGTTATTACCGGTATGATAATTGATAATTAATTATGATTATGATAGCCCTGCAAATTGTTCAACAGAAACATGTTAACTGCCTATATTTTATTTTTTCTACTAGTTTGTGTTTGAAGGAATGGAAGAATCAGGCAGTGAGGGTCTGGATAAGCTGATCCACAGCAAGAAGGACACCTTCTTCAAGGTTTGATTAACATGATCGTTATACTGCACATTTAGGAAATGCAGCTACTGAAAGGTTTGGGCCAACAAAAGCCTCGATAAGAATTTTTGAACCCATGGGATATTTTAAATTGCAAGTCGTAAAAGGTTACTGTGATACCATTTCAGATGTGTTCAGAACTTTTTTCTTAGTAGACACTGAATGTTAGTGTTTTATGTACGTTCTGAGTTTCCCCAATACCTTTCTCCTTTGAAAGACCAGAAAAAAATTGAGCCAGAGTCTTTACAATATACTCAGTTCTTACATGGAAGCTGTTGTTTAAATTTCAACCTAAGTGGATGTAGTTTTTGTTCAGTATGTTATTGATACCATTAGCTGATTTTTCACCTGTAGATATAGTTGAATACTTTGTGGATGGTATACTTAGGCTCTAGTGGCTGTCCATGAATTAGTCATTGTTTCTGACATTAGACCTTGCAGAACTACCCAAACCCAGACAACCATCTGAAATGATCAACAGTTTTACACAAGTTATTGATTTGGGATTAATTAGTAATTTATAGGAAGTTAAAGAAACAATGAAGGCAATGCCGTGGACAACATCGGTTAAAAAATGAACTCATGTTTTACCTATGAATCTCGAGATTCTTGTAAATCATTTAGTTTGTTTCTTATCATCAAACTATCTCAAAACTGAAAATGAAATACTGCATTAAATTGGAAATAGAAATTTAAAAAATAAGCTGTTGTCATTCATGTTCTCCAGACAACACAAAGTTCGGTCATTTCATGTCGTTGTTTTGCAGAGGACACAAAGAAATTTACAAAGATTTATAATGCGCATGCACAGCCATTGTTCTGCTCATTTGACCTTTTGTTCAGTGGTGTTCCCATTGCTACTGCCGTCATGTTTTTTTTAAACTCCCTAATAAGATGTTAACATACATTTGCAGCCTGTTGATTATGTTTGTATCTCTGACAACTACTGGTTGGGAAAAAGGAAGCCATGTATCACTTATGGATTGAGGTAAAGTGAAATATATGATTTAACACTTGGCTCATCTTTTACTCATTGAGAAATGGACCATGCAGTAAGTTCAGAGAGCATGAAAGATGCATAAGAGTTTCTTGCACAACTTAAACTTCTTTAGCGCTCTCCAAACTTCCCATGTGCTCAGTGTTTTGCTGAATGCACCTTTGATGCATGATCAATTGTTAAATGAAATTTTTAAAACAGTTTTGTTGATGTTGGATAAAGAAAAGTTCACTCTTCTATGCTGCAATTCATAAACCCTGGTCAATAGTGTGTGCAATGGGAATACGAGGAACATTTGTTCAGCTGAATTTGATTGAACAATTTACCAGCCATGTAACATGCATTTAATTTGCATTATCCATTCATTGGTGTTAAGGATATCGAACAAAAGAACAGCCTTTTTTTTATTAGATCAATTGTCAATTACTTTAATTTGTGTGCCTAGTTACGATCGTAGTTACAATGTTTATCTTTTCCCTATTGGTTTGTAATCGGATCTTTTAGCGTCACCACGCGCATATAAAAGCTAAGATAGCGTTCCTATAAGCCAGAGTTTCGCAAGATTTCGCCTTGAACAGCAGTAACTTCGTTCTTTCGTTCCAAACCTTTGGCACAAGCGGGACCGATATTTTACGATCGTGATCGTGACCGTGATCTAAATAAACACCGTTGATAGTCATCTTGGTTTTCGTGGTTTCATTACGACCGGTAAAATAGTCCCCACATCAGCGACACTTAGAAAACACGTCGCAAGCGTCACAATTGGGCCATAAAGATTTGAACCTGGGGGTAACATGTGATAGTGTAGTTTGATTGTCTGGGTGAGTGTAGCCCTGAGAATGACTGTTGTCAGTAGTGGTGACTGAGATTTTGACAACCTGAGCAGAAGTCGTCATCAGAGTCAAGTGAATAGTTAATGAATGAAGTAAACAGTTGCACAACAACTGTTCACTTGACTCTGATGATGACTTCCATTCAGGTTGTTGAAATGTCAGTCACCACCACCCACAACAGTCCTTCTCAGGACTTCACTCGCCTGTAAAATTAGAGTACACTATCAAATGATCAGACTGTATTTCAGTTGAGGATCATAAGACTAAAAAAAGATGTTGTCACGATAGCTTAACAAAAAATGATGCAGTTAGGTATTAACATTCTCACGTTGAGAAAATGCAAGTGACCAAGTTGCAATTTGTTTTATTGTTGTATCTGATTGGCTAGGTGTGCAATGGAAGTGCGGCAAAAAAACCTTTGTTATGTTTTAGCAATTCTGGATTGCTTTTAAAGCTCAATTGCTAATTGCATTTTCCATTCCACTGGTACATTTTGGATGTCCATAGGTATATACTTTTTTTACCACAGTAAGTACACAAATTCATGCAAAATGGTCATCAAAGAATAAAACCACCCTGAGGAAGCCCCAGGACAGACAATGAAACAGTTAAATCCAAGTTTTAAGCGTACTTTTTTTCTCACAGTTTTGCTTTCCTTTTTTTTCTTTCACAGGGGCATCTGTTACTTTTTTGTGGAGGTCAGCTGTGCATCAAAAGATCTGCATTCTGGAGTCTTTGGTGGAACAGTGTGAGTAGAAGACCTTCTTATTTTCAGTAGCTTGCTTCCAAACTGTTTTCTTTTGAATGCTTGTAATCTTATTTTGAGAGTTCCCTAAGGGTATGAAAAAAAAAAAAACATCAGAATATCTCATTTCCAATATAATTTAGGAATTGACTGATCTAGTTAGATGGTTTTTCATTAATTGATAGTCTAGTCTGGCTTGTCCGTTCACTCGTAAATGATCTTTAAACGTAAGGACCTCTGACAAGTAGGACAGTGAATGACTCCTGGCCAATGGAAATCACTGTAAACTGCCAACAAGTGTCCTACCTGCAAATTTCTGCGGCTAATTTGACCCCAGCTAATTAAAAGTATTAGAAATAAACCCCGAAAGGAGTAGAATGTTTAGTCGTGTTTAATCCACTTTTACTGTCACCAAATTCCAACTCTTACGCCAACCCAATAGAGAGCGTTCCGAGTGAGCGCTATCAAACCAAAACTAAAGCAATGACATCATCCAATCAGAATACAGGAAAGTACCTCAAGGAGCCAATAAGAACACAGAGTAAAAACAATTTACTCGCTGAAGCGCGAGAAAAAGCGAGTGATCAAGTCGTAATTGATTTTAGTTTTGAATGGAATCGTTTGAGAGGATGGCGCAAGTTTTTTGGACCAATCATAGACTCAAAAAACGCAAAACCAAAGCAGTATTAGGGCGTAAGTTTCTAAAGAAACTGTGGTACTGTGTCGTTGGGGGAGTGTTAGAAGATAATTTTTTTTCCTATCAAATGGGTTGATTATGTAAAATTAGCCGCAGTAAAGAGTTTCTTAGCTGACGTTTCGAGCGTTAGCCCTTCGTGAGGGCGAATGACGAAGGGCCAACGCTCAAGACGTCAGCTTAGAAACTCTTTACGGTGACCAATTGACATTATCAACTCTGTTGATAACACCAAATTATCCTGTCAAAGCAATATCCTTTTGGCACTCATTTGGAAATTGCCCCATGAACACCATTCTCTCTAACACAGACACGAGGCAATGACGGATCTGATTTATCTCCTGAACAACTTGGTGGACCTTAAGGGGAACATCTTGATTCCTGGGATCAACGACAAAGTCTTGCCCTTAACTGACGATGAAAGAGCAACTTATACAGATATTGACTTTGACAAGGTCAGTCAACAGCAAAGCTTACGTATTTTTTTTCTTCTCTAGTCTGCGTGCTGGGTCTAATTATTATTAGCGCATCAGCGCGAACGTTTCTCCACCCGCGAGAAGTTATGATGCACGTTCATATACCGCGCAATCAATCAGAGAGCGGTATTTTGTACCACGGGGTACAGATACACCAATCAGAAGCCCGTATTTCCCCAATGTACCGTATAAAGCTCTTTGGGGCCTTATCTTAGCGTATGATGTAACTATCAGACGGAGCCAATCACAAGTCAAAGCGAATGAACGTAACTGGTCTAGGCGTGGGAAAGCCGAGTGACCGATTCGCAGTTAATTTGGTATATGCACGGTTGAGAGAGAGGGGCCAGTTTTGTAAATCAATTCTTGTGCTCGGTAGAGCGAAGCATAGCATTTCTAGGTTTCTTTTCGCCCATAGTCTTATTTTATGGGTTTTCAATGACGCTAAAATTACTTTGCTTCCTGGTCTGTTTTCTTTTCCTTAGGAGGAGTATCGTCAGGACCTTGGTCATAAAAAACTTATTCATAACTCTAAGGAGGAAGTGTTGATGCGTCGTTGGCGTTACCCTTCCCTTTCTATTCACGGTATTGATCGAGTTGCTTATTTTACATCAACTAGTTGTTTCAGATAGTAGAATATTCAAGAAAAGGGGTAAAAAACTGGCCTCCGTAAAGAGTCTCCAAAGCTGACGAAGGGCTGACGTTCGAAACTTCAGCTTTAGAAACTCTTCACAGTGGCCAATTTACCGATTTCAACTCAGTTGATAAAACAAAATTATCCCAAGAGAGAACGTTGACTGGAACCCTGCGCGGCTCGTCATGACATCCACTTGCTTCTAGTCGAAGTTAAACCGATGGGCTAGTTTCTAATCAAGGAGCCTGTCGCATATTAAAATTGTCTGGTTGAATTTGTCTAGTATGGTTCTGAATGAAACATACTAAAGGTTCCCAAATACGTCTAAATTCAATCCTGTTCAATTCTATTCTGTTAAAATATTTGATCGAGCATGCCGACATTCGACCGTATTCTAAACTATTCCTATGCGCTCGCAAATCTTAATTTTGGGGGAGGGAGTATTGCGAGGGTTATGAAATACACCATACGATCTGCAGTAGATAATTGAATACTTGACAAATTGACCGAAATTCCTACTATATTCTTATGAGGAAGTTTTCGTAGACAAGTTGCTAAAATTTTTCCTTGACACGCTTTGCTAGTGTAAATGTATCTTAATATTTTTAGCTTGTTTAAATTGAATAAGCCTCAAAGTTGAGTTAGTTCGTACCAGCTTCGTAGGAATGGTTTGAAGTTGCCCTCAACGTAACTTTGCGTTTTCAAACTGTTATCTCCCTGGAATTTCAGGCATCGAAGGAGCCTTTTACGAGCCTGGCTCAAAGACAGTTATTCCCAGAAAGGTATGTAAATTTGAAGCTTTACTTATCAAAAGATGAAGAACCACAATTATCACTGGGAAAGAACGTCAATTTAAATTTGAACTCCTCCCTCCTCCTCTAATTTTTTGAAGAGGAAAGCCGTAGTACTCGCTGAGGGTGATGGGAAGACTCATTACCATTGCCCTTTGTGCAATGACTGATGACAAGTTGGCGATCCTGACGCTCTTTACCTATCATTTGTGATATGGCTAAGGTGTCTTTTTGTTTTCGATGTGATTGGTTTTGCTTTTCAGGTGATTGGCAAGTTCTCCATCCGTTTGGTGCCTGATATGACGCCAGAAGAGGTGGACGAGACTGTGTGCAACTACATCAAGAAACTTCATGAGCAAAGAGGAAGTCCAAACCCACTGTCGTAAGTTAGCTACACTGTTCAATTGTCTTAAGGAAAGTTATATTTCTCGGAGACTGCACGCTTCATTTAGGGGACAACCTCGGAAGCAGGGAAAGGGTCCCCAGAGTAGAAGTGTTCCTTGCTTTAAGGTAGTGGGTACAATGGAATCTCTATTTGGAGAACACACTCTGAGCTTTAAGTTGGAGCACTAGTCTTCCACCGCTGTTGCCCGGGTTCGATTCCCGGACCTGGCGTGACAATTAGGTTGGGTTTGTTGTTGGCTCTCGTCCTTGCAACACAGGTTTTTTTCTCCGGGTCCTCGGGTTTTTCTTCGGGTCCTCGGGTTTTTCTCCGGGTCCTCGGGTTTTTCTTCGGGTCCTCGGGTTTTTCTTCGGGTCGTCCGGTTTTCCTCCCTCCCCTAAAAACCAACATTCCCAATTCCAATTCGACCTGGAAACAGTGAACGAGAAGAGCCACCTTGTGGAAAGTCCACTCCTAAATTCCCTTATTAGTTGTCTCCTCGATAGACGTTTATTTTCTATTAAAATGTAGCTGATGTAAAGGTTACAAGAGCATTATCTTAGTTGGGACCAATATTTGTCCCTTAATGAAAGAGTCCTAAAGGAGAAATCCTACTGTAACTTCAGTTTCAGTTTTAGCCCTATTATTTTATCGAACGGAGGAACATCTTTGATACGAAAAAGACTCCAATCTTTACAAGTATCCCAGCCAGCCTTGCCTTGCACGCTCTCTCAGTACTTCTAGAAGCCATATCATAAATCACGCGTTTTTCCAAGTGATATGTGAGCTTTATTCGAAAGAAACAATTCAAAAATATGATAACTTCGTAAGAGGTTTTAAGTAATAAATCCGTTGCACTATGGCTTTCAAAGTCACCTGTTCTGTAAACATCTCCCCGAATACTGCATTTATACTTCTTCACAGGATATCAAATTGGATACTCTTAAGCTTTAATTCGGCGATTGGAATAGAGAAAAAGATCGAAAGTAGAAGGCAACTTTCTTTTCATTAACTTGCGTCAGCAGTTTAATTTTTCTGCGCCTGTGAACCGATAGTTGTTAGAGAATAATTGAAAATTGCTTCGGAGCCCAAACGGACCTTCTGCAGTTTGTCGTTTTATCGTTGCTCGGGTTGACAGAGTTGTAAAGACGTCCGCGTGACACACTTTCAGGGTCAGCGTTCATCATTGTGGTCCACCATGGGTTAGTGATATCAATCATGTCAACTATCAAGCGGCTAGAAGAGCGTTGAAAACTGGTGAGTTACGATCTGGATTTTTTCCCATGTTCTTTAAGTAAAGAAAAAAACACTTTTGCTTTTCTTATGAGATTTTCTTAACGTTAAGAGATTGGGCTCCGCTCTTAAGGACGAAATCACGTCTCCTGCATGTTAAGTTTTCAATTTTTTTTTTTAAAATCGTCTCTATCTGAAACCATTCATTTTGCTTCTTGGCATCCTTGCTGCTTGTTTGAGCAGATTTCTATGTGCTGTCGAAAGTAATCTGGGATTGCTCTCGTTTAGCTTTATTTCACTCTGTGATTTTTCCCGAGAAATCGTGCCACTTCCTCAACCAATCAAATGTAAATTTAAAACCAATAGCTATTCGGTTACTGCCTCGTGTTTTTCCGCGCCTAGGGAAGTTTGTTTGTTGTTACTGTGCTCTTCTCCCTCTCAACCTCATTTCCAGGGTCCTCTCTCTTCCTCCACAGAGAAAGTGCTTTCTCAAGGGAAAAAGAGAGAGGGCCCTGGTTACAAGGTTATATTACTACTATGTGTTTTTACAGTGTGGTTTTGAACGGCGCATAAAGTAACTAAAAAACGTCACTACTTACCTCTTTCAGAAACGTGAATTTTAATTTCTGAGGGCCAGAGATTGATCTCTCATCTTAAGATCGAAATTTCTTAAGAAAGGACTCAGTCTTTCTTTGGGTTTTTTTTAAATAGTTCATGGTGTTGATCCGGATTTGACTCGTGACGGGTGTAGTATTCCTGTGACCTTGGCTCTACAGGACGCCTTGCAAAAGAACATCGTACTTCTACCGATAGGCGCATGTGATGATGGCGCGCACTCCCAGAACGAGAAAATAAACATCACCAACTACATCCAAGGAGTAAGTACCTGCTTTTCCTCCTGATTTTTTTTAACCTTCTGTTGTTGTTAAAAACAAGACTATAGGCCATTTTTTGGTTCTGAAAAGCTTTAACTCTCAAATTAAGGCTGAGTGGACCAGTGTAAAACGTCGCTCGCGTATCCACGACTCTGCTCTAAACCTCGATTGAAAAGAGAGATTTTAGTCTTCTCGGAAATGGCGTACAAGGATGTGTATATTTTAAGCCGGGTTATTAATCGATTGTGCGCGACCGTTAAAATCAAAAGCAATTATATGGTCTTTATTTTATGGGTGTTATGTTATTTATACATACCTTTGGCCTTACCAAGTGACAAGAGAGAGAGTAGGGATAAAATTATTCCCTGTTATAAAATATCGTAAGCGACTGTTGGGAAAGTATGGGGTGATTGTGGGCTGGAGCTGAGAGAGAGTTGATCATCAGGTTTTGAGAGTGGGTAAGTCTCTAAAGAAACTGTGGTGCTGCGTCGGTGGGAGAGTATATCAGTGTAATTAAGTGTTATCAACTGAGATGATAACGTAAATTGGCCACCGTAAAGAGTTTTAAGGCTGACGTTCCGAGCGTTAGCCCTTCGTCAGAGCGATAGTTTTTGAGAAGGTTGGGTCGTTCAATTTTCAGCGATCCATGGGGGTGGGTCATGTGTTTTTTATCTACCAGAGTTCCAGTTGCTACGTCTCACCACCCCCCCCCCCAACCCTTTTACACTTTTTTACTCGCCCCTAATGAATATTTTTCTTGAGGAAGTGCGTCATAGACAATAACGAGGTTTGAAATAACCCTAACCTACCATTAATTAAAGAGAAGTTTGACAGCTGATGTCGAGTTCTAAAGTTATTAACATTATTGTTGTTTTACTATTTTCTTTTGCAGACCAAAGCCCTAGCCGCGTATTTGGAAGAACTTGGTCATGTTAAAGAGTGATATCAAGGCTTGGCGTGGAGCGCAAGCTAATTCACCTGTCGAATACATGTTGTACAGTGATTTTTCAACACTTTGATACTAAATTACTTTACAGCGATCTTTGATACTTTAACAACTCCCGTAAGTGATCAAGACAGAATTTTGCTCAGACAATATCAACACAACATTGAGAAGATAAGTGATAAGAATGAAGGAAAATATCAATTAAAGGACTGCTAGTTGATCAAATACCAGATTGTGCGCACTAGCATCATCTGAATGTAAGCGGTAAGGAGAATTATTAATGAGATCTTGGGAATGAAAGGGTTGACGGGATTTTATCTTGCTTCACGAGCTCATCACGCATAACGAAAGTTGATCACGTATAACACGCGATCATAACTGCGTTTGCGTTTAATGAGATCCTCTGACGCTTATCTCATTTAATCACTAATATTTCATCACTCATTCTGTCTGGTTGGTCTATTTTTATGTTCCATATTATTTAGCGTTGACTACATATCATGTTAGCCATATATTACTTTCACAAATGCTTGTAATTTTAAAACTTTATTTTTATGTAAATGAAAAGGAATTGAAAAATAAAACTGGATAATTTGCTTTAGTAATGCGTTTGTTACTATTTGAGATTTAGCTCTTGTTAGGACGAGCGTTGTGTTTTGTTATGGGCTTCTTCGTCACTTATTCTTTACCATTCTTACACGTGCAATGGCTTATATAGTAACAAAAATAATCTTGACGAGAAATCTTTATCATGGTATTGTGTAACTTAAGCAGCATTGCTCATACCACCTCACTCCTACCGAGCCTCTCTCCCCGCAATCGTATAAATGGGTGCCAAAGAACTAACAGGGTAACTGAATGAATTGGGGAGAAGGGGAGGGAAGGGGGGGGGTTAACTTTTGATGGCCCAGCGTCCGTCCAAGAGAAGAAGAAATGCTTTTAGTGGCTTCATGCTATAGAAACAGGGATACACTCCGGCTGTGAGGAGAGTCAGCTCTGTATGCAGATTTATTTCGTCAAGATCTCACAGAAGCAATCTAAACTTTTTTTTTTTCTTGTTATTGCTCTTCCAGTGTGAGCATGGGACACGGAGGGCGGCCATGGATGAGTGACTTCAACCACGGGAACTACCAGGCGGCAAAGAAGGCTCTTATGACAGGTACACAATCAACAATTTTTAGTGTAAGGCAATGCTGTGTTTTGATCGCTCTGTCACGTGATAGATGCATGACAGTAATAACTGGAGTCACGTTTAAACGTGACCATTGCACGACGGAGAAAACTGCCACGAGTGTTTTGAGCTCGGCGAAGAAAACGGAAGTCACACAATCAGTCATCTTGATTATAAGTCAGTACCGTGTTTATTTCTTCTTTAAAGTATTTGGTTCTGAGCCCGACATGACCCGTGAAGGTGGAAGCATCCCGGTGACCCTAACCCTGCAGGAAGCCACTGGAAAGAATGTGATGCTGCTGCCACTTGGAGCGTGTGATGATGGCGCGCACTCACAGAATGAAAAGATGGATCGAAAGAACTACATTGAAGGAGTAAGTATTGTAGCTTTTTCATTAAATTTGCCATTGAAATGATAAGAAGAAGTAGGCCCGGATTCCCACAATGGACTAGGAGTCCATCAAAGATGAGTTGCAATAATCCCAGGAGCTTTTCGCCTTACGAATTGGGTTCAGTTCCGGCATGTATGCACGTCAGTTTCACGTGTATGTTAAGCGTTTTTACGCAGCCAAGAGACGATGTCAATCAGCTTTACAGACTGATTTACCGGATACATGCATTCATAGCAGACCATTGGGCCTATCCCTCGGTGAACGTTATCAAATTGTTAATACTTCTTACCTAGTATGCTTTTCCTTTATATTGATAAATTCTGATAAAGCTTCAATTCTTATAACTAATCTCTGTGGAAAGGTACACTAATAGCGGAGCTCGTAATTATACAAAATGGTAGTAGTAACCCATCAAGCCGAAAAAATTTGGACTTACGACCGTACGACCGTACAAAGTGCTACTTTTAACATGCGTGGTCATGCGTGGTACCGCGGGCACGCCAACGCCACGGCTTTGTCCAGTAGTCCAGTGGTCAGTGCACTTGGCTCTGAGTCGGACGACCCGGGTTCTAGTCCTGGCCGGGGCAAGCGTTGTGCCCTTGGGACGTGCGGGGAAAAAAAAACGCGAGCTCCGCTTTTAGGCTTGGCTAAATCTATATATTAGAGAGGAGAAGTCCTAATTATGATCATGGGAGTTTAGGGGTAGCATAACACACCCTCCACCTCCCACTAGATATCCTGCTGGATATCGCCCACAATCGCCTTTCATCATGTTTTTAACAACTGATATCATTCCCTTTGGCTCGATTTCTTCCGCTCACTCTGGTCTGGTTTTCCTCTGCGCGAAAGGAAGATTGGGCTCTGAGAAATGTAACCGAGCCTATTTCTATTTCAAGTTGGTACAGTTTTTTGTGTACAAGAAGTGTTTTTAATTGGACACCTTTGAAGAATATTTGTGAATTTGAAAATCTTCGAGGTGAAACTAAGCGAAAGTAACTTAACGTTACCTTCCATTGTGACAGTATTATGGAATATTGAATTCATCCTCATTGTGTTTGTCAACAGACCAAGGTTTTGGCCGCCTACATGGAGGAAGTGGCAAAAATAGAATGAGATGCCAATCCCGTTGCTAATGGAATACTTTGAAGTAGCTCAAGACGATTGCTAAAAAGATTCAGAAACATGTGAAATTTTCCGTCCGTAACATAGATTTTCCCCCTTCCCCCTTTGATTGGGCGATAAACTGCACCAAAAAAAAGTTAAAAGTAAAAATTTTTTTAAATTTCCAAAAGTAACGTAAAGAATCGCTCTTCTGAGAAACGACCCGTGGACTATATCTATCAGTATCTGAACAACTGCGCACCTACCCCTCCCCTAACCTAACATTAACCCTAACTTGTTATCAGTTGACTATTGTTGAGTTGGGAGAGGGTAGGTGCGCTGCTGCTTAAATACTGACGTTGATACCGAAATTGCTTTGACGATGCGTTGTGCTGACGCATAGCTTGGCTTTAATTTATATGAGTAAGCATTGAATAGATACGAACACTTCTGTTTAACGCGCTAAAATCATAATGTAACAATAAAACATACACTGCAGCAAAAATGAATGAAGATTAAAGAGAAGAAAAGTGGCACTTGAACAATTGTCTCTCAAAAATACTGAATGCAATCATAAATACTATATTTTTAAGTGTAAACTTCCTTTGATTCTGTAACAAATACGTAAACTTGACTATTGCCCTAAACCCACATCAGTAGGTTCATTTCTTTTTTCATCGCGTAAAGTGGCAGTGGACTAACTTGGCGGGTGCCGCAGCGATTCTCGCACCAGGGGTCATTTATTACAATAGAAACCCGCTAAATCGAACTCCCCGTGAACCCAGAGAAGATCTGATTCCCCTTGTCCTTATGTTTTTTTTTCAGTCAATACTCAAACCCCCCGCAAACTCGAACTACTCTTTGTATCCCTTGGGAGTTCGAGTCAGCGGAACTCTACTGTGGTCTTTTATGCTTTGAATTGCACCTACCAAAAAAAAAAAGTTGGTGATGTTCACCACTTCCCCCGTTAAAAAAGTGCACAAGACGGGTATTGAATAATTACTTCTTCCAAATCTCTAAATTCGTTGTTTATAGTACAACATAACGTTTTGTTACTATCTATTATTTTTCTGCGAAATAAACTTACTACATGCGGAAAATAATGAAAATTTGAGAAGCGCCCAACTCAAATAGGCGGCCACTATCAAGGTCCAAACATTCAATTAGCGCCAAGGGCACTCAGTCGAATTAATGCAGTATGTATGTGTAGCGTTTGTTAAAGTTACATGCGGAGGGCAATGTTTCGGTTATAAAACCGGTTTCCTCTAAAATTACATCAGTAAAGGCTCTTTAATATCTCAGAAGCAGAACTTTCACGGAAAACGGGAAAAAATTGAACTTCATGCTGCGCGCTTTTAGCAGCTTGTGTATTAAAGCTGAAATAATCAGAGTATAACCCACGACGCGATATAGGCTTTTTATCATATTTTCTACAGATTTTATTCGAGGATTATTAAAAAATGAGTAATGAAATCTACGCACAATGGTTACATTCCATACATTGATTTATTTTACTCCTCAAATATAATTAAAAGTTTACTTGCTTCTTGTGGATTGTCGCATGCTTTCAATGACCTTTACATCGTCGCTGAAAATAATATCAAAAGGAATTCAAGAATTTGACTTACAACAAGACATGATGATGAAAGGAGAGATAGAAGAAGAACTCGTTTATTCAAAATCAATTTCTGGGGGTCTATGTGACTGATTCAAGTAAGCTAAGATTCATAAAAAAGCATAAAACATGATATTATGAAGGTACAAAGGGGTTCAGAAGTATATATTTATGTTAAAAACTATCTAAATACTGTAACCTATACTATGGCTAATGATGAAGGAGTTCTTAAAAACTGTCAGTGTTATTAATTAGGCCGTTGAAGACTATCATTGCGCGTGGTTGTCAACGGTGATCAAGTAACTCAATCTCGGATGTATTAACTTGGCAATTTATTTCTGTTGTGACAATGTCATTGGATAAGCTCTTACTCAGCTCGTGATGCTTATCAACAATGAGGCCAAATATATGAACACTCAAAGTGAATTTTTTCTATTTTTGTTCATTATTTTTCGTCTGGGTCGAGATTATCATCTCTGCGGCAGACTTCCGCTCTAAGCGCCTCAGCGCCACGCCCAACCACCATCCACATCCACATTCACCTTCTTCATCCTCACACCCCTCTAAAAAAACCGTCACGAAAAGCACAAATAACTCTTTTTCAGGAAGGGTGCTGTTATGACTGATCAATGCTTGATGCTTATAGCACTTCTCTTTATCTGCAAGTTTGACAGGAGTTTTTAAAATTAATATTTCACGACTGCGACGCCCACGAACCGACGGCGGTTTTAAAAATTTATTTTAATTCGTTTCTTTTAGGAACTTTGCGAGTAGCTCGATGTGTGGACCTTTTCTGGCGACGCAAGATATCTGCTTTAGCACATAAAACATGAAAATGCAACGTGGACGTCGAGTAGAAACATAAATAATTTGCTGTAGGGGATCTCGCCTTTCTCGGACCCTGCAGTTTGATTTCACGTTGTTTTGCCCTCTTGAAATACATCAAAAAGTTATTTCCTTTGGCTGCAAGGAGGTTGTGTTCATTAGGCGCTCAGGATCATTAAACGTCTTATAGAAAGCCCCTTTCCTCAATGTTGTTAATTCTCCGCTTTAAACGTTTGGCACAATGCCGAGTATAAGGCTATTTATGAAGATCTGATTTCCGTTTGCTTCGAAAGTCAATTCGTGGATGTTTGTGGTTTGATTTGCCCCTTGGAGCACTTAACGACTGTCTCTAATGGTAAAGCTACCGCACCGATAGCGTAGGATGAAATTCAAAGCATTAATCTGCTTGGTTTGCCTATATTATAGGATATCTTTAGGTAAGTGCGATCGATACCTATGCGAATGTGTCATTTTCTGCCTGATGATATTGATTCGCTTGGCGGACAAAATTTCTATCTTGCTTGTGTCGATTAACTTTTCATGTGACAAAAAATATTCCTTTAAACAAAGAAACACTCGTAGACCATTACCAGTTGAATTTGGATTCTTTTTTAGAGATCTTTAGTGCTTAAAAACTTGTAATTTACACCCGTAGTTGTCGTCCATTTTGAGCCATTATTGATTGAACATTGAAGTAAGTGTATAGATTGTTAGATGGCTTTATTCACAGATGCTTTCAGATGGTGATTTGATCTCTTCTCCTCCCCGAATTGGTAGTTTAAAGATCTAAACACCAATTTGTATGCATGGGAAAGTTGAAGAAGCCGCAAAGAGCGAATCGAAATTCTCCGAGTAACAAGATAACAACAACAACATTGCTCTCATGAATTCATTTGCACGTGGTATCTTAATACATTTTTGGTCGTTGTATGTTCAGAATACCTGCTTAGGATGAACGAATGCTGCAAGACGAGAGTAAAAGCTCTGTATGAGACATCGTTGAGTATAATTTTCCTAGCGTGAGGGAATTAAACTCGTAGATTTATGTTTCAAGTGTTGGCAGAATACCTGTTCTCCCCACGCGAGATCCGATCGCTCTGAGTTTGGTTTGGTATGCACTGAGCATTTTAGGAAAAGTTTACATTCGTCTTTACCTTAACCCGCGCACTACAATTCGAACTGATTCAAAGGACTGATATACTCTTTAATCAGAGAAGATCAAGAATAAAGTACGCGATGTTTCACATTTGATTTAATAACCCGAAGCTAGCTTCTGGCTACGTGCGTCTTGCATGAAAAGTAGTAGTCTTTTATTGTCATGTTTATTTAAAAAACATTTAGCAAATCCTCGGAGAACATCGGAGATGAATTACTGCAGAGTAATGACGCCCGTTGAAAGCGATATGTTTAACTTATATTTCTTCAGGTGTAAACCCTTTGGCAGTTACGATGAAAACAAAATATTTCCAGACGTTTCTTTTCGCTAAACGGAGTTATTAACTTAATTATCTTCGATTGGTCTTTAAGAAATTGCTTGTGATGAATCAGGTATTCTACTCTTTAGTTCTAGTTTCGTGCCAGCAACTCTTCTAATCCAATTCTTTATTTTTACAGCGACTTCTCCAAGGATTTTATACGCAAACCGGAGAGACATCAGAATAGTACGACCAAATCAAAAGAACCAAAATGAAACTATCGTAGCTGTTGATCTTTTGAATGCTATCGCGGTGGATTTCAGCTACGAAGATGGATACATATTTTGGACGGATGTCAGGGCTAAGAAAATCAAACGAATTCGTATGACGGGAAGTCCTAACTCGAGAAAAGTTGAAGATGTTATATCTGTGGGTTTGAAAAGGCCCGAAGGATTAGCCGTAGATTGGGTAGGAAAAAAGTTGTATTGGACTGATCGTAGAGATCCTGACGGGGAAACGAACAGAATCGAAGTTGCAAATTTTGATGGATCCTATCGCAAAGTTCTCTTCTGGAAAGACTTGGGTCTTCCAAGGGCGATTGCAGTGGATCCACTCAAGGGGTAAGTTGAAGACTTTGTGTTATTTTGTTGCACTCAATAGCTGCAGTTTATTTTGTGCTGAGTTTGAGAAAAATCGTCAGCAATTTTTCTACAACGAAGGTTTTGCTTGGCTTCGGGAGAACTTGTTATTTTGGATTTCGATATTTTGTAAATAGCTTGCTTTTTTAGAGTTGGTGCTTCTTAATAAATTCGACGAGGCTGTGACTAAAAGTGGGACTGGGACGTAGGGACTGGGACGTGGGACTGGGACGTAGGGACTGGGACGTAGGGACTGGGACGTAGGGACTGGGACGTGGGACGTGGGACGTGGGACGCTGAAAACCATCGGCTACTGCTAACAAGCTCTCCAGCATATAATAGCTTTATCGAGACCACCGAAAATTATACTCTACAAAATCAGCGCAAATGTCAGGTGTTGTTTGTTTATCACGTCCCCGAGTCCCGTGCGTCCCCGAGTTCCCGCGTCCACGTCCCCGAGTCCCACGTCCTCGAGTCCCACGTCTCCGAGTCTCACCTTCCCGAGTCCCACGTCTCCAAGTCCCACGTCTCCGAGTCCCACGTCCCTGAGTCTCACGTCTCCAAGTCTCACGTCCCTGAGTCTCACGTCCTCGAGTCCCAAGTCCCAGTCCCCACGTCGCCATCCAACTTTTAGTGACAGCCGTTCGACGAGGAAAGACTAATGAACTGTGCTCAATTAAAAATACATTAAGCATTGAACTTCGGCGGGCAAACAGTTATCTATCATTGTTTTTTGTTAGCCTGCTTCTAGCGAACCTTGAAGGTCACAAGTGTTGCCATGAATGTCTCTCCAAGCAATCTCTTGAGTGATAAATATGCCCTAAAGAATTTGTTGCATGCATCCAGTATTTGAACTCAATACCCTTTTCAAAGAAAGCTTGTGAATCTTGCTGGAATCTAAGCTTTCTTTGTTATTGTAGCCCCCTGTTGAAATTCACTGAGTAAAGCCAGAGAGTGTCATGTCAAAGAATCAATCTGAGAGATCCACTCAGAGAAGATATTTTATTTGTGAATTTCACTCTAGCTGAAAGATTCTCTTGTTTGCCTAAAATACAGTAGTTGTCGAATGAGTTAACATTTTGAAATTATGGACTTAATTAGTTCTTTAGTGTTCATTGTCCTCTGAAGCAAGTTTTATTTTTCTCTGTGTTGTTAATGAGGGGCTGGTCTTCTGTAAAAACCCGGAGCATAACTGAAGGGCTTGGGTTTTTGTTGAAAATCTGTTGATATGCAATATCTATTCTTGAATAATCTATGGTCTCATATAAAGAGAGCTTTGAAGAAAGCTTTGTTAATGGCCTTGGAAAATAGTTCAGCCTATCTGAAGATCTTCGTTATTTTCTATTTTGCAAGTTTACTTTTTCTCCTTTACCATAAGAATAGTAATGTTGTTTATTGTAATTTATACAACAAAATGCTGGTCACTTTAAAAGAGAGCTTGAGTTACGTATGGATATTGAAAGATGTTACTCAGATGTATGCCAAGTAAATTCTCAAACAAATGAACACTGTTACAGAGAATAGGCATTTGAGTTTATGGCCAATGGCTTTTTAAAATTATTGGCCATTTCTAAAAACTATGGGCCATTCTTGTATTTGATTGGGTTAGAAGTAAAGAAATATCGGTATTTTGTCAGTGATATAGCTTTTTATTGTGTGCCTCAATAATGCAGTATCTTGCAGGTTTTTTAGAAAGTTTCTGAAAAATTGTTGTCTCTCAAATTACAATTTCAGGTTCATGTTTTGGACAGTTTGGGGTGAACAACCCAAGATAGAGAGAGCTGAAATGGATGGCTCTAATCGTTCCGTAATTGTCAGACAAAACATTCGTCGGCCCAATGGGCTTACAATAGACTACAGTGCAGAGAAAATTTACTGGATAGATGCAAAATTGCTTTATATAGCTAAAGCTAATTTTGATGGTTCAAACCGAGAGAGAATATTTAAAACTCCAAGTCAATGTATTTTGGCAAATCAAGCTCATCCATTTGCTTTGACGTTATATGAAAACAAAATTTATTGGACAGATTGGTTTTCTAGAGGGATACATGCTACAAATAAAAACAGTGGGATGCGGTGTCAAATGGTCTGGTCAACTACTTATAAACCCATGGATATACATGCATATGAACCAAAAAAACAGCTGGTACCAAGGCCAGGTAAGCAGAATTAATAAATGGTCATTGATTGTCTTGCAGTGTTCTTCCCTATTTTAAGCACGACAGGTTAGATAAATTTTCAAGCAATCCTTTTAACCGTTGAATTCTTTAAGAACTCTACATGATTTTAGGCAGTAATACGAGGCAGTACTACAGGCAGTAAATTTTATGGCTTTCCACCTTAAAAAGGAGAACACTGCATACAAATTAGTTAGTCACATGATAACAAGTGTGATGTGTTGACTGCTGTGTGTTGATCTCCATATATTGATTAGTTTGACTGGTTAGGCATCATCACATGAAGGGAATGCCCTACTGAGTTTTGAACTATTTGAATTTGTATTTTGATGATCAATTTGATGATTGCTGCTACAGTGATTCATTGTAGAACTTCTAACACTGCATTTATTGAAAACACTCTTCCTGACTGGGTAATCAGTTTTGAACAAGCCTGGAAATTTTTTACACTTTGAAATTGTATTTTCCACTCTCAGATCTGATTTGTAGTTTCCCTTACTGTCCACCATGTAATCTTTATCATTTTATGTTTTGGTATTGGAATAACTAATAATCCCCTTATTTATATTTTTCTTTGTTCTTATCATTTATCTGCTTGATATTGTGTCAATATTACAAAGAGAAATTCTGTCTTAGTCACTCTTGAAAGTTAAAAGGTTAGATAGGCATTCCATGAGCTGTGCATAAATCTTCAAGCAAGGTGTACAAATTTCTTTGATTTTATTTCAATAATTGGTTGAAATTTCATAACGAGTTACTAGAAAAGTGAACTGAAAGTGGCTGGCTAAAGATGCATGTCAAATGGGGTAAGTTTCTAAAGAAACTGTGGTGCTGCATCAGTGGAAGGGTATAACAGGCTAACTAAGTGTTATCAACTCAGTTGATAACACTTAATTACCCTAATGATACGAGTAGCTAAGTAGGCGGGGGGGAGGGGGTTTCAGTGAGCCATTGGCTTTTATTGATAGCTCTTGGCATGGTTTTTCTTTAAAACACTCATGCAATAGTAAAAAGAAATGCCAAACTGTGACCTTGGTTTATTTTTGACAAGTTATCGACTTATCCTGTAACAGGTCAAAATCCTTGTAATTCTACTCTCAATGGAGGGTGCACCCATCTTTGTCTGTTGAATACCCATGGCCGCTCTTGTGCTTGCCCAACTGGTGTGAAGCTTTTGCCTGATGGAAGAACATGCGAAAAAGGTATGATTGAGTGTCCAATGTCATGAATAGCTGCAAATAGTGTGTGTACTGTTTGTATTTGGGCTTTGTTTGAAATGTGGCTCCAGTTATGAAGACATTTAAAACATTCTGTATACTGGATGTGCATAATTAGAATATTATTTTGTGGGGTGTTTTAAGGGGGAGACACAACTTGTTACAACACTTGAAAGTCTCTGCTGCTGCTACTGAATAATGTCTCTGAGTTCAGGTGTGTGAATTACACCAGTTTGAATTTGTGCAACTGATGGCAGTGACAAAGATTTTCGTGAAAATTCTCCATGTCACTTGAGGCAAATTGTGTTTGGGACTTGGCTTAGAGCAACACAAACTCTCTGGATGCTAAATGTGCCTATACATTATCTGTGAAATTTTTAATTTTTAACAATGTGTGCCTGAGAGAATTTTAAATGTATCGGGCTAAAAATGAAAGAGAAGGATCGGTATGTCCTACGTTTTGATTATTTAATACCCATCTTTTTGTAACTTGGTAAGAAAACGAAAAGCTTGGGCTAACGAGCAGAATAATGTTTGCAAAGATTCCCCTATCAATGAATGTACACTATTTGATAGATAGGTAGTTACATGGCAAAAATCAATGTAGGCATACTTTCTTGATGTGATTACAGTGCTATTGTTCTCACCAGTAACTCATTTGGAAATTTGTAGCAGTTGGAAAGAAAGAACTAACTAGTTAATTTAAAGGCTGACCTGTCAAATCAGATATACTCTAACAACTGTATTTGGTTGTATCACTATCCAGTAATAAGCTCACTCATAATGTTTGTTTTGTTTTGTTTTGTTTTGTTTTTTTATCTTAGGCCCTTTCCATTTTCTATTGCTGGCAAGAAAAGGGGACCTGCGGCGTATATCACTTGATACACCTGATCTCACAGATGTCGTTTTACCAGTGACTGGAATCAGCCATGCAGTGGCAATTGATTTTGATCCAGTGGATAGATATGTTTACTGGAGTGATGATAAAAAACTTGAAATCAAAAGATGCCGGTTGGATGGACACGGTTAGCCAACCTTGAACTTGAATACACTAATTATGTTAACTCTTTTGCGCAAATGTATGGTAACTTAACAAAAGTTCTGTCAAGTCTCTCAGACAGTTTTTCCAGTACCATTTATATTGCTGAATGGAAAGAGTAAACTTTAGCTTCAGTCTCCAGAACTTGTCCTGCTTGCTATGGCATCCAAAACAGTTATATAGAGTATTAACCAACATGAGGGCCGGTCTGGATGTTAATCTTTCTTCTAAACTGTTTTCTGTCTTTTTCTTTGTATTTCAGATGTTCAGGTAGTAGTAAGGAGTGAGCTGAAACATCCTGATGGTATTGCTGTTGACTGGGTGGCGCGGAACTTGTACTGGACAGACACAGGCACTAATAGAATTGAAGTCAGCAGACTAAACGGCTCTGCTAGAAGAGTTCTTATTGATGAAAATCTTGATGAACCAAGAGCAATAGCATTGGATCCAACTAAAGGGTAAATATCTGGGTATAATTATGTTATTTACTGGGTAGGAAATCTGTGCCCAAAAGTCTTGAGTACAGCCAGAGGCCAAGAAGGAAAGCCATACTCATGTTGGAAGGCACAGCTTTTCCCCATTAGGACTGGCTGAGGCTGTGAATAACTGATATTTTTCTGCTGATTTTGCTTTTTCAGAATGGCAGGGAAAAATTCTGAACTCTCTTTGGTATTGGGAAAGACTGGATGGGTTAGGAACCTATGACTAAGCCTTGCTGAAATGTGAAAAAAAACAAAAAAACAGCAAAAAAATGGATTTTAATATTTTTATTTATTTTCATACTGAAAGTTGGCAAAGGCATGCAAAGAAATTTGAATTAATTTTTGTTATCAAATGTGTCAGTGAGAAAGGCTGTTATAAGTTTGAAATGTTCTAACATGGTCTCACTTAGGTACATGTACTGGACTGATTGGGGAAAACACCCAAAGATTGAGAGAGCAGAGCTTGATGGAAGTCAGAGAGTCATCTTAGTGAATTCCTTGGTCGCGTGGCCAAATGGCCTCACCATTGATTATCTTAAGCAAAAGATTTACTGGGCTGATGCAAAGGATGACAAGATAAAAGTCATGAACTTCGATGGGAGTGCCCGCCGTATTATTTTAGATAAAAAATTGCCTCATGTGTTTGGCTTTACTGTGCTTGGGGATGATCTTTATTGGACGGACTGGCAGAAGAGGTCAATAGAGAGTGTGAACAAAAGAACTGGTGAAGACAGAAGAGTACTTATTGACAGCCTACCCCATCTTATGGGACTAAAAGCTGTAAACCTTAATCTCTCCTATGGTAAGAAGCATTATCTGTTTGATACTTAAATTAGTTTTGACTATTCCATGTTTCCTTCTTATTACACTTAAAACACCTTTTTTTGGCCGCTAGGTTCCAATGCCTGTCAGCGCAAAAATGGAGGCTGTAGTCATTTGTGTTTATACAGGCCATCAGGACCCAAATGTGAATGCCCAACAGGAATGGAGCTTCTTTCTGACAAGAAGACTTGTACATGTAAGTATTCGGAAAAGTTGCATTGCAATAATATACTGAGCTTGCCTGGTAACGCCCATAGAGCTAAAATCAGCCAGTCAGCCATTTCTTTCCTTCAAAAATACGGAAATCAACGTAAATGTCATACACGGTTGGCCCTTTAACTCCCAGGATCTTTTTGTTAATGTTCCCGTCTACATGCCACACATTTCCTTCGAGAAGAAGAAATGCTTTTAGCGGCTTCATGCCATAGAACCCGGGATAAGCTCTGGCTGTGAGGGGTAACCAGTTAAGTCGCCCGAAAGTCATCTTGGCCGAATTCATGTCGCCCATAACCAGAGTCATGTCGCCCGAAATTCATATAATGTCGCCCGAAATTTGATCGAGTGTTTAATCTTGAAGAAAAGTAACAATTGCAAGGAATAAACTCGTAAAATATTGACTCGTATGTAAAATGTTTTCGTCCGCTAACCCTTGCGAATATGAAGTAAAACAAAGACTCAAATATCGCTGTTTATTTTAGCGTTGTTCGTTGCTATGAACTAAACTGCTCATTCTACAGTACAGATTCTAGTTATTATCAGCGGAACACTTTCAGTTATCAGAATTTTTCACACATATCAGAAAATACAGTTCTCTTAGTTTGATTTATCGTATAAAAAACATCCTGAAACTTTTACAGCGGTTTTTTTGTTTATTGTTAACCACGCGAACAAAGTGTGTTAGCATCATTCCCCTTAGGATCAGAAGCGGCATAAATTACCGCGACTTGTTCAGTTGACTCTTGTTTCCTCGGCCGGTTGCATGTAAATTTTGATCCGGTTAACCTTATATATAGAGGGGAAATTAATAACAGCCACCTCATTCCGAGATAATCAGCTAGCTGAAACACGAGATCGTTACGCGTACGCAAAATTATACAGTGAGCCTTCATCCCTGTATCGAGTGTCGAAATGAAGTTCGACCACGCCAGCAAGCCCTTCGGTGCAACGATTGCGGCTTTTGGCAGCATCGTATCTGCGGGACTGGTATCTACCAAGCCACCTACCGTTTGGCAGTAATTAGAGGAAGAATAGATTGGTTGTGCATTGCATGTTCTCTTGCGGCATCGATTTGGGATTACTATCTCCTTGATATCAAACGACAGCGAAACGAACAACCTGAGTTTCACGAGTCAACATTTTACAAGTTTATTCCTTGCGATTTACTTAAGATGTTACTTTTCTTCAAGTTTAAATACTCGATAAAATTTCGGGCGACATGACTTAGGATTTCGGGCGACATGACTATGAATTTGGAGCACTTAATCACTGTCTCTAATGGTGAAGCTACCGGACCGATAGCGTGGGATGAAATTCAAACCATGAATTTGCTTGGTTTGCCTATACTATAGGATATGTTTAGGTAAGTGCGTTCGATGCGTATCTATGCGAATGTGTTCTTTTCTGCCTGATGATATTGATTCGCTTGGCGAACAAAATTTCTATCTTGCGTGTGTCGATTCGCTTTTCATGTGACAAAAAATATTCTTTTAAACAAAGAAACACTCGTAGACCATTACCAGTTGAATTTGGATTCTTTCTTAGAGATCTTTAGTGCTTAAAAACTTGTAATTTACACCCGTAGTTGTCGTCCATTTTGAGCTATTATTGGTTGGACATTAAAGCAAGTGCAAAGATTCTTAGGTAGCCTCACCCACAGCTGCTTTCAGATGGCAGTTTCATTTCTTGTCCTCCCCGAATTGATAGTTTAAAGATCTAAACACCAATTTGTTTGTATGGGAAAGCTGAAGAAGCCGCAAAGGGCGAATCGAAATTCTCCGAGTAACAAGATAACAACAATAACATTGCTCTCATGAATTCATTTGCACGTGGTATCTTGATATATTTTTGGTCGTTGTATGTTCAGAATACCTGCTTAAGATGAACGAATGCTTCAGGACGAGAGTAAAAGCTCTGTATGAGACATCGTTGAGTATAATTTTCCTAGAGTGAGGGAATTAAACTCGTAGATTTATGTTTCAAGTGTTGGCAGAATACTTGTTCTCCCCACGCGAGATCCGATCGCTCTGAGTTTGGTTTGGTATGCACTGAGCATTTTAGGCAAAGTTTACATTCGTCTTTGCCTTAACCCTCGCACTACAATTCGAACTGATTCAAGGGACTGATATACTCTTTAATCCGAGAAGATCAAGAATAAAGTACGCGATGTTACACATTTGATTTAATAACCCGAAGCTGGCTTCTGGCTACGTGCGTCTTGCATGAAAAGTAGTAGTCTTTTATTGTCATGTTTATTTACAAAACATTTAGCAAATCCTCGGAGAACATCGGAGATGGATTAATACAGAGTAATGACGCCCGTTGAAAGCGATATGTTTAACTTATATTTCTTCAGGTGTAAACCTTTGGCCGTTACGATGAAAACAAAATATTTCCGGACGTTTCCTTTCGCTAAACGGAGCTAACTCAATTATCTTCGATTTGTCTTAAACAAATTGCTTGTGACGAATCAGGTATTTTACTCTTTAGTTCTAGTTTCGTGCCAGCAACTCTTCTAATCCAATTCTTTATTTTCCACAGCGACTTCTCCAAGGATTTTATACGCAAACCAGAGAGACATCAGAATAGTACGACCAAATGAAAAGAACCAAAATGAAACTATCGTAGCTGTTGGTCTTTTGAATGCTATCGCTTTAGATTTCAGCTACGAAGATGGATACATATTTTGGACGGATGTCAATGATGAGAAAATCAAACGAATTCGTATGATGGAAAGTTCTAACTCAAGAAAAGTTGAAGATGTTATATCTGTGGGTTTGAAAAAGCCCGAAGGATTAGCCGTAGATTGGGTAGGAAAAAAGTTGTATTGGACTAATTGTGGAGATTCTGACTGGGAAACGAACAGAATCGAAGTTGCAAATTTTGATGGATCCTATCGCAAAGTTCTCTTCTGGAAAGACTTGGGTCTTCCAAGGGCGATTGCAGTGGATCCACTCAAGGGGTAAGTTGAAGACTTTGTGTTATTTTGTTGCGCTCAATAGCTGCAGTTTATTTTGTGCTGAGTTTGAGAAAAATCGTCAGCAATTTTTCTACAACGAAGGTTTTGCTTGGCTTCGGGAGAACTTGTTATTTTGGATTTCGATATTTTGTAAATAGCTTGCTTTTTTAGAGATGGTGCTTCTTATTAAATTCGACAAGGCTGTGACTAAAAGTGGGACTGGGACGTGGGGTCTTGGACGTGGTGACGTCCCTGAGTCCCAGTCCCTACGTCTCAGTGGGACTCGTTGACGTGGGACGCGGGGACTCGAGGACGTGAGAACTGGATTTTGAATCTTAGTCCTTGAATCAACTTAACTTTGACCCTGAAATTGCCTTGGTAATGTAACTGGAAAGATCTCTTTATGGCCGTTTTTCCAAGGGCCTACTTACAGTTCTAGACAATTATGGCTGCTGAAATGTCCAAGAATTTCAAAGAACTTCATTTGGGGGTTGAATCCTACATGGCACACAGCACTCTCAATCTCTGCTATTGAAGAAGAAAATGTACTTAAGGCATTTAATACCAAATTGAGAGCAACAAGAACAGTTCTCTGTAAAGAAAATAAATGATTTCAAATAAAGAACTTGTTGATTTTTTACTGCAGTTTAAGTGTAATTACAGTAGCTGATGCTTGTTGGAATAACAATGGTGTTAGAAGTTTATAGAAAATTGTTGTCTCTCAAATTATAATTTCAGGTTCATGTTTTGGACAGATTGGGGTAAAGAACCCAAGATAGAGAGAGCTGAAATGGATGGCTCTAATCGTTCCGTAATTGTCAGACAAAACATTCATTGGCCCAATGGGCTCACAATAGACTACAGTGCAGAGAAAATTTACTGGACAGATGCGATATTGTTTTATATAGCTAAAGCTAATTTTGATGGTTCAAACCGGGAGAAAATATTTAAAACTCCAAGTCAATGTATTTTGGCAAATCGAGCTCATCCATTTGCTTTGACATTATATGGAAACAAAATTTATTGGACAGATTGGACTTCTAGAGGGATACATGCTACAAATAAAAACAGTGGGATGCGGTGTCAAATGGTCTGGTCAACTACTTATAAACCCATGGATATACATGCATATGAACCAAAAAAACAGTTGCCAAGGCCGGGTAAGCAGAATTAATAAATGGTTATCGATTGTCTTGCAGTGTTCTTCCCTATTTTAAGCACGACAGGTAAGATAAATTTTCAAGCTGGTAGAGGAATCCTTTAAACCGTTGAAATCTTTAAGAGTTCTACATGATTTTAGGCAGTAATACGAGGTAAGGCTACAGGCAGTAAATTTTATGGCTTACCGCCTTAAAAAGGAGAACACTGCATACAAGTTAGTTAGTCACATGATAACAAGTGTGATGTGTTGACTGCTGTGTGTTGATCTCCATATCTTGATTAGTTTGACTGGTTGACATCATCACATGAAGGGAATGCCCTACTGAGTTTTGAACTATTTGAATGTGCATTTTGATGGGGGGGGGGGCGTTTCAGTGAGCCATTGGCTTTTATTGATAGCTCTATGCATGGTTTTTCTTTAAAACTCTCATGCAGTGGTAGAAAGAAATGCCAAATTGTGACCTTGGTTTATTTTTGACAAGTTATCGACTTATCTTGTAACAGGTCAAAATCCTTGTAATTCTACTCTCAATGGAGGGTGCACCCATCTTTGTCTGTTGAATACCCATGGCCGCTCTTGTGCTTGCCCAACTGGTGTGAAGCTTTTGCCTGATGGAAGAACATGTGAAAAAGGTATGATTGAGTGTTCAATGTCATGAATAGCTGCAAATAGTGTGTGTACTGTTTGTATTTGGGCTTTGTTTGAAATGTGACTCCAGTTATGAAATACATTTAAAACATTCTGTATACTGGATTTGCATAGTTAGAATATTATTTTGTGGGTATTTTAAGGGGGAGACACAACTTGTTACAACACTTGAAAGTCTCTGCTGCTGCTACTGAATAATGTCTCTGAGTTCAGGTGTGTGAATTCAGACTGGTTTGAATTTGTGCAACTGATGGCAGTGACAAAGATTTTCATGAAAATTTTCCATGTCAGTTGAGACAAATTGTGTTTGTGACTTGCCTTAGAGAAACAAACTCTCTGGATGCTAAATGTGCCTATACATTCTATGTAATATTTTTAATTTTTAACAATGTGTGCCTGAGAGAATTTTAAATGTATCGGGCTAAAAATGAAGAAGAATCATCAATATGTCCTATATTTGCTAAATAGCAAAAATCAATGAAGGCATACTTTCTTGATGTGATTACAGTGTTATTGTTCTCACCAGTATCTCATTTGGAAATGTGTAGCAGTTGGAAAGAAAGAACTAACTAGTTAATTTAAAGGCTGACCTGTGAAATCAGATATACTCTAACAACTGTATTTGGTTGTATCACTATCCAGTAATAAGCTCATTCATAATTTTTGTTTTGTTTTGTTTTGTTTTTTTATCTTAGGCCCTTTCCATTTTCTATTGCTGGCAAGAAAAGGGGACCTGCGGCGTATATCACTCGATACACCTGATCTCACAGATGTCGTTTTACCAGTGTCTGGAATCAGTCATGCAGTTGGAATTGATTTTGATCCAGTGGATAGATATGTTTACTGGAGTGATTATAAAAAACTTGAGATTAAAAGATGCCGGTTGAATGGAGAAGGTTAGCCAACCATGAACTTGAATACACTAATTACGTTAACGGATTTGGGTAAATTTATGGTAACTTAACAAAAGTTCTGTCAAGTTTCTTCAACATTTTTCTGGTACCATCTATATTGCTGAATGGAAAGAGCAAACTGCACTACAGTCACCAGAACTTATCCTGCTTGGCATGGCATCCAAAACAGTTCTATTGAGTACTAAACAACATGAGGGCCAGTCTGGATGTTAATCTTTCTTCTGAACTGTTTTCTTTTTCTTTGTATTTCAGATGTTCAGGTAGTAGTAGGGAGTGAGCTGAAACATCCTGATGGTATTGCTGTTGACTGGGTGGCACAGAACTTGTACTGGATAGACACAGGCACTAATAGAATTGAAGTCAGCAGACTAAACGGCTCTGCTAGAAGAGTTCTTATTGATGAAAATCTTGATGAACCAAGAGCAATAGCATTGGATCCAACTAAAGGGTAAATATCTGGGTATAATTATGATATTTACTGAGTGAAAAATCTGTACCCAAAGTCTTGAGTACAGCCAGAGGCCAAGAAGGAAGGCCGTACTCATGTTGAGGGCACAGTTTTTCCCCCGTGTATGCGTATGTGTCAGTGAGAAAGGCTGTTATAAGTTTGAAATGTTCTAACATGGTCTCACTTAGGTACATGTACTGGACTGATTGGGGAAAACACCCAAAGATTGAGAGAGCAGAGCTTGATGGGAGTCATAGAGTCATCTTAGTGAATTCCTCGGTCGTGTGGCCAAATGGCCTCACCATTGATTATCTGAAGCAAAAGATTTATTGGGCTGATGCAAAGGACGACAAGATAGAAGTCATGAACTTCGATGGGAGTGCCCGCCGTATTATTTTAGATAAAAAATTGCCTCATGTGTTTGGCTTTACTGTGCTCGGGGATAATCTTTATTGGACGGACTGGCAGAAGAGATCAATAGAGAGTGTGAACAAAAGAACTGGTGAAGACAGAAGAGTACTGATTGCGAGCTTACTCGATCTTATGGGACTAAAAGCTGTAAACCTTAATCTCTCCTATGGTAAGAAGCATTATTTATTTGATACTTAAATTAGTTTTGACTATTCCATGTTTCCTTCTTATTACACTTAAAACACCTTTTTTGGCCTCTAGGTTCCAATGCCTGTCAGCGCAAAATGGAGGCTGTAGTCATTTGTGTTTATACAGGCCATCAGGACCCAAATGTGAATGCCCAACAGGAATGGAGCTTCTTTCTGACAAGAAGACTTGTATATGTAAGTATTCGGAAAAGATGAATTGCAATAATATACTGAGCTTGCTTGGTAAGACCCATAGAGCTAAAATCAGCCAGTCAGCCATTTCTTTCCTTCAAAAATACGGAAATCAACGTAAATGTCATACACTGTTGGCCCTTTAACTCCCAAGATCTTTTTGTTAATGTTCCCGTCTACATGCCACACATTTCCTTGGAGAAGAAGAAATGCTTTTAGTGGCTTCATGCCATAGAACCCGGGATAAGCTCTGGCTGTGAGGGGTAACCGGTCAAGTCGCCCGAAAGTCATCTTGGCCGAAGTCATGTCGCCCATAACCAGAGTCATGTCGCCCGAAATTCATATAATGTCGCCCGAAATCCTAAGTCATGTCGCCCGAAATTTGATCGAGTGTTTAATCTTGAAGAAAAGTAACAATCGCAAGGAACAAAAGCGAAAAATGTTGACTCGTATGTAAAATGTTTTCGTCCGCTAACCCATGCGAATATGAAGTAAAACAAAGACTCAAATATCGCTGTTCATTTTAGCGTTGTTCGTTGCTATGAACCAAACTGCTCATTCTACAGTACAGATTCTAGTAATTATAAGCGGAACACTTTCAGTTATCAGAGTTTTTCACACATATCAGAAAATACAATTCTCTTAGTTTGATTTATCGTATAAAAAACATCCTGAAACTTTTACAGCGGTTTTTTTTGTTTATTGTTAATCACGCAAACAAAGCGTGTTAGCATCATTCCCCTTAGGATCAGGCGCGGCATAAATTACCGCGACTTGTTCAGTTGATTCTTGTTTCCTCGGCCGGTTGCATGTAAATTTTGATTCGGTTAACCATATATAAAGAGGGGAAATTAATAACAGCCACCTCATTCCGAGATAATCAGCTAGCTGAAACACGAGATCGTTACGCGTACGCAAAAGAATTATACAGTGAGCCTTCATCCCTGTATCGAGTGCAGAAATGAAGTTCGACCACGCCAGCAAGCCCTTCAGTGCGACGATTGCGGCTTTTGGCAGCATCGTATCTGCGAGACTGGTATCGACCAAGCCACCTACCGTTTGGCGGTAATTAGAGGAAGAATAGATTGGTTGTGCATTGCATGTTCTCTTGCGGCATCGATTTAGGGTTACTTTCTCCTTGATATCAAACGACAGCGAAACGAACAACCTGAGTTTCACGAGTCAACATTTTACAAGTTTATTCCTTGCGATTTACTTAAGATGTTACTTTTCTTCAAGTTTAAATACTCGATAAAATTTCGGGCGACATGACTTAGGATTTCGGGCGACATGACTATGAATTTGGAGCACTTAACCACTGTCTCTAATGGTGAAGCTACCGGACCGATAGCGTGGGATGAAATTCAAAGCATTAATTTGCTTGGTTTGCCTATACTATAGGATATGTTTAGGTAAGTGCGTTCGATGCGTATCTATGCGATGTGTTCTTTTCTGCCTGATGATATTGATTCGCTTGGCGGACAAAATTTCTATCTTGCTTGTGTCGATTCGCTTTTCATGTGACAAAAAATATTCCTTTAAACAAAGAAACACTCGTAGACCGTTACTAGTTGAATTTGGATTCTTTTTTAGAGATCTTTAGTGCTTAAAAACTTGTAATTTACACCCGTAGTTGTCGTCCATTTTGAGCCATTATTGATTGGACTTTAAAGTAAGTGCAGAGATTCTTAGGTGGCCTCACCCACAGCTGCTTTCAGATGGCGCTTTCATTTCTTGTCCTCCCCGAATTGATAGTTAAAAGATCTAAACACCAATGTGTATACATGGGAAAACTGAAGAAGCCGCAAAGGGCGAATCGAAATTCTCCGAGTAACAAGATAACAACAACATCGCTCTCATGAATTCATTTGCACGTGGTATCTTAATATATTTTTGGTCGTTGTATGTTCAGAATACCTGCCTAGGATGAAAGAATGCTGCAGGACGAGAGTAAAAGCTATGTATGAGACATCGTTGAGTATAATTTTCCTAGCGTGAGGGAATTAAACTCGTAGATTTCTGTTTCGAGTGTTGGCAGAATACCTCTTCTCCCCACGCGAGATCCGATCGCTCTGAGTTAGGTTTGGTATGCAGCATTTTAGGCAAAGTTTAAATTCGTCTTTACCTTAACCCTCGCACTACAATTCGAACTGATTCAAAGGATTGATATACTCTTTGATCAGAGAAGATCAAGAATAAAGTACGCGATGTTACACATTTGATTTAATAACCCGAAGCATGCTTCTGGCTACGTGCGTCTTGCATGAAAAGTAGTTGTCTTTTATTGTCATGTTTATTTACAAAACATTTAGCAAATCCTCGGAGATCATCGGAGATGGATTAATACAGAGTAATGACGCCCGTTGAAAGCGATATGTTTAACTTCTATTTCTTCAGGTGTAAACCCTTTGGCCGTTACGATGAAAACAAAATACTTCCAGACGTTTCCTTTCGCTAAACGGAGCTAACTCAATTATCTTCGATTCGTCTTTAAGAAATTGCTTGTGACCAATCAGGTATTTTACTCTTTAATTCTAGTTTCGTGCCAGCAACTCTTCTTATCCAATTTTTTATTTTCCACAGCGACTTCTCCAAGGATTTTATACGCAAACCGGAGAGACATCAGAATAGTACGACCAAATCAAAAAAACCAAAATGAAACTATCGTAGCTGTTGGTCTTTTGGATGCTATCGCTTTAGATTTCAGCTACGAAGATGGATACATATTTTGGACGGAGATCAGTGTCATGAAAATCAGACGAATTCGTATGACGGGAAGTCTTAACTCTAGAAAAGTTGAAGATGTTATATCTGTGGATTTGAAAAACCCCCAAGGATTAGCCGTAGATTGGGTAGGAAAAAAGTTGTATTGGACTGATCTTAGAGATCCTGACGGGGAAACAAACAGAATCGAAGTTGCAAATTTTGATGGTTTCTATCGCAAAGTTCTTTTCTGGAAAGACTTGGGTCTTCCAAGGGCGATTGCAGTGGATCCACTCAAGGGGTAAATTGAAGACTTTGTGTTATTTTGTTGCACTCAATAGCTGCAGTTTATTTTGTGCTGAGTTTGAGAAAAATCGTCAGCAATTTTTCTACAACGAAGGTTTTGCTTGGCATTGGGAGAACTTGTCATTTTGGATTTCTATATTTTGCAAATAGCTTGCTTTTTTAGAGTTGGTGCTTCTTATTAAATTCAACGAGGCTGTGACCAAAAGTGGGACTGGGACGTGGGGTCTAGGACGTGGGAACGTCCCTGAGTCCCAGGCCCTACGTCTCAGTGGGACTCGGTGACGTGGGACGCGGGGACTCGAGGACGTGAGAACTCGTTTGCCTCTTTGACGGTAAGAACTCTGGGTACAAAATAGTTTCAACGCAAGGGGTTTTAAACATCGAGGGCAGCCGTAGAGGACTTTCCTGGTAAGTAACTGTGTTTTCTTTCTTATTCTTTTTTGCAAGGGTAAGGCATGGATCGAGAAGAAAACAGTTATTTACTAGGAAAGGCCTCCATGGCTGCCCACGAGTCCCCGAGTCCCCGAGTCCCCGAGTCCCAAGTCTCACATCCCCGAGTCTCACGTCCCCGGGTCCCACGTCCTCGAGTCCCACGTCCTCGAGTCTGAGGTCCTCGAGTCCCACGTCCCAGTCCCACGTCCCTTCCCACTTTTAGTCACAGCCGTTTGACGAGGAAAGACCAATGAACTGTGCTCAATTAAAAATACATTAAGCGTTGAACTTCGGCAGGCAAACAGTTATCTATCATTGTTTTTTGTTAGCCTACTTTTAGCGAACCTTGAAGGTCACAAGTGTTGCCATGAATGTCTTGAAGCAATCTCATAAGTGATGAATATGCCACAAGTAATTTGTTGCATGCATCCAGTATTTGAACTCGATACCATTTTCAAAGAAAGCTTATGAATCTTGCTGGAATCTAAGCTTTCTTTGTTATTATAGCCCCGTGTTGAAATTCACCAAGTAAAGCCGGAGAATGTCATTTTTTAGAGAAAGAATCAATCTGAGAAATCCACTCCGAGAAGATATTTTATTTGTAAATTTTTTTCTTGCTGAAAGATTCTCTTGTTTTTCCAAAATACAGTCGTTGTAGAATGAGTTAACATTTTGAAATTATGGACTTAATTAGTTCTTTAGTGTTCATTGTCCTCTAAAAAAAGTTTTATCCTGAGCATAAGTGAAGGGCTTGGGTTTTTGTTGAAAATCTGTCGATGTGCAATATCTATTCTTGAATAATCTATGGTCTCACATAAAGAGAGCTTTGAAGAAGGCTTTGTTAATGGCTTTGGACAATAGTTCAGCCTATCTGAAGATCTTCGTTATTTCCTATTTTGCGAGTTTACTTTTTCTCCATTACCATAAGAATAGTAATGTTGTTTATTGTAATTTATAGAACAAAATGCTGGTCACTTTAAAAGAGATGGTTGTTTCAGTTAAGCTTAAGTTACGTATGGATATTAAAAGATGTTGACTCATATGTATGCCAAGTAAATTCCCAAACAAATGAACACTGTTACAGAGAATAGGCATTTGAGCTTATGGCTAATTGCTTTTTTAAATTATCGGCCATTTCTAAAAACTATGGGCCACTGTTGTATTTGATTGGGCTAGAAGAAAGGAAACATGGGTATTTTGTTGGTGATGTAACTTTTCATAGTGTGCCTCAATTATGCAGTATCTTGCAGGTAACAATGCGATGAAAAAGTTTCATTTACGTGTCACTTAAATCAAACAACGTAGTGAAAAAGTTTCACCCAGTTGTCACTTAACTCAAACAAACTGAAAAGCTGTTTACTTCAAGTGAAGAGTAATCAGTGCACTATACAGTACTTATAAAGGTGTTTTTGTCCTTCATCTGTTAAAACAACCATGTTTTTTAACCGTAAACTTATGGCTGTGCTGACTTAATCCAGGTTTTAAATAAATTGCTGGACTTTAAAATTAGAAGTCACAAAACTGGTGTTAAAATTTTTGGTCACTGATAAATCACTGCAGTAAAATTATGGATTTTGAATCTTACTCCTTGAATCAAATTAACTTTGACCCTGAAATTGCCTTGGTAATGTAATTGGAAAGATCTCTTTATGGGCGGTTTTCCAAGGGCCTACGTACAGTACTGGACGATTGTGGCTGCTGAAATCTCAAAGAATTTCAAAGAACTTCATTTGGGGGTTGAATCCTACATGGCACACAGCACTCTCAATCTGCTATTGAATAAGAAAATGTACTTAAGGCATTTAATACCAAATTGAGAGCAACAAGAGCAGTTCTCTTTAAAGAAAATAAATGATTTGAAATAAAGGACTTGTCGATTTTTCATTGCAGTTTAAGTGTAATTACAGTAGTTGATGCTTGTTAGAATAACAATGGTGTTAAAAGTTTCTAACAAATTGTTTTCTCTCAAATTATAATTTCAGGTTCATGTTTTGGACAGATTGGGGTGAAGAACCCAAGATAGAGAGAGCTGAAATGGATGGCTCTAATCGTTCCGTAGTTGTCAGACAAAACATTCATTGGCCCAATGGGCTCACAATAGACTACAGTGCAGAGAAAATTTACTGGACAGATGCAAAATTGTTTTATATAGCTAAAGCTAATTTTGATGGTTCAAACCGGGAGAAAATATTTAAAACTCCAAGTCAATGTATTTTGGCAGATCAAGCTCATCCATTTGCTTTGACACTATATGGAAACAAAATTTATTGGACAGATTGGACTTCTAGAGGGATACATTCTGCAAATAAAAACAGTGGGATGCGGTGTCAAATGGTCTGGTCAACTACTTATAAACCCATGGATATACATGCATATGAACCAAAAAAACAGTTGCCAAGGCGAAGTAAGTAGAATTAATAAATGGTTATTGATTGTCTTGCAGTGTTCTTCCCTATTTTAAGCACGACAGGTAAGATAAATTTTCAAGCTGGTAGAGGAATCCTTTTAACCGTTGAAATCTTTAAGAATTTTACATGATTTTAGGCAGTAATACGAGGTAGTGCTACAGGCAGTAAATTTTATGGCTTACCGCCTTAAAAAGGAGAACACTGCATACAAGTTAGTTAGACACATGATAACAAGTGTGATGTGTTGACTGCTGTGTGTTGATCTCCATATGTTGATTAGTTTGACTGGTTGACATCATCACATGAAGGGAATGCCCTACTGAGTTTTGAACTATTTGAATGTGCAGTTTGTTGGGGGTAGGGGGGGTTCAGTGAGCCATTGACTTTTACTGATAGCTCTTGGCATGGTTTTTCTTTAAAACTCTCATGCAGTGGTAGAAAGAAATGCCAAATTGTGACCTTGGTTTATTTTTGACAAGTTATCGACTTATCTTGTAACAGGTCAAAATCCTTGTAATTCTACTCTCAATGGAGGGTGCACCCATCTTTGTCTGTTGAATACCCATGGCCGCTCTTGTGCTTGCCCAACTGGTGTGAAGCTTTTGCCTGATGGAAGAACATGTGAAAAAGGTATGATTGAGTGTTCAATGTCATGAATAGCTGCAAGTAGTGTGTGTACTGTTTGTATTTGGGCTTTGTTTGTAATGTGGCTCCAGTTATGAAATACATCTCTGGATGCTAAATGTGCCTCTACATTCTCTGTAAAAATTTTTAATTTTTAATAATGTGTGCCTGAGAGAATTTTAAATGTATCGGGCTAAAAATGAAGGAGAGGGATCGGTAGGTCCTATATTTTGATTATTTAATACCCACCTTTTTGTAGCTTGGTAAGAAAACGAAAAGCTTGGGCTAACGAGCAGAATAATGTTTGCAAAGCTTCCCCTATCACTGAATGTACACTATTTGATAGATAGGTATCTACATGGAAAAAATCAATGAAGCCATACTTTCTTGGTGTGATTACAGTGCTGTTGTTCTCACCAGTATCTCATTTGGAAATGTATGGCAGTTGGAAAGAAAGAACTAACTAGTTAATTTAAAGGCTGAACGGTGAAATAAGATACTATAACAACTGTTATTGGTTGTATCACTATCCAGTAATAAGCTCATTCATAATGTTTGTTTTGTTTTGTTTTGTTTTTTTATCTTAGGCTCTTTCCATTTTCTATTGCTGGCAAGAAAAGGGGACCTGCGGCGTATATCACTCGATACACCTGATCTCACAGATGTCGTTTTATCATTGTCTGGAATCAGTCATGCAGTGGCAATTGATTTTGATCCAGTGGATAGATATGTTTACTGGAGTGATGATAAAAAACTTGAGATTAAAAGATGCCGGTTGAATGGAGAAGGTTAGCCAACCTTGAACTTGAATACACTAATTACGTTAACTGATTTGGGCAAATTTATGGTAACTTAACAAAAGTTCTGTCAAGTTTCTTCAACAGTTTTTCTGGTACCATCTATATTGCTGAATGGAAAAAGTAAACTGCACGTCAGTCACCAGAACTTATCCTGCTTGGCATGGCATTCAAAACAGTTCTATTGAGTACTAAACAACATGAGGGCCAGTCTGGATGTTAATCTTTCTTCTAAACTGTTTTCTGTCTTTTTCTTTGTATTTCAGATGTTCAGGTATTGGTAAGGAGGGAGCTGAAACATCCTGATGGTATTGCTGTTGACTGGGTGGCGCGGAACTTGTACTGGACAGACACAGGCACTAATAGAATTGAAGTCAGCAGACTAAACGGCTCTGCTAGAAGAGTTCTTATTGATGAAAATCTTGATGAACCAAGAGCAATAGCATTGGATCCAACTAAAGGGTAAATATCTGGGTATAACTATGATATTTATTGGGTGGGAAATCTGTACCCAAAGTCTTGAGTACAGCAAGAGGCCAAGAAGGAACTCCGTACTCATGTTGAGGGCACAGTTTTTTCCCCGCGTATGTGTCAGTGAGAAAGGCTGTTATAAGTTTGAAATGTTCTAACATGGTCTCACTTAGGTACATGTACTGGACTGATTGGGGAAAACACCCAAAGATTGAGAGAGCAGAGCTTGATGGGAGTCATAGAGTCATCTTAGTGAATTCCTCGGTCGCGTGGCCAAATGGCCTCACCATTGATTTTCTGAAGCAAAAGATTTACTGGGCTGATGCAGGGGATGACAAGATAGAAGTCATGAACTTCGATGGGAGTGCCCGCCGTATTATTTTAGATAAAAAATTGCCTCATGTGTTTGGCTTTACTATGCTTGGGGATAATCTTTATTGGACGGACTGGCAGAAGAAGTCAATAGAGAGTGTGAACAAAAGAACTGGTGAAGACAGAAGAGTAATCATTGACTTCCTACCTGATCTTATGGGACTAAAAGCTGTAAACCTTAATCTCTCCTATGGTAAGAAGCATTATTTATTTGATACTTAAATTAGTTTTGACTATTCCATGTTTCCTTCTTATTACACTTAAAACACCTTTTTTTGGCCTCTAGGTTCCAATGCCTGTCAGCGAAAAAATGGAGGCTGTAGTCATTTGTGTTTATACAGGCCATCAGGACCCAAATGTGAATGCCCAACAGGAATGGAGCTTCTTTCTGACAAGAAGACTTGTATTTGTAAGTATTCGGAAAAGATGAATTGCAATAATATACTGAGCTTGCCTGATAAGACCCATAGAGCTAAAATCAGCCAGTCAACCATTTCTTTCCTTCAAAAATACGGAAATCAACATAAATGTCATATACTGTTGGCCCTTTAACTCCCAAGATCTTTTTGTTAATGTTCCCGTCTACATGCCACACATTTCCTTAGAGAAGAAGAAATGCTTTTAGTAGCTACATGCCATAGAAACTGGGATAAGCTCTGGCTGTGAGGAGAGTCAGCTGTATATGCAGATGTATTTCGTCAAGATCTCACAGAAGCACTCTAAACGTCTTTTTTTTCCTTATTACTGCACTTCCAGAATGAAAAGATGGATCGAAAGAACTACATTGAAGGAGTAAGTATTGTAGCTTTTTCATTGAATTCGCCATAGAAATGATATGAAGAAGTAGGCCCAGATTCCCACAATGGACTAGGAGTCCATTGAAGACGAGTTGCAATAATCCCAGGAGCTTTTCGCCTTACGAATTGGGTTCAGTTCCGGTAGTTATGCACGTCAGTTTCACGTGTATGTTAAGCGTTTTTACGCAGCCAAGAGACGATGTCAACCTGATTTACAGACTGATTTACAGGATACATGCATTCACAGCAGACCATTGTGCCTATCCCTCGGTGAACATTATCAAATTGTTAATACTTCTTGCCTAGTATGCTTTTCCTTTACATTGGTAAATTCTGATATAGCTTCAATTCTTATAACTAATCTATATGGAAAGGTACACTTATAAGAGAGGAGAAGTCCTAATTATGAGCATGGAAGTTTAGGGGTAGCATAACACCCTCCACCTCCCACTAAATATCCTACTGGATATCGCCCACAATCGCCTTTCATCATGTTTTTAACAATTGGTATCATTCCCTTTGGCTCGATTTCTTCCGCTCACTCTGGTCTGGTTTTCCTCTGCGCGAAAGGAAGATCGGGCTCTGAGAAATGTAACCGAGCCTATTTCTATTTCAAGTTGGTACAGTTTTTTGTGCACAAGAAGTGTTTTTAGTTGGACACCTTTGAAGAATATTTGCGAATTTGAAAATCTTCGAGGTGAAGCTAAGCGAAAGTAATTTAACGTCACCTTCCATTGTGACAGTATTATGGAATATTGAATTCATTCTCATTGTGTTTGTCAACAGACCAAGGTTTTGGCCACTTACATGGAGGAAGTGGCCAAAATAGAATGAGAAGCTAATCCCGTTGCTAATGGAATACTTTGAAGTAGCTCAAGATGATTGCTAAAAAGATTCAGTAGCATGTGAAATTTTCCGTCCGTAACATAGATTTTCCCGCCCCCTTTGATTGGGCGATAAACTACATACAAAAAAAGTTAAAAGTAAAAATTTGTTTTCGATTTCCGACAGAAGCATTAAGAATCGCCCTTCTGAGAAACGACCCGTGGACTATTGTCAGTATCTGAACGACTGCGCACCTACCCCTCCCCTAACCTAACATTAACCCTAACTTGTTATCAGTTGACTATTGTTAAGTTAGGAGAGGGTAGGTGCGCTGTTGCTTAAATACTCACGTTGATTCCGAAAATGCTTTGACGATGCGATGCTTTAGTTTATATGAGTAAGCGTTGAATAGATACGAACACTTCTGTTTAAAACATACACTGTGGCAAAAATGAATGAAGATTAAAGAGAAGAAAAGTGGTACTTGAACAATTGTCTCTCAGAAATAATGAATGCAATCATAAATACTATATTTTTAAGTGTAAACTTCATTTGATTCTGTAACAAATACGTAAACTTGACTATTACCCTAAACCCACATCAGTAGGTTCATTTCTTTTTTCATCGCGTAAAGTGGCAGTGGACTAACTTAGCGGATGCCGCAGCGATTCTCGCACCAAGGGGTCATTTATTACAATAGAAACCCGCTAAATCGAACTCGGTTAAATCGAACTCCCCTTTAACCCAGAGAAGATCTGATTTCCCTTGACCTTTTTTTTCAGTCAATACTCAAACCCCCGCAAACTCGAACTACTCTTTGTATCCCTTGGGAGTTCGAGTCAGCGGAACACTACTGTGGTCTTCGATGCTTGGGAATTGCACCCACCAGAAAAAAAAAAAAGTTAGTGATGTTCACCGTTGAGAGAGAAAACATGTTTACCACTTTTTTTCAACTTGTTGCAGTAAAATTTTTCCCTTGTCTTTCCGTGGACAATTAATTATCCATGAATGGCAGCTCTCCGTCACTAGTAAAGGTCGTTCCTGGAAAGCGTCCGTACGTAAGCTGGCATTTCAGTTTTAGGCAACACTAGGATCAGAAGTTCTTGTCATATTTTGCATCTTTACCATCAAGCTGAAGTTTTCCAGGGAAATGTTTTCACGGAAAACGTTTCAGGTTAATCGGCTTTTTATAGTGATCTTGGGACAGCCTTCTGTTGCATGAACTCTGAATTTTTTCCCGTAGAAATCTTCGAAGTTTTTGAAAAAATCATCGTATGTCTTCCTTCAGAAATTAGCGTTCTTTAAAGAAAAGCCCGTAACTAGTAATTCGAAGGCAACAAATGTCAATCCTCTTTTTCTTTCTTAGTAATCTCCTTGTCGACACAAAAGAGAGAGACCAGACGAGAAGCCGTCTTAGCTTATCTTAAACCAAGATTGACCAAAATCGCATCAATAACAATAGAAAGCAAACAGAAAGTACATTTTGAAAATATAGAAGATGTATTATAGAACTCTTAGTGTCTAATATCAAAGCAGACAATGTGAAGAGTTCATGTAAATAACATCAACTAGATTTTGTTTTGTTTTGTTTTTGATCGCAAATTAAGGTCATATGCTTTCTAAAGAATTGGGAAAGGCCTTCGATTGATATCTTTTACCGACAGCCGGAAGGCACAAAGGTATTTTCGAGAACGCGAGCCAAAATCAACCTAAGAACAGACGGGCCCGTTGAAAATCAGAGGTCGCTCACACATGATACAGAACCTATATACTGACAACACAGCCTGGGAATGTGCCGGGCGAGTTCTCTAAATGCTAATCTTATTTCAGATCAGAACATGCCATATCCACCCCGTTTGACCTCTTAAATGGATACTTGTCTTTAGACCTTTACAACCGGTGCCGAGATCAAGAATTCATAGAATTCTCCAAGTTTTAGGCCGAGTGATAACCCTGGCTACTTCTTTTTCTTTATTATTCATTATGGAGATGCCGATACGTTTTACACGTTCTCTTGATAACCTAGCACAAGTTTAGACCTAATGGGTCAAAATCTATATCCATTTCCAAAATTAAACAGCTCAAATATCATACACTTCATAGCGGCACATTCCTGTACACTTCCCGCCCTCCCACCTAGACGACATGACCTCATCTGTAATATTGCCTTTATTGCTTGCTCGATCTTAGCCGGGTGCATTCTTCACTCCGTAATTTAAATTTTTTTCCTTTTTTTTCTTCAAAATTACTGAGTGAGGAAGACGCCACGCCTTTATGGCTTCAATTTAGGCATTTTTTTTATTTCTATACTGGAGTTCATGTATATTTTTTCACGGTTGTTTGAAAATAGAAGCAAATAAAATCTGAAAAGAACTCTCCGCTCTTTACATCTTGGGTGTTCAGTGTCTTGAAACAATATATCAACGCCTCAAAATTGGTGACCAGATTAGCAGTGACGCAGAGTTATTGTATCGTTAATTTTCGCTCTATACATTATCTCATCAATTCTAATAATCAGAAAAAAGGGATACTTATTATGAAAAGATTATAAAACTTCCCATCCGCCTCTCCAGAGAGAGAGAGAGAGAGATCTTTAAACAATTTTCCACAGTGGAAACTAACATTTTTGGACAGCGCTTTGGTGGAGAAGAGCTTCAAAGATGAGTGAATGAAATAGCAAAATCGGTGAGCTGAAGTAAAAAAAAAAGGTCACAGATTAAGGAAACTCTCTCTTGGAACTCTTTAGATCTTCTTCTGAGGGAGCACGCAAGCCTTTATGTTGACGATGACCGTTGAAAAAGCAAAAGCACCTTCGGCTGATAGTGACACATACTCAAGGAAGAGGAAGAGAGAGAGAGAGAGAGAGAGAGAGAGGGAGAGAGAGAGGAGCCCAGGGTGATATGACTCAACCTGCCGTTCATGGTTGATGTCTTTGAGGCCTCGCTTTTATTGTTTTACTTATTTTTATCTCTCTGGGTTTCCTGTGTATAATAACTGAGTATATTCTTTTGTTGGTTGTTTAAGTTAATTAGATTACTGCGTGATTTCGAAAAGTAAAAATTGAAAAGACGACAAATTAACATTACTGTTTGAGAAGATTGAGATGATTATCAATAGTACAGTTTTTCATACCGCATTTATTTGATTAAGTGCCCAACCTCTTGTAAGCGCCCACCCTGTAGGTTGGAAAAGTTAATGAGCGCCCAGTCTCGAAAAAAGCGCCCATCCCCCCAGTTCCCCCCCCCCATAAAAAAGTGCACAAGACGGGTATTGAATAATTTCTTCTTCCAAATCTCTAAATTCGTTGTTTATAGTACAACATAACGTTTTGCTACTATCTATTATTTTTTTGCGAAATAAACTTACTACTTGCGGAAAATAATGAAAATTTGAGAAGCGCCCAACTCGAATAAGCGGCCACTATCAAGGTCCAAACATTCAATTAGCGCCCAGGGCACTCAGTCGAATTAATGCGGTATGTATATGTAGCGTTTGTTAAAGGACATGCGGAGGGCAATGTTTCGGTTTCCTCTAAAATTACATCAGTAAAGGCTCTTTAATATACCAGAAGCAGAACTTTCACGGAAAACGGGAAAAGATTGAACTTCATGCTGCGCGCTTTTAGCAGCTTGTGTATTAAAGCTGAAATAATCAGAGTATAACCCACGACGCAATATAGGCTTTTTATCATATTTTCTATAGATTTTATTCGAGGATTATTCAAAAATAAGCAATGAAATCTACGCACAATGGTTACATTCCATACATTGATTTATTTTACTCCTCAAATATAATTAAAAGTTTACTTGCTTTTTTTGGATTATCGCATGCTTTCAATGACCTTTACATCGTCGCTGAAAATAATATCAACAGGAATTCAAGAATTTGGCTTACAACAAGAGATGATGATGAAAGGAGAGATAGAAGTTGAACTCGTTTATTCAAAATCAATTTCTGGGGGTCTATGTGACTGACTCAAGTGAGCTAAGATTCATAAAAAAGCATAAAACATGATATTATAAAGGTACAAAGAGGTTCAGAAGTATATATTTATGTTAAAAACTATCTTAATATTGTAACTTATATGCTAATGATGAAGGAGTTCTTAAAAATGTCTGTGTTATAAATTGGGCCCGTTGAAGACTATCATTGCGCGTGGTTGTCAACGGTGATCAAGTAACTCAATCTCGGATGTATTAACTTGGCAATTTATTTCTGTTGTGAAAATGTCATTGAATAAGCTCTTACTCAGCTCATGACGCTTATCAACAATGAGGCCAAATATATGAACACTCAAAGAGTATTTTTTTTATTTTTGCTCATTATTTTTCGTCTGGGTCGAGATTATCATCTCTGCGGTGGACTTCCGCTCTAAGTGCCTCAGCGCCACGCCCAACCACCATCCGCATCCTCATTCGCCTTCTTCGTCCTCACACCCCTCTAGAAAAACCGTCACGAAAAAGTACAAATAACTCTTTTTCGAGAAGGGTGCTGTTATGACTGATCAATGCTTGATGCTTATAGCACTTCTCTATATTTGCAAGTTTGACACTAGTTTTTAAAATTAAGATTTCACGACTGCGGTGCCCACGAACCGACGCCGACGGCGGTTTTAAAAATTTACTTTCGTTTCTTTTAGGAACTTTGCGAGTAGCTCGATGTGTGGACCTTTTCTAGCGACGCAAGATATCTACTTCAACACATAAAACATGAAAATGCAACGTGGACTTCGAAGTAGAAACATAAATAATTTGCTGTCGGGGATCTCGCCTTTCTCGGACCCCGCAATTTGATTTCAAGTTGTTTACACTGTTGTTTAATTTTAGGTAGAACAGCAAGGAAACGTACAAAGTTTTAAAACCTACGGCAGCACTATCGTTCTGTTCATGACATATTCTTTTTTTCGCTATTTTCTCGTTGCCGTCGCCGTCGTGATTTTCTTAATTATCTTACTTAACAGCTATTATGCTTTCTCATTCGCGAAACAAAAAAAATTCTCTATTCCTGTTTTAAGCATTAGGATGTACGTAAAACACTTAACTTACTTTAACAATCTTAGCCCACGGACTTGTACTACCGGAATTTTTGTGTCATCAGTATTCTTTGAATTTCACAATCTTTTCATGTGATTTATAATCACTGTATCAAAGCTGGAAGCAAGTAGGACCTGAGTGCCATTTAAGGGCCGACTAATCTTTTATTTAACCGGATTAGAATATAAATCCAGACCCATCGGCACGGCATTTTATATTTAAAGATATGTAAGCGGCAGAAAACAGAAAAATTGAACATTTCATCTTAACAGTTCGCTAGATTTCATACGATAAAGGTTGGATATTTTCTTTGATATTAAACCCAAATAGCGATATTACTACAGAATCTCACCGCAAATGATAAAACTGCATGATGCACGATCATTTATTTGGCGTCTTGTGACATTGAGAAAACATCTTTGCATTTTAGCGTAAAACATCATTTGAACCAATTTTAGGCCGTTCGTTTTATCTTTGAGCAACACGGATACAAATTTATGTTAAGATGGGTTGTGCAAAAATCGAAATCGCCAGCCTGAAAGCTAAAAAATTATGCTGGTGCTGAAGGTTTTATGCTCACAGGAATTTTCAGTCGAGGATTTATTCAATTGTGCATTTACAGCAAGCTCCGCCCTCTCGATAATCGTAAGGAGCTTAATTCGATATAGTTTTAAATTGAAACACCCCCAAAAATATTTCGGATTGGTATGAGGTTGTTGCGACTCAAACACATTAATGGCTGAATGATGCTATACTTAGCTAAAACTGCAAGACCGTTGCTTTGATTTGATGTAGGTCCAAGTGTTGCCAAAACCTTAGCTACGGGTAGAGCTTATGGTTGTCTTAGCAATAAAATACAGAACTATTCTTGAGAGACAACACAGATCTTTTGATGCGGGAACTGATAGTTAGGTACCCTAAGTATAGCAAGTCTGAGACGATTTTTTTTTCCATTCGTAACACCTCAAAGAAATCAAATGACAAATGCAAAACTTAAAAATGTATTTGTCTGCGAAAGGCCATTGAAGGCCCCTTGATCAAACGAATGAAAGTTACATTCCAGTCTATGAAAAGGAATCACACAAGTAACTCACTTGGCTGCGATGAAATCCTCTATACCTTTACCACTTCTAGGATACCGTGATTGGAAAATTTCGAGTACACTTTACCACAAATACTCATTCAATATATTGTAAATTTGGTTCCATAAACCCATTAGAGTTTCCATGATCGTTTCATTTACAATTTGCGGGATATAATCCATGATGGTGCGCGTGATCTTGTCGATCTTTAGAGCTGTAAAAGTGATAGCGATCTTCATCAAATGTAACACGTAAAATGCATGGAGACGACAATATCGCTTATCATAATCCTTGTAAAAAAAATTAGGACAATGACATCCATGTCATACAAAGAAATATAACTCTCAAAGGCTTGCGTTCAACCCGCGTCGTTATGTTTTTTTTTTGTAGGGTGTAGTCTATGGATTCAATATTGCTTCACCACTTATAATTTCCTGCACTTTGTAAAATTCCATTTTTATCGACCTTCCAGACAACATATATAACTGGAACGTCTTACTTATAAAAAGTTAAACGTGGTTGGTGTTCACTTAAAAACTGATGGTCGAAATATTTGATTTTAGTAAAATATCATTATTGACTTCGTAACAGCCGCCTCGGCGAATACTGTTTTCACACTTCTCCTAATACCCTACTCTCTGATTATCTGACACATTTGTTCTTCTCATTTTCTTTAGCATAGTTTACAGTTATAGCTTATAGCAGCGTCATAAATTGCTGATTCTATTCAAAACGCCAAAGATATTAGCGAACAATTAGGGGGCGGTTTTAAAACTCTTGTATAAACACTTCTGTTTCCCCGCCCATTGTGCTTACAAGTTAAGCTTGCACATGCGGTAATGTTAACTTTCCAAACGCAATAGGCTTTTGCTTCTTAACCATAATATCCGACCTTATGATTCGGGCCAAAGGCATGCTACATATTGCCACGGTTTTAATCGATAGTTTGACAGATCCAATTTGCTTTTTTTGATGACCCGATTTTTGGCGCGTAATTACATATTCCAAAGAGAGGCGCTAAACTTCTAAAACTGCAGATTTTCTCGAAATTCTTGTTGAATAATTATTTGATCTGCGCTTGGACAAGTTGCGGTTTGGCTAATCTTGCTAAGATTTCGCGGGCCAAATTAATGCTAGTTTCTCGGTTGGAAATGTTAATTTTTGAGTTCTACCACAATTCATTATTGTTTTTTTGTTGTCCCAAGAGGATACTTGCAAGTAAGCACAATGGCGCCAACTATGAGCCGTTACCAGAGAGTTTGCGAACGTGACTAAGTCGATGCCCTATTGAAATACATCAAAAAGTTATTTCCTTTGGCTGCAAGGAGGTTGTGTTCTTTAAGCGCTCAGGATCATTAAACGCCTTATAGAAAGCCTCTTTCCTCAATCTTGTCAATTCTCCGGTTTAAACGTTTGGCACAGTGCCGGTAATCAGGTGCGCATGACACCCCCCTGTTTCCAGCCCGATGTCAAACTACGAGCCAATGGCAAATGATCGGCTCACATGACCCGAGCCGAAACGAGCGTCGCAATTGGTCGGAAGCATTTCGTAAGCCAACAACGAGTAGAAGGTTATTTGTGAAGATCTGATTTGCGTTTGCTTCGAAAATCGATTCATGGATGTATGTGGTTTGATTTACCCCTTGGAGCACTCAACCACTGTCTCTAATGGTGAAGCTACCGGACCGATAGCGTAGGATGAAATTCAAAGCATTAATTTGCTTGGTTTGCCTATACTATAGGATATGTTTAGGTAAGTGCGTTCGATGCGTATCTATGCGAATGTGTTCTTTCTGCCTGATGATATTGATTCGCTTGGCGGACAAAATTTCTATCTTGCTTGTGTCGATTCGCTTTTCATGTGACAAAAAATATTCCTTTAAACAAAGAAACACTCGTAGACCATTACCAGTTGAATTTGGATTCTTTTTTAGAGATCTTTAGTGCTTAAAAACTTGTAATTTACACCCGTAGTTGTCGTCCATTTTGAGCCATTATTGATTAGACATTGAAGTAAGTGCGGGGATTGTTAGATGGCTTCACCCACAGCTGCTTTTAGATGGCGATTTCATTTCTTGTCCTCCCCGAATTGATAGTTTAAAGATCTAAACACCAATTTGTATGCATGGGAAAACTGAAGAAGCCGCAAAGGGCGAATCGAAATTCTCCGAGTAACTTAATAATAACAACAACATTGCTCTCATAAATTCATTTGCACGTGGTATCTTAATATATTTTTGGTCGTTGTATGTTCAGGATACCTGCTTAGGATGAAAGAATGCTGCAGGACGAGAGTAAAAGCTCTGTATGAGACATCGTTGAGTATAATTTTCCTAGCGTGAGGGAATTAAACTCGTAGATTTATGTTTCAAGTGTTGGCAGAATACCTGTTCTCCCCACGCGAGATCCGATCGCTCTGAGTTTGGTTTGGTATGCAGCATTTTAGGCAAAGTTTAAATTCATCTTTACCTTAACCCTCGCACTACAATTCGAACTGATTCAAAGGATTGATATACTCTTTAATCAGAGAAGATCAAGAATAAAGTACGCGATGTTACACATTTGATTTAATAACCCGAAGCTAGCTTCTGGCTACGTGCGTCTTGCATGAAAAGTTGTAGTCTTTTATTATCATGTTTATTTACAGAACATTTAGCAAATCCTCGGAGAACATCGGAGATGAATTACTGCAGAGTAATGACGCCCGTTGAAAGCGATATGTTTAACTTATATTTCTTCAGGTGTAAACTCTTTGGCCGTTACGTTGAAAATAAGATATTCCCGGACATTTCCTTTCGCTAAACGGAGTTATTAACTCGATTATCCTCGACTGATCTTTAAGAAATTGCTTGTGACGAATCAGGTATTTTACTCTTTAGTTCTAGTTTCGTGCCAGCAACTCTTCTAATCCAATTCTTTATTTTCCACAGCGACTTCTCCAAGGATTTTATACGCAAACCGGAGAGACATCAGAATAGTACGACCAAATCAAAAGAACCAAAATGAAACTATCGTAGTTGTTGGTCTTTTGAATGCTATCGCTGTAGATTTCAGCTACGAAGATGGATACATATTTTGGACGGATGTCAACGATGAGAAAATCAAACGAATTCGTATGACGGAAAGTTCTAGCTCAAGAAAAGTTGAAGATGTTATATCTTTGGGTTTGAAAAAGCCCGAAGGATTAGCCGTAGATTGGGTAGGAAAAAAGTTGTATTGGACTAATTGTGGAGATTCTGACTGGGAAACGAACAGAATCGAAGTTGCAAATTTTGATGGATCCTATCGCAAAGTTCTTTTCTGGAAAGACTTGGGTCTTCCAAGGGCGATTGCAGTGGATCCACTCAAGGGGTAAGTTGAAGACTTTGTGTTTTTTTGTTGCACTCAATAGCTGCAGTTTATTTTGTGCTGAGTTTGAGAAAAATCGTCAGCAATTTGTCTACAACGAAGGTTTTGCTTGGCTTTGGGAGAACTTGTTATTTTGGATTTTGATATTTTATAAATAGCTTGCTTTTTTAGAGTTAGTGCTTCTTTTTAAGTTTGACGAGGAAAGACTAATGAACTATGCTCAATTAAAAATACATTAAGCGTTGAACTTCGGCGGGCAAACAGTTATCTATCATTTTTTTTCGTTAGCCTGCTTTTAGCGAACCTTGAAGGTCACAAGTGTTGCCATGAATGTCTCTCGAAGCAATCTCTTAAGTGATGAATATGCCACAAAGAATTTGTTGCATGCATCCAGTATTTGAACTCAATACCATTTTCAAAGAAAGCTTGTGAATCTTACTGGAATCTAAGCTTTCTTTGTTATTGTAGCCCCCTGTTGAAATTCATCAAGTAAAGCCGGAGAATGTCATTTTTGAGAGAAAGAATCAATCTGAGAGATCCACTCAGAGAAGATATTTTATTTGTGATTTTTTTCTAGCTGAAAGATTCTCTTGTTTGTCCAAAGTACAGTCGTTATGGAATGAGTTAACATTTTGAAATTATGGACTTAATTAGTTCTTTAGTGTTCATTGTCCTCTAAAAAAAGTTTTATTTTTCTCTGTGTTGTTAATGAGGGGCTGGTCTTCTGTAAAAATCCTGAGCATAAGTGAAGGGCTTGGGTTTTTGTTGAAAATCTGTCAATGTGCAATATCTATTCTTGAATAATCTATGGTCTCATATAAAGAGAGCTTTGAAGAAGGCTTTGTTAATGGCCTTGGACAATAGTTCAGCCTAATGTTTCATTTGACCTTTTCTTTAATTGTGGCCCAATGAATGTTTTACTAATTATCCATTGTTTTATGGGATTTTTTAACACTGTGTAATAACATAGTGTAAATTTGGTCTTGTGAATTAGTACAGAGTTGAGAAAATTTTATTGCTGTTCTGCATGTCTTTTGATGAATAGCAGTCTTCAGCAGTTTAAGTTAAATTCAAAGGAAGTTTAACACTAGTTTTTCAAGATTTCTTGTGAGGAAATTTAAATTGACAATCTATCTTTGAGTTAAATTATAACCCTTTCTTCACTTTCTATCCTTGCAGTTTGTCAAGGCTTGTTGGTTTAATGTTTATATCTTCCTCACAAAATGTTAGGCTGTTGTAAATGGCTATTTGTGTTACTTTTTTTGTCTTGATGTGCCTCATTTTAGTGGTGTTTTAAAGTTCCATGTAATATCTTGTTGCCAGTATCACAGAGAGGATTACATTCCTTTTAAAATATTTGTTAAAAATTCAATCACAGCATTTAACTTGGGATACCTTCTTTTAAAGGATCTGTCAACTTTTGAGAATAAATAAATTATGTGAGAAGTGGAGGACATATTTTAGGTATTAAAAAAAGTTGCGTGAACTCTGATCAGAGCAAATAGCTTAATCGAGAGCAAAGCTTGATTAGGCTGTTATCTGATTAAGAGATTTTAAGTCAGGGTATGTTTTTAAAATTTGTTTTTCCTGGGGGATGTTACAATTCTTTTCTCTTAATCCCCTAAAGGAAAATTGACGGTCTGGTAGATTTTCTCTACTTGAGGAAGGAAGAAGGAAATACTAAGCTCTGCCTTGTTTGTGTGGCCTTGAGTTTAACCTTCCAGACCAATGTGTTATACTTATCCTGTTTCACATCAAGATGATTTCCAATTTCTTCATAGTGTGATGATTTGCAATTTTTTTTTTTCCTGGTGACAGTCTATATTTCAGCAAGTGTAGGTGTTTTACGAAGCTCTACATTCCTTTCTCATTTGCAAAATGTTTCAAAATAATTGTAGTCTTCTTTCAATTAGAGACTGTACTTCCCCTCATGGAAATAAAATTATTGGTTCCTGAACTATGAAAAATTTAAGCTATACTGGTTCTTGATTGATTATTGCTAACATTTTTCCTATAAAATTATGTTCCCCTTACACATGAGAAGAAACCATTTATTGTACTCAGCATTAATGTTATGTAAGAGTATCTTTTTTAAGTGTGCATTTAAAGCTAAAGATCTTCGTTAAATCCTATTTTGTGAGTTTACTTTTTCTCCTTTACCATAAGAATAGTAATGTTGTTTATTGTAATTAAAACAAAATGCTGGTCACTTTAAAAGAGATGGTTTCAGTTAAGTTTGAGTTACATATGGATATTGAAAGATGTTGACTCAGATGTATGCCAAGTAAATTCCCAAACAAATGAACACTGTTACAGAGAATAGGCTTTTGAGTTTATGGCCAATGGCTTTTTTAAATTATTGACCATTTCTAAAAAATATGGGCCATTGCTGTATTTGATTGGGCTAGAAGAAAAGAAACATGGGTATTTTGTCAGTGATGTAATTTTTGTTAGCATGCTTTAATTATGCAGTATCTTGCAGTTAACAATGCAATGAAAAAGTTTCATTTATGTGTCACTTAAATCAAACCATGCAATGAAAAAGTTTCATCCAGGTGTCACTTAAATCAAACAAACTGGAAAGCTGTTTACTTCAAGTGAAGAGTAATCAGTGCATTATACAGTACTTGTGAAGGTGTTTTGTCCTTCATCTATTAAAACAATCATGTTTTTTTTTAAGGTAAACTTATGGATGTGCTGACTCAATCCGGGCATTAAATAAATTGCTGGACTTAAAGATTAGAAGTAACAAAACTAGTGATAAAAATTTTGGCTAATGATAAATCACCCAGGTTAAATTATGGATTTTGAATCTTACTCCTTGAATCAACTTAACTTTGACCCTCACATTGCCTCAGGAATTTAACTGGAAAGATCTCTATGGGGGCGGATTTCTGAGAGCCAGCAATATAATTGTCTAGTACACTACTAGACAATTATGGCTGCTGAAAGGTCAAATAATTTCAAAGAACTTCATTTGGGGGCTGAATCCAACATGGTGCACAGCCCTCTCATTCTTTGCTATTAAAGAAGAAAGTGTACTTAAGGCATTTAATACCAAATTGAGAGTAACAAAAACAGATCTCTATAAAGAAAATAAATGAATTCAAATTGAAGGACTTGTTGATTTTTTACCTCACCTGAAGTGTAATCACAGTAGATGATGCTTGTTAGAATTACAATGATGTTAAAAGTTTCTAACAAATTGTTTTCTCTCAAATTATAATTCCAGGTTCATGTTTTGGACAGATTGGGGTGAAGAACCCAAGATAGAGAGAGCTGAAATGGATGGCTCTAATCGTTCTGTAATTGTCAGACAAGACATTCATTGGCCCAATGGGCTCACAATAGACTACAGTGCAGAGAAAATTTACTGGACAGATGCAAAATTGTTTTATATAGCTAAAGCTAATTTTGATGGTTCAAACCGGGAGAGAATATTTAAAACTCCAAGTCAATGTATTTTGGCAAATCAGGCTCATCCATTTGCTTTGACATTATATGAAAACAAAATTTATTGGACAGACTGGACTACTAGAGGGATACATTCTGCAAATAAAAACAGTGGGATGCGGTGTCAAATGGTCTGGTCAACTACTTATGTACCCATGGATATACATGCATATGAACCAAAAAAACAGTTGCCAAGGCCAGGTAAGTTGAATTAATAAATGGTTATTGATTGTCTTGCAGTGTTCTTCCCTATTTTAAGCACGACAGATAAGATAAATTTTCAAGCTGGTAAAGGAACCCTTTTAACCTTTGAATTCTTTAAGAATGCTACAGGATTTTAGGCAGTAATACAAGGTAGTACTACAGGCAGTAAATTTTATGGCTTACCACCTTAATAAGGAGAACACTGCATACAAGTTAGTCAGTCACATGATAACAAGTGTGATGTGTTGACTGCTGTGTGTTGATCTCCATTTGTTGATTAGTTAGACTGCTTAGGCTTCATCACATGAAGGGAATGCCCTGATGGTCAATTTGATGATTGCTGCTACAGTGATTCATTGTGGAACTTCTAAAACTGCTTCTATTGAAAACACTCTTCCTGACTGGGTCATCAGTTTTGAACAAGCCTGGAAATTTTTTACACTTTGAAATTGTATTTTCCACTCTCAGATCTGATTTGTAGTTTCCCTTACTGTCCACCATGTAATCTTTATCATTTTATGTTTAGGTATTGGAATAACTAATAATCCCCTTATTTATATTTTTCTTTGTTCTTATCATTTATCTGCTTGATATTGTGTCAATATTACACAGAGAAATTCTGTCTTGGTCATTCTTGAAAGTTAAAGGTTTAGATAGGCATTCCATGAGTTGTGCATAAATCTTCAAGCAAGGTGTACAAATTTCTTTGATTTTATTTCAATAATTGGTTGATATATTTATAATGAGTTACTAGAAAAATGAAGTGAAAGTGGCTGGCTAAAAGATACATGTCTAAATTGGGTAAGTTTCTAAAGAAACTGTGGTGCTGCATTGGTGGAAGGGTATAACAGGCTGACCAAGTGTTATCAACTCAGTTGATCAGTCGATAACACTTAATTACCCTAAAGATACATGTAGCTGAGTTGGAGGGGAGGTTTTGGCGAGCCATTGGCTTTTATTGATAGCTCTTGGCATTGTTTTTCTTTAAACCTCTTGTGCAATGGTAAGAAGAAATGCTAAATTGTGACCCTGGCTTATTTTTGACAAGTTGTTGACTTATCTTGTAACAGGTCAAAATCCTTGCAATTCTACTCTCAATGGAGGGTGCACCCATCTTTGTCTGTTGAATACGCATGGTCGCTCATGTGCGTGCCCGACTGGTGTGAAGCTTTTGTCTGATGGAAGAACATGTGAAAAAGGTATGATTGAGTGTGCAATGTTATGAATAACTGTTAATAGTGTGTGAACTGATTGTATTTGGGCTTTGTTTGTAATGTGACTCCAGTTATGAAATACATTTAAAAAATTCTGTATACTGGATGTGCATAATAAGAATATTATTTGTGAGGTATTTTAAGGGGGAGTCACAACTTGTTACAACACTTGAAAATCTCTGCTGGTCTGGTGTGTGAATTCAGACTGGTTTGAATTAGCGCAACTGATGGCAGTGACAAATTCTCCATGTCAATTGAGACAAATTGTGTTTGTGACTTGCCTTAGAGCAACACAAACTCTTTGGGTGCTAAATGTGCCTATACATTCTCTGTAAAATTTTTAATTTTTAACAATGTGTGCCTTGGAGAATATTAAATGTATTGAGCTAAAAATGTGGGAGAAGGATAGATATGTTCGACATTTTGATTATTCAATACCCACCTTTTTGTATTCTGGTAAGAAAACAAAAAGCTTGTGCTAATGAGCAGAATCGTGTTTGCAAAGATTCCTCTATCACTGAATGTACACTATTTAATAGATGGGTAGGTACATGGTAAAAATCAGTTAAGGCATACTTTCTTGATGTGATTACAGTACTGTTGTTCTCACTAGTATCTTATGTGAAAATGTATAGCCATTGGAAATGAGAACTATCCAGTTGATTTCAAGGTTGACCTGAGAAATGAGATATACTCGAACAACCATATTTGGTTGTATTAATATCCAGTAATAAACTAATTCAAAATGTTTGGCTTTTTTATCTTAGGTCCTTTCCATTTTCTATTGCTGGCAAGAAAAGGGGACCTGCGGCGTATATCACTTGATACACCTGATCTCACAGATGTTGTTTTACCAGTGTTTGGAATCAGTCATGCAGTTGCAATCGATTTTGATCCAGTGGATAGATATGTTTACTGGAGTGATGATAAAAAACTTGAGATTAAAAGATGCCGGTTGAATGGAGAAGGTTAGCCAACCTTGAACTTGAATACACTAATTATGTTAACTGATTTTGGCGAATTTATAGTAACTTAACAAAAGTTCTGTCAAGTTTCTTCAACAGTTTTTCTGGTACCATCTATATTGCTGAATGGAAAGAGTAAACTGCACTTCAGTCACCAGAAATTATCCTGCTTGGCATGGCATCCAAAACAGTTCTATTGAGTACTAACCAACATGAGGGCCAGTCTGGATGTTAATCTTTATTCTGAACTGTTTTCTGTCTTTTTCTTTGTATTTCAGATGTTCAGGTAGTAGTAAGGAGTGAGCTGAAACATCCTGATGGTATTGCTGTTGACTGGGTAGCACGGAACTTGTACTGGACAGACACAGGCACTAATAGAATTGAAGTCAGCAGACTAAACGGCTCTGCTAGGAGAGTTCTTATTGATGAAAATCTTGATGAACCAAGAGCAATAGCATTGGATCCTACTAGAGGGTAAATATATGAGTTTAATTTTGTTATCTACTGAGTGGAAATCTGTACACAAAGTATTGAGTACAACCAGAAGCCATGAAGGAAGGCTGTACTCAAGATGGAGAGCACAGGTTTTCCCCATAAGGACTGACTGAGGCTGTGGATAACTGATTTTTTTCTGCTGATTTTGCTTTTTTGGAATGACAGGGAAAAAATTCTGAACTCTGTTTGGTATTGTGAAAGACAGGATGGGTTAGGAGCCCATGACTGAGCCTTGCTTAGATGCAAGGAAAAAAAAAAAAAGATAAAAATAGATTTTAATATAATTTTTATTTATTTCCATACTGAAAGTTGGCAAAGGCATGCAAAGAAATTTAAATTAATTTTTGTTATCAAATGTGTCAGTTAGAAAGGCTGTTATAAGTTTGAAATGTTCTAACATGATCTCACTTAGGTACATGTACTGGACTGATTGGGGAAAACACCCAAAGATTGAGAGAGCAGAGCTTGATGGGAGTCATAGAGTCATCTTAGTGAATTCCTCGGTTGCTTGGCCAAATGGCCTTGCCATTGATTATCTGAAGCAAAAGATTTACTGGGCTGATGCAAGGAATGACAAGATAGAAGTCATGAACTTCGATGGGAGTGCCCGCCATGTTATTTTAGATAAAAAATTGCCTCATGTGTTTGGTTTTACTGTGCTTGGGGATAATCTTTATTGGACGGACTGGCAGAAGAGGTCAATAGAGAGTGTGAACAAAAGAACTGGTGAAGACAGAAGAGTAATCGTTGACGACCTACCTGATCTTATGGGACTAAAAGCTGTAAACCTTAATCTCTCCTATGGTAGGAAGCCTTATTTATTTGATACTTAATTTTTTAGTTTTGACTATTCCATGTTTCCTTCTTATTACACTTAAAACACCTTTTTTTGGCCTCTAGGTTCCAATGCCTGTCAGCGAAAAAATGGAGGCTGTAGTCATTTGTGTTTATACAAGCCATCAGGACCCAAATGTGAATGCCCAACAGGAATGGAGCTTCTTTCTGATGAGAAGACTTGTATATGTAAGTATTTGGAAGAGATGACTTGGGCTAATTTACTGAGCTTGCCTGGTTACACCCAGAGAGCTAAAATCAGCCAGTTAGCCATTTTTTTCCTTCAAAAATATGGAAATCAACATAAATGTCATATACTGTTTGCCCTTTAACTCCCAAGATCTCTTTGTTAATGTTCCTGTCTACATGCCACATATTTCCTAATAAATTAGTGGCAAGAATTTGTTAGATCAAGATAATGTTTCCCCTGCAGCCATTGGCTATCATTGCATATGGATCATGCTTGTTAGGTGACAGTGTTTTAACCCTTTAAATCCCAAGATCTCATTAGTAATTCTCTGTACTGTCTACCATACAGTTCTTGTGATGTTAGTTTTGAGAATTTGGTATTGGATCAACTAATAATCCTCTAACTGATATTTTTCTTTTTTCTCATCACTTTTCTGCTTGATATTGTATTGATATCATAAGGAGAAATTCTGTCTTGATCACTTATGGGAGTTAAAGTGTTAACAGGGGAGTGTGTAATTTCATTGTATACTTAAAGTTAACAATTGCTTTAACAATAGCAATAACAAAAAAAATATGTATTTTTATTTTCCTTCTATTGCAGTACCAGAAGCTTTTCTTTTGTTTTCAAATGCTGATGATATCAGGAGAATTTCTTTGGAAACCAATAATGGTGTTGTCATTCCATTGGTTGGCATTAAGGAAGCAAATGCTCTTGATTTCAGTGTTCATGACATGCAGATTTATTGGTCAGATTTGACCCTTAAGACTATTAGTCGAGCATTTTTGAATGGTAGCAATGTACAGCACTTGATTGCTGTAGACCTGTCCTACCCTGATGGCTTGGCTGTGGACTGGATTGCCAAGAATCTTTACTGGACAGATTCAAAGCTCCAGAGAATAGAGTTGTCACGACTGGATGGCCAGCATAGGAAAATGCTGATTTGGAAGGATTTGTGGGAACCGCGAGAATTGACTCTTGATCCTGTGTCTGGGTAAGTGAACATACTACACTTTTTCGGTTAAGTGAGCCACAATGGAAACCAAAATCATTATGTTGTCATGAGCAACTTGCTCTGTTTCAGTTGGCGATGTGTTGTTTGAATGCTCTTGGCCAGCTTGGAGAAGACCTACCCTTTATCCAAGAGTAGTAAAACAGGGAAGGTTGCCCAAAATAACACCATAATTAAACAGTCAAACCGCAGTGACCAAACTTTCCATTCATTGCATCTAACTGATATTTATAGTATTTTTGCAAAGTACAATAATGTGAAAAGTATTGTGTGCATGGTTTTGAAGGTCTGTGCTTGAAACGTGGCTGTGGCATTTTCCTGGGCCAGGAAATTTACTCTAGAGTATTCTATCTTACAGCCCTACACCAGGAAGTTGTGTAGGTTTTAGGAAGATTTGAGGGAAAGCTGAAGAAATGCTGGAAGAATCGAAGGGGGGGGGGAGAGAGAGGGGAGAGAGAGGATGGGAAAGGGATTATAATCTAAAATGGACATTGCATCCCATTCAGAAATGCTAACAGCTCTCTTTCTCTCCCAAGATCTAGATGCAAATGCCAATTGTTTACACAGTCTGCAATGCATTTCTTAATTTTATATTGAGAATTAAGTGTTGAATGGAACATGATCCCTAGTTTATATTTTTCTTACTTCTCATAACCTTTTTTGCTCGAAAATAGTTTGCTATTATGAAAAAAAATATTCCCTCCTGCTGGCTCGAGAGTTTCAAAGTCTTGCAGGTTCATCTCCACTGTGATTATGGGTTAAGTTTTCTATGTAGCTTTTGAAGCAGAAATGGACAAGTCAGTGTTTTGACTTCATTTTAGTTATACAACAATGCAATAATAACCTTTAGTTAACGTGGTCAAATGTTCGTAGCTGATTAGCTACTTTACAGACATGCCACAAAAGTTAACCCTCAACACCCTAATATTTGTATCCACATTCTCTTACTCCTCTCTACACATTTCCTTTGGTGCTGACAAGGAGAATTGTTTAACAATCAAAGCTTCTTAGGTTTGCGATCATTTTCTTTAATCTTGTGATCTTAATGAATGATTCAGTAGTATTCCTGTTAAGAGAAATTAGATGCTTGTCGCTTTTTGGTTTTTAAGGGTTAAAAATTAAATATCTTTGAAATCTTTATCATAGGCATATGTACTGGGCAAACGGTGGATGGTACCCAAAGATAGAGAGAGCAGACCTGGATGGTTCTAACAGACAGACTATCGTCTCAAATGTCACTCGTCCAACTGGGTTGACAATTGATTTTTCTGCGGAAATGATATTTTGGGTTGATACCGAGAACAAGGTGATTGAGTGTGCAAATTTAAATGGTTCAAACAGACAGGTGATTGCATCAGAGCTTCCCAAACCTTTTGCTTTGACCCAGTACAAGGATTACATCTATTGGACAGATCAGAAACTCAGCTCAATCTACCGCGCCAACAAAACGAATGGAATGGAGAGGACTCAGATCAAGGGCAACATAGAATTTACTATCATGGATATCTTGGTTTTTCATGGCAGCAGACAGGAAGGTTAGTGCAGCATTAGACATCTGGCTGATTTACACAAAAATTCTGATTACATGCAACGTGAAAAAGTAAGGTACAACCCATAAATTTTGACCGGAATTACTAACACTTGGGATCGCTTCGGATAAACATATAAAGCTTGCAACTTTTTCCTTGAATTTTCAAAAAGATCAATCTGATTGTTTCAGGGGCACGAGTTTCTACCCTGCCCCGCCATGTCTCTTCAACCCCATGCCAGAGAGAGAAGGTTTAAACCCAGATGAAGTACATGTTGATTGTCCTGTATAGAAATCCTTTACACCCTAACATTGGCATCCAAATTCTCCATACATTTTTCTATACATTTCCTTTGGTGCCGATAAGGAGAATTTTTTTTACCGTTAACGCTCCTTAGGTTGGTGATTATTTCCTTTTTTCTCATGATCATAGTAAATGTTTCAGCATTGTTACTGTAAGGAGAAATTAGACGCTGGTCACTCTCAGGGTATAAAGGGTTAACCTTTTAGAGTGAGGTTCGAGAGCTTCCACGTCGTATGTGGGATTTGAACTTGTGACGGCAAATGGCAGTTACAGAGGGTGAGAGCTTTTTCTCTTTAAAATAAGAATAACCCTTTATTCCTATCTGCATATTTTATTAGGTTCCAATCTCTGTGCCTTCAGGAATGGAGGATGTAGTCACCTGTGTCTGGCTAAACCTGGGAAGAGAAAGGAGTGTTCCTGTCCTACACACTATACCTTATCCATGATTGACAATAAAACTTGCTTAGGTTTGTTGATAACAAATAGGTGTTACATTTGACTGGATGTAGTTTAGACAAACTTCAAGTCAATGCTAACCAATTTCTAATCAATCGAAATGTTTTTAAGCCGGTTGTTAATTTTTTGTTTTTGTTTCTGTTTACAGCCCCCCGTGTTTTCATGCTGTACAGCACCAAAACAGTCATTCGACGAATCCTGTTCGATTCATCCGATAACCTTGATGTAGTTTTACCTGTCCGTGATCTGTCAAATGTTCAGGCCATTGATTTTGACATTAACAGCCATCGTCTCTTCTGGATCGAAGACTTCCGCATTAAATTTGCATATCAAAACGGCTCCAGTGGGGACAAAGTCATAAACCTTGATCCAAAGGCGTCTCCATATGACTTGGCCATTGACCCGTATGCAAAGCAATTGTTTTGGACGGACTCTGTTACTAACAGTATCAATGTGTACAGTTTAAGAAACAATACCAACCTGGGAGAAGTGTTTAAGAAAGACGGCGTTTCTCCTCGGTCAATTGTGCTCTATCCTGAGAAAGGGTGAGTCTTTATTCCTCAAACAGTATCTTTTTCATTTTATTCAATTCGTGATAGTGCATGTAGTTCTTTGATAATCAAAGATGTGCCCGTAGGAAAATCACTTGGTGTTTGAAGGGCTCTTCTCTCAGAAATGTGAGCCAGCTCTCAACCATTCACACCCCTAAAGTCAGTATCCACATTCTCCATGCTGTTCTCTATGTATTTGTTTCGTTACTGGTGAGGGAATTCAGTAAACAATCTAAACTTCTTAGTTTGGCGATCATTTCCTCTATTCTCGTGATCGTAATGAATGATTCAGCAGTATTACTGTTTGGAGAAATTAGATGCTGGTCACTCGTAGGGTTAAAGGGTTAAGAGCTGTTATAGACGCAAAATTGCATAGGTCGCCTAAACGCAAAATTTAGTCTCCTTCGGCACCCAGGCGCCAAAAACGTTTTCAAGGTCAGTTATTCTACGAATTGACGCGACACTTGAAAGGCGAAAAGTTAATCTACGTCATAGCGGAGCTCGCAGAGCGTAGCCCCATAATTATACAAATTAGTAGTAACCCATCAAGCCGAAATAATTTGGATGTACGACCGTACAAGGTGCTACTTTTAACATGCGTAGTCAACTGTACCGCGGGCACGTCAACGCCACGGCTTTGTCAGTGGTCCAGTGGTCAGTGCACTGGGCTCCGGGTCGGACGACCCGGGTTCTAGTCCTGGCCGGGGCAAGGCGTTGTGCCCTTGAGACGTGTGGGGAAAAAAAATGCGAGCTCCGCTTTTAGGCTTGGCTAAATCTATATATTATTTAATGAAACGATTCTGTTTTGTGTCTTGTTCAGGCTTATGTACTTCACCAATGTCAATCCAAAGACCAAGGGTATCATGAAGGTGCCAATGGCTGGGGCAGACAAGGTGCAGCTTTCTGTTGACAATCTGCTTCTGTTCAGTGCTGACTCTCCGGGAGACTTAGCAGTGGATAAGGAAGGCAAGAAACTTTACTGGACTGACACGGAACTGAAGAAGATTGAATATGGCGACCTGGAAGGTAAGTCACTGAGGAGCATTCTTAAACTGCAGGGCCAAAACGAGCTGACGTTGTTTAGACCGATATGGGCGAGTATCCAAAAGAAAAGTGTGACAGCGCGGTTTACTTTGCTTTGTGCAAGGATATGTCATAGCGTAATTGTCAGTCTCGCACATAATTCTTTTGTCTAGCTAGTTATAAAATGAGCAAAAAGCGGCCTGCAAGTTGGCTGATTTTTGGCAGTAACTTTGAACAAAACATTTAAGAAAGTGATGGTGTGGACTTCTCAATTTATTAGACGATCTATTTAAAGCCGCAGCAGTAATAGTTATGTGGTCGAGTGTAGTTTCATTCGGATTGTAAGCATAAAAGTGATTGTCAAGGTTATGGCCCGGACAGATTTCTCAGTTTGTGTTTACTCGGGTGCTCTGCAAGAAGTCTGAGATTACAATTCGGGGTCGGTTCAGTCACAAAGTGCAGGCGAGAGTAGCTTATAGAACGGGCGTGTTTTCTGCGCTTGTCTCCGTTCGCCTGGAAAACGTAAAAAGTACGCCGCTTCTGCTGGTTAAGGCGCGAGCGTTTTTTTTTTTTCATGTGTGGCTTCTAGACCTTTCTGATAAGTATGTGAAAATACTCTTTGAAAGGGATAGTATTTTTAAGCATGTTTTGTAGCGGTTACAACGTTTGCACATGTAAAGGCGTTAAACCATTGTGTTCTCAAAGCTATAGTTATGTCTGTTGTCTCACAGGGACCAACAGAGCCACGCTGGTGGAGAGACATGTCTTGGATCCCGTTGGCCTGGCAGTTTATGGGAATCATGTTTACTGGATCGACCAGGAGTCGCGCTGGCTCAAGAAAATTGAAAAGATCAGTGAAATGGAAGAAGACTTTGGCAGCACGGTGCAAGCCTATATCGATGGTTTGACAGATATGATTGTGGTTGATATGAGGAAGTCAACAGGTACGGACGTGGTTACCAAACTTCCTTTTTACCATTTCTTTTCTTTAATGTGTATAAGTAAGGAGAGTTTTTTTTCCCCCAATCAATCAAAGTGGATTCATACTTTGTAATAATTATGATATGGTAGTCGTGCAGGGATTCCAATTTTTCCGTATGAGTCTCCACCGAGGTTTTCGGCGCCATCATAGACTAGCTAACCTTTCGCCTCGATTTATGCGTGAGTTCTAAATCCCGCCGGCTAAGCAGAATCCCTAGGGTTGGCTCGCTTCGGTCTGGAGGCCAAGAAAGTATTTATAGTGAAATTGCAATCATTTTATCGAGCGAAATGGGTTAATATAAATCGGAACTGTGAGCCACGTCGCCATACGATCTTCGTTGGGTTAATTACAGAGTGAACGTTGATTCCTTTGCTAGATCAAACGCACTTAAATAATCCTTGATTATTACTAGTAGAGCCTTTTTGTATTGAGCATCGTAGAACCAAAATTAAATTTATCATAACAGCCAATCATAAGAGCCAGTGAGAACTTTAAGCAAAACTGACCAAACTGCTTAGAGCGCAATTCGTGATTGGTTTTAGTTTTGGAGAGCATGGTGCGAGTTCTTTGGACCAATCACAGACCGAGGTAAAGCAAAAACAAAACAAACACGGATTACTTCCGACCTTAATGGAAAATTTCACTATTAATTGAGTGGAAGCGCGCGTTAATTTTTTTTTAAATTTCGTCTTTTTAGCTCACCATCCTTGTACTAGAAACCATTGTTCACACATCTGTTTGGTCGGTGATCACAACAAAGCTCAGTGTTCCTGCCCTATGGACATGATCCTAACTGAGGACAATTCAACTTGCGGACGTAAGTGTGATTCAAACATATCGTTAAACCCTTGATCCTTAAGAGTGACCAGCATCTAATTTCTCCTCACAATAATACCCGTAAATCACGCATTAAGGTCACGAGATTTAAAGAAATGATCACCCACTAAAGAAACTCTTGAACAATTTCTCCCAGTCGGAACCTTAGGAAATGTACAGAAAACAGTGCGTAGAATATGTAAATTGATATTGAGGGGTTGAGGTATAATAGATGTTGGAGAATAGCGAAAGTATGAAAGAATGACCATTTTACTTAGGACCAACGCCACTTTTTGTGTAAAGAGCGCCTTGTAATCGTAATTTTTAATGTTTCATCGAAAAGACAAATTCTCAGAGACCAGAGTTAGGGGAACTTCCGCCCGAATTTGTACAGTGCATCTCAGTTTACCCACAAAGCCTTTCTGTATATATTACACAGGTTTTCTGAGTTTTATAGTGATTATGTATTAACTTTGTTCGTTTGTTTTTCACCAGCTCCAAGGGAATGCCCGCCAAACGCGTTTTCCTGTCCAAGCGGACCTTGCTTATTAGAAAGTTGGGTTTGTGATGGTAATCCAGACTGTGAGCCTGATGGTGCCGATGAAAAGAATTGTCGTAAGTTGTGTTTGTAATTTTACTATATTGAGAGTTTATAGGTTATAAACCAGTGAAGGCTCTCAGAGCCTGTGCGTAAACTCATGGATTTATTGTAACCAATCAGCTCCCAGGTTTGGCTAGTGTGTTACTTTACCTCGCGATTTCAATACAAAATCCTGCAGATAGGAGATGAGAATAGACAAACTCATGAGCTACTGAGTGTTACCTTCATGGCACACTGAATGAGTATTTCTAATTAACAAGGAAATGTATGACTATCAGAAGAGAGAATTACTAGCTGCAACTTGGGAGCTGAAGGTGAAACGTTTTGCCGTAGTAGAAGTAGTTGTTTCATTTGTCTGAGTTGATTTTGTTTTTCTTTATTGTTTTGCACCTTCATTCACAAAAAATCTGAGATCTTTCAAAAGCAACTTCACAATCTCCTTGTCTGATCCGTAGCTCCTTGCGGCGATGACCAATTCGCCTGCCGCACTGGAAGTCAGTGTATCGATATGAAGAAGGTGAATGACGGTGTGGGGGATTGCCTTGACGACTCGGACGAGTCTGATTGCTGTAAGTGAACACAATTTGTCGCCTCCATTATTGTCTTTCACAACCGTCCTTTGGTTGTCGCATAGCGGTCTTCCGAAAGCGTTCATCACGGTTTGCACCGATGCAGACAAACCACAGAGGAGGAATAGAAACTTAGGAACTTGTGCAAAACTGACTAAATTGTAGAAGTAGGTCATGCAAAGCTTCAGGTAGTGCTCACTTCTTATTTGTTGCGACAAGGCGCTTTTCGATTGAAAGTCGTAAACAGTTTTAATTTTGCATACGCCGTGGATTGCAGAAGTGGAAACGTACCGTTTATTGGATGAGATTACGTCTTTTTTGAGCCGCGGATTATTTTCCTCCTATAAACGGCCCTAAAGCCTATTATAGATCAGGGAGCACCGAAAATAAACCACATCTCCGTCGTATGCACCGTTTAAGTTTTGCCGGCTTTTATTAACAAGTCACATGTAGTGACTTTGAATTGGGTGATTCTGAGCTTGAATCTTTTCTTTTATTTCCTTTTTAGCACGGAAATGCTCAAAGGGTGAGTTTGGATGCCATGATGACGACTGTTCGTGTATCGCTTTGGACTGGAAATGCGATGGAACACTAGACTGTCCTAATAATAGAGATGAAATGGATTGCGATGTTACTCCAGGTAAATATTGCGATTTATACTTATTATATGGTATAGTGGTAAAGCTCGCAAAAAAACTTCTTTCCTAGTCTGAATCTTTGAGACACGTCCTCTTTACTGTTTTCAAGCGACGATCTAAGCTGAGTCGGACAAGCGTGCTAACCATTTATTTACTGTGCGTTCTGCTTTTATTGTGTTTTTAGCGCTTCGTATTCATAGATGTTGATGGGTCATTTTTTTTTCTGCTTTTAATCTAGCGAATGGCACAGACAAGTTACCTAATCCTCTGCACCATTCAAATCTCAGTGGTAAAATGGTGGCAGTCATTGTGGCGTCAATCATCGTGGGTGTCATCTTCCTCACTGTCGCTGTACTCATCTGTCGCAGGCTTAAGCACGGCCCAGACTGTGACGTAACTCACGATATCGGATTAGTCGTGACTCCAGTTCTCCATCCCAGGCCTTCCTCTTCAGCATCGTCATCATCGTCGACGTCATCTCGGCATGACATGTTTGTGACAGCACCTTTACGAAAAGGTCCCGGATCGGCGGGCTCATCGCATAAGCGCTCGAAATCAAACGGAACGGCGCCGAGCTTAAGCAACCGTTCAAGCGCCTCACAGACAGCGTACGACCGGAACAATTTAACTGGAGCTTCGTGCTCGTCAACCGCGTCAACAGTTGTCACAGCATACTTCCATGAGCCCCTGAACCCGCCGCCGTCGCCGGTTACGGAACGTTCTCAGTACACCTCGCGATCACGTCCATATTGTGAGTCCCTGTTACCGCCGTCTTCATGCACGTCACACAGATGTCATCGGCCGAGAATGCCTCCACCCCCGACGCCTGTCTCCACTGACGCGGAGTCGGTTGGGAGTCGGCATCAATGTCGCAGAGTTCACCGTTGTAGGCACAAACGTTACGCGGCGTCGTCCTGCACGGAGGCAGCGTATGATTCGGATTTATTCGCACCGCCTCCGACGCCAAACACGAACTATCTTTCAGAAGCGACACATTTTTCGGATCAGGAGGGTCCACCTCCTTCTCCTGCTTTAACTGAAAGACACTTTTTTGCGCATCCGTATCCTCCTCCACCCTCTCCAGTGACTGATGCGCCGTCAGTGATTTTGTAACGCAGTTGTTGAGGAAAGGGTTCCATCGCGTGTTCCCCTGTCACGCAATCGTCGGGGTTTCAAATGTGGTACGGGACAGATATCACTTCTTAGATCAAGAAACCAGACGCTATTCTATCGTCTTGGGTGACCGTGGTCGTTACTATAGACACGATTACCACGCGCGATTTTAGCGCAATGAAGAAAAATTCACATTTTCGTCAAGATTATCAACATGACCCTAATGACATCTTAATTTCCGTGGAAAGGGAATAAAATGACTTTTTCTGATGGTTCAGAAGAAATGTAAAAGCAGGTGTATACTGGCGACTCATTGTACACCGCAATGCACAAGGCGATTTCTGGAAAATGGCAGTTCATTTTCAAATATCTCGAGGTTTAAAGTCTGCGAATGTTTTGTACTCCTTTGAATTTTTGCTTTTGTCTTTGCTAAGTTCCCATATTTCGTTTCCATATTTTGTGCCAACTTGAAGTTCAGAATTAGTAGAATATTTTCCTCGGAAGGTCGTCTTTCCGAGTAAGTCGGCGATTCACGAATAGTTCCTTGTGAATTGATGGTCATTGGTGGATCATTCATCTTAATTGGAAAATTATAGATGGCGGACCAGTAAGCATTATTGGCGAGCATCGACAAATTATTTCTAGAACACTAGAGACCATTATTTTCATTGGCAAGTCACCAATGGCCTTTGTTGGACAACTAATGGCCAATGGTGGACCACCAATGGCCAATGGTTGACCATCACTGGTCATTGAATCATTTATCGTTTTTAAGAGTGGGTACACACTACTGAGACATTTTTTTTCGTATGACAGGATTGATTTTTTGAAAATCTTTGCCCGTGCGACAAAATTCTGCTCCCGGAACAAGTCGTCTAAATCCATACTGGTTTGCACTTGTAAGGTGATGACATGGGTTGCAGCGACTTGGTTCGGAAGCAGTGCCCATTATGTGGTTTGTCGCGTAGACCCTGCCGCGCCGATTTGGCGCCTGTTAGGTCCTGGAAATTAAGAGTACCATCGATGAATTATCAGTTGCAATTGGCAACTCTCCTATCATTAATAAGGTCATTTGCGCCATTCTGCGCTATCAAGTAGAAACATTAACACGACTTTTTCAAACGGTGTCAAAATTATTTATTGTAAATACTGTACATAATTTGTAAATGGTGCTTTACATTTAACCTAGAGTATCTATTGTCAGGCAGTTTTGCTGGTGACTTTTAAATTTTCCTAGATTAATATATTTTTAATAAAGATGTTTGTATACATGGCTGTGTACTTTCCCTTCGCATGTTCTTCCGCAGGGTCGAGAGAGGGGGGGAATCGCCATTTATTTCTTCGTTGCGTGCAGCCCTGTTGCACTAATGTTTCAGCACAACCGTGGCGTTTTAAAACAATCGAAACCCTCCGGTCAAATATATGATACGGTGTGTAAATTTTAAGAAAGTTTTCCCTTTAAAAAAGCGAGAAGGATTTTTCGCCTGCTTTGGGTAACGGATGAAATGTTTTCCGTTGAAAATACGCTGGATAATTTGAAGACAAAGCAATCAACGGCAGCAGAAATGTTTGACTGCCCTTATGGGCATACGCGTGGGATAAAGTGACGTCAACTTTACAGAAAGTCCTATTCTGGGTCCTGTCGAGTGTGGACGTAAGGTTCAAACATGGAAATGAAACTGCATGTTTAAAATCATTCTGGGTTAACTTGGATCGAGGACTTCGAATCAGTAAGACTTGAGGTATACATTCCTAGGCTTGCGCTGAAATTCAGTGACGGCCTCTTTGTATTTTACTGGGACTATGTCAATTGATCCAAACGTTTTCAGGTCTGCACGTGGGAAAAGAGCTGATCAGCGGTAATTCTAGGTCTTAAGTTAGGTAAGGTCTTTAAGAGTGATGTTTGTGCCAGCATCTTTGCAAATAGTTAACGGATGGCAGAATTTTACAGCACGTGCCGACACTTCTGTTCATTTTGCGTAAGAATCGCCGCCCTTCAGCAAAGTAAACATTTGGGTCAGCCCTCATACCAACAAGCCTCTCTCTTTACCTGAGGGACATTACTCGAAGAATGCGATTGTAAAAGTTTCTTTTTCATCCGTTAACGATAACGAAAGTGAATTATGGAGAGTGATACATTGTTTTACGATTATAAGAATAAATGTGCCATAGTGAATACAATTTGTATTCATAATCGTGATGGAATTAGCGATCGGGAAGAAGTGTGTATACGATTGTTATGCGGTTAACAAGATTTTGTGCTAAATTTATTTTGAGGATCTAAACAGCTTTGAGACAAATCATAAACCATGTGCGTTGGCAAAGCCAAACCTTTCTTCTCAGATCTCGGATGTAACCTGCGATCAGACCCTTATCATTTGCGCTGTAGGAGGCCTGTTTCTCCGCCTGCGAGAAGATATGAGACGAGTCGGGAAGAGATTTGCTGGGGGTCTGGCACTAATAGTGAGGATAAGACTCTTAGCTAGGAATGTAAGACCCTCAAAACAGGCTCCCCCCTGAAATTTGTTAGGAATCAACGAGCCGATTTTACGATGGGCCAGAGGTGGTAACCTTACGCTTTTAGAAGCTAGGAGGCGCGTGGACGGAGAAGGAGTGGGGCGAGAGAAAAGATTCAGAAGGAGCAAGGAATCTAACTATTACCCGGCTCAGGAGTAGTATAACACTAGTTTGGATGGAATATCAGAAAATCTACAGAATCAAATAGATGGATATTTTTTTTAAAGAAGGTTGCATCATCGCCACTCACGGGAAGTTAAAAAACTGTTTGGCATATCCATTCTGCCAGCAGCATTCAAGCAAATAACATTTGCTTAAAACTAAAGTTTAAACTATCTCTTTCTATTTTTATTTCTGACTGCTTTCTGGCGCATCGTGTGAATTGTGCCATATAAAATATACCGTCACTTACAATTTAGTTAAGCAATTTTACTTATTGACAATTTCTCTTCTTTACTCATCAGAACGTCATTGTTCAAAAGAGTTGTTTTAGGGAATAAGTACCTAAACTTATCCATTGACTGTCCCAAAAGAAAATTCTTAACCCTTTCATTCCCAAGATCTCAACTGAAATTCTTCTTATTGTCCGCCATACAATTCTCATAATGTTAGTTCGGAGAATTTGGTATAGGTTAAACTAATAATCCACTAACTCATATTTTTCTTTATTCTCATCACTTGTCTGCTCGATGTTGCACTGATATTGTAAGGAGAAATTCTGTCATGGTCCCTTATGGGAGTTTAAGGAATAAGTGAAAATTGTCAACGGAAAAAAAATATAATAACTGCGATAAGGTGTTTAAAAGTTGTGAAAGCCTCTTAACACGACCAAGTATCACTCATATATTAATGCTTTGGTATTACATATGTATATCCGCTAAATTACGTACCTCTAATATTTCACTTTTATTTGAATGTGTAACCTAGTTTTTATAGGTGAGACTATACGAATTAATTCTACATTTATCTGGCAGTATATATTTTAAATGGTTCTTTCGTCTTCTTATCTTTTATCGTTTGTTCTCCAACATCATTGTCAAGCAGTCAATTAACCCCTGCAATTTAAAAAATTTGCGTAAGATGAAATGTCACTTAATTTCCCATAGCATAAATAAAAACAATACAGGGTTAATGTTCGCGGAAACGACGTTACTACGGAAGAACTGCCATGAGAAACCGGTTCGAAGAAATCACACTTCGCTACCGCGCCTAGTTTGGTAACCTCTACTACAATACTCGGTACCACTCTCCCTCATTTAAGCCATAAGGTGAGGGTTAAAATAGGATCCGGAATGGCCCAAAAAATTTTTATGCCCAAGAACATAAAGCGAAATGCATAAAGAAACGATTGAAATAAACTTTTGTTACGAACTCTCGCCATTACGGAATTGCGGACACTTTCATGCCCCCAGCGCGACGTTTCACTTGTTTTTTCTCTTGCTATAGCGGACACTTAGATACATCGTCCAAAATCCAGACTCACATCATATAGAATGACATTACGATAAAGGAAAATGAAGAGACCATTATTCAATTGGGTGTGAACATGAGAATTTCTTGCTTGCGACCGAGTCTTTTTCAGGTTCGCGAGGCCACGTCAGAAACTTTGTTTGCGTAGTTACATATCATAAAAAACCTATATATTTCATCTCGCAACCTGCTATTGCGGACTCGCGCTGTTACCGACACTAAGTCTCCCCCCGAGGGTTTCCGCAATAACGGGAGTCGACTGTATTATCACTTTGGAATTCATAACGAAAATATGAAATGAAAAATAAAGACAACTAGAGAGTCTAAACAATAATGAAGATATAAAATACTTACAAATACAATTCTTTTTGTCAACAAGTAGTTTCATTCCCGTTGGACATTCACATTTAACTCCTGACGGTCCGAACAAACATAAATCACTACAGCCCCCATTATTTCTCTGGCAAGGATTAACACCTAATAAAAAGTTGAGAACATTCTTTAATCAAGAGTTCCTAAATGCATAAGAGCGATTTCCTGTAGGGTTCCATTACCAGCGTCATGCTGGGCATAGAACCATGCAAGGTGTTTTTATAGTCATGTGGACTCATTTCCACCGATGTTGTTTAATTTGGGTGCGGCACACCTGGTTGCCGTGGGCTTCGAGCCTAAATTTAGTGCGGGGTATCCCACCAGGCATCGTATTCCTAAGAATTTGCTATTCAGTGAATCTGAGGGTACGGACGAAGTCCAAGCGATCTTGTGCATTACCGCACCCCAAAAAACGCAGGTCAATGAAAGACAGCCCTGAAGAGGAAATTAAAATAAAGGGGGGAGATCGTTCAAAGAGATTTGTGAAGAAGGGAGAGATATAACTTCCTTCGCCAGGTGAAAGTTAGATATTGAGCGTGAACGATAGACGTCTGTCTTAACTTCAATCTAATTCAATGGTTCACATTTGGATAGAAGGAACAAACAACAACAACAGTAACAACAAAGAACACCTTTACCATAACGGAAGTGAAGGTCGACTGCCTTGAGTCCCATTAGACTGGTTACACCTTTTCTGATAACTCTTCTGCCTCTGCCGTTTCGTTTATTCGCACTTTCAATTGATCTTTTTTGCCAATCTGTCCAGTAAAGACGATTATGGAGAATTGTCAGACCAAAAACGTGTGGTACATCTGTATCCACGATAACTTTACGGTTTTTCCCATTTAAGTTCATGACCTCTATCTTGTCTAACATAGCGTCTGCCCAGTAGATTTTACCCCGACGGTAATCAATGGTGATACCATTGGGCCAACCTATAGATGAGTTCACCAAAGTGATGCGATGACTCCCATCCAGTCCTGCGCGTTCAATCTTTGGCTTCTTTCCCCAGTCTGTCCAGAAGATGTATCTGGTAGAATTAAGAAAATTTGAGGAACATTACACAATGTTAAAAGTTTCTATTTGTATCAACTTGCATCTTGGACTTTTCCAAAATGAAATCTATATTTATTTTGGAAGTCATGAGTACTCATAGCCAGTTACTTTATACTGTACTAATAATCTAAATCATTAATATCTTTAAAAATTCCTTTCCTCCCCATTAGCCAAGAGCCCGACGAGAGACCTGCAAATATTGCTGCCGAAGTTAATGATGGTATGGTCATGCGCAATGCCTTTAAACCATGTTCCTACTCATGCGTAGTTGTTCTCGCAATCTTTGGCGAAAATCGCAGATCATCAGGAGTTACAATAATTTTTTTTCGATTCGCAGCGGCCTATAGCGTGATAGGGGGCTGTGCCCATGACGGGGGACATAAGGCGAAACACAAACACGAGAGCCTCAACAGGCTCAACAGCGATAGACCGCCGGCAACCTGTTTTCATTGAAACCACTGGGAGACTGAGCAGCTAAGCTGTCAGAGGGCGATTATCGAAAATAATTATGATAAAGAAACACGGCAATCGAATAACAAAAAAAATCATTGAGTTGGTTTTTCGGAGAATTCCGTGATTTGGAACTAATTCATCGGGTCGCTACCGGAAAATTCGATATTTTGCTAAACCTCGTCCAGTATTTATTAAAAAAGTACCCATGAGCTGGATCCAATGCTAATGCTCTTGGCTCGTCAAGATTGTCATCGATGAGAACTTTCCTAGCTGACCCATTCAGTCTGCTGACTTCAATTCTATCATTTCCTGTGTCTGACCAGTACAAATTCCGCGCCACCCAGTCGACTGCAACATCTTGGGGATATTCAAGTTTACTTGATACTATTACTTCAACATCTAATCCAAGAAAAACAATGTAAATTAATTACGGGACCTTCAAAAGCAACAAATATTTTAAAAGAGCACAAGCTGCTCGCTAAGTGCTTTCAAAACATAGGTTGAATTTGTGAACAACGTCTACACCTAGAGTGTAGTGATAGAATCTTTCAAGGTGGTTTAACACGGTTACGGGCTCTCATTTTCCCTATGTTCAGTTTTGATGCTTTCTTCCAAAGTTAATATAAAATTAGGAATAAACTATATCAATGTAATATTGTTACTTTAACCTTAGGGCAGCTCTCTGTGTTGTCGAGATAACTCATAATTACATCAAGGTTTCTCGGTAACACACGAAGAATAATCAATGAGAATTACGTACCTTTCCCATCCATTCTGCATCTCTTTATTTCAAGCGCTTCATTATCACTCCAATAAACAAATTTGTCCACTGGATCGAAATCAATGGCCGCAGCTTGTCTCACACCGGAAACTGGCAAAAGTACATCATGTAGATCATGCGTGTCGAGTGATATACGGCGCAAGTCCACTTTTCTTGCCACCAATAGGAAATTAGCAGGACCTATCATGAAAATGACAGCTTCATTGGTTCGCATAAGCAAATATTTTGCATAGTTTGTCGTCGCATGACAACGAGACATTTATCTTGTGACATTAGAGATTAACGCGAAAGTACTACCGTGCTATCATAAGTGCTGCCATCTGAGTGGCAACGTAAATTATGTCTTGATGGTAGCTGAGAATATAGTTCGTGGCAAAATGGTACGCTGTTGTAAACAGGAGAAAAATAGCACGAACCTTCATCGTTGTGGAGCTGAGTACCAAACGACTAGCTAGTAAATTTATGATAAAATAATTAGATCATTCGCTCTCGATTTCTTTACGCGCAAGTTCATGAGAGCTTTGCTTCACCTTCATCAACTATCACGCGATAGAAATCTGGAGATCATAATCCAATTGATAATTATATCACGGTCAGGAAAAAGAGCATCCAAATTGCATGTTTGGGAGGATTTGATTACACTTTTGGCACAACCCTGCAAGAATAATGCGGGTTTGAATAAGTAAACCCTATAACCCCCAATATCCGATCAGTAACCCTTCCTTCTGGCTGTCATTCATTTCCTTGTAAATTTGACTGAAGTATTTGTTGTAATATTAAGAGAACAACACTCTCAAGCTGATAAGCTTCTCAGTTCTCAGAACTCCTTTACATATTTATCAGTCCTTGTAATTACAGGGTTGACGGATTTGTAAGGTTTGGCTTAATGTCGCCCACGGTTTGAAGATTTTTACAAAAGTGATTAACGACAAATAGGGACTTAAAGGAAATCACGACGGGCGGCAACGAGGACGTAGCCAAACAAAATAATCCAAGAGCAGCACGTGCGTTTTAAACTTAATAAATTTCATAGCATTTCCGTACAGAACAGAATCGTAAAATCACCAACTTCTACTTCCGCTTAGAGAGGTAACCTCGGCAGCAATTTAGTCATGTTTTCGATCGAAATCAACACTACATTCGCATGTTCTGCCGAAGGGAAAATGTCGCATCGTCAGAAACGGTAGACGCATCTGGCTACTGACGAGATTTCATATTAAAGAAAAACGTTCGTTTTTTCGGCAACGTTTTCCCACATGTCATAAATCTTAAACTCCCTAATACCGTGGAAAGCACACTGACGTCGATTCTACCAGTTTAGAGGAACAGGTTGTGGATCACATCTTTCGTCCATGTTACAAGCTGGCTCTGTTTGGTTGCGTGCCAGGATTTGGTCCACTTTTTCAGTTTACACTACTCAAGGAAAGTAAGAAGATCTCTTCTGACGTACAAACCTAACGAATTCGCAATTTAATTTTCATGTGCTGTAACGCGTTCACTCTACGTTACCAAACAGGAGCAAAGACAGAAAGATTTGGGTAAAAACTTAGCACTTCCTGTGAAAATAAAACTCGTATCCGGATTTGAACAAATCTAATCATCCTTCTTTCCTTAACAATATATTAAAGCTCGCCATTTCTTGGCGGTTCAGAAAAATCCTCAGCCTTTTCAAAAAGAGTTCTGTAATTAAGTATGACGGCAATCAGAGCCTTCACAGCAATTTTGAGTTATCTAAAATTTGTCTCGAAACCTGTTAAGCGGAAAGAGCTATCAGCATCATCAGCACAAGATAGTTTCTCATGTTACATCCAACTCACCTTTCGCACAAGTTTTACCATTTGACAACAGTTTCACTCCAGTTGGGCATGCGCAGGAATGACCTCGAGCATTCAACAAACACAAATGACTGCATCCTCCATTGGTGGGGGAGTTGCAAGGATTTTGACCTAAAGTATGAATCAAAAGAATGCTAAGGATGCGGACTCTCGAATGCGTCAAGATGATATTTAATTTTGAATTCAGCATCATAAGCTTTTCATAGGGCCATCGTCGGAGGCAAGGTTCTTAATTGGGGAATATCACTTGGGGAATATCACCGAATCTTCCGATGTTTTATCTTTGGAATATTGAGTCATGTAATGGATTTAGGACAATCGCACGCAAGCAAAAATTTTTGATGGATTATAACTCGCGATCTCCCTCTTCTTCTTTTAGGAGCCGAAAAAATTTTTATCACACTGGGGAGAAACACAAAATAACAACTTCGAAGATAGATATTTATTAAAGAGATAATGATGAACAAAGATTGAATGTTGATTGCTTAGGGTGAGGAAGATTGATGCAGATAGGTGCGTTACCTGGCTTTTGCCTCTGTCTTTGTGGCTCGTATGTACGAATATCCATGGGCGAATAGCTAGTGGTCCAGATTTCTCTACATTCGAGAGAGCTCTTGTTCGTACAGTGTATCCCTTTAGTTGTCCAATCTGTCCAGAAAATTTTGTTCTCGTACAGTGTCATAGCAAATGGATGAGCCAGTGTGCATTGGGTTGAAGACTTGAACATGTTCTTACGTTTTGTACCATCATAGTTGGCAGCCGCTATGTGAAACAACTTTGCATCCACCCAGTATATTTTCTCAGCTTTGTAGTCTATTGCTAACCCATTTGGCCAATGAACGTCTTTTTCAATGATGACTCGACGATTGGAGCCGTCCATTTCAGCTCGCTCTATTTTGGGGTTCTCTCCCCAGTCTGTCCAAAACATATACCTAGCCGTAAAAAAAAATAACAATAATCATGGCGTTCATTTAAAATAGTTACTATTTATCAAACTTAAAGTTTGTTCAAAACCCAAAAAGACAAAAAATAATGGAGCAAGGGCTAGGAAAGAAACATAAAAAAGTAGACAATATAAAAAATGATGAAGAGAAGCCATGCAAAAAAGAAAAAACACGCATAAAGAAATGTGTGACTAAAACAACAGGAAAAAAAATTAAGCCTCTGGTAGACGCCTGGCATGCTGGGGTATGAAAGAATGTCTAATAAACCTATGCTAATTATCTTCCAGTAGGTCTTTCCGATGATTGCAAGGACTTAATAGGTCAACAAACGTAGTCGCATAATAATTTCAAGTTTTCGATAAATTGTCTTTTCGTATCTTGATGGAATTTGATTTACCACCTTTGTAAACTTCGGATATTGTGGTTTTTGAAATACACACCCTTTTTTCGATACAGATCTCACAATTGCCAAATCATCCCCGGCGACCATGTAGGTTCTGTTTTGCATCCAAGTTACTGACACTTGTAATCGCTGGCAATTGCTATTTCAAATCTCAACAGGTCAAGTGGGGTGGCCAATCTGTTTTAACAGCTTACCAGAAAGCCAGAAGAACTCTTAAATAATAGGATGAGTGCTAAGAGGGTTAGCTGAAAGCTTTTACAATCAAACATATCTTGGCTGTTGCCAGCACTGTATTTTTTTTTTTTTTGGGCTACTTTAAAATTAGAATTGACTCATTGATAGACTACATGAGCATGAAATTCAGGAAATTCCTTCCAAAATCATAATTAATGAAAAGTATTTAAAATAACGTTAAGATTTTGTGGCTGCATGAAAAGCATTTCACTTAAATGTGGAGAAATGTTTGCGAGAAAAGTCTCGCTAAGAGCAAAAAAAGTTTGGGCGCATAAGTTGCTCACAATTCTATAGCACGTACATGTATTTCTACTCCTTACGTGATCGACGAATTTAAAAAAACAAGATAATTAGGAAAATTTCATGTCAGATTTTAGGGCAATGGAAATTAGGATATTTTCCGTAGGTCACGTTTTACAGCAGATTATCCTAGTTCTTTCTAGATGTCGTGCCCCTTTTTTTTTGTGCGTGGCTGGAGTTTGCCAATGGCACGGAAAATGGATAAAGATTTCTCCACGAAACCAGTTTAGGACTACTGTTGACAAGTTCTACCCATGTTACTAACACCCTAAGCCTATTCCTCTTTAAATGGATTCTAACTTAGACCGCAGTTATGACAACTGAATAGATGCCTTTCCAGAGAAAGTTAGCTACAAGCTTTCGTGACTTTGTTCACAAAACCCATCGTTTGGATACAACGTTCAGCGGAATTGAATATGGTTTAGAATGCGTTTTTGTCAACCAACTGCTCCACAGGTGATGTTATGAGTGCTTGTTTTCTCAGTATAAAAGTAAAAAATCAAAGGGATACAAAAATTAAACTTAGATTATGTTATCATTGTGCATTATCATTGCCAGATATATGCATGATATCCACATGATCCTGAAGTTTAATTGGCTTGTTGCTTGTGTGTCTCCAATAGACGCGTGACGATCCACCCATGTTAAGAGGGTTGAGGATTGATTTAGGAAATTATTCGCCAAAACTATTTTTGAGTTGGCAAGATTTATATAGTTCATCGTACTTTTGCCAATTTTGGACATTTATCAAAAGCGTAAAATGCCTTCGACGTTGTTATCGTCTCTTTCAGATGACATCAGTTTGCCAATAAGGATAAACTGAGATAAATCTTGATCGATAGACTTCTTTAAAGAGAAAGATTCTTGAAAGTTTGTGTCCAATAGTGTTTGTTCCGACTAATGTAGTTCGTTCGTTGTGTTTCAAATTTAGTTTCATTGAGTTATTTGTTGGAAAATTAATTGTTAGAACGGCATTTTAATGAGGAAACCAGGTTTTACGTACCCTTTTAATGGATCCACGGCAATAGCCCTGGGGAAATCCAAGTATTTCCAAAAAAGAACTTTGCGATCTGATCCATTGAAATTTGCAACTTCGATTCTGTTCGTTTCCCAGTCAGAATCGCTACAATCGGTCCAATACAACTTTTTTCCTACCCAATCTACGGCTAAACCCTCAGGCTTCTTTAACCCAAACGAAATGACATCTTCGATTTCCCCACTCTTCTCTTGTGAAATACGAACGCGTTCGATTTTCTGCTGACCAACGTCGGCCCAAAATACCAATCCTTCCGTATAGTCAAAGTCCAACGCAATAGCATCCTCAAGGGTGTCTACGATCGTAGTTTCCTTTTGGTCACTTTGATTTGTTGAAATAATCCTTATGTCATGTCGGTTGGCGTACAAGAGCTTCACGGAGTGGGCTGTTTGAGAGAATTAGGAAAAAAGTTTGGAGTAAAAAAAGAATTAATTCAAAAGAAAGAAACGCATCCAAAACCAATCCACGAGAAAAATTAGAGAATTACCTTGGAGCATCGCTGTTCGAGGTCTCCACCTTATAGTATAGCTCTTAATTACATACCGAAGAAAGGTGTACTCAGAAAACGAAGTTACATGTATCAAAAATGTAGCCAGGTTGTCTATTTAATGATGGTTTTCCGTACCGAAACGATAGCTTCACTTGGCTGTTAACGACGGGACATACTTTGTTATTCCAATGAAAAATGCACTTCTTTTTATTTTGTTCCGGAAATGTGAGGTTTTCATTATTTCTCTAAAGAGTTTTATCCACAAAAGGGTGCTAGCCAGCTTTGTTCGAAAATTTCCAGTATGTCTTAAACCCTGATTAAGATCAGGTTTTGCCAAAAATATGTGAAGGAGCTTTTTGGTAAACTAACACTGCAATTTCCACTCACCGTAAGGGGTGATGCTCAAAGCAAGCAGAGCGGCTACAAGAGTTAGCACTTCCATGATTTGTTAATGAGTTCAGATCAACGACAGCGCAAAACACGAATTTTATTGCAAGAAATCGGATTTATTTAAACACATGATTACGTACGTACCCATTGTAAGCTTTTCCGTTTTAGATTGGCAACCATCCCAATTCCAAGAGCACAAATTCCTGTTGAGAGATTATACAGGAAAATTAAGTATGGGAAAATATTCCTTGAAAGCCACAATTACCCAAAGCTGTGATCATGAACGACACTTTCTTCAGAAGAGGCTCACACTCTAAGAGAAAGCTTTAATAAGATTTAGCTTTTTTTTTCTGCCTTTGTTTGTATGAGTTAATCATATATTAACCTTCTTTGGAATGTAAATGAAAAAGCGTTTCAACAGGAAATCCTTTGTAACCTTTGCCTCGCAATGAAATAACTTTCACATTATCCTTTCTCACTCTCTACTACCAGGTGACAGAAAGCACGACAGCTTTTTATGAAGATTGCGGTTGTCTTATCTGCGGAGAAAAAATACCTTGTTATCAAAACACACTCGCCTAGCAGAGCAGATACAAAACCTTTTTGAAAGACTAAAACATACAAGTTATTAACTCAAGGTTAAAATACGCTGCAAGCTCGCTCTGATGTACAAGTTCTTTTTAACGTTCTACATACCGTGAAAGTAGAGAGGGGCAGTTTTGTTTCGTGCAATATTTCACGACCTAAAGCTTTCAGTCCACTTTTAATAACGGCCTCGCCAAATTATCACCTGCAAATATTTTTCTGGTTTGAGGTAGAAAATAAAGAAAGGAAGCTAAAACTAGACAATTCACGACCATAAATAGACCGAAGCAGCCAAAATTAAACTTTGCATAACTCTATCTAATTAACCTTGGTATCTAGGCTTTCCACTTGTTATGATTTAAGATGAATTACTTTGACCTTACAAAGGAGTCAAAAAATGTAAAACTTTCCTCGTTGTAATACCCCAAGATTTGCTTTTTAACATTATTCCTTCTCGTCTCACCATTTTCCATCCTCAATTGCCAGGTGGCACTAGATTTGTAGCGCTGTTTGTCAGTCGGATAAATTTAGAGCCTATTGTACTGAGAAAAAAAGGTTCCTTCTTGCAAACAGAGAAGGCGTTTATTTTGAGCCTGCTTCTCTCTCAAGCCGTACTTCCGTCAGTCTCGAGAAGCATAGGCTAATTAGCACATTTTTTTGGTGCAAAAGAGATAAAAACTCATACAAATAACTTTTATCAGTTATATAAATAGCTCGATAAAGACATGAGAACTTTAAATACTCCAAACATAACAATACATTTTATCTCTCTGTAGAAACTCTATTGCACTATAACAGCTTCAAGTCATGGTGTTATCAGCTTTCTTAATGCATGCTAAAGAGTATCTTCCGTTCAGTACTAATGAGTTTAGTTTTTCGGTACTTACGAAAGAATTCCTTGCTCGACAGTATTGTTTACATTAAAACCTGTTTGGCGTCAGCCGTCCACCACGCGCCTTTTCTAGCTTTTTCTCCACGATTATAGTAACGTCCCCAACCTTTAACATGGTTCATCCCTGGTCAAAGTTATGATTTATGGTTAGTTTACCTCGCCAAAATCATAAGTATTTGAAATAGTACCTGTCACTTTAATTAGTTATTCCAGTTATCCTAGCAGCCAGGGATGATATGGATGCCGAGACCTTTGGGGGGGTTTTAAAGTTGCACTGGTGATCAAAAACAAATAGACATGTAATTGAATTTTAAATTATTTTTTCTCATTTCTCCTACCACTGTATAATCTTATAGGAATTTGTTATGATAATCTTTGACTTGGTTATCCTAATTATCTATGCCACGAAAATAGAGAGGAATTCCAATACACACAATTGTACCTCGTAGACGATCTTTTGAAAGCTGCACTGGCAATATCAATTATCAACTGAGTTAAAAATGTTTTCTCTTATCTCACTTACCACGGTATATCCGTGAGCATTTGTAATCAAATCGTTTCGTTATACTGGACACCTCGGTCACCATCCCACAGAGGAATACTAATACCTCTCAGTGGACGGTTTTTCTTTTTTTTCAACTTACATTACCACTATTCATCAACTAGATATTTAAGGTGTAAAATTCCTCTCTCTTACTTTATTTACCGTCCTATAATCTCAATTTTTTATAATAAAAACCCTTTATACATTTATACTTGTTATCCAGGCTTGATCGTGAAGAAATGTCCTAATACCTCAAGGCGGTGTCATTCATGCTGCGCTGATTATTAATTAGAGTTTTAATAAAATTTAAAACTCTCCCCTCTTATTTCTCTCAGCACGATATAATCTTGGGAATTTCAGTCTTCAGTGATAACACTTTGCCTTCTTAGGTATCCAGCTGTACGTGCCACAACCTTTAAGAGAGAGCTAAGTACCTTTCGAACCGTACCTCGTTGGTTACTAAGTGGATTTGCGATTATACCAATTTTAAGATTCTTTGCTCATATTTCTCTTACCAATCTTTAATCACAAGAATTTGCATGAGTTGATGATCGTTTTCATAAGTATCCCAATGATCCCCACTGCAATCCTAAAGAGAGATTAAAAGTTCTTCTAGAGTGCACTATTTAACCAACCAATTTGAAACATAATGAAGCTTAAAATTGTTTTTTTAAAATTTTCCTTACCACGTAAAGATCATAAGTATTTGAAATGATAATCTTTTACTCAGTCCTTGGTTATACCTCTCTTATTTCTATCGCTATAAACCTCTACACTGCATTGTCATTTGACAGGAGAAGCGTTTGGCGTAGTTACGCTGCGCCATCATCATCGGATTATCATAGATTTGTGATAGATTTTCCACTTCTTTTGCGTTATCATGACGATTAAAAAAAAAGCAAGATGTACCACCTTATTGGCTCCCCCCCTACCAGTGGCTAATTGATTTCCAAGGCTTTCATGCGAAAGGAGTTGAGTTGATGATCGTTTACTTAAGTATCCTAAGGATCCACACCATGGTCCCAAAGAGGGATGAGAGGTTCTTCTTAGAAGCGCTAGTTACCTAAATAATAAGAAATATAATCGAGTTTAAAATTATTTTTCTTTATTTCTCTGGCCACTAATGGTCATAAAATAGCAGCAAGTCAGAGGGAACTTTAGCAAAACGAGACGGCGACGGCAACGAGGACGCAGCAAAACAAAAGAAGATCGGATAACGCTATCCACAGGATAAATCTCTATCCGGCGGATAACGCTATAAGTTTTGTTATTACTTATCCGCTAGATAGCGATTTATCCGTTGGATAGTGTAATCCGCTCTTTGTATAACTGGGCCCTGAACAATAGCTTAGCACGTGCGTTTTAAAACTGTGTACATTTCGTGGTCGTCCCTGCAAATGAGCAACTTAAAATCAAAACAATTTGCGTGGTCCGAGGACGAAAACCCCCACGGCAAAATAGTGAAGTTCCACCTGGAACATACGTTATGCTGAAGTTTTGATACTGTAGGGGACGGTATTCACATCCAGACATTCGCGAAGTACAACCTAAAAATATGAATTGAATGAACGTCTTCCTAAGTGTTGGCTTACAACATTTTCCGAAGAAAAGGGAAATACATGCAATCAGAAGTCGTTACCTTACATCCGGCGATGGGCGCGCTTACTTTTTCATTCATTGATTTAAATCCACGGTCTATCAACGCAAATGAAGTCGGTGCACTATTCAGCATTCCGTCAAGAAGAAAAATGCATTTTCGAGAAAAAAAGTGCTCTCGAAAGCGTAAATTTATTTCAGTGTAGCGGTGTCAAAACTTATTAAGAGAAATTTTGTCCGATTCTCATGGCAAAACTCCGTCAGTGCATACAGAAAAGACAGAAGTCTCCCTCAAACCACTGGCCCAAGTATGTAAGGTCTCTTGGTGAATGAAAATGTAAACGCTACGGAATACAGTCCCTGAATATTTTTTCAAACGTCACACTTATTTTTGCGAGTTGGCGTCAGCATTTTTACTTAACGAAAAATATTAAATTTTTAAAGAAAAAGTCGTTAAAGGAATTTTTGAAGAAGGATTCACCATTTGAACCTCATCGTTGGAAACAAGTTTGCCTGTTAGGTTTTGTCATCATTAAGCCTATTTTCTGTGGATATCATTAAAACCTTTGCTGTAGTTCCCAAGGTTAACATCTTCCCATATCAATCGACGAAAAATTACGTTGTTAACACTGACGGTTTTCCTCTAAGAAAAAGTCGCAATCCTTGAAAGAAATTCTGTGTTCTTACCTTTTCGCAAAATCCGTAATCAGCCCATGATTTTACGGGAGCTTAATACCCTGCGTTGATCTCACTCAGCAAATCAGAGCGCGCGTTATATCGGCCACAAACCTAAGCCATATGATAAATATATAATTTACGCTCCGTAACCGATATAAGAATTTCGCTCAACACCGAGAGCTTTGGAAGACGTTTATCTAACATTATAAGGACAATTTTCACATGTAAACCGAGTATATGGCCTAACTCACTAGCATTTTTTCTGTTGCCAAGTTTTCTGTATCTGACTGTGATCTGACCGCCAAATCTTGTGGTTTTGTGAATTCTTGACGTGGACGGCCGCTTTGATGCGCCGCCAAGCAAAATGGGAAAGGAAAGCATATTCGGCACATTGAGCTCATTTCAACTGTATGAGTAATTGATTGAAGTGACGATTCGATTGAGGCCTTGCACTACTGTATTTCGTTTACCGTTCCAAGCTTTCGCCGATCTACGACATCGTCAGGGAATGACGACGAATGACGATGTCGTAGATCGGCGAAAGCTTGTTACAGAAAAAGAAATACAGTAGCGCGGGGCCTCAATCGAATCGTCAATTTAATCAATTACCCAACATACCATTAAAGGACAACTTAAAATATCACTTGCATGAGTCTTGCAAAACTAAATTTGATGAGGACGGAAGATCACCTTCGAATTTCTGTACTTCTAACGCTTTGAGTGGTTACAAACCCACCAATATTTGGTACGGTGTGTGTTTAGACAAACAGCTCGTACATGAAAAACGTTTTGCACGGGTTCTAAGTATCACCTGGTGTTAGAGAAATATAGCAGTTCAAAGATAGACAAATAGAATTGTCATTGCATGAAGTAATTATACTGTGTTGACAATAGTGTGTGTGGCTGCAAAAAACATTGAAAAAAAACTTGAAACAAAACATTTCTCAATTGCCCTTCAATTTTGATAGTTTAACAGTAACAAAATGGCAAAGGGATGAAGACTTCGTATAAGA